TGTTTTGATTTGAAATTCTTATAATTTTACAAAACGATTTCTTATGTTTTGCGACAAATTTTTTATAACACCACGAAATTAAAATCACAACACCAAAAATCAAATTCACAACACCACAAAACGGTAACAAAACCACGTTAGAATAACCCCTGCTATTTAAAGAGATACAACACACGTCTGATGGGTGTTGGACGCTCCCTCAGTAACATATTAATGCATATTAAAACTGGTTTCTCTCAAAAAGCTTGTTCGCCGAAATCTAAAAGTTGTGTGCATTAAAGAGACCAGAACAAGACATATCCCATGCCTGAAAATTGAGAGTGGAGGAGCCATAGTTTGATGGGCCATTATCAAAAATCCGTCTTACTGTCTCTTGGGTCTTTGTCCATCCCCATTTGGCATCATATCTGCAAGATAAGAATGGTGCTTACGGATTCCACCCACTGATCTATAAAAAAGACTGGATCGAGCTCCTAATGTGACCAGAGTCTCGCCATCCGAGAAGAGGGCCCCAGAACAGCCCATGCGAGTAGACGGCCTTCTCTGTCACCCCTAGCAATGTTTTCAGCTGCTCTGGCCTTGTTCTCTTTCAGCAATCATACACACAGCATTGCAGCTGTCGCGTATCCATATCGTTGAAGTATTGGTTTTGAGGAATGGCTTCCCGCTATTGTTTGGGGCCCTCTTCCTTTTGAAATTGAATAGGCTTCAAACTTTGGTATTTCAAGACAATGGGAAGCTCGATCCAGTCTTTTTTATAGATCAGTGATTCCACCTACAAAATGAAAATTCATTCTAGCAGAACATCAAAACGAGGTGAATCGCTAAGTAAGCCAGTGAAGTGAGCACGTGTATGCGCAGTGAAATACAATTTCAAGCGAATCAGCAGACAAAACACGCGGCAGTCTGGCTTCCAAACACCTATATAACTAGCTAAATAGACTTGGCTACATGTTTCGAATGGTAAAAATAGCATTTTGTTGCAGTTGCTGACTGACAAAATGTTATGGCGACTATCAAAAATATAGAGAAGTTGACAACGAAATTTTCTTGGTAAAATTGGGTTCATTCGGTCTGAAATAAAAGCAATCGATAGATACCTATATCGATCAGTCAAATATTAGCCAATCAGTGAACGTGACAGGATGCTCACATTTTTGGATTGGCTACTATTGATTGACAGTAGGCTTCGATAACTTTTGTATCTGTCCATTGCCTTTAAGAAAAATCTGTCTCGATAAATGTTCTCGGATGAGGAACAGCGAAATGAGTAGGTCATGCTATTAAGCGTCTCCGACTCTAGGTATGATGACATTTCCTCGTACTGACCTACATTTGCATGCGATTGCTCTGTCATTTGATTTCTTCCAAACTTCAAGTAAAGAGGTGGATCTTGAGTAGTTAAATTGTTATTCATCTCAGCGCGTTATGTTTTCAAATCCCAGAAGGTGATAACGGGTCGAGAAAATAAAGCTTTTATATTTTGCATTAACATTTTCATTTCAAAAGAATATCTTTTTATAAGGATTTCCTTTTTGGCTTCTCTAGACAAGATAGGAGTTCAAGAGTCCTACTAAATCTCTACTTACTTCAACCATAATTCGTTAACAGTATTATTCTAATATTTTTGACCTGGGTTTGGTTAACTTCAATTAATCTATAGCAGAAATGGCTCATATTTCTTATCAAATCATCAGAACTACAAGATTATTTGCTAAATAACATCGAGAAAAGAACTTGCAGCGTTCTATTAAATTAAGAGGGTTAAATAAACAGTTTGCAAATGTTGCGTATTGTACGCTTCTTACATTGCTTATCTAGGTACAGGTAGCTATGTTATTTCATGTTGTTATAGGTACAATTGACATCGTCTATGATTGCTCAAATACAGCCAGCTAGAAGGAGCCGTAATTTAATCATAATTAGCAGAAGTACCTCCAAAGAACCACCAAGTAGGAAGGCAGGGGCCGAATTGCTACAGGACCGGGTGGTGTAGTGGAGAAGTATTGAATTCAGTTTTAAGAATGGAATTAATCAAACGTTACAAAAGTATGCCTAAATTATAGTAAAACGTTTTAAAAGATTGCAAGACAATGACTTCAGCGATATTCTGAATGTGCTTCGAACTAAGCAAAATAGCATGGTTACAAAAACCGTTCACAGGCTTCGCCCGCAGGGGACCTCCGGTTTCAGTTTTGCCCCGAATCCCTCGGCAGCCTTGCATGTGTCATTTCAAGGCGAAAGCTTTCATATTCCTTAGAAAAATGAAATTTGCATACAGTCATTTTGCAAAATTATAATTCACATTTCAGCAAACTGATTTTAACTCACATTAAAGCTATAATGTTTCATTCAGGCAAAAACAGGAAACTTCTTTCAGCGTTCAAATAGTCTTTAACCCTTCAATAAATCATTCACCTTTCAAAAAATGTTATTAGGCATCAAGTTCCCGCCAGCTTGAATGCAACAGTCGTTTTTTGAAAACTAAATTATTTTTCAAAACTAAAAGACTTTTTGAAGGCTGAGTGAAGTTTTTTGTCGCCTGAATGAGTATTTAATTTTGAATGCAGACTAAAATTTCTTCTTTGCTACATGTGAAGGAAATTATCTGCTGAATTGGAACATTAATTCTAGGCTGAATATGAAGAAATCTTCTTCATAGTACGTACAGGTAAAAAATCTTCTGCTAAAAAACCTTTTTATCTCTTTTAATATTGTTACAGCATATGAACCAAGTGTCTGCCTATTGTTTCGATTTCGACAAGTCGAACCTTGTCTTTGCGCACTTTCAATTGGGCAATGTCAAGCACAAATTTCAAAGAGGCCTAAATTCACAATGGAAGCATCTTTTTATTAGAAAACTTTCTATTTAAAGCCAAGAGCCAAGAAGAGTGTTTTTTCCCCGGAGAATTTGCTAAACTTGGAATATCTGTCCCAGAAAACAAAGTAACCTAGGCATGGATTGGGCGTGACAATTCATTCATCTTCGTACAAAGATTTACTTGCTAACTCAAAAGAAACTACCATACATGTCCAATCAGTTAGAATTTTAACGCTTGAAGTTTATAAAACACTTAACAGCCTTAATCCTGTTTTCATGAAAAACTATTTCGTACCCAAAACAACAGGTCATAATCTTTGACTAAAAACCTCCTTGACAATCCAAAAGCCAGAACGACCAGTAATGGTATTAGATCATTAGGTTTTCAAGGGCCTAAAGTCTGGAATTCACTCCCGGAATCAATAAAGGCAGCACAAAATACTAGACAATTTAAGAATTTTATCGAAACTTGGTTCCTTGAAAATAAGTGCGCATGCTCGTTTTGCAGTAAAAAATCTGTCTTATGTAGTCCTTGAAATTGCTGTTTGTTTTAATAAGTGTATATTTACTATTGTAAAAACTAACATTAAACAATATACAATACAAAACAATACAATACAATACAATTCTGGTTTTGTTGGCCTTCCCTACAATACGAACCCCCGATCATTCGAAAATTCACTATCACAAAACCTTTTACGATTCTTGAACCATTGGGCTATTTTTCTCGATAACTCAAACTTGTTTTTAGCGAACAAGACAAATTAATAATAAAATATAAATCAAACTAATGCTTTTTCCATCTTAAAAGGCTCGATTTGGCGTTAGAGAAGGAAAATACTTCTGCAATCTTCAATTGTTTCGTGAAAGCTTGGATTTCGAAGGAGCAACATAATGCAGCCATGAGAGACCAAAGATCCTTTCAAAGAGCTCTAAGAACAAGTTGAAAGACTTGCTGTTTGTGCATCAGGTCAGAATTTTCTCTGGATGGGACGACGGCTGAAAACATTGTCTCTGATGACGAGAATCTCTTCAGCACAGAACTTCTTAAAAGATGAAGAGATTATTAGATGAGAGAGAAGAGATACCATCACAGTTTAGAAATCCTAAAGCAATCGAAGTGCGAAATGCATTGAAGTTTTGCGAGAATACATGGCATTCACCACTCAAAGCGTAAAATTCGATGAGATCCTAATAGCATCAAAACATTCGTGGAAGGAGAGTTGATAGAAAAATATAAACAAACTATCATTCTTTTTCAGCGAAGAAAGATCTATGAACTGCTATTGCAATCTTCTGTTCTAATCTATCATTTTCTTGTTGTTGCTGTTCTTCTGACTACACATGAAAAGACTCCCAGAAACTCCAACAAATTGCTGCTTTATCTGAAGTTCGAGTTGAATGGAACCTCGATAACTCGAATATTACATAACCCGAGCAATTGTCATTGGTCGCTTGGAGCAATCAGGAGTTTACTGTACTACCTGTTCAATTAGGCTTCCTGTTTTATTCCATGCTAACATATTTTACGTAATCTTACTAAGTAGGTATATGACACTGGATATTTTAAAACCCAGAAACTTTATAATGTAACATTAACAAATACCAATAAGAGATTGAGCACTATTCCTGAGCTTAATTTTTTTAATAAAACATGTTTTGTACAAAAAGTATTTTCTCTTCAGCCCTATCATTTGCTCTAGGATTTCCTTCTCAGAGTAAAACGTTGGAATATTCCTTACATTATTGGCTTTATATATTATTTAACTTGCTGGGTACCTATGGAATCAATCATCTGCTAATACAAGATGAACAAAGATTTCTTAATGCCCCGTATCCCAATGGGTAAGATAGGGAATTTCTCAATGAAAGAGGTGAGAAATTCCGTTGTCAGTTTTCCAACGACAAGTCTCTATGAAATGATCATCATTAAATTTAGCAAAAAATGGTCTTTTGACAAAAGTTTTTATTCAGTATACAAGTCTTACTTCTGTGAGGATAATATCGCAAAGCAGGAATATTTGATGAAATTTCACAGCAACAGTAATGCATTGGCATAGGGGAGGCATAAGTAATTTTGCCCCTTCCTTGATATGCCACAAATGTGATGTCTAAATCGAAAAAAGTAGTTTAATTGCAGCATGTGAAGACAAAGCTAACGCAAAGCAAAAAACATTCGACAGTGACAATCCTTTAATACATAAATGACTGTATATTTACAAAATTAATTTATGTACAAAGCCTCACGCTAAAAAACTTTTCTACTAACAGATACTACAAACAACGAGTGCCATGAATTTGGATAGGTTTGAAATAATGAGATGGTTAAATGATATAGAACACTTAAAAACAACAGGGGAATAACAAATTTAGTGGAACATTATTTTTGCTACAAGATATATCAACCGAGTCAGAAGACATGTCAAGAAATCACAATATAGTAGCAGATTATAAGGATAGTTTGCAGTTGGGACTACAGGGACAATTGTCGTCTATATATTGAATATTGAATATTGAAAATATTCAACAAGAATATTGAAAATTTGAAACAGATTTGAAATTCATAAGCAATTTCCTACATTGATCTAAAGAAAGAACGAACAATTAAAAAACCATCAAACATTAACAATTTCCTTATTTATGCAGCCATTTTACGTCACTTATGTTGCCACGAAATAGCTACTGTTTGTCTTTCATAGAAAGAATACGAACACGATTTCTCTTCACAAATCCCGTACCAAAACCATAGAATAGATCTAAAACAGTTTAGCAAATGCATATCGCATCCGCTACCGAACACAAACTAAACTAAACACAAGGGAAAGTAGAGCCTAAGATATAATACAGTTTTTGTTATATTACAGATCATAAAACGCAACCGAGGTACTATTTCTCATTTCTAACATTACTTTTTCAATGGCTGATTCAGAGACATTTTAGAATTTGATCAAGCATTTCAGGGTCGAAAGAGTTTTTTGTGGGATTCCTTTCAGAGTCGAGGGAGCCCTGCTGACAAAAGTAATTTTTAGCATATAATCTTAACAAAACAGCGGGAAACGATGCCTGCTGGGTCCCATAAGCTGATACAGGTGTCACGTTATCTTTTCTTAATCAAAGGTTAATCCCCATTAATAACATTTCCATTCAAGGGAAATAAGGCATGCTTCGATTATGCTAGAAAATACGTTGCAAATACACCTCATTATAATACCATGGTTTATCTGAAAAATAAGCTTAATTAGCATTGTACTAAACTTTCACCTAAAAGTTTGGAACAAGCAACATAAAAATGCATTTTATGCATCTAAAAAAATAAAAATTTAACATACATATATGCGGAGTGAATTTGCTGCTTATCTGCTTAAAACACAAACTGCTAACAGATTTGAATTAAATCAGTTAAAAACATATTTGAAGTTTATCAGTTGATCTATTTAGAAGATTTCCTTTCGGGTTCCATCATTTAACCTCTGCTATTCTTTTAACGATTCCACAACAACACGTTAAAATAATTTTTTTTTATAAACATAACTTGAATGAAGAATAAATTTACCAAAATACGTGCTTCTCACTTACTATACTTATTCATTAAATTATTTCAATCATTTTGCGCTGGTTATGGCTACCAATCCTTGAATAGATCCATAATGTCAGGATTTCCATTATTTGATGGGCTCTGAAAAAATAAGCAGATACTAAGAAAGGACATGTTTGGAAACAATAGAATGTAGAAGAAGTCAAAGTTGAATCTACCCGCAATAAAAAGGACCTTCTTTTCACTTTAACAAAATGATTTTTCAACATCAGCAACTTTGATTGAAGCAAGATAACCTCCATTTTACTGCAACACCCAGATAGCAATGCTGTTCAAGTAGCCACTCATTCCATAAACTTAACAACACCATTTTTGCTTCGTTGGGAAGTTATTTATGTTTCGGCAATATTCACCTTGACGAAAGTTAGGAAACTTCAATCTAAGAAATACTTACATTTAAGTCAAATATATTCTTGAAATTTTAATGTTAATATCAATCAAGGTTTCCTGACAAGCAAGTTCTAAAATTGAGAAATCTCCACTGGAAGCCTTACCTATACATTGAGAATATGAAACATTTCTTTTGAAAAATTTGATACAAATCTGCTAGGAACTTCCAGTGCCCAAAGTATAATACTCTCCACAACTATTGACTCCGTCTTATAAATTGCTCTCGAAAAGGCAAAAAATAATTCGGGGGATTAATATTACCTGAACATTGCTTTTCTGCGAAAAGTACTGATTCCAATCTTCCGATATTTCTTTTACTGACTTCTTATCTGGTGAACCGCTATTTATAGAAATTGATCCCGATCTGGATGATTTATCGTTTGATGCAATAGAATCGTGACGTAACGATACGCCAATTTTACTTCCGCTACTCTGAGTTCGCTTGCGATGAGACTCCTCCGCAGCCAAAAGAATTTCGTCAAAGTCTTGGAAAGTAGGCTTTTGCGGGCTTTGCTTCAGAGTAATTGGCTCGGTCCGGTGGTGTGATTTTGGTCGTGGCTTTGTTTCTGGCAATGATGGAGAAACACTGCTTGCACCTAAAAAAATTTTTAAAGTATTCTATTAAAAGAAATACTGACAGAACTAGTTAGAATTGCCATCATTATTATAAGTGTTTTCTGTTCAAAACAAATCTAGAAATCCTTAGGAAGAAACTAAAGAATTAAATAGCACAAAATAAAATGGATCAGAAGTTTCTGGTGAAATTATCGCGACACATGTTTATTGTCGCTGTGTAACTCAAACATTCAATATTAAAAAAGTCCGGAACCTATAAATGTATTATAAACATTATTTGTTCCATATTTGAACAGTCTCTGGAAAACAATTTCAAATTAGGATATCCTCGTTTGCCATCAATAACAGTTTATGCTTCTCCTATTCGCTCCAGTAGATTTTAAGGCTTCTTTGCTTTCTAGGTGATATAGCTTGTATGTATTCTTGATAACGTAGTAGTAGCGTTATGGTTTACCTGACAGCGTTTATGTCCAATTGATCCCCAAACACATAATGTTTGAAATACATCCTTAGTTATTTTATGCTTCAGGTTAACGTTATGTACTGCCAATATTACTGCCTATGGTTTATGATAGTAGTCAATATCGCAAGCTTATAAAGGACATATGTAGGAACTAAGGAGTAATGCAGACACTCACAGACACTCGCAGACATTCGCAGACACTCGCAGACACTTGCAGGCAGGGCGTTATTTTCCCCGTGACCGTGTGACCATTGGTCACAGGAAATCAGTTAGAATATTTTTCTCACAAGAAATTTCTCAACCATGGATGAATAATAGAAAAGTTTTATACACTTAACAGAAGGTAAGCAGGTTGGAAGGAATCTAAATGCTCAGAAGAAATCAACTCATTGCACTGAAAAAGATCAAAACTATGTTTCGAAAAGTAATACTGTGCTGAGGGAGATCAAGGGGATCAGCTTTCGTTGCAAAAAGTAACAAATTATGTCATTACTGATATGTCATTACGACCCCATACCGTTATAAGTGTTTGAGGGATTTTTAAATGCAGGCTATAAAGAAAGAACCAACCTCCCGTATCACAGATGTATTTTTGCAGGAATTTCCTGCTTGTAACTCACTCACAACACTACAGATAAATCTCCTTTGTACAAAGTAATAGTTTTTGGTATGGGTCTTTCATAAAATCGCTTCATTTATCAAGACGCAGGAATTGCCATTTTAATGCTCGCTCATTTATGCAAGAATGGTAATGTTCCATATTTCTTTGCTAACCCTTTGAAAGAGTTTTGACAATAGCATCCACTAAAAGTGGGGCTGCTGAAAGGGGGGATGAGGGGCAAAATGCCCCAGGGGGCCTCAGGGTTGATTGCGCTATGTTAGGAATGGAATTAATCAATTGTAGCAAAAGTATGCTTAAAAACGTAAGTTGTTAAAATATTTGCAAGAAATGACTGCAAGAAATATTCTGAAATGCATTTTAAGCTAATCTTAAGGGCTTGGTGACAAATATTTTCTGTTCCCTCCGCTCACTGGGGGCCTTGACCTTCGGTTTTGTCCTAGGAACTCCGAAACCTCTGTGCAGTTCTGATTATAAATATGGCAAAGCATTTCTGATAAAATCTGTACTTTCATATTTTACTCATGTGACTCGTTTTGTCTTCAACAACATAATTTTATCGCATTATTGAGGTTTTTGAATCACAAAGTCCAAACTAATTTCACAGGAAATTTTTTCAAAAAGTTTACGGTCACAAGAAGTCTTGAAGAAAATAACACTCTGCTTGCAGGCACTCGCAGGCACTCGCAGACACGCTTTTTTCATACCGTAAAAGCTCTATTAAGCTCCACTCTCTATTAAACAACCCCTCTCTATTTAGCATCCCTCTATCAATCTTCCTTTCTCAAGCGAAAACTTAAGATAAGCCCCCTTCTCTTTTGACCCCCCCCCCCTCTACTTAGACTTTGATGTCAAACAAAGAAAACATGCGCATTTAGTGGGTCTTTTGACGGGTGTGATGATGATAAGATCATGTGCATTAAATACGGCTCATGCAATGACTTACTTGTGCGCCTTAGAAATCAGTCGAAATTTGTTTAAAAGATCTCCCAGGGCTATCAATCGATCTTGGTGATTTTGATGAAGAGGAGGTTCTTATAATTGATTAATTAAACTTTCGAAGCTGCTAGCAAAGTTTCTTATGGGAACATTTGTATGACATATTTATAACAAAAAAATGGACAAGGACATCTTTAAGAACTCTTTACTTCAAATTTTTAATAAGCCCCCCCCTCTCTAATGAGCCCCTCTCTTTTCTAAGCCCCCGCTAGAAGTGAAAAAATTAATAAGCCCTCAGGGTTTATTAGAGCTTTTACAGTATTTGCAAACACTAAAAGCGCACGCAGAGCGTGCATAAATCTGCTCAGATACGCTGAGGACATTCACCTCACTTATACATAGAATCAAATGGACTAGCAGTGATTTGACCAGGCTGTTTGATACTGAAGTTTTAGCATTCTAACATTTACATGAATGCTTAAAGGAGACTCACTGAGGAGAGAAAGCCAAAGAGAAGTCTTAGCTATGTGGAACTAGAAATTAATTTATGTGGCAACACTTCTGTGTCACTTTTTTGTTCGACCCAAGCCTACCAATCAAATTTCACAGATTTTTAAATGTTTTTAAAGTTTACTGTAACCGAACAGACTATAAAAATGACAGCAACAGTGGCAACTACAACATCAACAACACAAAAAAACGTAACACCAACAACAGCTACAAAACAATAACAACAACAACAACAACAAGGTCAATAACAACAGTTCAATCGAAGTTCAAATAACTTGAGAACAAGTTCACAGTATCACAGTATAAATGTTAGAAAACTAATGTGAACCTGGGAGACGCTATTTAGGTATATATTTCTCAAAAGTAGACATGATTGACATTCTCCTGGCAAATATTCGTCGGTTGGGTACTCTGTTGGAAAAATGCATCATCTTTCTTCAAACAAAGTTCTACTCATCAATAAAATTCTGTTTTACGGCGTTTCATTGGCCATTGTATTAGTTGATGCAGCAATGAAAACATAAATCTGGCCTAAATAAATGTTTACATAACTAAACTTTAACGTTGATCGAAATTCCAAGAAACTGCCTTATTCATTCAAGATATGAAGCAAATAAGTTGAGGACCTACCATTTTCTTGTGGCTTGTCTACATGAGACTTTAGTTTCTCTCGGTTTACTGGCTTCAAGGCACTTGCTGATTTCAGATCAGCTGCTGAAATCGTCATTCTTTTCAGTTCAGGTTTTTTAGCTGTTTGTGGGCCTGCGTTACTCAAACTAATTCTTTCGAGAACAGCAGTCTTCGTTATTTTTTCTGGGATTCTCGGAGATCCAGGATGCTTTTCAGCTTCCATTTGACGCATTTTCAACCGTGCTGCCTGTTGTTCTTCGTAATTTCTACGGAGTTCTTTCTTCAACTGATCTAATGTCACATATTGAGTCACTTCTTCTTCTGATTCTGATGCCTCTGACCCTTCAGAACCATTGAGCTGAATCAGATCCCTCAGTTCTTTGCTTGTTCTTCCATTTACATCTCCTCGGTGTCTACTTTCGTTCATGTCGGGTGTCGGAGGAAATTTGAGGTCTTGGAGTGACTTTGTAAGAAAAAACATCTTCTAAATAACAACTCACAATCGAAAAACAAGCTAACTGAAAAACTTAAGTTCGATCTTTGTGGCCAAAAGACTTCAAAGTATGCAAGACTATTATTTTAATGCTGGCTAGATGATAACCCCCGGCAACAACTGTTTTTGTGAAATTCTTTACACAGAATCAAGACCTACTTAAGGGTGTAGTGAAGAAAGTCTTAGAGGCCTTTGATCTTATCCCCGGCGTAGCAGTCTACCCATCATTTGAAATATCTCACATAAAATATTGGATAAATCCTGTGAATAAAAGATCAGCTGAAGGTGAAAAATGTAAAAACAATGCATTAAAACCGCATAAAAAGGAAATGACTAATAAAAGAGTCGAGAGGTACTTGCAAGTTGGCACACAAGATTTCCCACGATTTCCTATCCCTTTGTTTCAAGTAAATAAAGATTATATGAATGGTGACAAAAACGGGTGTTGGGGAATCTTTCCATGTCACCAAATTATTTCTACTGCAATAATTTTATCCGGTATTTCACAGTTCTGCATTGCCTTAACATTGTTACTAGAAGATAGCCTGGGGACTAAAATTCAAATATTAAGAGTTCTGAATAACAGAGTGATGGAAGGGTACACCTTAATGCATGAAGCAAACATCAAAAATAACTTCATAGCGTACATAACTGACGAAAACTACTTTTATTGTTAGATGCCTTTTAGTGTACGGCATTGACGTAATTTTTGCTGCATAGTAAACTCCCAATAACAACCGACCTTTAAAAACGACCGATGAAAACAGAAGTGAGGAATCAACGAAAGTAATCAGGGAGATGTGGAAAGATTGAATGTTACTTGCAGCTTGCATGTTATGGGACTTTACATATTTGCTTCAGTTATAAAAATGAAAACTTAATTTGTTAGAACAAATTACTAATTTGGTTCAAATATCTTTGTAATTTTGTTTTCACTATAAAAGGAAATAAAAAAAGGTTCAAGGACTCGTGGTTTGGGTTCGATATTTCGGGGGTGTTTTTGCATGTGAGTAAGATTAAAGGGGAATGCAAAATCAGTTCAACTTGCAGGGTCTCCACGCCACTGATCCTTAACTGGAGGTGCCAGCAATGTAAAGAAAGTTTTCTCTTTCCCTCTTCAGCCCCAATCGTGTCAATCATTTTGCTGACGCTCTTTTATTTGTGGATTTTGGTTCAATGTGTTTGTTGTAATCTAAAGTTTATCTATATAAGCTTTTTCAGCTGATTTTAGTTTTTTATTTAGCGAAAAAGTGGGAAGACCTTGGCCCCCTGGCCCACCCTGTGGCGCAGGGGCGGATCCAGAGCGAATTTGAAGGAGGGGCAGTTGGTAGTGGGGGCGCTGAAAAGCTTTATAAAATTGGTTACGAGAGTACGCTGTATACAACAATTTCAGATACCTTTTCAAAATAAACAACATAACTTTGAGGTCATCCTTGAAGCAAATTAACCTATCGGTCCAAGAACCTTTTTCATCTGATTCTCATTCTTCAAAAGGGACGCACAATTTCCAAAAAAGGGGCGCCAGACTTGCTTCAATTCGTTAAGGGAGGAGCAACTGCCCCTAGTTGCCCCCCTTAAATCCGCCACTGCTGTGGCGTGGGCCCTGACTTGGTGAATATTCGAGTAATTGGGGATTCCGTTTAAGTATAAAAAGTCAGAATAATGATAGAAAATTCTAAGCTCGAAAATGTAGGTTTTGGATCGAAATACGCCAATCAGAAACGCGAGCACATCAGTCCTGCTTTCCAAAAGATAAGCAGTTGCCTAATTAGGATTGGAAGTTCACTGCGTATGAAATTTAAAAAATGCATCGGAAGAACGCTTAACTGGAAAAACCCTGACGTAGAATAAACGCTCCTTACAATTTTTTATATTTTATATGAATAGTTATGCGACTGGAAGGGTCTTTTCGTGAAACATTCATGAAAACGTTTGCCATTGGTAAAATTGGTTAAAGGAAAGGGATGATATCTATGAAAAATAGCAGTGTAACTGCAAGAGTTGCTTAAAATAACAAAATCAAGATGCCGGTATGGCGTGTGGTCAGAATTTGCTTTATTTTTTTTGTATCCCTCTGATCTCTTCTTCAAAGATACTTCAAATCTTCGATTCTTCAACCTTGAAAGTTGCTGATCTTTTTGCATGATGGGAGAGAGTTCTTACGCTTCCAATAAGTCCTTAAAGGGTTAAAGATTATTAAAAAATGTACATACTTTATTACAAAATCCCACGTGCTAAGCACGTTGCTTTAAATTACAATGGCTGAGCAGAGAGACGAATACTGGCAGTAGGGCCCAACATAGCCTATTCGAAGGGAAATTAGCTGCAGGGGCATACATAGAGTAGAGGAGAAAACCAATTGCTTAAAACAATGGGAAGTCGCTGGGGCTGGAGGGGCAACTATCCTCCTAGTTAATGGGTTAAACAGCCCCTGGAGCCCAAAATGAAAAATGCAAATAATGAGGAAAGCCTCTTTTTAATTTTCCAGAAGGAGTTTACTGTAAGCTCATGTGGCACCGAAAGGTCGTGCAAAGAATAGCTTAATTGCAAGGAAAGAACTATCCGCAAACACTTATTTCTCCCAGCTTCAACCATAGGCCAAGCCAATATGCAAATCCTTATTTGCTTCACTTTTCTTTCTCCTAGTCTAGCCAAATTCTCAAATTATCGTAGACGTAACTAAACGGATTTCAACACTTTTGGCAGACAGAAGTTCATACAAAAAGCTGTTGTGACATTTCCCTCATTATAGGCAATTAAAACCGACTGGTTAACTACATAAACTAAAGTACTTAATACCTAAACTTTATTAAAACGTAACCAGCAAAGAATTTAAGCGAAAGAAAAAATCAGTCACAACCCATAATTTTGTAACTAAAAATACCTTTGATTTCCAAGTGAATTGTCCACTGAAGCTATCAATGTATTCGAATTCCTGAAGAAGTAAATTTATATGTTTAGAAAAAGGTAATTATGATGGCATTCAAGTGACTTTAGTCCCCGAAGAATTGCTAAACTGTATCATATTTCCGTTTTAGCAGTGTGATGAATGGGAAGCTATACAATGGGCAAGTCTTTACCCATTATCCCGGTGAATACAAAGGAACAAAAATTATTTGTTAAGATTCTCAGTTCATGTAAGATAAATAAAATATACTTTTAAGAGTACCTAGAACCACATGAAAATAAAAGAACTATTGCTTTGGTAAAATAATTTTTGTGTATCTGTTATTAACATATAACTGTGTAGAATATTGGCCTGCTCTTTTTCCTTGAGAGACGAAGAATCGACAGCCATCTGTCTGCTGGCAATGCGCTAAAGAAAAAACAAGAAAAAGAAAGATATTCCCTAATCTTTAAAAAACACGAAGACAATATTCCCTTTAACACCAAACCCCTTTTCCGCAGTTCTAGCATCTCTTCTATTTCACACGAGAGCCAGTTCGGTTCTCTAATTGTGACTTGAATGATAGACAAAATCTCCTATATGTTTCAAAATAAAACTAAGTCATGCGAACTCTTTCAGATTTGAAATTGTAGTTGTCACTGATATATAGTTAGTAAAAGGATACAAAGGATAGATAAATATATACTTTTTAAAGATTCATCCATCCGTACTCTTGTTGTGTTTTCATTTGAAATTCAATAAATTTTCAGGAATGGTACTTCGATTTATAACTTTGAAAAGAAAATCGATCAATCCTATTTGCAATCTTTTTTGGCAAACAAAGGTCTTTCAAAGCTCTAGCCACCACTAAACCAGAAGCCCTTCTTTGTGGATTAGTGGCCATTTTCGGTTTTCTTGAGACGATCAGGTTGGAAGGAGGCTAGGACTGAGAGATCCATTGATGATGTAATGGCTGAATTAGTTTGGGATCTTTGGGCTTTCTGTCAGCAGTATAACCTAATTCAACTGTATGGGAGGTGATGAATAGACAGTTTGTTGGATCTGATTAGCAGAATCGCAAATAAATCTCACTTATTCTAGCAATCTTCAGAGACAAATCATTTAATTGATTTTTTATGCAATTCGGACAATCATACTGGTGTTTCAGACCCTTTGTGAAATATTAAACAAATAGCATTCGAGTATTAAAATATTGCTGTCGATAAAAGTAAATCAGCCTTGGATAAGATTCATTCATTAATAATCAGGATCTCATACCTTAAAGACCATGTGAAAGGAATATAAACAGGTTCTAAAGGAACAAGCTGTTCCGGGCGCGTGTAAACTTAAATTTTTTACTGCAAGGTTTTGACTTGACCCGGAGCCCGGGCTCGTCTAAAACAAAACAGAGCTATTAAAAATGCCCCTAAACAGTTCTAATGGTTTTTGTTTGATTGCTTCTACTGGGCAGGATGATAGCCACTCTTTTACCAGAACTGAATCACAGCAAATATAAAATTCTCTGGGCCGTCCAGCCCCCCCCCCCCACTTTCGCACTTTGATATTTGAATAAGCAAAATGGAACAGGATGTAGCATTGGGGGTTCAGAATCAACTGCTATCATCAATCTACAGCCCAAACAACTTCTTGGGACCCTCTTGCACTGCGTTTTCCGCATTGCCTCTGTTGCCAAACAGGGAATACCCAGGAACATATTATGGATGGGGGGGGGGTGGGGGCTGACACGTTTTGGTATTGTTTTAGTACAAAGATGTAGATCATTGGGGGAATTACATCCCCTGTCCCCATGCCACCACAGGTTCTTGCTATACCGTCATATGGGATGAGGAGGGTTTCTCGTTTGTTCTTTTAACGTTGACAATATTGTTTATATCTTATGCAAGACAATTTTACTTAAAAACCACAAAGTTAATTGAATTTGGGACATATACGTAAATAATATATACCACAAATATCTCCCAAGAAGCTGGACCGTGGATTCAATGCCTTTCATGGCAAACACAAGAGCTTAATTGGAAACAGTCAGGGGCGTTGAGAGGGAGGCTAGGAGGGACAGCAGGTCCGGGGCCTACAATAAAGTAACAAAATCTATTCACAAAGCTACTATTTCAGCCAAAGAATGAGAAACAATTTTTTTGTGGACAGCCTTGATAAGTAAGTGTAACAACAGCCATATGTAACAAAATAGAAGCATTTTACTTATGCTACTCAAGTTCTCGGTATCTCGGTCCTTGATTCACCTACTTATTAGGAATCAACGCCCTGTAAGTTTATCGCAGAGAACACATGTCCTTGTCCACATGTCCTTGATTCATGTAAAATGTTTTTGCACATTCTCGTAAAAGTCCTTAAAAAACTTTCTCAACAATTGTACCTAAAAATGTCGTTTCCCTTGTTCTCTGGGAGACTGAAGGGCGAGGCCACAGGAAATTTTCTCAAGGGGGTCAAGTTTTCTGAATCACCCCTGGGCCCGAGCTGCCTCTCGACGGCTCTGGAGACGGTATATTATGACAATATTCCAAAGATAATTCTACAAAGATAACAAGACAAAGATAACTTTATTATTTCATTATTGCGATGATAGCCACTGATTAGCCTTTCTCGTTCATTCCTCCCCATCTCCTCTTCAATCAAAAAATCTTTCCTTCATGGATAAAACCGCCTCAAGCACAGACGTACGCATGCGTCATTTTCAAAATTGCTTTTCGTTTTGGCTGAGGTAAGAAGGAAATTGGCTTTGGTTGTTGCATTAAAAAATTTTTCTTGACAAATTTTTCTAAATCTTGCGGTATTTCAGCCTTTCCTTTCCCGGCAAATTTTAGTGAAATTTCGTGGTATGGTTTGCATTGAATAAAAATCTACCTTGAACTTGAACTAAAAAAGTATGGTTTGAATTTGTTACACGGAAATGAATTCTGGTACACACGAAGAGGTATACTCTGTAACGGAAATTGTTAAACTCTTTTTAAAGCTAACAATTCTGAGCAGGTCTTCAAAGTCATACGGATAAATCGGATGTCAATTTCCCCTGATGATTCGATAAGTTATTCTTAGCTGTTTTTAATCCTTACGAGCAAACACTGACGGCCTATTTTCTTATATGAAATAATTTCAATATTGATTGTATTCATAATTATTCAAAATACTTACCGTATATGATTGTAAACTGTCTCGGCGTGCTTTTTGCCTGGTCTTGGAATTACCAGAGCTACTTTCATTTGAATTTGTTCGATTTGCTAATTCTGTACTCCAATTCTTTTGGGCAACAAATTTACTGACTATGTGATTATCGAAAGCTCGATCCTGATCAGTGTGTGAGAGTGTCCTCCAGCCGTTCCTACCATGTTTTGTCAAGACTTCACCTTGTCTTTGTACTATATTTCGATAAAGACTGTTGACCCCACCAAAGTATCTCATATACTCTCCTAGGACGGCCATAGCACGAGTTTTTCGGCGTTTTGTATCTGTTTGCTGCTGGGCTGCCTCGCACAAGGCAGTCTCGTCACTAGTAGAAGCTGATGGTTTTTCTGCCTTTTTCCTCATATCTTATAGTTGTAGAGTAAACAAGCAGTCGACAGTTTGCAATAAATAACAACTTCTCATCGCAGATTTCCTTGTTCGCCGCTGCGGTTTCCTTATGAGTTATTCGACAGAACAGAAAAACTTCTTTGGTTCGCAGACCTTTCCATGTTCGCCTTTGTATTACAAATGATTTTAACACAATAAGCATAGTTGCGGTGACAATCCCAAGTTGATCTCATATTGTAGTAAAGAATAACACATATCAAAGGCTAGATTTCGCAGCTAGATTTCACTTTGCGTATTTATTAATTCGCCAAGCGGGGATGCTTAAAGATTTCTTATGGCAAGTAGGAAAAACAAATTACAGGCTTAACGGCTTTTAATATGAAATCTTCGGTCACCTGATTGCGTTGTTGTGCTCTCTATAATCGACTCGTTTGTAGGTTTTCCGTTTATAATTGTAGTTGAAAAAGTAAACTCCCGACAAAGTTCTCGACGGCAAATAAGGGATGGAGGTAAGCTCTTGGAAAGCGCTGTTAGTAGTCCTGATCTTTAGTCTTCCCTTTAACTATAAACAGTTGACCTGCACTTCGTATTACCATAACAACAGAACATGCGGACACACCTCATGTGCAGGTTGTGTCGATTTCATCTCGATCACATGGTAATGTATTGGGTTACAGTTGCTAAGACGGGGGCATGGGGATACGGTGGGGGTATGTTGAAAGTGGGAAAAAGCCCTTGGGCTCGTGTGAATTCGCACTTTATAAAGGGATAGTGGAAAATGCGAGGGGCGATTCACTCTTGCAAATAGTGTACAAGCTTTTGCCTAAAACAAAAGGATTTCTGGGGATTTTCAGATAAAACAATAGGATTTTCACGAAAGGTGTACGAGATTTTCTTAGAGTGATTTGCCCCTCGGGAAAATGCTTGTGTTTGGAGTTTCATGGCCCTCTCCATTTCGAAAAACACTGCTACATCGAAAAGGCCACGATCAATTATCGGCAGTACGAATATCAATAACTTTGGCCAATGTTGGAATCTCATAAACACATATACCCAAGCATTACACACTCTTTTAGAAGAATAACTAATTTTTTGCTGAACTTCAATGCTCTTCATTTTTTTATCTTGGGCCTAAGATAATTCTTAAATTATTCTTAAGCGACATAAGATGAAGTCCGATTTGAGTTCTTCGAGCCTCCTCGTAGCATCGAGGTATAACCTGGTGGCATTACATGGAGCGTATAACTCACATTTGTTTTGCTATCCGAAAAACTCAAGTAAACAAAAAATCTAATTCTTGTTGAAGCTTGAGCCTTCCATTATTCTCAAATTATTCTTAAATTTCGGTGATTTGGAGCACCAATATTCTTATAGAGTATATTTTTATAAAAAAGCTTGTATATATATAATATTATCGAAACGTGAAGCCCCTGTCGCCTGCTTGATGATTTTTCAATGTTGTGGCCTGACCGTAAACTTCCTATGCAGGATCACCTCCTGCAGATTATTAAAGCATTTTCGTGACCTGCACAATTAGCCGGAATGAAACCATTAAAAATTAATTACGGATTTGGCAAGAACTTTCCTTGTCTCACAGTGTTCAAAATTTTCACAATCAGCTGCCGACCACACCTTTCTCTTTGTGATATTGCACAAAAGGTTGGGATTTTGTTGGAATCCTACTATACATTCTTTTTTTACAAGAACCAGTAAATTGAAATTCAGGCTGGTTGTTCTCAATTTGTGCGAAAATCTGAGGCTGGATTGTTCTTAACTTGTTCTTTGATTGATAGGGTGTAAGCAGTACAATTGCTAGATATTGCATATTAGTTAAGTGTTCAAGCCTCGTTTGCCAACAAAGTGAGTGAGACATTCTCATCATGGGAAGTCTATAGGGTTTGAATGGTGAATATAATAAAAGTTACATTTGAAATATGATTATTATGTTTTTTTAAACACTCGTAAGTTGTATTGCTTACATAGGTCGCATTATTCACCTTTGCAGTTAAATCATTCTTAAGGGTCTGATAGTCTTAATTTCATTTCTTGTTACATTGTCTACTTTTTTCCACGAAGTTTAACTTGTTTGGCTTCAAAGCCTAAGGAGTTCAGTCAAATATTCAAAAAGTAGACAGTCATAGGATCAGGGGTTAAGAAAAATTTATCATATCATTTTTCATTTCAAGTCTGTAAAATTAAATCTGGATTTGGCATTTGTGATGAGAAAAAACATAGTGGCTGGTAGAAGGGACATGCAAAGCGTCACCAAAATAGCAAAAAAAAGTTTTAACTTGGTCCAGCGAACTGTGTGTTGCAAAATGTCTGCAGAAAGTCAAAGAGAAAGTGGTTGTCTGAAGAGAGAAGTTCCGTTGCTTTTGAATTGCTATTGGCAAATAGAGGGAAGCTCAGAGGTATTTCACGTAAAGGCATATCTGAGAACCCACCAGAACCTTACAATAATTCTGTACATGGTCCACCAAACCAAATGCAAAGCACATGTAAAGAACCACAAGAATATTGCACCAATTCTGCACATGGTCCACAACACCGGATGTTTGACTGCAGACATTCAAGTAAGAATGTAATGTGAAATTTCATTAACCTAAAATCGATATTTGCCAAGTTAGCTCAATGGCCTTTACAAGGCATGTTTGAAAAGCCACCAAAGTGTTACAACAAATCTGCAAATGGTGCATCAAACCCGATCCTTTAAAATGGCTGCAGACACTGAGGAATAAAAGTAGAGTTAAGCATAAAAAATTTCTATTTGCAAAAGATAGAAAAGACTTTAGGCCTTGGGCAGTATTTTAGCTGGAATCTGATAATTCAAATGCACACAGACACAGGTTTAATTTCTTTACATCTGTGTTAATAAGAAAGAAGTTTCGGGCATACGAAACGATTGACTTAAAGCAGCTAGACAAAAGAGGCAGAAAAAACCAAGTATTCGACTGTGATTTTGAATGAAAAACTTTCATACAGAGGGGTTAAGCTTAATGAAAACTAGGTTAGTCCTGACATGAGCTTTAAGAAAACAGCAGTTTATAAGAGCTTCACTGACAAAAATACACTGACAAACAGCAATAGAATACAGTGCAAAATACGATACACAAATCGCGGAGTAACTAACAAATGCCAAGACTGCTAATTTAGCGGCAACGTAAACGGCTTCGTATCAATGTTGAAGGCATAATTAATAATAACCATTGTAAAAATATAATTGCAATTAAGATTAAATTAGCTAAATACAGCACCAACAAGATCAAAAACCAAAACATGAGCTGCATTATTAATGTGTTTTTATTGAAGAAATAATTTAAAACTCTCTTGCCCCTTTTAGATTGACCCAATAACAACAGAAAATCCACTGATGCTTAGTTATTATAACTTTCCTTTTGGGAACGTTGTGCAAATGGCTTACCATGATGCAATAATAATATAACTATCGATTGGGAATAAACCAATAACGAGAATCGACACGCGTCAAAAAAACTTGATTCAGTTGCACATAATTGCTTCGAAATATAGGAAACCATTTGAGGATGTTATTTCCGAAGACAATTATCATTCCGCAAAGCACTTTGATAGATGGAGAAGTATTTTATCATCATCATGCTTTAATAATGATTCCCTTTGAGCAAAGTGCAGGATATATGCTCTACCGTATTTATTCAAATATAAGCCGCGGGTTAAAATAGTTTTTTGGCACGATTTGCAGCGGTATAAAAAATACCTGAACTACGGCTGGAACTCTCAAAGAAAAGTTTTTCCTACGTCGGCGCAAAGGTCTGGAATGATATCCTGAATGACATAAGAAATGTGGAATCTACTAACCTTTTTAAGCACAAAATGAAAACCTATCTTTTGCACCAATAAAGTGAATTCTATACAGAAATAAGAGATCCCTAGCATGACCTCCTGGTAGACCAGTTTAAAGTTTGTTATTGTTTTTGTTTCATATGTAACTAACTCTATTTATTTTTTACTAAATCTGTAACTGAAGGAGTATCATGAATAATATGAATAATGAAAAAAGGGCGGCATACTTTATTTCATCAAGATCCTGCCTAGTCTCCTGCTACCTTGAAAATTTAAAGTGATAATGTAGAAGATGTGGAAGAAATACTTCTGGACGATGATGATGATCTGTAATCTGGACGATATTGTTGCTGGCTTAACTTCTAATGTCTATTTTTTGTAAAAGTATTTATCAGGTTTCTATCGGCTTTTGATCTTTCACCTTAATCTGCATGGTTTTGTTGGTGCGGTTTATAATCGAGGGCGGCTAATAAATAAGAGCGGCTAATAAACAAGGGCGGCTAATAAACCAGGACGGCTAATAAACCAGGGCGGCTAATAAACCAGGGTGACTAATAAATAAGGGCGGCTAATAAAACAAGGGCGGCTAATAAACCAGGGCGGCTAATAAACCAGGGCGGCTTATAATCGAATAAATACGGTACATAACACTCTTACGTATATGAAACAGCTGAAAAATAGCTAGGAACTATAATATATTTGGTTAAACAATTTATAGAGACTATTTTTACCCTAGTATTAGTAAACACACTAAATTAATTGATATGCTAGTCCTAAGTTATGTATTGCACGGCTCAAGATGCAACAGGTAAGTCTTACACTTAACAATACAGAATACTGGGTCTGGAATAAACCAATTGCGAGGAATGTATTTAAGTAAACTGAGCGATAAATGACTTAAGTAGTGAAGATTCACAAGACTAAATAAGAAAAAATTGGAAAAAATTGGAACTTTTAATGATGTTTGGTATTTGGCTAAAGGTGAAAATATGTTTCGAAGTAGGATTTCGGAAGGAGATAATGCATGAGTATTACATAGGTTTTTGTAATACAAGGGTTAAGCACGGAGATAGCAGCGTAGAAAATGAATTGATGATGTGCGTGTCTCCTCTAAGAAACTGAGAAAGGACTGCTTAATCTATTTGTCTAAATGTTCAATTTTCATTTCTTACACTAAAGACAAAACATCTTAACAAGATGTATTAAAATATTAACTACGTCTCAGTCGTTACAAAATGGCACGATTCTTTCAGGCTTTCCCAGTATTTAATAGAAAACAGAAGCCTTGTTACGTAGGAGTGGGCAGTCACTAGCTGAAATATTGTATAAAGAACATACCATGTTTCAATGAAATGAATAATTCGTTTAAAAAGCTACTATAATAGCAAGACCTGCACATTCTATGTATACAGCACCGTCTTAAAGCACGGCTCAACCCTCTATTGTTCTTTCTTTTCTTCATCTTCAATGCTGTTTGCCAAGGAAAGAGGCCGTGCCGGGTTTATGGCCGAGTACTTCAGCTGAAGTATATCTCCGACTTCATCGAGGGCTATCAGAACCTGGACCGTACACAAAAATAAACATCCTTACTAAGCGCTAAATTAAAACATTGTATAAAACAAACAAAAAATACTTCAAAAAGAAAGTAGAAACGAAAGTATGATTGACTAGTAATGGGGTTTGATAGGGTATGTTAGATCGGACATGTTCTATCTTTCATTAAAATAGTATACTTCTGCAGACTATTTTCACGATATCCACTTTGGAGAATGATAAATTCTTGCTACAAACTAGATTGATCCAGCCAAGCCCCTAAATCACCCCAGCCCCTGAATCACCCCCAGCTCCTTGGAGTAAGAACAGAGACCATTACCCATCAAAACTCTTTTTATTTTCATTGCTCTCTTCTGCACTCTTTGATGTTTCGGTGACTCTTGAGTAATCACTAGAAAAGGTTGGTTTCAGCAAATGTTCAAACATAACTCAAAGACTCATCTCAAACGCTGTCACGTAGCACAAACCCATGTATTACTAATTCAAATAAAATTCGGATGTATCTACTCTCTTTACACGTGGTACATGTCAACGATTTGTTAGTTTGTAGCAAGAATCTATCTGTTTAAAATGCTGTGTCATCATACAGATTACCATTTACACGAAATACATGGAATTCAAATAAAGCCAAAAGTGTATTTTTCTTATAGTTATACTTGCAGTTTGTATTGACGGAAAACAAACGAAAAAAAGCAACTACACTTATTAAACACAAGACTAAAGAGATTTGCTCTTCTGCTTTATAAACTGATTTGGGGAAAGTTATTGTGAATACGTATTTATAGCTGTTAGCAATTTGTAGTTATATGGAATTATATCTACTGAATATGATGAAGCAGCTTTGGTTCTTGGGAAAGCAAGCCACTGGGGAAAGTAAGCCACTAGGGAAAGCAACCCACTGGGGAAAGCAAGCCACTGGCGAAAGTGAGCCACTAGGGAAAGCAATGCACTGGGGAAAGTAAGCCACTGGAGAAAGCAATCCACGGGTAAAGCAATCCACTGAGGAAACAAGCCAAGCTGGACGTATTTTTTCATTACCTTTCGGAGTATTCGCCGCGCTAAGTTCTAAGAAATTGGCCTGTTCTCAATGATTATTTATCTGGAAAACAGTGGAAATTTTAAAGAACAATGTTGTGGAACATACCTTGTCAAGCATTTCAGATGTGTGACCAGCTGAAAGACAAAACCTCGATCGAGATTCGATAATAGGAGTGGCAGGAAAACCAACGACGACCACAGCAACATTTCGCTTAAGCATCTCTCGACTGAATGCTCTACAAACAAGAATCAAGAAATGTATTTTAAAACTCCTTTGTTTGTCGTTTTGGTACACTGTAGTAGCTTTAGCAAATTTTCAATAGCACCCCTCCCTCGCTCGCTGTGCAAGTCCAAATTATGTCGTTTGATGAGCATTGGTGTGGAACGTAGTTGAGAAGAACTAGAAAACATGCGAGAGTTTTTCGACTAGGCACTAGCCAAAATTGCTGAAAGATTTGTTATAGCGAAGATCAAAATAAATTAATAGCCTTCATCCAGAATTGTTAAGTGGATCAAACGCAATACTGATATCATTATAACAAAATTTTTAGAATTATATATAAAGAAATGTGATTGAAAAAGCTTAGTATTTACTCACGCAATTTTTGCAGGCATGTACAAGAGGACTGGAACAACGGGTGAGTCATCATGTCCATAAATAATGAATCCCATTTCCTGGGCCTTTTTGCGAAAGTATCTATAAAAACGAGTTTATTGCTTTTACTAGCTAGAAATAGAAATGTTCCCTAATTACTAGGTTGGTGTTAAGGATTAGGGTGATGTTTTCTTCATTAAAATTTTTGAGGTGTTGCAAGACATACAAGGCAGATAAATATATACAATATCTTAAGTCCTAATTATAGAACATTGAATACTTAGACCTAAATATGCAATGTTCCATACAAGACGCAAAAACATATGCATGTAACCCCCTTTTTTAGAAAATTTAACACTAATGGCCAAATTTTTTGCACTGTTTTCAAATAATGGGCTGCCATGTTTTAGCCTTGATGTGATAATGAATTTGCTTTGCACTCGAGGTCATGAAATTAAAGGGGGTATAAGTTACTGTAATATTGAAACAGGATAATCCTGTGAGTTTCAAGATGGGAAACCAGGCCAAAAAGAACAGCAACGTGGAATGTTTTGACGTCAACAAGACGGATAAATTTTGTCACTAGCATTAAAATGGATGTACAAGAACATGGCAGGATACACTTGATTTGCAAACGAGGGAACTCGCTGGCTTTATGGGCGTTTATCACTAAACATGACTTTGTTGTGACAAAATAATCAACGTTTTTAAATTTATAAAGATACAGGCAGTTTTGTATCTCATTACAATCACAACTGTTCTTAATTCCAACAGCCCAATCAGAAGCTTGAACAAAATCGTGACAGATACATAAATAACAACAATTAAGAATATTGAACCAACCTGCAGTTGCTCCGCAATTTTTGCAGCCTCCGCTGTCCTGCAAAGGACATGAATGGTTATCTTAAGAGCTATTGAAAAACCCTGTCGAGTATGTTTTGGGAGGATTGCATATCAAATAAAACAATCTCAGTCTTGTCACTAAAACATAAATAATCATGAAACGAGAAAATTTTTCAAGATAAATTGCTTAAAACTCAAATTACTAATGACTTGGAAAAATCAGAAGTCACAACAACATACAAATTATGGACAACAAGCTATCGACTTAATGTAAATCTTCTAATTTTACATATAAGCACAGGGTAATTTTTTAGTACAAAGGCTGATTAGTTTATAAACAAAAAAGCTAGTCGACATAGCACAAATATAAATTAAAAATAACAAAAACAATTTCGCTTTTTCGTGCCACTTTTAAGCAAAAACTATTTTCAAAAACTCATGCGATACCTTCGTTGGTCCCATCTTCTCCCATAATAATCTTCATTGATGTCATAACTTGCTGAATGACTGGGGGTGCCATGGTCGACGCATATGCAGCACTGTGTGACGTTGCTCTGATGTGATTGATAATTTCCTGTTTAATAATAATAATAATAATACCTTTTTTACTGTTAGTTTGACAATAGTGTGAATACTAATAAACACTAACATGAAGCAATTTAACCCTATCCAGACTAGGCTTTTTGAAACTTTCGGGAGACTAGGGGGGGGGCACAAAGTGCCCCCCCTCCGTAATTTTTTTGTCCCTCTAGCTAGGACAATGAACTTTGTTTGGATGGTACTCTTATCTTTTCTCCACATTTTAGTATTATTGTTCAATTTTTAAGTCACGTGGTTTTACGATGACGTCATCATAATGGTGGCCGGGTGAAGCAAAAATTTAGAAAATTTTAGAAAATCTTAAAATATTCATTAATTCCAAAGCATCGGGCTAAGATATTAAAATAAGCAAATTTGATGCATTTTCTAATAGAAACAAGAAGATTGACACAATTTTAATAATACTTCTCAAAATTATTAACGTTCCAAACAATAGAACTCAACATATTTTGTATTTGGCTATAGTTTTTTCTAAATAACTAAATGATCGATACAACCAAATGTCATGTTTGAGTTCATTTTTAATGCCTTAGCAGACAAATTATTCTAAACTTGCAGTTTTATTAATGTAAAACCTATAAATGTGTCAACAAATGTGTGCGCATGCGCAGCAGAAAAATCATAGAAAAGGATGTTGAATTTGAATTTTCTGGTCAGAATCATGAAGAGAGCACAAATTAATGCCTAGATACTAATTTTCATCAATATATCTACTTTTGTTGCGAATCCGTGGCAGATTGAACTATTTTTTACTTGACTAGTTTTGAAAATGCCCCTACACAACCCCCTGATTAATAGTAAAAAAATTATCTTTTTATATGAATATGTGTCAGATAGGTTAAAACTAAAAGTCAGGAGGTCTGAGGGGTATTGCTTTGAAACTCCTGAAGTTATGAAAGAAAAACCAACTAGGGGGGCACTTTGTGCCCCCCCTAGTCTGGATAGGGTTAAGAGATTGCATTATGGAAGTCATTGACTGCAAGCGTTACAGGCGCATTGATTTTCGAAGTACCAATCTTTTATAAGAACTTTAAATTTACTTGCATTTGTGGATGATTTTATTTCATTTGGAAAAGAATTCAAAATCTTTGGACCCAAAAAGCTAATAGACTTTGGACCCATAACTTTTCGTTTTAACCTTTGGAACATAAAGAGTATTCATTTTTCGAAGATTATAGCTATTGGGTTTCGGGAGAAAGTAGTCTTTCATAAAGGCTGGATTCAAGTTGTGCAAAGTTTTGTAAACTTCTAGTGCTAGCAGCCGAATGGAGTGAATATGATTTGTAGTGGATAGAATAAAATAAAAAAGAATAAAATAAACCAATATGTGATTGTCAGATGGACAGTATTGTCAGATAGCAAATACCAATGCTAGTGACACATCAGTTATGGGGCTATGACTGTATTTACGTCTAATGATTATGCATCAGAGACACTTCACTAACCGCATCAGCAGCAATATAGCCTCCAGCTCCACCAAAACTTTTAGTGAATGTTCCCATCATTATATCGATGTCTCTTGTATCCACACCAAAATGTTCAGCCACCCCTCTTCCGCCGTGGCCAAGTGCTCCAATACTATGTGCTTCATCCAAGTACAGATAGGCCTTTATTCAAAATTATCACGATTACTGTACATGAATAGCATAAGGAAAAAGAGCTGTGCTTTAGCATTGGGATGCTGACTATATGGAGGAATTTCACGGAAACAGGGGTGGACAATTCCCGTAGAAAGGTGCTCCCTTGTTGGGAGACAAATCGCTCTTTCAGTGACAGGTGGTCTCCAAAAACGAAACGCTGATGACAAGGGCGGACATTACCAGTAGAAATTTGATTGCCCGGTGGCTACCCTGCATAACGATAAGCAGTCTTCTAAAGATAAAAACATGTTGTCCCAGGTGGGCATGAGACCAAATTGTCCACCCCTGAGAAATATATTGAAAAAGTAGCAAGCCTTGAATTAAATGTTCTGAAAAATATTCAGTTGAGGTAATCCTTTCAATAGTTCATACAAAGTTATTTTGTGGAGAAGGGAATGGCTGGAAATAGCCAAATAAACTGGCTACCAGGAACACAAGAAGCCGTATAACTTTGGGTCATTTATAAATGGTGGAACAGATCAATAAGATTTGCAATTACCAATAAAATTTGACTAACCTTATACTTCTTTTTCAGAGCAACAACTTCTGGTAGCTTTACAATTGACCCTTCCATGCTGTATATACCTTCAACTATAATTATAATCTTTTTCCATGGCCTATGTGTTCTGGGCTGGCCTTGGATAATCAGATCACGCAAAACAGCCTCTAACTGTTTCATATCTGAAATTTAAGAACATATGTTATATACCAGAAACACACTGCGATCTTTTTGTAAATGCATGTTGATTCAATTCAATTCAATTCAATTTGGACTTATCTGGCTTGGGCTGTTAACAAAAGGTATGCTTTGGAATGGATTGTTGATTATATGTTGATGATCAATAGAAACATTAATTCTTAATTTGAACCATGTTTGTACCAAGTTATTCATAGTCCTTACCATTGTGCCTGAACACTCTTATTTTAGCACCAGACAGTCTTGCACCAAGAACCAACGATGCATGATTCAACTCATCACTAATAATTACACAACCAGGTCCAATTATTGTAGGTATGCAGGTTGAGTTGGTTGCAAAACCCATTCCAAAGCATATAGCATCTGGCTTTCTCAAAAATCTTGCCACAGTCTTCTCCAACTCTTGGTGCATTCTAGTAACACCTGTACATCAAACACATAAACATTACTCAACTTTCAATTATATTGTCATTACCAAAAATTATATAAGAAATAATCTTTCAATTATCACAGGCAATATACAAAAAGATTACTGTAAGTTAATTTTTTTAAAAGTGCTGGGACGTATATAAACAGCTGAGCAGCATCAAGTATCTATCTGACTAAGCATCAAGTACCTATCTGATTTTCACAGCTATTGTTATAGTTATACATTCTCTATTGAGAAGCTATGTTAATTGTAGAATAGCACTGAAGCTTTTATATCTTACAATATATAAATACACATCCTAGATAAACTCAAAAAAACATTTTAATTATATTCCTCATCAGTAATATTGTGACACTGATGTGATATTGTAATATTGCAATACAAGATCATAGGAAAAGAAAATCTGTTAATTAAGAAAATTGTTGTAAACAAGAAAAGCCCTTATTTTCAAAACTACAGTAGGAAACAGGTTTTTTAATTATAAAACCCCTTTTCCAGTTACTTTGTACATCATATTTCACTGGAACAGCAACCTTAACCTCTCTTAGGTTTACCCTTTGGAGATATTTCTCATTCTAAAACATTAAGTATAAAAAGATGCCCTATGCTTTTAAACTTGGGTGAATATTTGCTCCATATATCTAAATAAATGACTTTTACCATACTCATGTCTTGAGCTGCAAAGTGCTATTCCATTAGTATGTATTGCATTTTCTGCATTTTCTGCACATGTTCCTGTAGATTCTGCAAAACCTAGGTAATTATATGATCCTACATTGATTGCTTTTGTCTTTGTGCCAGGGTACCTGAAAATAGTAAGAGATCATAAATTTGAAAGCATTGCACACTTAAAAAGTTTGATAGTGCATGCTGTGGGCATGTATCTGGTCTAACCTGACATGGATCTTCTGCCCTATTAAAACTGTATGCTGTTTATGTATAAAGCACAAAGAGAAAGCCTTTATTGTAACCAAATTCATGTTACAAGACAACCTAGTAAGAAGTTTGAAAACAACACAACACTGGTAATAGATATTCATTACTTCAGAAGGTCATTGTCCAATATTTAAACCCTGGTAATGAAAAGTATAAAAACAGACACATTTGCAACTGCAAGCATGAAAAAACACCAAAATAAGCAGTGCCATGCTGGCTTCAGCTAGGTACCAGTCTTTTAGAGCACCCTCTAGAAAACTAACCCCTTAGTACCATCTATCAGGGCTGGCGGACCATAACTAAAAGTGTGAGCCACAATGTTAAAAGTATTCAGAGATTCTACACAGACCGCAGACACATCTAAAATATTCACATTAACTTAGACCCTTGGAAGATCCTAGAAAATGTTTATAGCTTTTCTTTATCATTTTCCCAAAACGTTGTTTAGGGAAAGTCACCACCCTTTTACAAATATGATGTATTGCAATGGCAAAAACACAAAAAAATGCAATAAAATTGGCTTTTGATTTTTGGTATATGACAAGATATATATAATGTAACATTTGTGACTTCAGAATACATGCTGTCTATATGGTGATAAAAATGTTATATATATTGTATCAGACACTCTGCTACACAATAACTTTTTTTATCCAAGGAAAACTAGTTGGGTAGTGCAATAGGTTTACACATTAAAAAATGGCAAAAAATTTGTTCATACTTGAATGTCCAGTTGTAATCATCACTAGTTCTGTCTATCAAGTCAATCTCTGCTCCAGGAACACTGGCAATTGGTCTGTTCCAACAGTCTCTAATTCTCATGTACAGATTTCGTGTGTAGAAACTTTCAAAGTCTGAATAAAGTGGAACAAAACCCTGAAAAATAAAATTTCTAGGTAATCTTTCCTAGTACATAGACATTAATCATTGATATTATTTCTCCATTTCTTTGTGCCATGTTTCTTTTAATACATTCCTCTAGATATAAAATACAAGCAACACTAGAGAATCTTAGGTGCCAGTTCTATAGGTTATGCTTATGATTTTTAATTTTTTTTTACATAGAATCACTATTAGAACAATCTTGCTAGCAGTTTTGCATGGAATTGCAGTTTACCATTCCACATAATGCACACAACATGTCTCACAAACTCATTAATAAATTTCATAATTATTTTCCTGAAAAACAATGTGTTATTATTAGAGTGGCAAAGTGATGACATCATGAAATTACATTATTAGAATTATTAAATGTTGACCATGTGAGAAGAAATAACATAGCCAAATACCTCTAAAACATACAAAAGCAGGTAAATCTGCTACAGATTTCCTTGGAAAGGCTCAATTGAAGATTAGGAGCTTGCTAACAAATTATTGTTATCTTGGCCTGGAAGTTTTAGAACCATGGCCAAATTACAGTAGATTGTCATGGGAAAAGCCTGTATTCCTGTGGCTATACCTCAGGCAAATTTTAACAGCTCTAAATGATTTTGCACATTTAGAGGTATTTTGTGGTGTTATGTTCGGTCACATGTTCAAAATATGAAAATTCTAAAAATAGATTTTTGAGAAGGGCAGAGACATAGGTGTAGTGGCAATTTTCACCTGAACATCATCTTATTAATGGGTCAATAACCTTTAATCTCTTTGGTCACTCCATTTTGAAGCCCAAACATAGATTTCTGCAATATTTCCCAAATTTCCCAAACATAGGTTCCTGCAATTCGCTGCAATATTTTACAAATATTGAAAATTGAAGTCAACTTGATGGACTAGCTAAAACAAAATATGCCAGTAGTCTGCAGGTCCTATTGAATTTGCTGTGAAATAACCGTTCAATCTCTGATTACAAACAATGATACTGCCAACATCAAAAGACTACAAGATGCTTATCAGTAAAAACATGAAGCTATGGTAGCACCTTCATGACAATACAAATTCTTCCTTCTTATGCCTTGCATGTACATTCCTATGGTTACCCCTAACACACGACTAGCACAAATCACAAAGCTGCAATCTCAAATAAAAAGTGGTTAAAGGTTATTCAAAAGACGGCCTAATCAGCTTTTCATTTTTTCTATCGTGAACTAGGCTTAAATGTTTAAAGGATTTCGTATGTTCAAGTCACTGGTCATGTATCTTCGTGAGTTTTCATCCACATATTTTCATTATATTGTTTACATTCTTTTACTCCAGTCTGTAATTTTCGCAGGTTATATAATCATCAGGCGGGGGTCGAAAATTTATCTCACTGTTTATTGCAAGGTGGCTGTCACTTCCCTGAGTGAGATGATTGAAACTGTCGTTGTGTGCATAAATAAATGTAGCAAAGAAACAACACGGTGCTAATGTAGTAACATACACCTACAAAGAAAGTGGACGGACCAGCATTGGCAGATGAAATCAGGGTGTGTTCGACTACAAGGTGACTTCAAGTGATTTGTAAATCTTTAAATACCTTATTGCCTCTTTCTTTGGCACTCTTGGTCTTCTCCAACCCATGATAACGAAGAAAATCTCTTAAATAACCAAAAATAACTAATATTCCATATCCTATGTAAGTTACTACAGCAACAATGAGAGGCGTTTCCTCGAAAAACTCTTCGAGTTTCGGATTTGGTGCCTGGTTGCGTTCAAAGGTTGCAGGTTTTACAGCATATTTCTCTGTAATAATAGACGTAGTTCCTTCCTTTAGATCATTCCCATTGATATGAAACTTCTTTTCAGCCACTAGATCTCCTAGATCGGTAGGCACAACCATCCTTGAGGCACTCCACTTTTCACCGTTAAACGATGAATGAGCACACGCACGGTTAGGCCACTCCTTCTGTTGTGAACTCCTTAGGTATAGCTCCTCCGTAGGCGTAGAGCCAGTGTGATTATTATACCCCTGTACCTTTCCAAGGGAAGTAGTACAACCCTCTACCTCTACCAAGTGACCTCTAAATTATTGTATCGAGGGTAGACTTTACCGGAAAGTGCTGCCTCGCCATTCAGACAACCCCATTAAATCGGCACTCTGTGTGCGACAGAAACCTTATTTCACGATATTAAAATCAAACAAAATATGTTATCAATAATTTACGTAGACAAACTATAGATTCATCAAAGGAACAATGTTTGTCAACAAAGGCAACACCAGTTGAGTCAATTACGAGCCCATTCAATTACGAAATTGGGAAATGTGTAAACTTGAAAAACATTTATCTGCGCTATGATCAACAGTGTGGGCCTTTTTTCTGTGACAGCAGCAGAGATGTGCCAAATTATAAAAAAATTTAAGTGTTGTTTACACAGGGTATACCCCAAACAACGAAAACAGATTTGAGGAATATCGAAAAGAAAAAAGCAAGCTTTTTCTTTGAAATTGATAAAATACAAAGCTGTGAACGCTCTCTTTTCAAACGGCAGCGTTACAAGCAGGGATGTGCATAGACAATTTTGTTTGAGGGTGGGGGGGGGGGGCCTTCAGAAAAAGGTGACCAACTTTACTTTTTGACTGGTTACTTCTCCATAAAAAATTTATTAACAATGAAATAAATGATCATATACACACTTAATGATAACAAGTAAGAGCAAATGATGGCATGAAAGTATAAGGAAATTAAGTTCGCGGAAACTAATATTCCTGTATTTCGCGTTTTTGGGTGAATCCATGAGCATCTTTTTGCGAAAGCCAATTTTTGGATTATCTGCAAAAATGAACTGCAGCTTATTTTAAGCTCCTCATAACAATAATTTCAGCTTTCAACATTTTCTCTAGTCTATAGAATTTTATAAGAATTGAGGGGCAAATATGGCTGGAAGGCCGCCGAGAGGTTTCAGAGGCTCTGGGGTAAAATGGGAAGACGATGCCCTTGCGAGCGGAGCGAGCAGAAAAGTTTTTCGACCACACTCTTCAGATTAGCCTAAAATGCATCTCAGAAAACGTCTTGCGGCTCTTTCTTGCAGTCATTTCTTATAGTCATTAGCTTGTTCCTTAAAGAAAGTTCTTTGCAATACACTCTTTTTCTGTACTTTTGTGAATTCGAGTTTAACTTTTGACCAATTTTGAGGCTCGTGTTTTTATAAAAAAGAGTTTATTACCAAAAAGAAAGTTGACTATGGCCAACCATGACCAATAAAATAGAAATTACAGGTTGCAATTTGGTCAAACTTTCTAATTAATGCTAAGGTTCCCGCTGCATGACCAACTTTCTTGAAATTTACAGAATCGGCACATCCCTGGCTACAATGAGATACATTTGCCAGTGGATATGTTTACCGTTGAGGGGTGCATTTATTGGGAAGATACAATCACTATGGGGCACTTATTTCAGCACAATCTGTATTTTGTGGTATGATGCAATGATCTCGAAACTGCCACTACTAAACTAGCTTTAAGTCATGAGCTTCCCCTACTGGTAGCAAAGTTAAAAAAGGGGACGTTTTCTGGCAGTGCACAAATAGTTGAAAAAGCATAAGATTTCATGTTAAATTCTAACATTAAATGCTAAGATTTTTGAGTATCATATATACTAGTTAGAACAGTGAAAGAAATAAGCTACAGATAAAACAAAATCAGTCCAACAATGGCTTCATAACACACAAAACACAAAACTTTTCAAAGTTTTAAAAGTTCTTAAAGTCCTTTACTTATTTCATCTCAGTTAAACAAATTGACATGAACAAAAGGTTGACTGTAATTCAGAATGGATTTTTCTGTTTGGTGTATCTGTATACAAAAACTGCCAATGATGTGTGATGTCTTCTGAGCATTTTTTGAGCAACATTTATGGTTTGATTTCACTTGTAACTAGAGGTTTACAATCCTTTTCCCTTAGAGCTTGAATATGTCACTGTTTGAAAATAAAGGCATGAATGTTAATGTAACGTTATATAACAATGTTAACATAATCCATTTGTGCATCCCTAACAAAGAAAACAGTTCCATCAGAATGAAGATCCTATTTGAGGCGAAGGCTGCCCCTTGTATTGCTTCCCATTCAGTAAACTGTTATAAAGGAAATATACTACAGGATGAAAATTATTAGAGGGCTCCAGCCCCCAACCTCATTGCTTCAGCAACCTCCAACCCCAACAACATAATATTACCAAACGCCTATTTTTTGGAAAGGAAACAAAACATGCAAACAATCCTCCTGGATCTAGATTGACCTTGGTCTGATAAGAAAACTGCCTCTTTTTCAACTTTTAAAAGACTAGAGAAATGAAGCCAGCTAGAAAAGAATTTTTTGATAGTCCAGTGATCTAATTTCTATTAATTTACAAGTAACAAACTCAGAGGCAATTTAAAAAACTTCTCATACTGATGACAAGAGGGGAGGCAAATATAGCAACAGAAAAAATAGTCTAATGTAAGCCTTAAATAAATTTATAAGGCCGTGTATACTCTGAATAAAAATTTGTAATATTTTCCTAGTCAAATTAATTACTAACATAAACAAGGATCCAAGTATCCACACGAAGAAATTCAGTGTTAAAATGGACCAGATTCAAATTTGGTATGCCTAAGGTCCTGTGGTTTTGGTTGTATTTCTTGTGTGAAGAACCATGTAGGTGTTAAGGTTTTCTTTACAGCCATCCATAATGCTGTGCCTGTCTGGTCCTGTATCTGTTTATCTGTGACAATCTGCTTTGTGACATTCTTGCCAAGAGCAACAGCTTCATTTGTTACAGTCTCAGACTGAAGAACACTTTTGAAAAAGTCAGCAAGTATCTGCTTTGTTTGTCTGTCAGCAGCAAGATCATCAAGTAATTTTTTACATGACTCACGAGTATATGAATCGACAAGAATTCCACGAATGTAATCAAGAAGAATTTTGCGAGTGCTTACTTGCTCCAAAAGATTTTTCAATGAAGCCTCTGCTAACTTCTTTACAGTTTCCTGGGTTTCTTTGTCATTAATGACTGCCCTCACAAATACCACAGATTTGTCAACAAGCTCTTTGTTTTCAAGAAGCTTTGTCAGAAATCCAGATGCAAGCTCCAGAGTGGCCTGGTCATTGAGCACCTGGTTAACTATTGCCTTTGAAATCTCATTGGCACGAAGCACTACATTTTGGTCACCTAAAATGCAAAAAGAAATAAATTCTAAAAGATGATAATACAAAAAACACAAAATACACCTTCACTATGCTTTGAAACTTTTCTTAGTGATAATTTTCCAAGCTTTTTGAAAGACGAATACTTTTGCACAAGGTTGACAAACAAGTATTGTTCATTCTTGTAGGCATGCCTGACCCTTATTTTATAACGAAAAAAATAACATTTGCTTTTTAAGATTAAATCTGATATTATCAAAAAATATTCTGACCAATTTGAAGAAACACACAACAGGTGCAAATCATACATGTTTTCCAACCTGGATAGCATGCACCTGCACCTGAAACTTTTGGTTCACTGTGACCAAGATCTCATACCAAACTTTTATTCCATGTTTTATAGTCACATAAAATTTTGACCCAAATATGCATAGCTATTCAATCAGACTTCCTTTTAAGTAATATTTAGCTCACAGTTGCAACTTTTAAGCAAGAGTTGGTGATAATAAGCAGAGTCTGTTATTCCATCTTCCCTGCAACTCCTATTCAACATTTTTTAAGTGGTACACACTTCTTTTAAATAAGAACATTTGATTCTAGTTTCAGTCTGGTGTTTCTTATTTTTCACAAATCTCAGTCTCACATGTTTCTTACTTTTTTTAATTTTTTTAATAAAATTTCCTGTTCATAGTACCGTCCAGAAAAAACCTGTGCTTGATAAAGCAATAAATGTTATTATCCCTTTTGTCTTTCTGTTGCCAATCTGTCATTTTCAATTTTTGCTGGCATTTTATTATTTCTTGAGTAAATGTTTAATTTCAGCATGCCATGTTTCTTGTGTCGTTCTTTTGGGCAACTCTCAGCCTGGTGTCTTATAAGGGTTGTTCTTATAAATAAGCGTGTAATTCAGTTTAAATTCACAAAACAGTTAACTTATCACAATTCAAGTAATCAAACTATATTCCTACCTAGTGACCTTGTTGCAACATCAGCTACTTCATCTGATAAGTTTTCTTTTATAGGTTCTCTGAACATGTAAATTCCAAATCCCAAAACTGCCATAATTCCTATCCCCCATTTCATTGTCGAGTATCCTCTGACCCTCAAGTATTTTTCAAGATCCTTCACCTTCACAACAATCGAATTTTTTGACAAACCATTAGCAACGTCATGATGAGCAGCATTGGCTTTGGATCCAAAGCTAAGGCTATAAAATGGAGTAGAATGGATTTCCCTTCTTGAAATTAATATTGGTCGACGACCAGATATGTTCATAAGACACCTAACTGCGGCTTTCACATCACCTGAATATGCGGTCAGGCTCTTTTTACAAATTTGTCTTGGACGAGATGCAATCTCCAAGATGCCTAGGCCATAACGACCAACCTGCAATCCTGTGCACCTGCTAAGCATGGCTACTAAATTACATCAACATCGATCCATATCTTTGATGATAAGTATGCTTTAAAATCTTACAGAAAGTATCGTTTCTAGAGATTTCAAGCTTTCAACATCTTAAGTTGTCTGTTGAGATGCAGGAACTTTTCATGACGCTGCCCGAGATGCCAGAGTTCAAAGTTCGACCAGGTTCGACACAGAATTTCGTTTTCAAGCAACACGGATACAATGTATCGAATTTTTTCGAATCTCAACGAGCCTCAAAATTGGTCGAAATGAGCTTATGCTGAGCTACTGTAAAATTGCATCCTGACTGTAGAAGTAAAGCAACAACATGGTATTTTCAAAACAACGAAAAAATTGCACCAGTTATTTTTAATTGCTGTTCAACCCATTTGCAAAAAAATTGAATTTAAATAGGAAAAGGAGGATTGCTTTAGTAAAATTTGCTTAAAAAGAGTGCATTTTCCAGGGAACAGAAAGCATCAAAATTTGAAAATGTTCTCTTACTTCTGCGGCAACTATGGTGCTAGCCTGCGCCGCAGACCCAATCCTCCAAAGAGAATAGACCTATTCTAGAGAGAATAGACCAGAGAGAATAGACCTCCAAAGACCTATTCTCTCTTTGGAGGATTGGGTCTGCGGCGCAGGCTACTATGGTGCCGCCTCAGGTAGTAACTATGTCCTTTGCCCGTCCCGATATACAGATATGACAAGAGTCTTAGGAAAAGTAAGACCCTTATTATCATATAAATGGAAGTTTCGAATTTTATGCCACATATTCAGATTGAAAAATTGTATCGCAGAGGTTTGTGTCTGCAACTAAAGAATTTCAGGTAATCATTTTCTAACCAGGTAAATTCGTAGTCCACCCAAACAAGGCTTGCCTCGCAACGGCCCTCGCTATACCTATGCACCGCACCCAAGGATTCAACAGGGCATTTTCTGCCCCCTTCGCCCCCCTTGGTCTGCATTTCAGAACGTTACTTCTTCACTACATATTTTATGTTTAACACCTTTCTGTGAATGAGTTTGACACAAATGATTTAAATTTGTTTTGGCATCAATGAAAACATGGGACATCAAAATTATGAACCAGCTGGGCCTGGTACAAAGACAGAGGTCTCCGTGGTTGCTTTATATAGAGGTATGAAGGGGCTGTGAATCACTTGTAGCATGTTGGTAATATGTTGTTAATAGCAGCAACACTTGCTTACAGTCGCCTATTCTATATCTAACAATCTTGCAGTAATATCACAGTTCCATCATCTTTGCTTGCAGTTTGGTCCAGAAAGTTGCTGTAAATTGGGAGGGTAACTTTTCTCTTAAAATTTCCGGGAAAAGAAATAGCAGCATTCGAAATTCGCTGTCAGTTTCCCTTACAAAAAAAGACTATTCAAATTCCAAAATAAACACAGTAACAAAATGGCATGGTTACATTCTCTTTTTCGTTAGTTCTATACGCACATTCAACCTTAAATCAAAGCTACGGTGTTTTCGTTTTTCAGGTACAAAAGTTATAACAATAAGAAAAATACGGAATAACTAACAACGAAAGATGATTTCCAGTTGAAAAAAAGATTCCCTCCTCTCAACACGCAGACATGCCTTTCTTGAGATTTATGTTTACTGAAAAATAAAGGAACTGGCTAGCTAACCACCAAGCGAAAAATGTGAATAAAGTTTTCTCTATTTTCGCAATAAAAATGGCTCCTTTAGCGGTTACAAATATCTGGGATGTGAATATGAACTGCCGTTGACCGCTCTAGTATCTCCCTTTCCCTTAATTGCAGTTTGGTTATCTGGCAAGTAACAAGAGAGCTATGAGAAATTTTCAAACGTTTTTTTCTTTAAGAGACCTCTGTCTCCCTCCAAACAGCAATGGAGGGTTGGCTTTACTTTCCTCGCAAACTGTCACCGCCTTTGTAACAGCCATTTCACGGACTGTGGAAACTTAACTTTTTCTTTGAATAAGATAGGCAATTGAACAAAAATCGATAAGCTAAAACAAATACAACTTAAAGACATGGGACGGCTATGGGGTGCAAAAAACTGTCTGCTAGATGGTTCGTCCAAACCATTCATTCCAAGCCTCTATAGATCAACTGGAAGTCATGAGGAAAGCTATACCCTATTTAAAAATATCACCGACGAAAAAAACTTCACAAACCACCATCTAGATACTATATTATAGACGAAACAACAAAAACTACACAATCAACCCCTATTGCAGAGTCAAGAAAAGGAGATGGCAGCCAGTCTCAATAATGTAAAAAGGACTTAAAACGAAATTCAGTTACTGCATCACGACCGTAAGTTGTTTTTAAGGAAGGTTTTAAAGCTTTGGCTTTAGGAAGGATAAACACTTTTCTGGACTCTGTTCATTTTCCACAGTCTATAGTAGCCATCATTGTATGTTTACATTAAGCCAAATAAAAATGTTGTTACGCGAAGCATAGATGGCTACGTTAAATCTTAAACAAATTCGCTACATAAAGTAGTAATGTCTCCTTCATCTTCAGTTAACTTCTTTAGCTGCCTCTTTTATGTTGCAAGAATTCTAAGATGGAGACATCAAACCTCGTCATTGCCAGTTCAGCCTCAAAACGTTCAAGGATACATATTCCTTGGTTGTACAAGATTCGTTCCGGTACATGCAATCAGCGTCGCATTTTTTCTGACGAATATGTTGGTATCAGGTTGCGTATTTCATAAGACAGTCTATAAAACGAATATCGTTCATCTGGATTATACGCCCAGCAACCGAGAACAAGGTTCCATAGATCCCCTCTACATAACCGTGGCTTATTCAGTCTGCCACCCTTTTCCAGGAAATCTAAAATCTAAAAAATAAAAACAATAATAAAATAACCCAAGTTTTGACGACAAAATTTTCAAAGATTTTCATTTGGCATCCTCAGAAATTTAATTTACACAGCTAGAAATAATCAAAAATTTGATGCATTAATTATCTTTGCTTTTGAAAGTTTCAATTTAATTTAATTTAAATTTGAATTTCACACAGTTTCTGCTGCACAGTTAATTATCCTTCATTTGTTAATCCTTAAATCAAGTTCTTCTTTTATTTGTAAGATTCATTCAATATCAAAATAACGAAGAACGTTAGGCCTAGAAAAACCTTAAATATCTGTGCATTGAAAAAGAAGGAATAACAAAACAAACTAGCACATACTCATAGGTGTCTTCAAACATGCCCCTCCCTCCAGCTTGTCAATTTCTAGAGTTCCCCAAACACACCAAAGTCCCCAGCTCAACCCCTATTTGGTTATAGATTTTCAAGAAAATTAATCCCCTCCCCTCGCTTCTCCTTATATCAATTTGTCAGGAGTGTTAGAGTGACCCAAAGTTTTTTGCTCATAGTAAAGAGTTTTGTTCAGTATACAATTACTTTAAACGAATTATGCATTTAGATGGATGTGACGAGAGAAAATTTGCTTTCACTTATTTCATCATAAAAAAGAAATTGAAATGTCTGCATTATTCTGGATTGTAAGTTAGATGGCTAGCTCATTGAAGGCGAGTACGATTCACAAGAAAGACACCAACTTGTCGATGATCTATATGTGTATATGGTGCTGCATGTTTGCCATCAGAACCCAAAAGCTCAAACATCTCCCAAAGAGTGACGCCAAAACTCCAAACGTCACTTTCAGCGGTAAATTTCTGCTCTGAAATACTTTCTGGTGCATACCTGCCAACACAAAAGTAATCTAAATGCTTTGCTTATACGCAGTGGAAATAACAATTCTTTGCACATTGTTTAAACTAGTGAGACAAGGTTCAGTTTCAATATTTCGGTCAGAGAAGATATCTCGCTGGACAAAACAATTGTGGATAATTTATGGGGCTGTTTCAAAAAAACTTTTCTATTTGACTTATTAACATAAGCATATACTATTTAGATCTGTGTGTCTCTTCTCATGACGTCAAAACAAGCAATAGTAGAAATACTTTAGCACAGCACCTTATAAACTAAAAATTGCTTGCAGTGTTACCAACACATTTTCAGTGACAGTTAAAAATTAGCCCTTTTTATTGAAACATTCAGAAAAAATACCAACAAATAAAAGTATCCTTGAGCCTGAAAGTAAGAGAATTACAAGGAACCGTGCCGTGACAAAAGGTTTTATGGAAAACTTAAATTTTTAGCTTTCTGTAGGGAAGACAGAACTGGAAAGATCTGAAGCAGTAGTACCTACCATCTTATAGGAATAAGGCCACGGTGTTGGCTTGCTCGATAATAATCTTTTTCACCAAACATTCGACTCAGCCCAAAGTCGCATACTTTTACGCGATCCCTGCTTTCAACCAAAACGTTTCGTGTTGCCAAGTCTCGGTGTACAATACGACGTGATTGCTTAAATGGAGATAACTCAATTTTCAATCGCAAGTGAAAAATTAGCAACTGTTACACAAGAAGACAAAATGACACTCTTAACTGATCAATCACAAAGTGCAAAAAAATCAAACAATACGTGCAATTTTTTCATCTTTTAAAAAGTAGTCTCAATAAAATGTACAATGACCTAGAAAAGGCTCTATCTGGCTAGTTTTTAAAGCAGTCAATTTCGGGAGTATTTACATCCTTAACAACAGTCACTACATTCACTAAAGACAGAATGCAGAAACAGAATACTAACAAGAAACTCCATCCCTTCCGCTATTTGGACAGCAAAATTAAGCAGTATACTCTCCACCAGTGTTTGCTAAAAAATAAATAGCTTCCAATAAACAACCTGAGTCAAAACATCTGTTTATAGAATGAAGTATTCTGCATACGCATTATCTTTCGACAACTGGCTATCACCCATGTATATAAAGAAGGGTCCATGTCACAGATTGGTGTGTGAGAATGAATAAGGTGTCTTGGCCTTGCAAGGGAACTTTGATTATAACACTGTGTCTTCGTGGTAGATTGAGGCAAATGTGAATAACGAGCTTAACAATGCAAATAACAATCTACGAAGCAGAAGACACGTGTACTGGTCTGGGCCTCTAGAAAGATAGCAATTGACTGACAAGCATAAGAAGCAGCTTTACCTCATTTCTTTTACGGCAAATCAAATCAAACCTTTGGCAGCCAATTTGAAGACGGGCGTCTCAAGTTTAGTTATTGCACTCTGTCTGGCTATGTTTTATTCTAAAACAGTTCAGTAGGGTGGCCTCTTGATACATTTACGCCTTGTCAAAAGTAGGAAAGTGAGAATAAAAGACAACAAACAACCAAACAAACAAACAAACAAACAAACAAACAAACAAACAAACAAACAAACAAACAAACAAACAAACAAACAAACAAAGTAACAAACAAAACAGAAAAAATAAGTGAAGATAGCTTAAATGATAAAAAGAGTACTGCTCCATTCTTCTATTGAGGCAAATGAAACTCACGCGTTGAGTTACGATGAAATGCTCCAAGTTTCCTTGAGGCATCCACTCTGTGATAATCCATGGGTCATTGATTTCATCTGAAAAAACAACATTGACGATAAGTGTCCATTTAGGTCTGCATGGACCTCTTTACGTGTGAAAGAGTCCGTTTATAAATAAGGCATCGATGCTCCTGTATTCAGCAGAGTTGGTCATTTAGAACTGTCAAAGTTCTTAGTTCCCAAAAAACACATACCTTCCCCGTAGTTCAAATGAAAAATCAAGTTATTTCACTCAACCAGCTCAACTCTACCACTGGCATAGAAAATTTGGTGCCGAGCAATCTCGTTGAGGATGGACTGCAGTTCAAGCACATTATCACGCATACTGTGTCACTACCCTCACCTGTAGGATCTATTGAGACACCTATTAGCCTGACAATAAATTCATGTTCCAGGGATGCCATTTGCTTTACTTCATTCCTGAACTCTTCGATCACTTGCAAACGTCTGTCTTTATCCGTTTTCAATTTCTTGACAGCAACCGGGCCCTGAAGACAATTAATAGGTTTTGCTAGCTCTGCTTTTAAAACAAAAACAATTAAAATCTCCTATGAATACTTCTAACTCGACCAGATTTGGCACGATTGCAACATACCCACTATCACTGTCGAATTTATTCCTACCACTGGGGTACCACTCGTTGATTCATACTCTTTTTGATGTTTCCTCAAGTCTATTCAGTACATTTCAACATGTACCGTTTATGTTTTCAAACGTGTTAAAGCCACTTTGCTACGTCATTCAACTGTTCAGAGGTAACAATAGGCTTTGCAGCGTGTTTAAAATCGAGAAAACATTGAAAATTAGCCGATTGGCTCCGCAACAATAGGTCTATTGTATAGTCTAACCAATGAGAATTTAGATGGCCAGCGAAATGCGGCGAGACAACGTGCCTTTAACTTTCACTAAACATTTTTCGCTTTTCACTTGATTTCCTTCCAATTACACGATACACAGAATTGATATTTTATTTTACAATAGAGAACACAAATCTTGTGAAAATATATGCTAAGCCACATGATCACGAACATATGCTTAGCCACATGATCACGAACCAATCACGAGTTCACAAAATATAAACATTGAAACTCGATCCCGCTGCTTAGACAAATATCATTGCTACAGACAGATTTATAATGAACTTCGTACCTCTTTTACTTCTCCGCGATTTGTACTTTGATATCTTAGCATTGCTTGCCAAACTTCACCAAATTGTCCCTAAGTCCAAAAAAGGAGTCCATAATAAACTCTGTAAAATACGCGCTACATAAAGAAAATTGATAAACAATACATAAATCACAAAGCCTGTGAATAACATAAACTTTAATTGCATGCATGTATGTAAAGTTTACGACGTTTATTTAGACATTTTTGCAACGTAGTGAAAGGTTTTGTACTTAAAAATGTCAGGGCTATCCAGTCTAGAATCTGCTGATATTTCCATATATTGTATACTTAAAGTCTACTCCTACAAGATCAAACCAATTTCGCCCCTCATAGTGTTTGTTACACAGTCATTACGTCAGAATTACAACACCTCGTGTACATGGCAGGTTGCTCTACATTTCAATTTGTTATTGGACGCATCGAAAAGTTCAGCTGATAAAAGAAAAAAGGACTCAACTACACACCTCCCCTAACTTTCTTTGAAATGTCAGGTCCTCTTTCCGGAATACCTTTAAATCACCAAGCTGTGCTATCAACTTTCTTTGCTGCTCTTCACCATTGGCTTTGTCCACTGACTTCTTTCTATTTTGCACCAGGACCACTTTGTCTGACAAACTACGAACTATATCCATTGACAAAGGCCGTTGTTCAGTAGAAGCACTTCTGTTGCTTTGACTTGCTATCGTCCCCATTGTTTTATATCCTTGCATAAAAACAGGCTTTGGTCTTATTTCCTGGGGAGAAACAGGCTCAGCTTTAATAATTCTCGGTGCCAAAGTAACTGGTTTTGGGGCAAGCTTAACCTCTTTTGCTTGCTCAATCTTTCCTAATTTTTCTGGAAGGTTTTTCGGTAATATCAAGTGTTGCGTACGAACTGACTGGGCGCCAGCATTTGCTTTTACAAGCAGAGGCCTTGTCATTGGCAATTTGGCGTCCGTCAGAGTGGGCCGTGTATGTTGCATTGCTACAACTGACAAAGGTCTCTGGCTGACTGGCAGTGATCTGCTGTTATCAAACGGGTGCAGTATACCGATCGAGTTTGCAGTTGAGAGTTTATTGGTCTGGTCAACAGAACCTTTGACTGAAACCGGGACCATGATGACGTCAGAGTCACTTTTGACTGCATCAGATGATGTGGCTGCTGGCTTTGGCTTGATATCTATCACCTTTTTCATTTGATCTTGTCCTTTGACAGCAAGGGGATGGATGGCTGGAGACATCAGTTGGGCCGTAGTTGCAGCAATTATTCGAGTCGTCTGTTGGGGCTGCTGTATCATTGATGAAGTTGGGGCGATTTTCTGCTGCTGATGAGTAGCTGTTGCGGAGCTAATGATTCCTTTGGAAGCTACAATTGCTAACAGAGTTTGCAAGCAATTTGCAGTTGAAAAATGCACTGAAGGATCAATGGAAGTTTTATTTTGAATAAGCTCCTCTTGCGTACTTGTCTGATTAGTTTGTCCAGCTTTTTGTTGCGCCTGCAAAAGCTGGAGAATTTGGGCGGAATTAGCAGCCGATTGGCCTGTGGGCGTGTTTAGAGTGATCTGCGGCAGAAGAACCGAGTTTCCGGCAACGAGGGATTGGCCTAAATTTGCCAAATAGGCGTTGATGGTTGCCTGAATTGCCGATTGATCTGTAGTGGCTTGATTGATGAGGGGTTGGTTTGGAGAAACAACGTAAGCAAGAGATTGAGCAGGATGGAGCTTTGAATTAGAATCATCCATCAGAGAGCAGTTTGCAGACGCTGGGCTCGAGGCTTTCAAACCACCAAGTTTTTCTTCTAAATTTCTTATATCTGTATCCGTTTTGTAAAACGATTCTTCGAGCTGCTGTGGTTGCTGTACAGCATGGTTATCTTGCATAACTGTTGAGAACGTCTGAGGAATTTCATTAAAAAATTTTGACATTTCTCTAGGCTGCTGGGTTTGAGTGCGAACTTGAATAGGATCTTTAGAGGGCAATAAAAAGTTTTTGGGAATTGTTGCACCTAAATTGAAAGGATTTGGTCTGTCTAAAGCACGCCTTGCGGCTTTCTTTTGCATGTTAGTGATCTCTTGTGACAATGAATTAGATCTTTTCTTTCTTTCAGTAATATCTGGCTCTATTATAATCATTTGCGAGTCTTGAGAAAAGCCTTGGTTTGGAATACCATTTTTTTGCTGTCTTTTCGAAACACTTTTTGCACCATGAGTAATTTTGCCAATATTCGTGGCAGTATACGAGGAGCCACTATCATACCCAGATTCCAGTTGTTCTCGTTTAACAAAGTTCCCCCCTGGCTGCTCAACAGAAGAATCTTGCCAATTTTGAAAGAAATGAATACCTTGCTGTTTAGTGCTTGCGGGAAATATTGAATTTAACGGGCCCTGAGCATCCCGCATAGTAATGTAATCATCGGATGTCACCTTTTTTTTGTCAGCTTCACGGTTCTGGGCCATAGATGCTAGAACATTGGCGATTTCCAAAACAGTTTGATCCGCCTGGTCCGATTTCTTCACGGCTGGGGCAGATTCGATCATATCTGATTCATGGCTTGGTTTCATTGCTATACTGATTTCCCTTTCTTTTGAGCAAGTTTCTGATAATCCTGAATCGCATTCTTCATTGCTACCTGCCTTTTCATCCTTACCCGATGAACCAGAAGATAATCTTCGTGACTTGCTCTTGGACAATAGACTGGGCTCGTCCAAGTCATTAACTTCCATTTGCATTGTATCCTCGCCATCTTTTATGAGTCTTTTCTTGCTTCGGCGAAGGTTGCCTTGACGCAAACCATCATTGCCCGCCTCTATACTAGAAGACGAAGCAGGACTCTCTAAGTCTACATTTGAAAGGCTTTGCATCTCGACATCCTTCTCACCAGCAGTAGAGACAGAAACTTGGCTTTCGAGACTTTGCTGCCTTGTATTGAGTAGCCTGACAGCTTCCTCCGAGTCACGTGACGAAACTGATCCTACCTCGCAGCTACTGCCTCCTGAACGACTCAAAACAAAGCTACCGCTTCCAGAACTTGAGCTGCCAGTCTAAAGAAAAGGAGACCGTATTAACGAAAAAAACTCTCAGTCCTGAACTTAAGAAAAGATTAGCATTAATGTATATCACCAAACTTTGAGGCATAAATGTTTTGCATCCTAGATATGGCAAGCAAATTTGTTTCAGGTATACATGCTTTATGTTACATATGACCCCCATGTACCCGGCTTACACAGGACGACTTGCCAATATAATGTTTTGAAAGCAAATCATTTGGTAAAGAAATATATCATCAACTCTTAAATCAAAACATAAAACTCAACTGGTAAGTCATTTATTAAAAAACCAGGCAAACCAAAATAACAAAAACTTGTTTTCTTTTATTTTCATATCTTTCTCCTTCTAAATAGTTAGTGAAAAATAGCAAGATTTCACAAAGTTAAGTAAAACCTGGACTTGCTACAAGTCTCTCTCTTTAAAGAAAGGGAAAAAGGAAAAAAAGAAAGGGAAGGAGAGAGATTCATTCCCCCCAATTTTTTCTTTTTTCCCTTTCTTTAAAGAGAGAGACTTGTAGCAAGTCCAAGTAAAACCTGACTTGAAGTAATTTTATACTATGATTTTTTCAGTACAATACGTTTTTGATAGAGAACAATTAGGAAAACAAACAAAGTCTGGCTGCATTTGCACCTCTTTGATTGGAAAAAATTCTTCTTAATGAGGCCCATTTAACAAAAACTTTTGTTTGAATATTTCAGAAAATTTCAGATAATACGAAGATAACTAAAATTGGCAAAATAGACAATTTAAACCTTTATAAGTATTTCGACAATTGTATTTCACTTGAATTGATAAAGAAAGAGAAATATGCAATTCTAAACACGTGAATGCAAATCCAAAGCAAATCCAAAGCAAATCTAAAGCAAATCTAAAGCAAATCCAAAGCAAATCCAAAGCAAATCCAAAGCAAATCCAAAGCAAATCCAAAGCAAATCCAAAGCAAATCCAAAGCAAATCCAAAGCAAACCCAGTTACTCAAAAATGGTAACACGTTACTTACATTAACAGATTCAGAAGATCCCGAGCTAAAAGCAAAGGCATTTTTAATTTGCCTATTCACATGCTCTCTCCTTTGTTCCTCCATTTTCTTTTCCGCTGCCTCCTCCTGTCGCCAGTTATAGTAGTGACGATTCATCAAGAAGGTTGGAACTGCAAAAATTTAAAGGGATAGTTTACGAGAAGGAAGGCTCACAAATATTTTTGGGTGTTATAGCAACATACGAGGAAAAACAAATTAGCAAGAATGCATGTGTTTGACCAACAAACTTCTCCTGCCTATAAAACACAGGTTTCCGTGCAGACAGATATTTTTACATAGGCCTATAGGTGAGGACGATCATACTTCACTCGTTGCCCTTTTCATAGCTCAAAAAATCCTAATTAATTGACAGCATTGAACAATAGCCATTTTTATTTTTGCTCTAAACAAACCCGTGTTTGGATTAAGGGACTTCACTACCAGCCACCTTTCACATTTAAAGGAGTTTAAGGTGAAAACGTTTTTTTAGCAGAAGGATAACGCTTTTACGTATAAGCCGATTAAGTTTGGGAATACCTAATTCAACCCTTACAAAATTTTAAAAAGTTTGGGTCCCAAAGAATACGCAACATTGTTTATAGTTTGTGATAACGCCTAACAGTATTTAACGATGTAACTTTATCCATCATACCTGGTGAATCCTTATCGGCTGAAAGGGCTCCCCCGCCTCTTCTGTACCGCTCAAGACGATCGCAAATACGTTTGAAATTATTGCGCTCCTAAGATAAATAAACAAAATAACAGCCAGCAAAACCTCTGCAAAACAAATTCAAAATCGAATCATAAGACAAAAAGTTGCTAGTATCATTAAGAAGACACTAGAAAATATTTAATAGCGTTTCCTTATTGGCTTGCAAAGCTCAGAATATAAAGTTACTTGTACGGCTTTTGATTGGCAAAATGCGTCTATAGACGTCAAATTTTACACGGCACTAGTTGCCCAACGAAAATAGATCAGATACGGTGGGGGTACACCCTTTTGTTTAAACTGCAATCAGACATCTCATCAAAACGATGTCAAAATATTATGGATCTGTTTACCCCTGCAACTAAAATTCTTTGAGTTTTGGAAAAATCTCGAGGGCCATGTTTCTGAAGATTAGGGAGTCTGAATCCCTACCCCCTTCCCCCCGCATATACCACGTGGATGAAGACTTCCTATAAGAGCAATTTGTAGAAAAGTTTTACAGTATCTACAGGAATTCCCTTAGATATTTCCGAAAAAGGGACCAGGAATTGACAACTTCTAAATTACATAGATCAATGTGTGGTATTAGACATTTCTGAAAACAATAGATGGCAAAAAACATCTAGATACATGAATTATCTTATTCAAAGTTTCTTTTCCGGCACAACCACGTTAAAAACCGTCCTGTAAACATTCAAAAACTGCAGTTTCGGAACTTAAAACAGCTGTAAAGATTTGCAATGGACTCTAACTTAAAATCATTTGTTTGAAATTCAGTTTCTTTGCTGAAGGCTACCCTCCCTAAAGAATTTGAAAATTGAAAATGAAATAAAAATGAATATCATGAAAAAAGGCACATAAATAATCACGTTTGAACCATTTTAATGAATGCGCGAACAACGTAAGCAAGCAATTAATCTTATTGAAAGGAGCTTGGTCATCGTTATGAAGACAGAATACTGATAAGAGTTTAGTCTTTCCAAGTGATGTCTTGAGTATGGATGAGTCAATGTTTCTTAGAAACAGAGCCTATAGTGTATCTTACCGCAGGGTTGAGACTCCAGGAAGACATCAAAATTTCTTTTATTTCCGCATGGCAATATGGCCTGAAAACGAATTAAAAAATCTTGATCAGTAATTACTTGTTTTGGCAACAGAGCAGCAATACCTAATATATATCAAGAGTAAATTGAGATTCTGAACCAATATCTATTTATTATCGACAGTAAAGTTTTTGGGTTATATGCTTGACAAGTTAGGTGAAGCCTCTTTGAAACCAAATACATGGTTTGCTACGAATAAAACTACGAATAAAAAATCATTTGATAAGCTTCCCAAAGAAAAAAGTTCAATTAGAAAAGTTCAGACGGAGGAAGTCAGTTAATAAATTATTTCAAGCATAGAAACCAGCATTGGGCTGAAAGCATCTAGAAAGAGCTGGATTAAAAAGGGCCAAAGAAAAGTCGACCTGGGAGCTAAATATCAAGGAGGCTCCTTTTAATCTGATGGAAGGAATATTGACTTCTATCCGAGATCAAATGCGCAGAAATATAGAAGGAAGTGTCAAGTTCTTGGAACCATCATAAGAAACCCGTCACAAACAAGCAGTCTGGATGAAGGATGAGCTGATCTTGCCCTGAGATGGTTTCATAGGGGTACTGACTTTCAAGACTAATAAACAAAAACATGCATAAGGATGATACATCTCCTTTAAAGCATCAGAACCTCAACAACTGACATAACGAAGTAAAAAGGGGACTCACAAACTTTCAAGCGGCGGACGAATACCTTTATTCAAAATTTCCAAAAGCTAAAAAACAAGGATAGAATTAAACATCATTTCTCTAATACGTCATTATATATATATCCATTTTCACAATATATTCATATTTGTTATCATCTATACATCTATATTCATAATATGTTTACATTTGTAGCTACTTTGTAGCTTCTTGTTTATCGAACAATATCCATGCCCTTTATATCGATGTGACCACACATCGTGATTCGATGTGACCACACATCGTGATTAACAGCAAAATATAAGAAATTGCACTGATGTGGTCACGAGAGACGCAAACATCGGTATTCCTATCCATTTTACAATAGCAGTTTGATAAGGAGAGGCTACATGGTTAAAAATAAAAAGTGTAGATATCTGTATTGTATTGCAACTTCTTTACGATTGTGCTGATAGGACCTGATATCTTAATGGGAATGCCTGGAATTAAAGAAAGCTGGCGACTCTTCTCACTTTAAGGGAAAGTTGGTCATGTTAGAAATTTGAATCCAAGGCTCTTGGACCAGTGTCTGCACTCCCAACCACCGGGTCATCCTCACACATGGATATTTCAGTTAATAATGCAACTCTCAAATCCTTTTGAATTTCATTTGGTTTTGTATTTGTATTTATATTGTTTACTTTCGGTTAGTTGAATGACGCCTTGGTGATAACAGTTATCAGTTGATTTGAAAATTTAATTGACTTGACTTGACAAAAAAAACCAATCAAACTTCATACCGACGGTAAAACACAGTCACTGCATGATCAAAGCTTTGGTTAATGATAATAATAAGTTCGAAAACGTTTGTAAACTACATTCTGACACAATTAACGTTTCTCTAACAAAATATGGCAGTGAAATCGTTGCCTTTACAGCTTCTTACATTATTGAAGAATTAATTAATACCTCGTTTTTGGTATAAGGTCCAAAGGGAATAGATAATGCCATCATTTGCCACAAAGTCATACCAAAAGACCAAGCATCGGAGTGGTGCGTTATTGGTTCACCATTAAGTACCTCGGGTGCTCTCCAGTTACAACTAGTGGTAAAAAAATTAAGGCTTTTCTCAAATCAACCAAGTACAAGAAACAATTTCATAATAAAGTAATAAAAAACGTATTCAAATTAACAGGAGAAAATAAAATGTCAGATACTCAGATTTTAAAGAAAAACCTTTTCTAGGTAGGCCTGAAATTCCACCATTGGTGAATAATGTACAATTTTCGTGCAATAAAGATATTCTGATAAAAAGTGTAACTTTATCGAAATGGTCCTAAAATGAATTAAGTTGCAGTCAGATATCATTGAAAAACACGTGAAATCTCTTTAGGCACATTTGATAGCCACAATTAGGCAACGTTAAAACTTGCATATGATCGACAAAGTTACCTTGAATCAATGTTATCTAAATTTAAAGCGCCTTCCTGTTGCAATATCACATCAAAGCAACAATCCGATATTTTGACATCACCATTTTCAAGCATGAGAACGTTGTGACAGCTTAAGTTTCCATGCATGAGGTTCTATGGAGAAAATGTATGCAGTTATCACATGATGTAAACAATGTCTGATGCAGCTTGTCTCGATCATCGAATATTTGGATTCATCTGAACTACCAGATTGGGGACTTAAGCACTGATAACTTTACGCGTGATCACGAAAAAAAGAGATGGAAAATAATATCATTCCTAGCAGAGTACTGAGACTCATCATAATATAAGAAAAGTATAATTTCTTTTGATTTTCCGCCATTCCTGGCCATACTCGAGAGCAATAGGTCCAGCCCGAAAACTTCTATTGTCATATTTTTACTCTGAGCCTGTAATTTCGTATTTTCGAAAAATCCACTCTGGTGGGAGGCCATTTACGGATTGGTGAGTGCAAAAAGAAAGAGAAAAATCAGCCAGATGAAAATTAGCATTTACGCACAAAGGGGTCAAAGAATGCAGAGATGCAATGTGATTGACCCTGTTCACATTTGAAGATTTTGTAGTCTTGTTCGCAACCAGTCTGGGTAGAGGTCATAAAAATGCCGGATATACGTAGACCAATTCCATAGTATCTGGGTAATTATTGCTCACATATGTACAGCCAAAACTTTAACCCCATTTTATTAGCTAATCTAATTGAATTTGACCTGCTGATCATGAATTTGCTTTTTTGTTACAAGCCCTATTCATTACAAGATAGTTTCTAGACGTCATAACGAATTTCGTATGGCCCATCCTTTTTATGCAATGTCATGAATTCGTACGTCGGCGATTCGCAAGATGAATTGACGGCAATAGCTTTGCAATTCAGTTTCAACATTTTCAGAGTTTAAATATGAAGCCTTCAGTTGATTTCAAAACCGGATATGGCCAACAGAAAGTTCCTATCAGTTCAAGATAAAATACTTGACGAAAAAGCCGCAAAACCAAGGCCACAGCAATTCATAACCTGGCTGAACATTGTGATGTCACAATGTTATAAAATCGTTTCATAATTTCAACTTAGTAAGGCTTTTCTTGGAAACGGGTAATTTTCATGCCTTATTGAATGACTGATAACTTGAATTTTGCAATGAAAACAGTTTTGTCATACAGCACGCAGTAAAAACAATCTTTCAAGTCACTACAAATGAATATACTTTTTGGCTTGAATGACCCTTTAGGGAACCCATTAGAAAAACGTCGATAAAAATGATTGGCTTAGAGATTAGAAGTCCCTCAATGAAAATATTCTGCTGAATTCTACGAACCAGGTCCACTTCAAGATACATCATTCCCTCTGCAATGTCACTAAAGTATTTCAATAGGTTCCTGTAGCGAATGGTGTTCCTGAAAGATAAGTTGTATACTAATGTCAATCAAAAATATGCTATAACATCTGTTTATTCACATCTGAACAACATTTGTCAATTGCAGGAACCATGTTTTATCAAGGCTCACCTATCATGGCATTATTACAAGAAAACTGAAAATTACTTTTCAAATATTCATTAAGAATGGATACCTTTCACTTGCACTTTCCGACTAAAATCATTGATAATTTTTCCAGATAATTTTCCATTAGGCATCTTTGAAAGTATTGCATAAATTAGCATTAATCTACAAAGAAGGATATTTCCGGACCTACCTGTTTTCTGCAAGGTACTTGCTTAACGGTCCCCCATTCATGTACTCAAAGGCCAGAAATCTTGGGTTGTCAGTAAGCTCGGAGCGTCCTGTAATTCTCACAATAACCCGACTTGAAATTTGCATGTATAATCTGCAGATTTTTTCGAAAGTCTAAAGGAGCAAAAATCGAATTCAAGAACAGTTTGTGCAACATTATTAATCGTGTAAATATTGGTAAAATAGTGCTGCTATAGGCGAAACTGTATATCTACGTGTTACAATCAAGTATGGCTATATTTTTTTAATCAAGCGTCAATTTAGCAATCTTGACAATAAACGGCCGTATGATTACACTGTAACTATTTTCTAGGAAGTGACCGTTGTCATACACGTGAAAATAACTTGTTTATCGCTTCTTAAAAAAAAGGATTATTCAATGAACTAGCATGTATAGAAAAAAGTTTTGAGAGAATTGGAAAGAACATGATCATTTCCATAAGAGCTACTAATGAATTCTGAAACAAATAATAAAATCATAATAATTTACAAAAACTACTCTAAGAAAAAAGTGCTACTCGAAAACGACAAAATTCAGGGAAAATCAAAAGGCAAGAAACTCGTTGTTTACTTTTCAAAACAAAAATTCAAAGCCTGGAAGCTATGTCACTGAAGAGTTAATGAGTAATTCTTCGTTGATGCAAGAGTTACAGTTTCCTACCTGTTGCGTTATTTCATCGTCTTGAAAAAACCGAATTGCTGCCAACGTCAAGCCTGCATCTTTGCGTTGCTTACAATGCCAGACTGTCCCAAAACGTCCCTTGACGAAGAAGAACAATAGAAATAAAACAAACTGAATGCTAAACTATATTGTTTTTCCTATCAAGATATCAGGTCCTATCAGCACAGTCGTAAAGAAGTTTCAATACAATACAGATATCTACACTTTTGATTTTTAACCATGTAGCCTCTCCTTATCAAACTGCCATTGTAAAATGGATAGGAATACCGATTTTTGCGTCTCGCGTGACCATATCAGTACAATTTCTAATATTTTGCTTTTAATCAATTGCCATCACAATGTTTGATATTTATAAAGCAATGAAGATATGGCTTGTTAAACAAGACAGTTCTACACTGTAGACCTTGGTCACTCTTAGAACTTAGACCAAAGACAGTTAAGTGAACTTCCATATAATTGGAGGCAAACATATATGGAAAAATTAATTTTACAATGAGAATGAAGCGTTGCTAGATATCTTTGCGGGCATATGACTATCAACAAACAACTGCATGTACGTAACTTGCTAAGGACAGGATACTGAGATTTTAAGCGATTAATCGTAATGATGCAACATAAAGCAATTAAGAATGGTTTTTTCTTGAGCTGTCTCTAAGATCTCTCCGATTCTAATACAAAAAAATATGAAAATAGGCATAGAAAAAACTAAAATCTTCACGCAGAACGAAGTTAAAGACTGATTTCATGAATCAATCTATTCTAGAACAAAGAATATTTCATAGCAATTATATCATAGAAGCAAGCTACGATTCGAGACCTCAGCATGAATATATACCGGCATATGCAATCATTAAGATTCAAAATTGAAAAGAAATGGAAATATACGATTACAAGCATCAATATGAACAGAGTATAATATCAATGTTTACCTTGGGTAATTCATTTTGCTTGATAACTGACTTTAAGTGTAGCATTTGGACTTCTACTTTTTGAGCAGAAACAGCTTTTTTCAAGGTAGGCATTGTCTTCAAAAGTTCGCTCATAAAAGGGACAGGGCCTAGAAAACATTTTTGATTGTGTTAGTTGCATGTTATTGAAATAAATAGTTACATACACAATTTAAATAAATTTGTATGTTTAAAATTGTACTGTTTTACATTGTATAAGAAGATTTGAAAAAAGAGGACAGCATTGTCGATGGGCAATTTCACACCATCAAGGTGGGTTTTATGCAGGGGTGTAGCGCTAGGAGGGCTAAGGGGGTCTCAGCCCCCCTCGTTGATGCCGAATATTAGCAAATTTCTACTTAGCTATTGTTTTTCGCAAAACTTTGTGCAAGAGGCCCTCTTGCCATTTTTAATAGCATTACATAACTGGTTTTATGTCTTGATTAGTCAAAACCTGACAATAACTTAAGCGCAAAATATTCGACAAAATTTCTTACAAAACAGAAGTTGCTGTCTTTTCTCTAAAAATAAAATTTAAAGTAGTGCTTCACCTTCAAAGCTCTTATCCACGTGTTCCCCATATGGATAACAGATTATCTTTTCAGAGTTAAAAGTGTGGCCTTAGCTCTTCAATAAGCTCATCAAACTGCCTCAAAACACGAATTTCAATTTGATAACTTCTAAAATACATTTTTCATTAGGAATTTGTTACCTGTCATAGACGGCTTGATCAGCCTTTTAAGATAGCCAGGTTGCAGGCGCTACAAGACAAAAACATTTTTTAGAAAAAGATACATCGTTTGTTCTGTTATGTTTAAGCTCATCCTCTGCATATTCCTACGTCACAAACCTAAGGATAAATATATCAAGGCACTGAAGTAATTTCATAGGGCAGTTAGTCAAAAGGCCTGTTTCAATCTCTAAGCATTTTTCAATCTCAACCATATAGAAAGAATCGTCCAGAGACCAACTGACACTTCATATCGATAACATCGCATTGCACCAATAAGTACGATAGAGAATTAAGTAAAGTGCTTTTAAATATGACAAATAGTTATTTCAAAAAAAGAGATTCGAACATACCAGTGTTTTTAAAAATTCCTCAATTGGCATGTCGTTATTCTTGGAAAATTCATTATGCTCGAATGTGTCTTGCCTGCGCACCGTTATAACAAAGGACTTAGACTGATTACGATGTTGGCGAACTATGTAATCTCCTTCGTTGCATTTTATAGATTCCAGTAGCTGGACAGCAGAATTTCGGCTATATATCAAGGAAAAATTAGCTTAATATATGAAAATATACAAATATGTTATGTCATACAAATCGAAATATCTTCTAAGAAAAATATTTAAGAATACGGTATCAAAAAACAGGAAACAAGAAACGATTAAAAAAATAGATCATTACTTGACGTTGTATCCAAAAATATTTACTGCCTGATTATCACAATACATAACGTAAACATTGTCGCCATCTCTGAGGAAAACGTGAAACTGAAAGGGTTTTTTGCAAAGTCAAGAAGCTGTGAGAGCAAAGATCGCTTAACGTGATTTTTGGTCTGAAATACAGGCTACCAAACTGATATATAGATATGTTCCATAGCATTGCGTCGTCATGGTATTAGGCATCGTCTGAGGACAGTCATTTGCTTAGGCTTGATCACTTTATAGTGAAACTATATAGTTTTATGCGTCTGTTTTCAACCATCAACCATCACTCGAAATCAGTATGAGGTAGCTTCAAGAGATCGGCCTCAGATCCACAAAATACTGCAACACAAAAGGCGTGACCCTGCTGGACAACATATTTAGGTAGACTCTTTCCTTTTATCATGCCTCAGCGTCTTTAAAGTGAATGAGCGTGGAGATCTCCAAGTGTTTCATGTTGTGAGTGAGCTGAGTCTCGAGTGAGCTGTCAATTATTTTAAGAGTCTGCATTTTAACTAAGGCTATTCACTTTACTAGATACTCGATTAAGCGAGAAATATAAAACACTTACTCTATCGGTCCATGCACTTTGGTGGATATTTCCCGATCCTCTGCAAGAAAAGATATTTTATTGCGACATCTAAAGGGACCTTTCAGTAAATTATTTATGCTTTACCTTCATGCAAATCTCACAAAGTATGTTTAAATTTTTTGGCCGCACATGACTAAACTAAAAAATACGACAACTGGGTTACATAAAAAGCGGAAACATTTCGGTTCCACAGGAGGGGGCTATGCTCAGTAATACATGCAATACAATTCAATCAATTTTTTTATTCACTATAAATTGATTATATGAAGATTTTATCCCTCTGATGATAACACAATTTATCTGTTTTATGATGTCTTATAGTCCCTAGAACATTGTGTTAATTTGCCCCGTGAGCATAATATCCTTGGGTGCAAAACGCTTAAGCTAAATTAACCCCTCCCCTCCCCCAAAAACCACTACTTTTCCGCATCTTCAAGAGCATTGCTTCAGCTTGAAAACTACTCTGGGTGAGACATCCAGAACCGCAGGAATTAAACTTTGTCTATACTGACCAATAGGTTCGCTTTCTGGAATTTGCCTTACAATTAGCAACTGAGGACAAAATTAGGTCAAAAACAAACATTCGAGCCATGCCCTTTTCTATACTGGCTGACTTAAATAAAATCCACTTATAAAGTTAGGCAGATAATGGTTGTACATTGGACTCTTTCATATTCAAAATAGTCTAATACGTGCAAGGAACTGCACTAAAATAAGTTCCTATTTAACACAAATCAATTTGAAGCGTGAAATTACCTAAGAGGCAGGTATACTGGTCGACTAGCAGTCTATAGTATCCATCGACCCAGGAACATATGCACTGGAGATCCTCCAAGGAATCGGTTGAAAAAACCTACAGAAGATTATCAATGATAACAGTAACATTTTCAGCCAATGAATAATAGCTGTAGGGTAAATGGCAACGAATCAATACAAAATAAATAAATTTTATGTGTGATCAACGGAAGTTGCTTGCCATACGCAAGCAAACATTTTCAGGACACGCATTAATAACAGCAGTTTTAACTCGTTGAAGTGTATATTCTGTATAAATATTCGTCTTATTATTCTATGATTTATATTTATTTCTTTCCAGCTCATTTTTTGTTATAATACTTTTCAAACAACTATCAACGTTCAATTAGATTCAACTTAGACTTTAGATTGTTTGAAAAGAATAAAATATACAATTAGACACATATGAATAAACAAAATGACAGAACCCTCTTTATCACCAGTCAAATCATCCCTCCCCAAAGGCTTACATCAGAACATTAAGATAACGAAATTACCTCTGGTTGCTGATTCTCCTTTTTACCCACAAAAAGCTGATACTTTGGAGCATGGGGGTTCGTGGTGTTTTCCTTAATCACTAAATGTGAGATTTTGCTAAAGGGGGTCTTTTCCTCAACCCTCTGAAAACAACAAATATATTGATTATTTTGATATCAGCAATTTTTTCATTATTAGCCAAGTTAAAAGGAAGAATCCAGAGATAGCTGAACAACGGCCTTTGCTAAGGTGGAATAAAAACTTTTCAAGGGTTCTGACACACTTCAAAAAGAAATCATAACATCTGAACAATGAAAAGGAGAATAAATAACAACAGCTTAATATGGCTGCTGACGACTAGTTAGGAGTTACCCTTGCATCAAATTTTCTATGACACCAACTGATGTATGGTTTTGCAATCCAGTGTTGGTTGATTCAAAGGCTTATAAACTTTTAAAGGAATAGCTTGTGGCTGTTTTTATATCATGTAAGTAAACTGCATTTCAGGTGGTCTTTTATTTGCTCATGCAAATTTAAAAACTGAGTGCATGCTACAAAGTAAATTTTATCCCTCTTTTTAGCAACATTATTTCAAAATTTTACTCAAAAATTATAGCTCTTAGCTAAGATTCGCTAAAACCATCCCCAAAGCCATCCAAAAAAGTATAAGTACACAAATTCATATTACAAGTTGAACAGTTTAGAAGAAAAAGAGCCAATAAACCACTCCAACCAGATCAAAGCCATATCAGGTATCAAATTAAAAAAGCATACCTGAAATCGACCATCCATTGATCTTATTCTGGAAATGCCTTCAGCAGGATGGACTGATATCCAAACGTTATCAAGAACTGTAGCTTCTTTAACGCCATATACCTTCAAAGCAAAAAAAATCAAACAATGAGTGTAAAGAAAGAAACAGAGGATGAATGTTACTCTTACTTCCATTCAATCACCTCCCAAATGCCTTTACCATGAGTTAAATTCTTAAGAAATCTGATAAGAAATTTTCATCTCGTAGCAGGTGCATGCGAGCACTATAAACATTTATTATGTCTGATAAATGAATGGAAGTGATTGAAAGAAGAATTGAAAAAGCTTTAGGTGTTGATTATATAGGCCGTCATTTTTGCTTCTTTGTTTGATTTTGAAATCATAATTAAATTTGTTCTAACCATAGCCTGTATGCAGACTTTACAAATAGAAACAGGCTACTTTAACCTTAGCCATTGAAGTGTTCTACCTAAGTGGTGTTCAAAGACCTTCAGAAAATGAAACCTACTAATCTACTACTTTTTGAAGGAAATAAAAACGTAAAGGTTGGCCTCCTACTATCATTATGACCCCCAGCTCTTGCTGATGCATCTGCATGCTTTAAATTGAGAGAACTTACATCTGAGACAATATTAGAAAGCTGTGTTGCTTTTGTATTATCTTAAACAAATATTAAAAGCTTTGACACATATATATTAAAAATATTAAAGAAAATTCTAATTTCTCTTAGTTGTTATTAAAAAAACAAAAGCCCAAAAAATAATGAAATAAGCAAAGCTCGCATAAGATTGAAAACATTTTGCAAAAAGCTTTTTAGAGAGAACATTACCTTGACAAGATTTTCAAAGACCTCTCGAGAATATTCAGGAAGAAAACTAACTTCCCGAACAAAATCCATTTCAGGCTTTTCAACACTATTGAACATCTGCAAGCTTTTTTCAATAATCTTTTTACACTTTTTTACTTCCTCGCTCCTGTTTTTACTTCTGTCATCAATATATTTTGTAAGTACATCTTCAATGCTGAAAGGGTGTCTAAAAGTGAAAATATTAACAAAATGTTATTATCAATTCATAAAATGAAATGGTACAGCAGAAATGTAGCTTGAGAAAAAGGGAAAATCTTGAGGAATAAAAAATATGAGGGTTTTTATATGTAGAAAAGTGGAGCCAGTGGGAGATATACATAAAATATGACTTACAAGGATTACCAAGAATTCCCCTTGACAAACAAATAGTAACTAATTAGGGCTGAAAGTGGTGTCTTTAAAAAGCAGTGGCCATACTATCTGATTGCTAATTGCATCAGCTCCAGATTTATAGAAAAGATCACCCAAAAATAGATCTGATTTGCTACTTTATCTCAACAAAATTTAAGAACATTAATATGTTACATTGAAAATATATTGTTGCTAAATTTGATAGGTAATCAAATTGATAGGTAAATCCCTACGATTCACTAATCTATTCAATCAATGGGTGAAGTTTTTGGCTAAATTTTCCAAACTTTTAAACATATAGGTTAGGTGAGACTGTTAGGACACCAAAAAACCATGCTTTATATGTTTTTTGGTCCTTCCTCTCAATGTACCCACCCCCATGTGATTCCTACAACTTATAAGTGAAAGTTTCATTCACTTAACTTCTTTAATAAAGATTTAAAATTAAGACTTTTTTGAGCCATATCTTGATCTTCTGTCAGATTATTTGCTAAACTGTGTCTTAGTGTGCATAATTTGCACATTGAAACTGGCAGATATACAGGGCCTCAAGATCTGAGAGGTATTGTGTTTTCTGTCAGTCTAGTCAGCCATTTGTTTTTTAAAATGAAGTGCATTTTCTCTTGATATGTCAATGGGAACAAATTAGGAAGGACATGTTCAACTTTTTTGCAATTTCCATCAACAAGTTGATTAGATACATGGAGCCTTTTCGTCAGGTTGATGAGTCAAAAGAATAATGTTTGTCTGGATAAAATTGCAAAATACTGCTATAGAGAATTCTAAGAAAGAACTAAACACTTTAATTAGTATTGGGATTACTATGCATCAACGAAAACATTTCTACCTCTGAATCTTCAGTAACTCTTTACCATCTCTTTCAAAATGGTAAAAGTAATGGTGTTGAAAATTGTGAAAGTAATAACATCTAATTGTTATTGTATATTGTTTATATACTTTAGATACATAGTCTTACACTGTAAAATCTGTACTTTTAATATGCATTTAATTATGTACTTGTTGTATTGTAATTAGGTAATGGCCCATCTCTGCTCTGTTACCATTTGCAAAAAAATTCTTGAACGCTAAGCCATCTTCACTGGTTACAAGAAAAAGGCACAGCTTTTCACATTTATGTGACCTCAGGTAATTTTTTTTGGAATAAGTCAAACTGCTAAGTAAAAGTTGTTTCAAAGGTTTATGCAATATGAAGTCATAGTACCGTCGTTTAAATATTTGATGTAAATGACTTGTGCTATCCTTCCTTGCCATGTTTTCATCTTTTGACACAAGAAGCATTTCAAGAATCAGCATTCTCAACAACATTTCCTGTTTCCTTGGTTCACTTGGCATCTGAAAAAGGTTCTCCTTGAACTGACCATGAACAAAATCATGCCGACACTAGAAAAAAAGGGGAGCACATGTGATTTAAAAAAAATAGAAAGACTCCATAGATGATGTATCTTTGCCTTTTCTACTTCCATTGTTATCAGGGCCGACGCCACCTGGGGGCTGGGGTGGCCATGCCTCCTACTTTTTTGCAAAGCAAGTATTTTTAATGCTGCAGTAAAAGGGGAAAGAGGCCTTGCCCCCCCCCCCTTCACTTTCTAATTTGTGGCGTGGGCCCTGGTTATAATACCTTTGTTGTATGAAGTAATGTTCAAGTAGCTTGCATCATCAAGTTCTCTTTCTTAGCTTCCAAATCAGGACTTAGTTTTCATGTGTTGATGATCTTGATCATCAAATTTTCAAAATTACCAATATATATATACATAAATGATGAACAGCATAGCTACCACTTTAACCATCAAGCTAATTAGCTTTGATGCTACAAATTTAAAAATGGTAAAAATAAAATTTATAATCAAATAAATCTATAATAAGTTTGACAAACCTGTAAAATGTAATAATTGAACGCATTAGGGTCATTTTTAAATGTTCCACAATCCACAATTTTGAACTGCAGTCTGAAATACACAGGCTTCTTCTTTGAAAAAAAATCTTTGTCAACTTTTGTAGAATAGGGCAAATAGTGTTTGCCACCAAATTGATCATAGGATATTCCAAACAATGCACTATGAACAGGCAATATTTTAAGTTTTTCACAGATCATCTCCACAACATCCTGAAAGAACAAACAAGACTTTTATTTATTAACAAACAAAATATATAAATATCTATATACAAACTTATATCTACAAAGCCATTTAAAAATATCAACAAACTGTTAACTGTAGCAAGGGAAAGGAACAGAACTACTTCTGATTTAGATCTGTTTTGAGAAATTTGGCAAACTGTATAAAACAATTTTGAAAATAGAAAGAATGAAGATAAAAACACACTAATGATACTAAGTTTCCTGGTTCCTGCTGCTACTCTAAATGAATAAAAATTGCTGTATTATATTACGTGATGACGATTACTACTTCTGATCATATAGGTAGTGCATATATGTCTGATTATCACATTGAGTGTGATGCCTGATGATTGCATTATGCAGACAATATGTAGTCATAGCTTAGGACCCTCCTGTTCTACACACTAAACTGATATTCTCAAATTTGAAATCACCATATTAAAATTGGTCTAATCTGAAAACCTCATGTTGTTTAGACAGCTCAGTCATTAGTTACTATGTTTTGAATATTTAGATATTTCTTAAGACTTGGCAGAATCTTGCTGCTACTGCTGGTTTCACTGCAGCAGCAAATTTCAGTGAAATGTACAGGAGAACGAAATTTTGAAAACAGCATAGATAGCAGCCTGAATGACCTGAAACTTTTTTTTGGCACAAACTAATTTCAAAATGAAGATTCCAATTCTAAGATTCATTTTTGGCTAATTTGAAAAGAAAATTGACACACTAACTTGAAACCAAGCATAGTTATGGATATGGTCAGGATAGTTTTATAGTACAGTGACTTTATGATAAAGAAGCTTATGCTTTTTACACATTTAAAAATATTATTTTGATGTCATTACTTAGCCACACTACTTTAAACCCCACATTCCCTAACCAGACCAAACCATAACCAGAAACATCTTAGAAACCAATAGAGAGGGTGTGCAAGATAGACTAACATGAACTGATCTTTTTTGTTTATAAAGTCTCCTCGTGAAACAAGGGAATATCTTTGATTTATTATTTTGCTTTGCTTTATTCATAGCTATATCAGGATTCAGAAACTTATAAAAAACTTTCATGTTCGTAAATTTCTGAGATTAAAAGACTTCCTCTTGAATGATTGTCAAGCACTATTCAGAATAACATTTAAGAGGCTGCACTACTTTGATGCTTGCAACTGCTCATTTCACATAGTACCTACACACGCAGGCTTTGGACATGGACATTGAGTATCCAAAACTGCAAACTAACATATCATCTCAGATTGGCAACTAAAGATAAACAAGACAAACTACATAATAGATGTGCTTTATGTATTGTATATATGTAAAATATTATTTAACATGAATAACAAACAAAGTTAAAAAAACTTGTTTTCAGTAGGAGAAAAACAGTAACTCAAAAATAAAAGAACAGGGGTGGCACCAAGAAATTCAAAGTGAGGGGGATCAAGTTAAAAGCATTATTAGACAAAAAAAACCAACTTTTGAAAAACGCACTAAAATGCTTCACGATATTTTATGCCTATGATTTTATGGGGGCATTCGTTATGCTAGTGGTGCATTGGCAGGTAGGCAGCGAGAGGTTGTTGGAGACCTTAGGTATATCTAAAGATGAGGCTTCCTTGTGAGCAAAGACAGCAGATAATATTTGCGACCACACCCTCTAGACTAGCTTAAAATAAATTTCAGAATATTCCTTGCGGCCCTTTTTTTGCAAAAATTTTGCTATAAGGCACGGTTTTTTTACGTTTGATTAATTCCAGTCTTAAAATGGATTTTGCTACTTTATGAGGCACCACAGACCCCAGCTTATTTCTTGGAAATTAAGCAATACTGTAAAAGGATTTATCTCACTATTCTTTTCTTATATTTCAATTTTTTTCTATCTTTTTTCATTTTCTTACAAACACTTTTTGCCAAATCCCTCCAGCCCCCCATCTGGAGCCCCCAGCCCCCCATCTGGCGCAACCCATGAAGAAAGAAAAAACATTGGATAGTATGTAATATTGAGGAATATATAAAGACAGAATGATGTTAATGTTATGGTTTGATGTTAAAGTCATTCATTACTGGTAAGACTGACAGCTGCGGTTCTTCGGAGCTACGTTGCGAAGCACAACTAATGCCACGGGCAAGGCAAAAACAATAAGAAGGGATGAGGAAATAACAACCAAGTAAAAATCATTGAATATTCGCAAAAGCAAGTCATCCTTTTACACCTCTAATAATCTTTGGTAATCGTATGACATAATTTTTGGTGCAATGAAGTCCCTTTCAATTACAGCAGATGTTTAAAGTTCAAGGCAGTTTGACCTTTCTCGGGGAAGACTTGATCCCAGTACCTGAGATCCGTGTCGCATAACTTTTACATCAAATCAACATTTAAAAAAACGAATGCGTTAGATTGTGATGAAAAAATACCTTGAGACTAATATCTTGCTCATTTTGGAAAGTGAACTTCAACAGCTTTTTCTCAATAGGTCGCTCATCGATGACGAATACTTCACACTCTGTTCCCTGGGCGGCATTTGACTCGTTAGGCCTTCGCGAAAGTAAGCGCTTGGGCATTATCGTCAATTTCCTATTCAGATTCGTATTAATCGAAATTGCGAAGATCTCTTGGACTGTATATCATCATAAACTCAAATTTCCTGTAGTTTTGGTATCATAGCGGCGTCGGCAGTAGCTCGAAGCTGAGGATTTTTCCGTAAAGGATCTCCTTCTCGGAACGTGCTCCGTACATATTTCCATGAATATGAGTCGTATTCGTAGAGCTGTTTCTAAGAATGCCGCGCAGTGGATGCTGGGTAGACCCAGACCTTTTTCCACGAATTTCCACGAATTGTTTGGGCGAATATTATCGTACGTGCCTCCGAAAAGCAACATTAAGTCTACAAAATTTTGTGAAATTTATTACTTGAGAAAACTCTTTCACATAATTTTGAAAATAGAATTAAATAATGAGAAAAAGAGGAAAAGTCGATCTTGCAGAAGAAGACATAAAAAAGTAAGATATGTTGTCATTGTCAGAAACTAATTAACATGTCACTTTCGTCCAAAAATATGATATAACAAATTAAAATTTAGAAAATATCTCCTCCAGTTAGCGTTGCTTGTATTAAATGTTTATTGTATATGCATATGTGACAAAGAGGATTAAACTGGTATTTCCTTGGCGTCGTAGAACTGACTGCATCAAGAAATACTTTTGTACTGTGTGAAGAGAACAAACATTCCCCTGAAAAAACACTTTGATGCATTTCTTTAAGTAACATCTTTAAGTTTTTAAAGTTGGTTCAAAATTTTTTACACTACCATCAGTGGCGTAGCGTGACTTTTTTCGCTGGTGGGGGGGGGGAGTTATAACCATATTTTACCAACAGAAATTCTTTTGCTACATTTGGCATAAAATTCTTTTGTTTAAGATGTAAATCTACCGACGAGTTCTCTGAAAGTTGGGGAATGTGACACCTCCCCCCACATCCCCCCACACGCTACGTCTCTGACTACCCTTTTACTGATCATATAATATTTCGATAAACCAGTAAATGAAAATTTAATGTCCGAGACAACTGAACTCGGCCTAAGTATTTCTATTAATGACTGGAAAAATATTTCATTTTCATATAAGAAGAACGATTCACGGTATGAAATGCTAAAAATTAGCTTTATTTTTGCTTAGATTGATGTCAATATTGTTCCTAGGCATTTCTGGCATCTAGGACCATTTTTAGCGATTGTACTTTTACTTTCACTTCTGCTATTGTCAATTATGTTTTCTAGGAAATCCCGTTGTTTTCCGATGTAATAACGCAATGGAAATGACCTTTGGACACTATGCCTTTTTAAAAACAGGTCAACATGGATTGCAGAAAGAGATAACATTTAAATGCTGGCTTAAATCTAAGCGATATTTTAGGACCACTAGAAGATGGAGTTGAGAGGACGCAGTGCAGAACTCGCCAACTTTTGAATAGCGTGTTATCCACGCAGACCATTTCAAACAGGCAGGATGTTTTTATTCTGAAGTATCTTTTGGTGTTGATTTTGCAAAAAAAAGTTGATTTGAAGAGATCATCAAACTTTGTCATGCTGCCCAACGATTGTAACAAGAAAGCATTCAAATCTGTTTGGCTTCAGTGAAAGCTTTAGCCGATCAAATGTCAAATTACGCCATTGCTGCCTCAGATAAAAGCAGATGAAATTTAAAGAAAGAGTTGAACCGGCTAATCATTGGTGTTGTGCCAATAAATGGATCGCAATTTTGAAGCTGTTCAGGCTGATTAGATAACAGAAAAATGAGAAGTGGACTATCATGTAGAAGTATTAAGGAAAGGACTGCATTAAGGAAAAAACAGATCCAAAAAAACTCATTTCCTTAATGTGATCTTTAAAATAGGAATATGGTGAACGACACAATCACCTTTACATTAAATAAGATAACGTAACTTGTAAAAATATATGATGCTGCATTCAATTAAAAATTTTAAGTGACCTAAACCTGGAACGCTGGAACAAATTTTGGAGTGATGAGGGGGCGGTGGGTACCAGGCAAGTTGGAAAACTTTATGGTTGTTTGCTACAATTATCTTTGATACCACAACCTTAATATCATACGTACATCAGCAAAAAACTCCGGAACATGCGTGCTTGTAAGAAGCTTACAGATGTCACAGGACATTATTCAAGTCTCGTTCCATGACTTATGTTAGAAACTATCGTTCCATGGCTAATGTCTGACTTCGTGTAGTATATATTGATCAAAATCGATTGTCAGTTTCTTTTGTAGCGATTTCCAGGAATTAAAACATGCAACATTTGATGTGCCTTTTCCTTAAGTTTGATTCATAATGATGTGATAATAATGAACTATAATCAGCCGAAATAGGGGGTGGTAATTGAAGGAATATCAATATGGAGAAAGAATTTTCTTTGCATGTTCAAGTTGATGCGAAATTTGCTCAATTTGACCTTGACGTTATCAAGCAAAAATGGGCTTGATTTTCAAGACCATTTTTCTACTCGACATTCCTTTTGATCTCATTAATAGGGCTTATTTCAAAGCTTTCTTTGTTCAAATTCTATATTGTTATATAACTATATATATCATGTTTTATAACTATATGGCTATCTGAATTAGTTTGAGAAATTTTTGTTAAAAATTTGATTGAAAAGACAGACATTATTTACCCTTTCCATTCGTAGCCATTTTTTCAAAAGAGATACAGAAGAAAATTGCAATCGTAATGCTCTTTGCACAACTGAACCCACCTTTCTTAAATCTGGAAATTAGATTCACCTATATAAAAATAATAGAACTTATAATGTGTTTTTATATTTGATTTCCTTTATTGTGATTCATCATGAGCTTTTTCTAGAAGTTACAGGATTTGAAATAAACCAGAATAATATTTTTCTTAATGCCTCTCACACTCTACGAATGTGTAGTTGTAGGTGTCCCAAGGATAAGGTTTATTGTTATTCTTCTGTTGCTTATGGTGCTTTTATATACAAGAGAATCTTTATATGATGTGATTTACTAGAAAAAAGCCGAAATTGCCTCTTGCACCAGTGCTAAAGCTTTGTCCACTTTGTGGCTGCTTTTTTAAGGCACATTTTAAATTAATCTACGTAAGCAAAGAATTTTTAAAAGTATCATCAGGATATTTAAAAGAAACCTGAAAAATGCTTTCACATTTATTTTCAGTGGCGTAGATAGAAGGGGGGTCGAGGGGGGACCAAAATCCCCCCCCCTGTAAAACTAAACAGCCATTTTGTCAGAAAATTTCTTATCTTTTCGGAAATGAAATATGATTTTCTATTTTTATCCATGTGTTTCATTTGAGAGGACAGTCTTTAAAGGTTATTATAACACTTTTTCAGTTGTTCTGAATCAGACGGGCAACTTAAAAATGCCTTTTGCGAAGAGAAGACCATAAAATCTACAATTAGTATGATTTATGAAACAAGACTTTGAGCAAATAATTGGACTTTATCTCCTTTTCTATTTCAGTTCGGATGTCGTTATGTTATGTTTTGAATCTTTGTCACAACTTTTTTGAATCTGTGTCAAATGCTGACCAATATGGTACACGGCAAGCCACAAAAATGAAATTTTTAATACAAAAAGTACTTTGTAATCTGGTATCAGATCTGTGCGTTTCTTTGGTGCTAAATTTTTGGAACAATATTCCAGTAGATATAAAAATATTATTGTCTTCAGTCAGTGTTTGTCAAAGGCTTAAAACCTTTTTATTCAACAAGAACTATAATGTTTGATTCTGAAGCGAAATTTATTGTTCTGTCATTCATGTAAGTGATAAATTACATTTAAAACCACCTTAGAAAAGGGGGTGCTCTCTCCCCGATTCGACCTACTGAGAGAGCTTCTCCTAAAGAAATTCCCCTGCAAACAACATCTTACGTAATTATCATTTATTGCCTGTTATTATAAGTATTTTATGCAATGTGTGAAAATTGTATGTAATTAGTTGTAATGTATTTGTAGTAAGATATTGTATGTAGAGGAAGGATATTGTTAAAATATGAAAATCTGAGCTGAACTGAACTATGTTCAAATGTATAAAAAAATTGAAAATGTTTGTTAGAAATTTTTTCGGAAAATCTCAGTTTTTTCGCCCCTAGTATGAAATTTCCTATCCACTGCGTCTTCAAGAAACATTATTTCGTGCTATGTGGAAGCAGAGAACAACAAAGAAGCCGGAAGACATTTTAGAGTGGGGGGAGGGGCTCAAGACCAATTGGCAAACCTTTATGGTAGTTTTTCCCCATTATCTTTCATGCCACTACCTCGGTCAGTACTATAGCTCCCTCCACCTCCCAGCCCCTTCCGGCTCCGGAGTGCCTGATCAAGGCCAAATCAAGGGTGGGGCACGTGCCATTTTCTTCACTTCTCATCGAGGTATATTTCTGAAAATAGGTTCTATTTTCTTCCTTTTTTACTTTGACACGCAAGGCGCACAAAAATATCCCTGATATAAATCATAAATTAGCTATTTAATTGATAATGCGCAGCGTCTGATCACTTATCGCAGTCTTTATCTATATTATTCAAAATGGTATCATTTTTAATTACTTCTTGTCCAGAATAATCTTTTCTTAACTCATGAGCAACTTTTGAAATTCTTCTCAGAACTATGCGGGGTCATGAAGTACAGATACGTTCATCAGCATGCCCATTGCTGAAAAATTCTAGCATAATATCTGAAGCGTTATATTTACTCTACTGAAATTAAATTGAACGCAAAAGGAGACAGAATGCTTTTAATGAAGACCTAATTTCTGCAACGATTTTTTCGGTGGATTGCGCCCTCTGTAATGTATATTAAGGACAAGAAATTTAGTTGAGAAAGTTTTGGGCTATAAATATTTGCAAACAAATTTTTCCAAAACCTTTTGGACAACATGTACACTTCTTTATGGCTTTATCTTTTATTTAGAACAGCATATATTGACCAATTTTCTGTCTTAACTGCCCTCTGAGCCCTCAGCACTATAACCCTGGGAATTACTGATTAATATAAGATGTAGATGGAGAGCAAAACGAGAAGGGGAAGGGCAAGTATGCACCATTGATCATGCGGATGACGCTGTTAACAAATATTAAATAAAAAGCTTGAAACATACACAAGTAAAGCAACGCAAACGAGCTGTAAAGCAATTATGGTCTAAAAGGACAATATCTGACGAACTGAATAAAGCGGATTGAAATATTGCGGATTGAAAAAAACGTAAGAAGAATAATAGCGCGTTTGATTTTATCTTTGTTTTTGCTAAAGAGCCCGAGAGAGAAAACGAACACTTTCTGCCTACACTAATTTGTATGTTACAAGATCCCATGAAAAGAAATTCTGATGGATCGCACTACAAATTTTTGCAATTGAAGGAGTGGAAAATCCATAACTTTTGTGATTTCGACCGTGGGGTTTTGCCTATTTAGGTTGCCTTCTAAGATTGAAGTTACCAAATAAATGGTGCGCAGATATCTTTATAAGATAAATTTAACTGTAGCATAACTCTGTTTATTTATCCTAGTGAGGCTTTTTGAGGAAGAGAGCAGATAGATATAGCATAGGACAGCAAAATTGGCCTTTAAATGGCAGGGGATGGGTAAAACTTGAATGGAGAGGAAGGGCCTTAAATGAACTGTTGTGGAGATCTTCCGTGCACTTTTAGACCGAAAAACAACTCTTTCAAAGGGGGGCTTTAAGTCTGACTACAGAAAAAAAATCAGCTTGCAGGGGACATGGGAAAATCAAAAATTGACCTGGACGCTTAATTTTATGAAATGGGACCCCTTATACTCAAATTGACGACTTGAGACTAAAATTTCTCAAATGGACGATTTTCGCAGGGCTTATTATAAAGTGATGTTTATAGCGGTCGTGGTTTCATTCTTCTTTTAACTGCAGAATGCGATTTTATGCGACCTGCGGCTATGTGCCCCCATTTTATAGGTCTTTCAACTATTCGGGGGCGCATACACAGAGGGGGCCCTTCAGCCCTCTTTGAAGAGGGGCAGAGGGGGCTAGAAGTGCCTTGAAATGTAAGAAAAAACTATAGGATCTTATCGATAATCGATGACCACTTTGACCACTCTCGTTATGTTAATATCTAAATTCTTTAAAGTATCTGTCATCGGATCATCTCTTGCAATTTTAAACCTGCATTCTACAATGGTAAAACACCCAGCTGAATGGGTGGCACTGTATTCAAATTAATATTTTACTATGTTACCCCAACCTAGCCTCCCTCCCACCTAGGAATACTCGATTATGTTAGTAGAAAATTCCACGATTTGCCCTCGGCACCAGCACTGCTCCTCCTGCCCTTATCTTTTGCAGGCATCGAATGGGGTACCCAAGGGGGGAATAATGTGATCCTCGAGATTTGTCCAAAAACGATGTAAAACTCATTGGTGGGGGTGTAGTATACTGTATGCTTGTGTCAATAACAATTGTAAAATACTTTCCTATTTACTGTAGCTAACATGAATCAAATAATGGCGGAAAATTTTGCAAAAAGGACGTTTCCCCGCATTTGCGAGTGCTTGAAGGGTGTGGTCCAAAAAATTTCTGCAGACACCCCCACTTCTCCGGCCCTGGGTACGCCACTGCAGGCTTCCCTGCAACTATTAATGGCAGTAAAAAATTACTGAAGTAAAAAAGAATGACGAACAGAGTGCAAAAATTGTTCACGGAGGCTCGTTAAGTAGCCTCTTTTTGAATCTGAGGTACAGAGCAATTCCGCGGCATTTTCAGTTGATCGACTTCCCGCCACAGGTCCTGAAATCATTAACACCAAATAACTATTGTCCGATCTTTCTCACAAAATGGCAATGGAGGCAGAAGAAGTCGACATGGCAGTGACAGATGATGGACCCATGCCACTCTCTAGACTCGAGGTATGTTATGTAGATATTTGGAGTTGCAAAATGACCTGTCTTGCTCGTATTTCTACTTTGGGGAGGTTAGGCCCACCTCTCAATCGTCATCGACAACGACAATGTTTTAAATAAAGTTTCTAGCTACTTTACGAATCGTGTTGAGTTTATTATTTTTCTATTCGGTTTTATATTTAAAACTGAAAGTTATAGCTTTTGTGGTTAATAGGGAACTAAAAAAAGTGAAGATGTGGCTAGATGTTAATAAACTGTCACTCAATATCGATAAAACTAATTTCATAATATTAAAGTCTTCAGCATTCTTTTTCTGGGACTGTCAATATCAAAATTGGTAATCTTGCCATCAAACAGACTTGTTATGTCAAATTTCTTGGTGTTCTCCTAGATGAAAACTTATCATGGGAGTATCACACATCAGAATTGTCTAAGAAACTGGCTCTAACTTGTAGAATGTTTTTTAGAATAAGACGCTGCTTACCTGTTAATGTGTTGATCTGTCTTTACAACTCTTTATTTTCATTTTTCATCCAATATGGAATTTTAGTCTGGGGTCTCACCTATGTCACTTATATAAACCCAGAGTGTTCTTGTTACAGAAAAAGGTTATAAGGGCAATTTCATTTAAGAATCTTACTGCTCCTTCTGCACCTCTCTTTTCAGACTTAAAAATCTTAAAACTGTGTGATCTTTTTCAGTTGAAAATGCTTAGCTTTGTATATGACTGCATTAAAAAGATCTCTCCTTCTTGTTTTCATTCCTTCCTTCAATTAGTGGAATCTGTGCATCAATATGGTACATGGCAAGTTATTAAAAATGATATTTCATGACACAGGAAAATACCTTGTAATGGCTTAGATCAGTGCGTTACTGTGCAGCTAAATTCTTGAATGACATTCCTATGGATATAAAAAAGTCACCCTCTCGTGTTATATTTCGTTGAAAGCTCAAATCCTTCCTCTTTGATTCCAATTATTAGAACTGAATGGAATCATGTTTCCCAGTCATGATATTAAGATAGAAGTTAAATGTAAATGAGATACCTTTAAATAGGGGGTGCTCTCTCCTCAATTAGTATAGCTATTGAGACAGTTTCCTCCACTCAATATATCTTATTTCTTTCATGTTATTGGCTATAGTATTGTAACATTTTCATGTATTGTGTTATTAATAATTTCTGTATTGTTACCTAATATTTTTGTAGTTTCATCGTTTGTGCCTATTTTATAGTTATTTTATGATAAATTGTATGGAGAGTGAAATTTTAAAATATATACTGAACCAGGGCTTTCACGTTAAGAAATCAATGCGTGACCAAAAACTTGTGTGATAAGAGTGGGGCTGGCGAATCAAATTTATTTGTTAACACAGAGCAAAAAAAATTTTTCTTTTGAATCGTTAAACTTGACAGAACTTTTAATAAATGAACTAAATGCTACACATTGTATAGTTATGTTCATGTTTCCCTCACGTCTTATCGTGAAGGGTACTGTGTGACATAGAGAGATTTCAGTGACTTTAGAAACGTGACTAAGTTTCAGAAAAAACAGACAAAATTATCCTTAGCAAATAAAACAATTGAAAACAGACAAATCAGAGTAATGCGTAAACCTTCATTTTTGTTTTGGCCATGGAGCAATGGGAACGGCTCAAGAACAACAGAAACTGAATGATCGGAAAACAGAGTAGTAGAAACAAGGATTTGATGTCAAACTTTCGTTTCTAAAAGAGTTTCTCAAATGGATTGACCTATCAGCATCCAGTAATTGATATACTCACTATTTTATATAGTGAGTCTGGTACCCAGGGAACCTCAGGCGCTGAACTGAACTAAACTGAATCTTGACAAGATCTTAGGTGCGCAAAATTAATTATAAAATTGCAGGTGCGCCAGTGCTACAGTCATACCCAGTATATTTGTTGATAGAGCTCCCCATGTTTGTAAGGATTCATTGGTTCCTTCAGTTGATAACCAATGAGAAAACCCTGATTGCTTTTGCCAGTGCTGAGGAGAAGGGGCAATGGGGTCACTTACCCGTGGGGTTTCCTAGGTCATCTCCCTTGATCAAGAGTATAGCCAAAGAAAACTGAACCTCTCACATACCATAAAAGCTCTATTAAGCCCCCAGGGGGGCTTATTTGTTTTTTTCAGTCCTCTAGAGGGGCTTAAAAAAGAAGGGGCTTATTAAAGATTTGAAGCAAAAAATGTTTTAAAAATGCCCTTGGACATTTTTTGTTATGTAAATGTTCTCTTCATCTTTGATACTTTTTGGGATCTTTAAATCCTCAGTATCATGAGAAGGTTCTTCGAAGATCAATCCCACCTCCCTCAATACAGTTTTTTCATCAAGGTGTGTGTCAGGTTTTACGCCACACTGCATGTTTGTTTTAGCCCAAATTTTCAAAATTTTAAACCATGCTGTAATCAAAATCATGGCTTTGAACGACCCTAAATATTTTGACAAGTTAAAAATGTCCATATTTCTGGGGGACCATTCCCCCATGCAGCCGTAGAAGAGTCTGCCCAAGGCATGCCTTGCTTTTTATCTTACAAATTGACCTTTGGTACATGGCTTATAAGTTTGTAGAGTTTCTTCGAAAATCTTAGTCTCAAAAATGCTATTTTGTGTAACAAAGGTATGAACTGAGCTATCTTGAAAGTATCTATGATAAACCTGTCATCCTTTATGAATTATCAGCAACATGGAATCAGTGCCAATGATGTCAAAAAACTTGTTGATGCTGGATTCTACACAATAGAAGGGGTAGCATATACACCAAAGAAAGCTCTCCTTGCGGTCAAAGGGATCAGTGAGGCAAAGGCTGATAAAATTTTGGCAGAAGTAGTGAAACTGGTTCCAATGGGATTCACAACAGCAACAGAATTTCACCAAAAAAGATCAGAAATTATTCAGGTTACAACTGGCTCAAAAGAGCTGGACAAGCTACTTCAAGGTATGGCATTGTCACTGACTAGTGTCATCTTCTCACACCATGTTATCATATTTTTTGCTTCTCTGTAAGCACTATAGCTCAATTTTAAGCTTCTTTTTTGTTCTGTAACTTGTAATGTCTAGCTGTTACACAGAGGCTATTCATCTAAAACGCTTTTTGTGCATGTTGTTACTACCACTTTGTCACTTCTCAGGTGGAATTGAAACTGGGTCTATCACAGAGGTTTTTGGTGAATTTCGAACTGGAAAAACTCAGCTTTGTCATCAACTTTGTGTTACCTGTCAGGTGAGTAGAAAGCATGTCTTTGTGTAACCTGTCATTGAATTTTGTGTCTCTTTACTTTCTGTCAGTTCTGTAACAAAATTGCTTGGCAAAAAACTCCTCAAATTTGTATGACATGATGTTTATTAAAGTATCCAAACCAGATTCTTTAGTTTTGCCAAACATCTTTAAGACAGTTTCTGTCTGTGTGTCTCTTTTAGTTACCAGTTGATTGTGGGGGTGCAGAAGGGAAGGCCATGTACATTGATACTGAAGGAACTTTTCGACCTGAAAGGCTTCTTGCAATTGCTGAAAGGTGATGCCTTTATCAATGATATATCAATATAATCATAATATTGTGACCATTAAATTATGATAAACTTAAAATGAAACACGTTCCTCTTTCTGTGATATTGATTTATTGTACTTCACTGTTATATTCTGGAAACTTAAAGTATTTTGTTCTTTATGTCTAGACAATGTTTCTAATGTATTAAAATCAACCAGTAAAATTGATTGATAAATACCTCAATTCATATCTAGATTTAGCCTGCAAATGAAGTTTCCTTTTTACTTTATTTAAGAAATGTTTTATAACTTTAGGCAAAGATATTTATTTGAACCAAAGGCTATAGAGAACAAATATATAATATCATTTTAATTTGAAATGATATCAAGGTATGGGCTCAATGGTCAAGAGGTATTGGATAATGTTGCATATGCAAGAGCGTATACTTCAGATCACCAAACACAGCTGCTTGTGCATGCTTCAGCCATGATGGCAGAGTCAAGGTAATTTCTCTCATGAAGCCCCTTATAAGGTGGCAAAGTATTAGCTACCTTCAATGGGGGGTGGTGTTTGTTTGTTCTCTGCGTGTTGCAGTGTTCTATGTTTTCTACATTTTTATGGACTTTTCACGGCAAGCATTCCATTTGGAGCCTGTCAAGCACCCTGCTACTGTGGCCTCTCCTTTATTTACATCATATGTTTACATGCAAACTCAATTAGACTCCTAGACTTGCTTTTATTGATATTTACATTCATTTAACATTCATAGACTTACTTATTATTTTCTTTGCATGCCTCATTTGATTTACACACTTGCCAACAATTTCAGCAGCTATTCATGCCTCGATTGAATGTAAAGCTATCTAATTGCAAAACAAGGAAAAAAGAACATCACCCATGTACCTAATATAAACGCAGGTGCTTTTGTGTAAGAGGGGCACATAGCAAGAGTATCGGAGCTTTTTTGAAAGTAGGGGAGTGAGTACTAAATTAGTGTTTAATAGGGGCTGTTTGTTTAAAGAATTTGCAAAAATAGTTTATAGAAATTGGAGCTGTTTCTGTTCACAACCCCTTGCCAAGCTCCAACACCCCCTACATTCCTAGCATACACCTGCTTCGTGTCCTTTGGACAGGGGGTGAAAACAATGATATGAATAATTAGGGTCTTAACTTGCGTTTGTCAGAGGGTTTTTATCACTTTATCTATTCTTGTCACTATTCTTGGTAGTAATACAAGGACCTGCCTGTTTTAATAAGTTTTACGGACGTTTTTTTGCTAGATATGCACTTATCATCGTGGACAGCGCGACTGCTCTTTATCGAACTGATTATTCTGGTCGTGGCGAGTTATCAGCCCGCCAGATGCACTTGGCAAGATTCTTGCGTTACCTCCTCCGTTTAGCAGATGAGGTTAGTGGACAGAATCTTTGCTAATAACACACCCTTTGAACTTATCTCTCTTGTTTCACAGGTCATCCAAAACGATTTGAATTTCCTTTCAAATATTCTGTTGCATTTGACTGTCATTCATTCCTTTTTGACAGATATTTCAAAGATTGATGGCGTTGACGTTTCTTATCAGTTTTCTTATTTGGTTCTAAAGTTTTGCATTAGATTGGTACAAGGGTTACTTTTTGTGGAACCAAAACAATATGGCCCTTAAATCAAAGTGAACTTTCAACAGGTTCATAAGTTCTGCCCCTTTTTTGAATTGTTAAGAGAATTATTTCGTTCAAAATAAAATCGATTACGTACATTGCTACCAAACCGTCACGATTTATGTTTAGACATGTGGAATCTTTTGAAAGATATGAGCGAATAAGACCATTAACAGTTGACTAAAGTACCTACTGGAAGATTGCTTGTAGCTTGGTCTAAACCAATCAACTGACAAGTAGCTTAGCGTAAACCAATCAAATCATATAATAGCTGAATTCATGTCAGCATTGAATCAGCAGTTTTAACAACTGTGATCTCTGTGAACGTTTCGTCAAATGCAATGCAAATTGACACAATATATTCAAAGAACAATGAACATCGTTTTTAAAAAGTATGAACATTTAGGAAGTATTATTGGTTGGGTTGGTTTGGTTTGGACTGAACAATGCAGATTTTCGTGTATTATCAACGAAAGTCCAGTGTTTCTTTTATTACCAGAATAACCATTTTTGTTTTTTTTTGTAGTTTGGTGTTGCTGTTGTAATAAGTAACCAAGTGGTTGCCCAGGTTGATGGAGCATCAATGTTTCAAGCCGATCCTAAAAAGCCAATTGGTGGCAATATCATGGCACACGCTTCGACCACCAGGTATGTTGCTTGTTATATCCGAGCCCAAGTTTTGAAATTGTCAATGCATAACTTAAAAAGAGTAAGCGAAAGGGAGAGGAATTCACTGCTGGGCTTGAATTTTTTTCCTGACAATGCATAATGTTTAAACAAAGAATGATTTTTTTTAATTTTATTCCTTAGAGGCTTTTATTTCTAAGATACGGGGGAAATTTCAAGGATGAAAAATTGCTTGTTTGAGAACCAAAATGCAGACAGATTGCCCAGTGCTCTAAGCAGATAATCCAACCTGTGCAAGTTTTCTCTTGAAAAGGGTGGAAGCTTCGATAAGCCAATGTTTATATTTGCACAGAATCCCTTTCTATGCTCTGCCTTGAAATTCTTTTATGTTGCAACTGCAGCAATCATGTCATTGTTAGTGTTTTTGACTTTATTGTACCTGATTATATTTTGTTTTTGGCACTTGATTCCCAATAGAGATAAATGTAAACGGAAGAAGCAGACATGTTCACGTAGGAAAGAAAACTGAATCAATATACGTTTTCAAAACTCGAATTTCAACGCACAACTATGCTCCAGTTGCTTCTTTTTAAGTGTTACGATTTTTATTGTTATGATTATAATTCCATTAAGCATTATAATTTTAGACTGAAATTTTTCATGGATACTTGATCTCAAGAAAGAAGAATGATAAAAAACATCAAGGAAGCATTAGTTTTTTCTTATTGATTGATATCATTACATAAGCGTTTGATGATGTGCTTGCATGACTAAACTTTACCTTTAGTCTTTACCTGGTCCTTTCAATTTATTTGTACAACATTGCTTTTTTAGATTGTATTGCAGAAAAGGACGAGGAGAAACGAGAATTTGTAAGATCTATGACTCTCCATGCCTTCCAGAGGCCGAAGCCATGTTTGCAATCAATGCAGATGGAATTGGCGATGCCAAAGATTAGTTAGTTATCTGATTTGCATACAAACAGATTTCATGCCACTACTGTTTCCGTACGATCGACAATCATTTGCAAATTGTTGCATTCCAATTGAGAAATATTTTTCAAATGACATCTCTCCCATTTCGGTGTTTGGCTATCAATAAGTTGCTTCATTGATGGACCATGAAGAAATTTATAAGAAATTAAAATAATGATGGGGAAGATAGGGAAATATTCTTAAACGTTTTTTATCACTTAGCCTATTCTTCTTTTAGCAGAATAAATGCATTGGAATTGCAAAATACATAGGACTTCCAATTACCTTCCCACCTCTATGGCTCCATCAATAACCTTGCTGTAAATAAGATTAATTCTTCTACCATTTTGTTGAGCGTTCTGTAAACTGAACGTTACTCACGATTAAATTTGAATATTAACTTAGACTGTTGACTTCCAGCAACTTTTTTTGTAAATAAAAGCTTTTTAATGACCCTTGTTCATGTGCTATATCAACATTAATTATGATTTCTCCGCAATTGCTTTGGTTCACCCATTAAATTTGCCTTCAAACCCGCATTCATCTCCTCTTTGTAAAACAGACTAACGAATGTCCTTTAACTATTGGCACTTCACTGATGCCTACATTCATCCATGAAATATGCCTTTGCTAGTCTATTGACGATTTCATTTCCCAGTTCTGTTGCAGTAATTTCAATAAGCCCAGAATAAGAGTATACACAGCAAATATAATGTGTGCGATTTTATTTTGCAGTTTTAATTATGTATCAACATTTCGATAATTTTACTTATTTATATCAATTTTCTTGTTTTAAAAAATTGTTCTGGTTCAGCGTTGTCTTGGTCAATTCATGTCTTTTGATGTTTTTGAATTTCTTCTCGTGAATACAACAGTATAATACATACATGCTACAGTTAAATACATACTCGAAAATTGACCGAAAACTTCGCTGCAAAAGAATATTTTTTCCAATAATACACAAGCGTATTGTTTAAAATGCAGCTCACTAAGATCGTATTTCCTGGGATTTTTCTGTAAGATTGTCAACTAGCAAAACTTCTGTTTTGTCTTCAAATGGAGTGCTATTTGTCTTTTTTGCGGCAAAAAATTATATAGTCTAATGGGGACAACACTTGAAAAAAGCTGCAAGTACAGTATTTGAATTTTAGAACACAAACATTTCTGTGCAGAGTAACCTAACAAGTTCCATTAAGGTTGGCAAGTATCTTGTTATAGAAAATAAGAGAGAGGAAAGCTGTTTGGAAACAAAAATACATACATATAGTCAAATGCGTAACATCGTTAGTGAGATGCTTAGAAATGTTGTAAAAATGTGCTGAAAGAGAAGGAGTAAAATAAAAAGGATTTAAAATCAGTTGGAAACATTGCAGGATTCAATTCCGACCACTAGATTTAGCCTCTGTTCATTGTCATTACAAGCCAATAAGCTAAATTTGAAACAACGAAAGACAAAGGAAATAATACTTTAGAGTACGAGTCAATCTTTGAAGTTGTTTTTTCCTTTGATGATTCACTTTCTTTGCTTATAACATCGGTTGGCGCTTTCGAATATGTTTCTCCGTCTTCGTTTGCAGCAGATGAGTTGTTAATAATCATAGTTGCATTCCTGCTATCGATTTCTTTGGTCTGAAATTCATGTTTTGATTTTCTGAATATTCGCAGCAACGTTGGGTCTTGTTTTTTGGAATGGCTTGAATAGTAAAACACAAGAACGGTCTCAGCTACTGTTGCAAAAACGAGTAGAAAACATGCAATCAGGTAGCCATCAATGGCCTTAGCGTAACTGACTTTGGGCAAATGGTTGTTAATTGACTGCATCAAAAACACGACTGTCAGAACTGTAGTGATACCAACAGCAAGACGATCGCCTGAAAAGAATATTGATCCTTATATGCTAAGGAATAACATTAGCATTCAACCTTGGTAACAATAGTCTCAAACAGTACTTCATCATCCAGGAGTCATTTTCGTAACACTGAAATCCTTATAATTCCGTTTGTGCCTGTCAAAGCTGCCTCTTCGTTATACAAACTTCGTGCAACACGATGTTTGAAAATTTACACAAAGGGCTTATATATAAGATACATTCTTTAATAAGACTCAGAAAATGGAAGTTCAGGCTTGCTGTTCTTAATTCTTTCGAAATATTGCGCTATAGCGAAGTGTTTAAGCCTCATTCACAATCTATTATTTGCCGACAAAAATTCACAGAAAGAGCACCCCTTCATGGCAAAAAACTCCTCATTTTTAAATGAAATTTTTTAAGGGGGGTTTCACAACATTGTTCAAAATGCTCAGCCTCAGCTTGTTCTTAATGTGTTATTTACTTTTGACCAATTTTGAGGCTCGTGCCCTTATAAAATTCTTCTTATAAAAAAATAATGTATTTAGCGAGCCTTACCAACATCGTCTGGATTCATCCAAAATGTAAGAAACGAAAGCAAAACAATAACGTTGCAGGGTATGAAAACTTGAAAAACGTAGTGTCCAATTCTTCTTTGGAAGAAAATTTTCACATATAACGAATCAAAAACCCCTGTAAGAAATTAAAAACAGTATTAATTTGGGTTCATCTACCAATGGACAACACTGAAGCTAAGTGTCTGAAATAATGGCGGGTTTGGGAAAATTTTAATAACACTAGATAATTAAAATCCTCAAACCGGATATTTTAATTTACGAGCTAGGGCTGCCGAGAGGGTGTAAGGGGGCGAATTGCCCTAAGACCTCTAGGTCTAGGGGGCCTCATAAAGTAATGAATGCCATTTTAATTAAAAATGGAATCAATCAAACGTGGTAAAAGTATGCTAAAAAATATTCAAACGTTTTAAACGATTGCAGGAAATGTCTGCAAAAAATATTCTGATGTCCAATTCAAGCTAATCTGAAGGACGTGGTCGCGAAAATTTTCTGCTTGTTCTGCTCGCGAGGGGCCTTGTCTTTCAGTTTTGCCGTAGGGCCTCCGAAGCCTCTCAGTGGCCCTGCTACAAACATAGAAATTATAAGGCCCTACAACTAAGGAACCCAGGGAATTCACTGCCCTTGCCCTAAGATTCAACCAAACTCAGAGAATTTTATAAAACAACATTATTTATAAGTTAGCATAGGGAAGATACTGGTATTTTGTAACAAACAAAACGTTTGCATTCCAGGGTGTAAAACTTTTTAATTAAGTCCCCAGCAAACTACAAAGTGAAACATCTATACTGAAGTTCAAGAGTTGCTGCAAGGATATCGATTTTGATTTTTAACTTTTTCTCTAGATTTAATTATTGTAAAAACTTTTTTTAAACTATATTGTTGTAACATTTATATCGTAGGTACATTAGTTTCACAGGTCCTTGATTGATAGCAGCAAACTCATTTTTGCTGAACAAGTTTACCTGTATAAATATGGTCTTATTATTATTATTATTATTATCTAGTGTATACGCCTGGTACATTCTTTCTCTGGACCTTATCTTGATAATTAAATTCAGATTTTGATTTTTCCTTTCGAACCATCTGCTTTATTTATCCTCGTTTCTTTGTTTCCTCTTACTTTTGTCTTTAGCCTGCTGGCAATTTTCATTCTAAATCTTCCTTGAAATTTGCATCTGGTAAACTATCCTAAATGTCGAGGACACAAATGAGCCCCTGGTAAAATTCCAACCTGCATTAAATACATACACCCTATAGGTGAAAAAACCCAATTGCAAGACATATTCAAGATTACTCGATAGAATTGATACTTTTAAATGTGACGAGCTCCTACCCGAAATGTAACGGTTGCGATTTTTGTGCAAAGTTGCCTTGGTTACGACGAACTGGCTCATCTCGCTGTTCAATAACATTAAAGCTGAGTTATTTCTCCATTCAAGTGCCAAGTCATCAGAATCATAACTATCTAAAAATTAAAAAAACTATTATCTAGAATAGAAAATAGAAGGTTGGTTAGTACTTTAAGTGATTTATTCTATCCTGCATTAAATAAATAACAGAGTGAACAAGCAAAACTTTTCTGCTCTGAATATCAGAGCTACTAAAAGATGGTGATAGGCGATCTGCGCGGAAGGAATACGAAAGAAAAGAATTTTATTCGCTCTTTTTCCATCCCTACTTTTTAGTAGCTCTTGTACCCAATGCAGAGAAATCGATTATCAGTAGCTTCTGAGCGCACCTACGCGTTATTGCGAAGGAGAATGGTTGACTCTCTGAGGCTCTGGCACCCAGGGTATATTATTATAAGATAGTTCTTTCAAGCTCAACCTTCAGACATTTCTAGCTATTTTCCATACTTCAACACTATAATTTTCTTAACACTTTTCTTAACGTAAAAATTGGAAAGTTCTACGTTACTGAGCATGCGCAGTGGTGGATAACATGACGTGCTATCATTATGCTATATTTCTCCAAAAAAATCCTTCAACATCAAATCATCAACTATCGAAGAAAACCCAAAAAACAGAGTTCAATTGGTAATGCAAAGAAAGGCCAACAAACAGAACTGAATTAACGTCATCAATCGAAATGTTTCACCCTTGCAATTTTCTTTGAAATTTTGATTATCTAAACTTTTTAACTAACTAAGGTTTCTAAGATCCAGCCCTAAGCATTCTTAATTTTTGAGGAACCGAGCATAACTTCCTTTTAAAATACTTTCATATTAAAAAGTATGCATCCCTTCTCAAAATTGAATGAAAAACTTTATCATAAAACAATGCTCTTCTAGATAAACAAACGGGCAATGAAGTTGCATCAAAACCAGGTTCTAAAGAATTGAAAACCATTCTTTATAATTCTTTTAAAATATCTTCTCGCAAAAGCAGCTGTCAGAAAGCCTGTTGCTACAAGTTTGATAAACCAATGAGAGGATTAATAATTTTGCAAGCAAATCGGAAAAAGCTGCAGCATCACACACAAACTTATAAAATAACGCCTTGGTAGCTGACAGTTATTCCAACAATTGGACAACTTAAGAATCTTCTTTCAACTTTTTAATTTGACGCTCAGCAACATTAAGATCCATTTGGAATAAAACTTCAATCCTGGCCAAAAGGTTAGTGGACTGGAGAAAAAAACAATTAAGATTGCAACTTTACGCTAATAATGTTACCAAAAACCCCAACCCTTGCGGCAATATGGGTTCTTTTGAAAAATACCCAAATAACAGCGATCGAAATGAGTAGAAGTAAGCATATCGACATTGCCTATGGGGGCGAGGGAGTGGATTCTTTAAAAAATGCTACAATTTGCCAGCCAATCCAATAATATTTGACCAGGATTGTTGCTATCCAGGATCATATGGTAAGCAGTAAAATTCATTTTTCTTTCAGAGGTTTATGTTATTTCATCAGTTATTTGGGGGCATCTTTGAAACAAGCATACCAACTGGGTAATCATTAAAGCGATGGTTTTCTAGGAACACATCATTTCATTAAGGAATATTCTCTCAAGTATATAAATCAAATACGTTTATGAACTCAAATAAACTCCAAAAGTTAGTAAAGCCTCTTACAGCTTTCCAAGTTCAGTTTGCAGACTTGCACATCAAATGGATAGTTTGTCAGGTCTTGCGGGCAGTCTGCCTCGACAGTCACCCTTAAAAAAATTGGTTTGACAACAAAGATAAGAATAAAGAATGTAAAGCTTTCTTCAAGAACGAAGATGTTTATTTGTAAAGAATGTTTTCCAAATTATTTTACAACATTCCTATACATTGTCATACTCAAGAAAAGTGTCATGCCTGAATCTAACAATATTTCAAAACACTCTACTTTTTACAGTTTACACTATGGAAGTTTTCAGAAAATCTTGCTGACGTACTATTTAGGGTACCTTCCTCTTTAGCTGCTTTAGGTGAGAGCTGAGAATGTTGAATTTGGTCTTTGAATATATATAAAACATACATTGCAGACTCAGTTAAAAGTAATAATTGTCTCTAAAGGTCGCTTTTGCAAAATTTTATATTAGCTATATTGCAAGAATTTTTATTTCTCTTGAAAAGAAGATTTTGCAGCAATTCCCTCTGTGTGATGTGTACCGATATTCTCGTTTTACTTGTGTCATGGCCTGGTGGCTTCCACTGCATATATTTTTAGAAGCATTCAGCACTTCCGTGGGTCATTTAAAACCCATTTTTCTTGCTTCTAGTAGGCCAATATTTTATACTTCTATATTTTCAATACGATTAAAAAAGACTTTAGAAAGTTTTCCTTGCCCCCCCTCTCAAAATTTAATTGTATCGATGCTACTGTTCTATTTTGTGATTTGCAGTAAGAAATGTCTAGATATTTTCTCAAACCTGGTGCTGGTCAAGATATCTCCATTTGGCCACAGACGGACATATTGATTTGGTGCTAGAACATCATGCTTGAATGATTTCAAGCCATTCACAAAAAAGATGTTTGGCTGCCAAAGCCAGTCGTTACTACTTGCTCCAGGGTATGTGATGTATTTTGTAGCGTTGTGACGTAAACGGAAATCATTCCAGGAAGTACGTATGTAAATATCCAAGGTGAATGTCTACAATATCATGTAAGAAGGCCAGTGATGAAACAGAATATTTTTCTGAAAGGGTGTTTGTTAGTATTGCTCGAGGAAAGATTTTAACAATCAAAGGCAACGTATGGGAAACTCTAGTAATCACTTCTCAAAAGTCACTTATTCGTAGATTTTGGGAAGGAGACCAATATGGCATTTAATATGTATTAAAGCAATGAATAAATCGTATCTACAAAATCTTCCAACTCATAGATGTGTTTCATTTAGCTCTTCCAAGTGGCTTTAAAAACCGTTATGATTTTAATTGAGAGCTGTCATACTTACTTTTCAAGGGAAAGAGCTGTGATCAGAAATTAGCAAGCCAATATTTATGTTGTCACATTGATCAGGGACGACGAAACATATTTTTGAGTAGGGAATGGGGCTCTAGACATATTTGCAAACTTTTATGGTAGTTTGCCACCATTATCTTTGATGCCACAACCTTAATATTATATTTTAGCAAAAAATGAGGAAGCTACAGTCCCTCTAGCCCCCCTTCGCCCGGCTCCATCGTGCCTGTTTGTTGACATCATTTCATAAGTGTTTGAAATAACTGCATGACTGAGCTAAGAGAGAACTAGAAAAGAATCATTCTCCATTTTGTTACACTTCAAACAAGTTTCCTAAATTCTGAAGGTGGTTTAAGAAGAGATCTTGAAAAAATCAATGTTCTATTGACAGGAAGAAGACAAGAAGTACAAAAAAGATACGCTAAATAAACATTGTAAACCAGTCTGTTGATTGAAGACACATCTATCTTACAGAATTAAAGAAGGATAAATTTATCAACCCTTTCGTTCTCCCTCTCTTCCCATTGTTAAAAAGCTTAAACTTCTCAGACTTCAAGACATTTTTCAGCTAAGACTATTAACATTTGTGTATGAATCTATAAACAAGAAAAATCCCTCTTGCTTTCATGATTACTTCTCTTTCAATGCAAATATTCACCAACACTCTACTAGGCAATCTAATCGCGGTAATTTGTTTTTGACTCATAGGAACAGTTTTCGGTATGGCCTGAAGTCTATTCGATATATGGGGGCAAAAATGTGGAATGACCTACCAGTAGAAATTAGAAATTCTCCTTCAAAATATTCTTTTAAAAATAATCTTAAAATATTTTTACAAAACAACATAGTAGTCAATGATGGTTTTTTAAACTTAGTCTATAAATAGATGATATTTTTCTGTGGATGACTGATAGCAACTTACAGATGATTCTTTTTACTTTTAGAACTAAAAAATTAAGCAGAACGCATCTAATTTACTAGGGGGTGCTTTCTCCTCGATTAGTTTATAAACTACTGAGAAAGTTTCCTCCTTTAAATAATTCCCTGTTTACAACACTAGCTTGTTTCCCCTCTATTCTGTATTTGTTCTGTTACGTTTATATTAATTAACTTCATTTTACATTGTTTATACTTTTAAGCTTGGATTATTTCTAATTTACAACAAGTGTATGTATCCAGTGGAATTTAAAATAAAACTGAACTGAACTGAATTAGAATTAGATTAATTTTCAAAGATCAGTTTTAAGCCATGACATATTTCTCGGACACACAAATAAATGTCCTTTTCAGGGCGTAAGCATGTATACTTACTCCTTCATACTGCAGTGGATGAAACTTGACGAAATCTACCTGGCACATTACAGTGAGAGGTCGTCCTAAAAAAAATAAATTTATCAAAAGACTATTTAAGACAAAGAAGGTTGATGAAGATATAAAGTAGCCCCAAGCATCAGATTTTTGTTAGAATCTTACCAGTCATTATTTTTCGTTATAAAAACAATTAAATTTAAAACTGATAAAGCCTTGTAGAGGGACCAACAGATAATGGGCGGAGTCTTCCCAAACTTCAACAATTCAGCAATACGCCAATTCGACTTACGGCCTCATTTTGAAAAATTCTTCAGATTCTTTTGTACAAAATTTTTGACCTCAGATTCGTATTGAGAGCAATGACTTTAGTCTATTTGGAAATTTCATTATGGTATTGCTCACGATATTGATTTTATGACGACATAAAGATAATAAAGATTTTTTAAGGGATTTGACCGTGATTGGTGACTAGGGGGGTGGGGGGGGGGTAAAGTTTTACCCGAAATGATTTTAGCGGTCAAATCTCTTACAAGTTTTCAAACATCATTCCTCCGTAAAGTCTAAAAACAAGCACAAACAATATGAAAAATTGTATCCGGCCTAAAATTATGGCGATAAAACCAAATCTGAGCTTAAAAAAGTGGTATAATTAAGTTTGGAGAAACTTCCAAAACGAGGCCGTAAGCCGAATTGGTGTATTGCTGCCAGTATTCAAAAGAAATTCAAAGATGCATGGAGAGCTGGTCGCCCTTTTTCGGGATTTGATCAAAATATTATTGGCTGTAAAAATCATTTAAGTTGTTATCCAAAAATAATTATTATTGAAGTTGCAATTCTTGCTTTCACTAGATTCTTTAGATGCTCTATTACAAATATTATTAGAAAAATATTTAAATGTGCGTCTTTTCATGTAGTAAAAATGTTGTATTCGAGCAGCCAGTTTTTCCTTCTGATCTTTTCTAATTTACCCCGCTGCTTCTACCCATCATTGATAGACAAAGATACAATATTTTTCACTAAACGTCAACCCTGATTTGCACATTTGCTCCTTAGATGTATTCATAGCTAAATAATGTTTAATGTAGCTAAGAAGTTTTCGGATGCTTGTGAACGTTATACGAATTTTGAGAAGTACAAGGAGATGATATTTTTTCAGTTACTAGAAAATAGCTCAGTTTTTAATGCAATTTTCGGTGTTTGTTCTGCTATGATATCAAATTGATAAACTCATAATTGGGAGAAGAAAATCGATTGTGTTTGATACTTCCTAAGCAAGGACCGAAATACCGGGGGGTAGGGGGGGGCCTTGACCCCAAAAACTTTATTATCATAAGCAAAATACTTTTATTTTGTAAGATACGGTTTTTTTCACTTATCTTTTGTAGAGGCTTTTTACTTATCTTACAGGAGTTGCGCATAGTCAGAGTCACGGTAAAAAGCAGGACGCTTCCGTCGACAACCTTTGAAGTTTTGTTATGCAGAAATGTTTCGTAAAAGTATAGTTTAACGCACATTTCATTACGAGGCTACAGCAGGTTGTTTTTACAGGTCGAGATGGAGAATGCTGGTAAGCCCGCTTTTGATAAACATGTATAGAGTTGTCTAGTGATGACGTCACAAAAATCTATTTTTAGAATTTTTTAAATTTTTCCAATAATCTGAAAAAGCACCATGAAATAAATTCAAATCTGCAAAATCAGTTAAAGGTATTATGAATCGGCCGAGATATGACCAGATGAGCACAAGCTCTGGTCCCATCAAGCCTCTGTAATTTGGTTTCAGTTCATAACTTTGTGGACTGAGCCAAAATAACAGTAATCCGTTAGCAAACTTCAAATCTTCTATTGACCAAAGCTCACCCACTTTTTGACAAATTTAACTGATTTTGCATATATGGGAGTATTTTATTGTGTTCTTTTATGTTATGTGGTCAAAATTAGAGATTTCTAGAAGTAGTTTTTTGTGCCGTCACATTTGAGAACTCTATACTTGAACTAATTAGATAACGTAATTGACATCAACCATTGTTTCTTTTGTAGAATCTCGAGTTCCATTCTGAATGAATGTTGCTGTTTTGCTACTCACCGTTGTTGCATGGTCGTACTCTTTTATCATAGGTTTGAAGTATGTTATCTATCTCGATAAAAGTTTTTTCGTTAGATGTACCATTTCTAAAAAAGATTGTATTATATATTGTTACATTTATATTCAAGTTTTCAAACAACATCAACTTTACTGAACATCACTTTTTTAAAAGCTCTCTACAAAGAAAAGTATGAATTATAATTGGTAGAGGGTGTGGATAGCGTGAAAAAGACGTAGAACACTTATGTATGCAATAAAATCAAATGATAGCTTCAAGAGATTGAGAAAATTCTAATTGGGAAACATTGAAAAGCAATGTAAAAAACTAATAGAATTGAAAGATTGGTTGAATTATTAGAAGATTTAATAGAAACTTTAGCCGTGGCTCTATCCTACACACAATTGCTTTCCCGGCAATGCTGCGTTTAAAATATAGCAACTGCTCAGAACATTATTTGACACAGAGTATCATAATTGCTATTTTTATTAGTAGTAAAATTAGAAGCAACGGGCATAGACACTTTTGAATATGTTTGCCTTTTAAGAATAAAGCTATTTTGGATCTGGTTTCAATGAGTATCAAATGAATCTGGTATCAAATATTTTAGACCCCGTTTATTGTCTCAGAGCAATTACGTACCAAATTTGTTATCTATCGATTTCAAACAGAAACAAATCGTTCCGTTCCACTTTTTGTGCAAAATTTAAACAAAAAGTTAACTAGATTGCATGTCAGTAGTGAGAGACTTTACTTCGACACAAACAACAAAAAAGTCAGCCACCGAGCATTTGGGTCACTCCACTTAATCGCATCAAGATGAAAGAAGTTTAAAAAGAAAAATTTGATTCTTTTCAATTGACTGATGATGAAATACAATTGCTGCGTTTGTAAATAATCTTGTGCAAATAATCGTTCTCGTGTGAACGTCTTTGATGATTGTGGTTCGAAGAGCGAAATAATAAAATGTTTTCTTTTACTGATTATTGTTAAATCTAACAGGCCAGTTGTATCTTTATTATATTTGTTGATAGAATTATCTGATAAATTCAAACAGGCTTAGCATTGATTCTACTCTGAAACTTTATGTACCGTGCACATAGCTTTTTACGCAGTCAAAACATATGCAGAATGCACTTTCAATGCAAAGATGTCTTACCGCTGGAGAAGCTCTGCTCCAAAGTGTTTACACATGTAGAACAGCAATAGCAAGTGATGATACATTTTAAGCTGCTTCATTTTGAAGGCACTAATGCAGTATCTTTGAATGCTTGTAAACGTCAGTCCTGATACGATTCCGGCCTAACTTTGACTATTAGTATCACTCAAAATTGAAAGGCTGAGTGTTTATTCTGGTTTTGAAAATCAATAATTTGTCATAATAAATAGCAATGAGGAACCAGTAACATTAATTTAAAAAAGATCTACCTGTTAAAAGTTCTATAGGGAGCTAGTTGTTGCATTTTTAGCATTGTTTATTCACTATTCCGCAACGAATAACATTGAATTATCCATTATTCAAATGAAATGTTCCATCTGATTGGCCAATTCTGCACGTATCTCTCAAAGCGTTCGGGCTATTCCATTAAAGAAATAACAGCAATCATTTTATTGACTACTTTGCTTGCCATAGTAATGTTGTCAAATTCATTGGTTGCCAAATGCATGAATATGCAGCTAAAGTGTTGCAGTTGCTTGTTCCTGGTGATGGTTTTTTCTCTACTGCATCAGAGTTCTTGATACCTCTTCTTTTGTTGCGGCAAAGATTCTTCCGGGATTGCCATTTCGTCTTTGCAAACATGTGGCCTTTCGCTACTGGCTTTCTTTTGCTGTAGCATGCAAAAACTCTCTCCAAAACAGTTTCAAATACTAAAACGAAACAGCTTATCAAGTAGCCTTCAATTGCCTTGATGTAGCTGACTTTAGGTAGATGATTTTTTATTGATTCCATCACGTTGACTATCACTAGAGCAACATATTTGACGATATGGTAAGCAATAATTTTGCAATGAAAATATTTAATCTCACTTAAATGGCCTATTTCAGACAAAAAACATTTATCCATTTTGATTCTTTCTTGTACATTTGGCGTGATAAATTCATTGAGGCTTAGAAAATTCCCTTTTCCGTCGATAAAAGGAACAAAGACCTATTGAAAACCATTTTTTCACTTTTCGTGGTGCAGAATTTAATAATTGCTTTCAAGAAAGCAAATATTCTGAAACATGTTACTAAAGCTTTTCGTCTGACACTCTTCAGAGTATAAAACGTCACAACATAGATCAAAACTCTACGCTAGGAAATATGAATATCCAGTTGTGGTTCGAAATAGGCCAATCAGAAACGCGAGCAAGCGGCACTGTTCTGCTTAACTTTAAGTCCAACAAGACCACTGGCAATCAAACGTATTGTTGCAGAAGGATCAAGGAACAACAACAACAGCAGCAACAGCAATCATGTATTGTTGTTCACAAGGAAAATGAATAAAATGTCCCATTTTCACTAGGGGACTGATATTGAAGTACTATTACGCTTCACTGCTTGGTCAAGCAAGACGGCACACTTGGGCAAAGGTCCCCCTAGCTTCTACTTTGAAAATACCTTGGCACTTTACGAAACCACGAAGTAAGATAAAACCTGTCCATGAGAAGAACTACAATTTCTGCAGTGGTAGCAGCCCCATTAGTAAATCAAAGCTAAACGCCCACTATACTAAAGAATTACAGCTTCAAGTTTTTATTTTCACAGCAACACTATTCACCTATTCCAAATTTTTTATTCAGGGCCGTCTCAACACCCCGTTTGACGAAAGTTCATTGTAAAAACGAGGAATTTTTGCTATGATGTGAGTGTGCTTTTTAGCAAATTTTCAGGCTTGTCTGCAAGGAATACATTCTAACAATTATTGAAATGACATCATATATTTGCATATAAGATTTTTATCCCCTATGACGCGGCATAGTAGGTCCTGTACTTGATCGCAAATTTTGAATTCTTAAAACATACAAAATACAATGGTCCCCAAAAGAAGTTGGAACACCGAGATTGCACTCGCAATCAATGTACACTTTTCAGTTCATTTCCTTGTTTCAAGCAGACGGAATCACTTTCTCCCTTAAACAATGTTGGGAAGGAAGATAAACATATCGCTATTCAGTGGCGTGGTGGCCGGGAGGGCCAGGGGGCACATGTCCCTTCAGCGACCAGGAATCAGGGGTCACCGAAGGCGATTCAACTCTTCAAAGGGGGGCCAAAATCACGTGGAAAACAAATGCGATCGAGGAAGGCACTTGAAATAGCTGAGCTCTGAAGAGGCGTATGTTTCGAAATGAAGACTTCTTCCTCTAGTCTCTTTCTTTCTTCCTCTCACTCCGGCACCAATACGGTATCTTTGCAACCCTTTCAAAACCCTTGATGCTCTGGAATCCAGGTTAGGGATGGCATCCCAGCATCCCTTGGCAGTCCTCTTTTAGTTACCAAACATCCATAAGGAACCCACTGACTTGCTTGACCTCACGGAGGTTGGAAATGAGATCATATACTCATGTTTTAAATAAATGTTAAATGTGTTGAATGTATAGTTAAATGTACAACAATATTGTTTAATGTGTTTCTAAAATTTTGCAATACCTTAACAGTCTTCATGTTGCGGTCTTTTCAAATGCAAAACAGATAAAACTTTGGAACATAATGACAAAATATGCTTATGAACTTTTTTTAAATCTCCGTTTGGCCTAAAGCGACGCATGTTATAGATATTTTGATTGCAGTTTCTGATCAACCCTAGAAAGTTATACGGCTTTCACTAGACCCTTCAAGATTCTTGAGATTTTTGGCGTAATGATACAGAAACATTTATGAGCATTTCCATGGATCTTCCTAGTTTCTAAATCTATGGTGGAAATATCTTAGATGAGTTTTTAGAGTTTCAAGGACGTTATATTTATAAAGTTTCTCTTGCTGCAAAAATGGTGGCGGCTTTCACGAAACCCCTGAACAATGATAACATTGTGCCCCCCCCCATTTTCAATCACATTTCGCCTGCCCTGATAGAGTTGTACCATGGGCTGACTTTAGGGTGCGCCTAAGAAGGTTGGTGCCCCTAGCTAATTTGGAGCCACCACGCCACTGTCGCTAAACATGGGTTACATAATTTAAGCTCCAATCTACATATGATACCATTTTCTTGTCAGAATCCAACATTATATTGGGAAGGGGGGGGGGAGAGACATTGAGTAGGAAAGATGTAGGGACTGTTTCAACACTTTTGGCGGGCATTGTAGCAATTTCCAGGGGCCATGGTATGGTTTGCTACCATCACACATGAAGTACCTAGACGACGTCTCATGCTAAATATGGCCGCTGTTAACCAAGGCACGAAACTTTTCGTTGCAAGATTACCATGGGTTGCTTGTCGAGGTATGTGTCACTTGCAATTATGAAAAAGATTCTTAATAATTCATTTTTAGTATTGAAGCTCTGTCAAATTAATGCTCAAAACAAGCATTTCAGTGCTTTTCAAGCCTCCTTTAATTAGGCATCATTTCGCAAAATATTTGTCATTAAATTAAGGACAAGATTCTTTTCCCAAGAACGTAAATCCATGAAATCCATTGACAATCTTTTTTGATTACATTTTATGTTCAAGCCTTAATAATGAAGGTTTTTTGCGTAATTTTAAAATTCAGCCGTCATGATGATATAAATTAAAAATTTAATGTAAAGGGAACATTATTTTCTTTGATACGCATAATAGTATGCTGTGAAAATCCCTGATAAAGGAAAATTGATCACAGATAACAATGAACTCTGAAAACATTCCAAAAAGGAGCTTGGGTTGAGCCACATGATATCCCACTGAATTTAACAATTGGGCATAAACAGGGACACTGGAACAACCAAGGGGCAGGAGGGCAGGCTTCAGTAAAAATACATTTGAAATAACATACTAATTCCTGAATCTACCACATTAGCAAAAAGAATTTTGCCTTATAAATTTTTGGCAGATAAACGCAGTCGAAAAATTTCGGACAAATTCCTGGAATTTCGTCATGACAAAATTTTGTCATGGATATTTAACACAGATATAGCAACATATTACTAAAATCTTAAAGAGGCAAAACCAAACCGGTTGCTTTATACTCAATCCCATAGGTACTGACTTCTTGTAGACTTTTGGGCTTGCGCACCTGTTCAGAATTTGGCTCAACCGCAAGGCAGCTTTCTCAGGATTTCAGGAAACCAAATTAAAGCGGTATATTTACTCAGATTATGCAAAGATAGGGTCACAAGAGATGCTTTTAGAATTCAAAGAGTCTCTACCCTACATCTTTATGGTATGGAGGTTAATAAACAGAGTATAACTAAAGATATTAGTGTGAATATAAGTATAAGATTCGGAGAGCATAAGACCATCTCCAACAGAAAAAGTTGGTCTGAAAATTTTTGTGCAGAGTTTAAAATTTGCGTCGAAAAGTGCAAACACCTTGAACGAATGAAAGTAATAGTACCATTGAGTATAAAATGACAGCGGTGTAATCTTTTGAAACTGCAGACAAAAGACAGTTAGAACAGTAGCATGTAGCAAGGGTGGTTAGATTGGGGTAAAGGCAAGTTGAGTAAGTAAAGATTAGAGTCCACACCCTTTTGAACTCCAGAAACGCCCTTTTTCAAAGATATTTTTTGCCATTGGGGAAGGGGGGGAGGCGCTTGTGCTTGTTGCTAGGCCACTGAGTTAGAACTTTTTTATCAATCAATGGTGAAAACGAATTAGTTCAAAAACTGACAATGGTGATGATGATGATGATGCCTGATGATAAAGATTATTATGTTAAGATGATGTAAATCAGGAAAACGACCTAATTGGCATTAAATAGATTAAAAGGATACATAAATTTGATTCCTGATCTCATGTAATAGTTTTTCTATGCGAATTCCAAAAATCTTAAATGCAAAAAATTTCATTGTGACCAATTTTGTCTTATTTTGAATTTAGTTGAAGAAAATTGGTGGAAAAACAAAACATTTAGGCCATGCCTTTTTTACTGTCAGAAAAGGCCCTTTTACCAACAAGGAATGCCAATTTTGCCAACAAGAAAAGCTCATAACAAACTTTTTGTTATGTAAAGGCAGTTACAAATCATAGGATTACGTCACAAAAAATACATTGCCAAAAAATACCCCTCCACTAACCTTTTCTCAATGAATTTATAGGAAATACAGAGTCGATCCTGCCAAGAACTGAGGAGGACATGCCCCCCCTAGCCCCCCCCCCCTGGCGCTGCTACTGTTGGGAATGGCATCACCAAGCTCTGCATGCTGGACTTAAACCTATCAGGCTGGACCTATGCTTAGTTGTGTAGGACTAGCAATAATGATCATGTGCTTGGTGTTTGACATAAAAACAGCAGTTGAGAGTACCATGAATTTGATTTGGATTTATTTGTTAAGTTGAAGAGGTTAATTTGGTCAACTTTGAACACATAGGATAATGGTAATTAAGACTTGATTAAAAAATGTTTACATTACACAAGTATTTTTAAGTTAAAATGTTAATTTGGGCAAGTGCTAGCAATCTTATTCTATTTTCTGAAATGGAAAAGTACTCTCTATGCATTTAGAGCAAACCATTACAATGGTTTTGTCTATACAGAATCTAAGGAAAGCCCTAAAATAAAAATAGTGATGTTTTCCTAATAATAGCTGATTGATTGTCATATGAACAGATCAGTTATGTTTCTTGCAAGGCCAGAATGAGTTTGAATTCAGTGTTTAGGGCTTCCTTGGCGGTCAATTCCTAATCCTTAACTCCAGTTCATATGAATCCCTCTTCCAAATATAGCTACAAAGTATTTTGTGACTATCTTTTTCAGAGTCATTATGGAGCCACTTCAAGCAGTTTGGAAACATCAGAGAGACAAGAGTTATATTTGTAAGTATTTTCTGTAAGTTTTTTGTAATGCATCATTAGAAATTTATTAATTAGTGTGGGTTCTGTTGACCCAACTGGTAGTCACAGTGTGGGTTGTTCATGATTGATTGATATGTAGAACAAGTTTGTTGGGAACCTACCAGACCTATGGGTATTGAAGATTAAAAACCTTCTGGATTTAGGCACAACCTTTTTATGCCATTGCTACTGAACTGATGAGCATATTACACCACATGTTTAAAAAATTTTGGAACGCATTGTTGAACTATATCATTATTTTTGCTAGGATTCAAATACAGGACGGTCAAAGAAGTTTGGTTTTGTTGTGTATAAAGATTCTGATGCTGCTGAAAAGGCTCTGAGTTCTGGCCCACACATTGTAGAAGGAAGAGAGGTTTGTTTTCTGATCATATGACTTAAGCAAAGAATTAGCAAACACCCCAATTTGAGGGCCTTATTCTAAATATACTTATAAAAGTATATATTCTAGACTGAACCCATATTTTTCTGACAATTACAGATTGTGTCTCTGTAAACGTTTTCAGAAGAGAGGGGAGTGATATCAGATTTATTGATTTTAGCTTGGAAAGTTAACAGGTTATACAATTATGGGAATCTAGGAGAGAGCAAGGTGTACCAAAGTTTACAAACTTTGAAGAGGAATGATGTTGTGGAGCAAAGTTTTAAAATTTGACAAGATATTGTGCTTCTGGTGTGAATATGTTTTGTATAACAGGCCAAAGGAAGACATAGAAACCAAAGGGGATAGATTTATTAAAAGATAGAACCTCAGTAGGGCTATTTTATCATAGAGCAGCTACAGGAGAAGGCCCTAGAAGACAACTGCAACTTGGATTTAGGAAAATGCATAGAGAGGTGGTTTATTTGTACTTATGGAAACATTTTCAGCAAAATGAATGGTCAGCTTAGTGAAATACATTTGTGATGAGAGGAGCATGTATATTTAGGTACAATATTAGATACTCTCTGTAGAGAAGTTAATGAGGTCAGCAAGGATCTATGCTAAGCTCATTCTTATTGGTTGTTGTGATGGATTTCACCTTCTCAGTGAAAATTTGAGGAACACAAAAAGGGAGCCAATGTTTGCAGATGACTTAATAATAACCAACTGTGAGAAAGAGCTACAGGAAAGGATGAAACAATGGCATGCAAGCTTAGAAGAAAATGGGTTAAAAGTAAGAAAAATAAAAGAAGGAACAATAGTATATAAAGTAAAGAAAATTTATGTAGACTGACAATTAGAAAGAGGGCAATAGAGGTTTGTTATATCAAGTAGAGAGTGTTATCAAATAAAGGTATGAAATGCAGCTTACTGAAGTAACAGGAAGATTCAGTATGGAATTTCGAAGTGGCGACAAATGGCTAGATTTTAAGAAGAGTGTATCAAATGTTGTAGTGAAAAAACTCTCAAAATCATTGGGCCAGCAAAGTCTAGGTATTTTTGAATCTGAAACAGCAGTGCTCCCAGATTTGTCAAAACAGAAAGAGATAATTTATAATCTTTGGCCCTTAGGCTACACAAGAGGTTGATGGTTGCTTATTGTTGAAAAAAGGGAACCAAACCAATGTGCCATTCTTTCTCCACTTTACTTCAATTCGCACCTTACTTTGATTTTTGTGTACCTTTTGGACTTAATCCATTGTTTTATACTATGAGGAGTATTTTGAAATGCAGAACCTAAGATTTCAACTTCTGTTCTGATTCATTCAAATATTCTAATTTTTTTTAGTAATGTTGACATTGAAGCTAGCTTTTTGATTCATTTGCTAAAAATTATCTTGATGAAATTATCTTTGTTCTTTTTTTGTTTACCTTTAGTTTCATCTGTATGCAAATTAGCTCTTATATCCTCTTTCTGATCTCCAGATTGCAGTTCTACTGTCAGATGTATCAAATAAAGCTAATTCAAGTGAAAGTGAGAAGGAATGATATCCAATGTTGTGCAAAATAGAGACAAAAATTTGTTAGCAGAGCCCTGTACATCCATGCTAACATACATTGGTTGAAATTGTGTGCTGCTCTTCATAAAAGCACAATTGGTATTGGTGACATGATGACCTTTCTAGCTTGTTTAGTGTGTGACAATCATTCTATATTGAATTTTCCATTGACTGAATATTTATTGTCCATTTAATTTGTAATTTTTGTTCAGTTGATTTGGTCCAAGAACAGATTAGTTATATGAAGGCATTAAAATGCATAGATATTTTCTTTAATACTGCGTGGTGTTAGTTTTTTAGGAGGAAACGGTGAAAAATTTCACCATCTGAATATTCAGAAAGGGTTTTATCTCATTCTAGAGTATATTATAAAAGAAAACACAGACTATGGAGAAAATCATCGCCCACTTAAATAAATTTTTTGCTATCAACAATGCGTTCGTATCAAGACTTTTCGTAGCCCATGATTTTGCAACATTAGTAAAAGGAAAATAGGTTCTAGTTTTCTGAAATAGTGTGAAAAGCGGTTGAATAGGAGCGTTGTCCCTGATCCCATCGTCTTATTGAGTTTGCTAAATGTTACTATCTGCATTTGCATCATCAGTTTTTCTTTTAAATGAAAGAAGGAACCTGATGATAAGAGCCCATATTGAGAATAGGGTTTTCTGTAAACACTTTTAAAAACCAGAGGTTTTCTAATTTCTAATACACGCGGTATCTAATTTTTGTTCACTGTTTAACAAGATTTCAATATCAAAGAGAGCAACGACCCAAGTTGATATATATTTGATATTTCTTCCAAGCAATGTTATTCTCTACAAAGTTTTACATAAACTTGTTGAGAGACAAACAACTTTGATTACGTTATCTTTCAAAGCATCCTAAGATGTAACGTATTTTCAATTAACAAGGTAAAAAGCAAACCAGTCAAAGAAAACGTAGTGCGCATTACGGATCTCAGTTCAATTTTATTTTAGTTTGGCAGCTTCAGCGAGTCTTTTCAGCGATTCCAGGCACTTGAAAATCTATGATGTTTTTCATGCGCCAAGAACAAATGGGAAAATCTTTAGTAACTGTACGGATGTGTAGCGGCTGTGTACCAGATATGTTTATTCCATACTAACTTAGGTCATATGATCATATATTTGGGTTTTTTGACAATCAAAGTAAAAGCTCCGGTAGTGACATGTTATTCCTGACCACGTGTAACTTTTCAGATTTATGGAATTCAGTGTTTACATGTGTACCCATCACCCAGCTTTTTGACCTTTTGGTATTCGGTAGCTGTTTCTCGATTTGATGAGCTGTTTTCTTTGTTTTAAGAAGTAAAAATGGAAGTTTCGCATCAAAATCTCTCTTCAAATGTCCACGTCCTTCAATCCCTGCTGATATACGCGATAAATCCACATCATTTTTAGCCAAACAACTTACGTAAGCAGCTTCTTGCAGTCTCTGCTCTGCAATCTCTCTTTGAGCATGTTTCAGATCAAACAGCTCTTTCTTAACAACTCTCAGCTCTGAAACATGACGTTGTAAAAACAAACGTCTCGATTTTTCAATTTTGTCCCCTTCAAGAATGAGAAGCTTTTCATACTGCTCGATACGGGAAGCTGTTTTATCATAAATTTTGACTGCTGCGAGGCGATTCGTTTTGGGCCGTTCGATTATTCTGTCCCATGCCATGTCTACCCTATCACGATGTTCCAGTGTTAATACCAATCACTTCTATTGCGCTGTACCCATTCTTGGGTACAGTTTTTGTTTGTGCTTAATACGCTGTACCCGCTCTCCAGTTTTTGTGCTTAATACAGAGGTACATCGTTCAAAAGCAGAATAATACTGAAATGAAATATTCAATCCAGCATTAAGATAAAACGGAAGCGACTTTACTTCAATTTAAAGTGTCCCGCGTATGATACGTCGGAAAATTCTGGTTTGTAATCCAACAAAGACCGTTGTTCATTCATGCCAGCTTTTGTAGGTAGCGTGTTTACATCAGATTCACTAATACACTTTGATATACCCCTTCACAAGACTATTTATTCATTCCTTTGTCTGTCAACGGCCGAAAGGATAGAGCAACTTAGGTTACTTTTGAAAATCTTGTTTCTTAGAACCGCCCTTGAATTTCAATAGCAAATCACTCTATATCACTAATTTCCTGCAAATTATTCATTCAAGTTAAAAGCCGTTTTTGTCCTTTCTATTGCATTTCATAGTAAACTAGTCTTAGAACTGTGATGCATTACCACTGAAACGATTTTTTTAATTTGCAGCTTAATCTAAATGCTCCAAGCAAAGGTGTCAAATAATCTATTCGACCACACTATCTTGAATTTTCTTTCCAAAGCACAAATCTCACAGCAGGTTTCCTCGAATCACTTTCCTGAATTTGAATTTAATGCTAAATCCAAGATGAAATAATATAACTATTATTTTATCTTGCTAAAACCTATATACATTTAGGCCCTGTCTGTGTAGAGTTGGGTTACCTAGCAAGCCAAGTTACCCGCCATGCTTTCTAAATCACTCATATCCCCGTGGAGTGTCTAAATGAGCTAGGAAGGTAGCTTAGATTGAGGTAAAATGTTAGATGTAGAAACAGCCCTCCCAGTTCACTATAATCACGCGTTTATTTTCAGCCGGGTAACTCGACAAACCGGGTAACTCGACAAGCCGGGCAACTCGACAAGCCGGACAACTCGACAAGCCGGGTAACTCGACAAGCCGGGTAACTCGACAAGCCGGGTAACTCAGCAAGCCTAGCTCGGCTAGCTGGGCTCCTTATAAATAGGCCCCTAGACCAAGCTGACATTTGAAAAGATCTAAATGATTAAAGATCGAATCAAAATCTGAAAGAATTGCTTTTTCAAGGGTGCTGATACTTGACCAGCACACTACCAGATTCAAATGGTTCTATTTTAAATGGCACCCCAAAAGGGAACAGAGAGCTGGCTCGGGTTGAAATCAAACGTGTCAAGATCAAGGTCAGTGTTCGCATCTAAACTTGTTTTAGAACTGATCCGTTCTGATGTAAACAGGGCCGTAATTGCTGTTAAGGTTAGTTCAATTTTGGGAATAGTGAAGGAATTTTATGGACATGAAGAAAAATATTGAATCTGATGGTATAACTGTGTTCTTTAACTTGCGAAGACTTCTGTCAAATGTTCTTGTGTTTAGCACCAGAAGTCGTATGTACAGAGCTGTGCATCTTTTGGTGCGTAGAACAGGAAACTTCATGTTTAGTTCTATATGCCAAGGTGCTTTGTCAGTCAAATTGTAAATTAAATTGTTTGTCATTTCTTTGCCCCCCCCCCTTGTAGTTGAAAAAAGTAAACATTTCTGTGTGAATAAAGTTCACCCTCTTCCTTGATCATCTTATTCAGGAAATATTTTATGAAGTTCATTACAAGAAACCGTATTTGAAGATCACTTGCTCCGCGTAATAACTAAACAAATATAATAATCAGATGATTATGAAGGCTGAAAATTTCTAAACATGTTGAAAACTCAATTGAGCACTTAGTCCCTGTGCTGTTCCGTCAACAAATAGTGTCACTGAACTGTCAAAGTACTTTTAAGGGATTTTGATATGGGTTTAAAGTCTGAACCCTAGTTAAAGTATATATATTTTGAGCTTTGCAGTGATCGGTATATGGAGTTGTTGACTCGGCATGCAATAAGATGCCTGAACATGTTGCTTTGTCAACTTGTGTCTTGACTCCTTAGTTTTCAAGAGCAAAACCGTGTGGCTTTTCTCGTACCTGGATGAAGTTACCTGCATTAAGGGGTTAGAGGGTGTGCGGGAAAACTTTATTCAAATATATGAAGAATTTCCTGTCCAGAACTCATATATTTTGAATATTTTGAATTTTTCGCAGTTTCCAGTCAAAATACTATTGAGAAAGAACTTTGGAGAAAGATGTTTGGATGACTAATCTTCCTTGACCTATAGATATCTTCTGAAATAGTCAAGGGCATCAAACAACTTCTGGGCAAGTTAGGTGATATGACAGTTGAGCGATGCCTTAATATAAGCTTCGTCCTGCTCGAAGGGGTGCAAACTTTCGCATGTCGCATGATGACGTTTGGAGCCAGAAGGCAATTGGAGCATGGTTCTGTGACCCTATGGCATATGATATAAATATTCTGTACCTTTTGTTTGAAAATTTCCTGCAGGTCAGTTTTCAATCTCCAGAAATTCGTTTTCAAAGAACGAATACATCTTATACATACTTTTTTGTTCATAGCATTTAGTCCCTCCTGGCCCAATCCACTGGCTCAACCCCTTGGCCCTATTCGCTGGCCCTATCCCCTGGCCCTGTCCCCTTCCCTGGCCCTACCCGCTGGTCAGGTGGTTTTAATTCCCCCTAACTTTTACTGGTGGAACCTCGGCGCTGTTCGTAAATCCCTTCTGCGCATGCTTTACGTGTCAATAAAACAAAACAACAACAACATTTCGTTCACTGCTGAAGTTTATATGGCGAACAAATGTTAAAAGTTTTGTCAACTTTCTCGAAATAATCTTTATTCGCAGTGGCATTGCAATATTGGCAGCGATCTAAATTAAGCAGTGTCTATTCTATGTGTGTTCAAGTTAACTGCATAGTTCGGGTATGAATGAGATTTTGTCAGCTGATAATAGAACAGTAGTCTGTAAAAGCTGCCAATGTTGCATAAAACGTCGAACTGTCGATGAATGGATCACTCCGTTTAAAAGTTGCAGCCTAGTTCAAAAGCAAAATAAATTGCCAAAGAAGTTGCTTGCAGATTTCAGTATAATGTCACTGACGATTGTTATAACGATTTTGATATTTACTAGTCAAACAGTATCTGCAAACGGTAAGTTGAAAACATTTCTTTATAGGCCATCTGTAAATTTATGAAGTTACATTATGTTTCTTTCATTCCTTTACTTATGTGACCATATTAATTTCTCTCCTGAACAATATATCTTTTTAAAGGGCTTCTATGAATTTTTAAAGACAACTTCTGTCGTTATTCTAGCTCTATTTTAGAGTAGCAAATTGACATAAATGTCTCAGAGGTTTAAATGCAAAATGCCTATTCTTGCCAAGGCAGGGAAATAAAAATAACTTTCTCTGTTTATTTGTTGCAACCATTCTTTAGATTCTCTGAACTTATTTGTTGGCAGCCTTCTATAACATACTTCCATTTATTATGAATTGATAAAACATTTCAAATCGATTGTATACAAGTTTTACTAATGGCTTGATGTTTTCTTATGATTTCTTTCCATTGATCTCTGCACTCCCTGAAAATCTCAGTGCTCATTTGGACAATTCTGATGTCTAGCATGTTCCACAATAGTTTACTACAGAATGCCAATTGTTGGGTAAAGATATGTTATAGTTGACAAGCCCCCACATTAAGCTAGAGTTTCTAGGCTTTAGAGGTAAAAGAGGGAACAATGTAAGAAATAAGGTAGAACAAGAGATAACCAGCATTTAAATTACCTGGCTAATGTGGAAATATTGTGACTATAATCTATCTGGTAAGTGTTATCAGAAGCCTTGTTGATGAAGGGGAGAGATGCCTGATATAATAGTTAATTTTGGATTTTTCCTTGATGAGCGTGGCATTAGCAACGGAAGGTTTCCATGAAATTGTCATAGATTCTAGAATATGACAATTGATATAGATTCCATAATAAAGGTTCCCGGAATGGGCACAGGACCAGGGGCACTTTGTGTAGCTACCCCTGTCAGCAGTCCTTGAATTAAGTTTTAGGATCTATTATTGAGTGGAATTAGTCATCATCTGATCATTTTTGCGTTCTAGAAATTGAAAGTGGTGATACTAGAGATAATTCAGAAAGTATAGATTTTTCAAGTGAAAATGTTGTTGAGCAGAAAGTGGAGTCTTCAACAGGGGCTGATAAAGAAGTGGAAAATGTTATTAATGAAAATGTAATTAAAGATAATAATATTGAGGCTAGCAATCTTCAAGATAATACCAACCAAGGAACAGCGAGAGTGAACTCTCCTATAGAACAAGATGAAGATACAACTTCAAATGAGGCCCTACATTCTGATAAAAGCTTTACAGAGCCTACTTACAATATTGACAATAAAAACCAACAATCTTCCGAAAAAGATAGCCTTATGGACAGTGATGCAGATCAAATTCCAGGTGATGTTCCACTTTCTGACAGCTCCTTTGATGAACACCAAGATGTCACTGAAAAAAGCAACCAACCTGCTGCCCAAGAAGAACTTCCTACTGAAAACGAAGCAGTCCGTACTTTGATTCCTGATTCACATTTGGGTGGCAATGTCCAGACACAAGAAGTTAGTGATGAGTCAGCTGCTAATGTGAGTATTAGCTGGTTGCTGTTGAATTGTTTCTAACAAATAATAATAACCTGACCTTCATGTTAGTCAAACAGTCCAATAGTCTAAATATTGATTTGTACTTAAATATTTCTATAAGAAAAATTTCACTTCTTGCTATATAACAATAAAAGTAGCAAGAAAAAATAACATGGAACACCCTTTGCAGTTCTCAGCTTTGTTTTTAATCAAGTAATGGCCATATATAAGACATTATAATTTTTTCTTTACAGATTGTTTTCTCAAAAAGACTGATATAAGTTGTGAATCAATTACTCGTAATAATATCTTTTTAAATTTTTAATGCTGACCATCCCAATGAAGAGGAATATATGAAACAGTATGCCTCTAATCAAACTTGTAGGTTTTTTATGACTTCTTGTGTTAGGTCTTCTTTTTGTGTAGTGCTTCTGTTTGTCAATTCTAGCATTAATTTTTATTTTGCCTTTAACTTTTGATTCTAACTTTTCAGAGACAAGAAAATGGTAAAGAAGAGGGGACAGATTATTTCAAAGATGTAGATTCTATCAAAGAAAGTCTTTATACACCTGGCATGTATTCAGATCAATCTATGACACATGACAGCGAGAAAGAGAGTCATACTTCAGGAATGGAGCAGTCTCACAAAGAAGACCAAAGTAATTTAGACGATCTAAATTTACATGACACAGATATTGAATCAACTCCAGAAAATGCTGGTGAGCCAACAGTTGCATCATTGGACAAAGGCAGTGGTGTTGACTATACATCAAAGACCGAGAGTGATGTTGCCATAGAAACAGAAAAGTCAGTAAGTGGTGAAAATGAAGAACAAGAAAGAAAAGACCAAGAACATATTCAGAGTGATACGCAAATGTCTCCTGATAAACCTAATGAAATGGAAAAAGAACAATCTCAAAGTTTTGGTAATATTGTAACTGATTCTGTGAATGAAAATGATGAACACAGTAACATACATCCAGCAGCAGGGAATAAGAAAAAAGAGACAGTGGAATCTACAGTACAGAAAGGTTATTATCAAGATTCAAAATTTGCTTACATTCAAACCATTTTGTCTCTTACTTTCAGACTATTTAATGTTTTTGACTTTATGTTTATATTTGATTTATTATTTCACAGAATCAGTTGAGCCTGGATCTGATTTGGTGCAAGAGGCAGAACTGTTGTTAAACCAGACAAGAAAAAACAGTAAAAGGTATTGTTTACAATTGAATAACAACAAAATGGACATTTAGGCTAATAACTGAACAATTTTTTTAGATTATTGTTCTTTTTGCTTTCTGCCATATAATCCAGCATCTGGACAGTTAAGGTGGGTTTGTTTGAATAATAATGTGCAAGTAAGATGTAGAGATGTGGTTTGTTTTTTCAGGGTATATGGTGTGACTGGTAGCAGGCAATGTTTTTTAAGAGCAGCTGGTATTTTAGCATTTAGATAGACTTTGTGTTTAAATTAAGAAATTCTGATTTTTCACATTCACGAATTGTTTAAATTCCATTTTGATAGTCATGTGTCTGTATTGAAAAATCAGTTTTAAACATAGGTTCTAAACTTTATGTTAATACCATTTACATAAGTAAAATTTTAGTTTACTACCATAACTTTTTAGGTATATTTCTGCTTGCCACACCATAGGATTGATAGTCCTAAACTGCATAGAGTTCTAAAGTGATGATGTCACCAAAATATATTTTTAAAATTTTTGAATTTGGATCCCTGATCTGAAAGAGCATCATGAAATGCCTCTAAATATGCAAAATTAGTCAAATGTATTTTGAATTGGTTGAGGTATGGCCACATGTGCACTGGCTCTTTCCCCATTAAACCTCTGTAATTTGTCTCTGTTCATAACTTTATGAACAGAGCAAAAATAACAGTGATTCGTTAACAAACTTCAAATCCTTTGTTGGCCATATCTCATCTGATTATAGACATATTTGACTGAACTTGCATAATTGGAAGTATTGCATGGTGTTCTTTTATGCCATGTGGTTAAAATTCAAGAATTCTAAAAATAGTTTTTTGTGACGTCAAATTTATGAACTCTATTGATGAAAGCTTTTCTCAAGCTGTAAGCTCATATGCTGTTCAATATCAATACTTATAATAAATCCCTACTTGATGTCCTCTTGAATTGATAGATAATGAAAATGAATGATTCGATATAATAAAATATATCTGTTTTTTAAAGATTTAATTTTAACAATTTATCATATCTAGATTAAATAAGTATTTATTTTCCTGCTCATTCTTCAGTTAGAATATTCTTTTGGTTTTTTTAAATCCATCATTCAAATTCTTTTTAACAGAGCATACAAACTAATCGCCCAAGCAGCAGACATGAACAATACAATAGCAATGGAAAAAGCTGCCATTGAATATTTGGTATGTTTCACCCTTTCAAATAAATTTTTCTTATGTATGGGATAGATTTCAGTTAGATTCACTATTCTGATGACCAAAGATGATAAACATCTGCCATGGGGTTAGTGGAAACAAACGTTAAGGGGGGCAACGTATGGATCTTGCCCAGTGGCAGATTTAAGGGGGGGGCAACTAGGGGCAGTTGCCCCTCCCTCACTAAGTTAAAGCAAGTCTGGTGCCCCTTTTTTGGAAATTGTGCGCCTCTTTTAAAGAATGAGAATCAGGTGAAAAGGTTTCTGAGACATATCGGTTATTTTACTTCAAGGAGTACCTCAAAGTATACAACAAATATTGTGATAATTTTTTGCTTCATTGAGATAAAACTGCCTGAAATGGGAAAATACTGTATGAACAAGGGGCTGCGGGCCTCACAACCAGTATGTCCCCTCTTCCTATGACAGCAGCTGCAACCAGTATAAAAGGCATTAGCCAAGTGCCAATTCCTCTTGAAAAGGAGGAACTACATCAGCATAGACATCATTTTTTCTTTGATCGTAAAGATTGTAGCCTTGTGTTTAAACCTTGACTCCCTAACAGCATATATTGAGTCGTGTTTTGACAGAAAAGATTGTATACTTTTCCAAAGAGATCGGTTGAAAAGCCCCAGGGATTCTTTTACATGGCAACGATTCAGATTGTATCTTTTTGTTCTGAAAACTGGAGTGCTTCTTTTACAAATGATGAAAAAATGAAACAACACGCTTTCCTTCCATCTTGTTCCATTCTGTTCCTTTGTAAACAGAAGAACTTGTTCGGAAAAGGAGCAACTACTTTTCTCTCATTGATAAGGCTGATCACTCTTTGTTTAATTTTTGCACAGGACATGGAGCAGAACAATTGCATTCTTGTGTTAGCAATAATCAATCAATGCTCAATCTTTCCGTCCTGTGTTAGCAGACATTTCCATTTCCATAAACTAGAAGGAAGATAGAACAGTTTACAGTTGTTCACCTGGAAACATAGCTTCTTATTTTGGGAGGCCTTTAACGCCAAATGAAAAACAGCTCCATATAAGTATAAACAGTTTGTGTTTGTAATTTATTTCTTAATGGAAATTTCTTTTCAATATTCTTAGTTGGGTGATCATTTACCAAGGAATTTTACGAAAGCAAATGAAGTATTTCAGAAACTTGCTGACAATGGAGCTCCAGTTGGTCAACAGGTATGAACAAGTTCATAGGTTACAGTTGCCTAGGTTACATTTGCCTGATGATCACATTAAGCTCAGATTTGCAGCTAAAGATTGTCCTTCTTTTCATACCAAAGCCTATACAGCTCTATGCAGAATAAAAAACTATATGATCAATAGAAAGTTAAGTATTAAGAACAATGCAGCCGCCACAAAGCAGGTTGGACAAATCCTGGAATTCAAAGTTTGCAAATTTCAGGATCAGTTTGACATAATTTACATTCTTTTTCAAGTTTTCAAAATATGGACATGTCTCTGTGTATAAGCAAGGTAATGCATTCCTCAGTTCATAGGACTATGAACTTTTTGTATAATCAAAGAGCTAAGGAAGGAAACTTGTAAACTTCATTTTTATCAATGGGAGAGTTGAACTGCATTTTTAAACACAATCTAAGCTGCAGTTTCCAAGAATTAACAGATTTTCATAATTTCGTCAACATAATTGACTCGCAGTAGAGAACTCAATATTTAATATAGTTCATTTTTGATCACATAATCTTAAAGAGTATTTTTAACAGGCCAACCGAGAGAGAGAGAGTAAGAGAGACCCTACCCCTGTGTCAGTTGCCCCTTTGCCTATAAGCAAAGAGAGGCCCGCTGGTGATTAGATTCTTTCTATTTGCATATTGTTTCTGTTGCAAATCATATATCTACTGTGAAAGTTTATATTGCTGGCGTGCCTCTTGGCGGCCCTAAGTATAAAAACATTTTTGTATGAAAAACAGTTAAACATTTTAAATATTGGATGAGATTGTGTGATTTGGCTTATAGAGTTTTGAACCAAGACAAAATTGCATTGATATGATGGATAAAGAGCCTGTGCTCATGTAGATTATCGGCAAATTTGTAACATAATATGTAACATAATTTGCACATTTAGAGGTACTTCATAACATTCTTTCAGATTATCTAGTCAAAACTTCCCTGTTGCTATTAACATGGCAATGGCGGTATGTTAAAAGTATTTTTATTTACAATAGGGACTGGCATTTATGTTTGGCACAGGCACTGGCATCAATTCAAGCCAAGCAAAGGTACGCCTAGCATTCCCTTTCTTTCCCATCATACTTTGTTTTCATCATCATTTATACATAAGACAACTTAAGCAGAAGCTTTGAACGAAGTTGTCATCTTTTTTAATTCTTTGTGCCTATCTTTGTCTAAACTGCAAAGATCATATCCCTTTCCCTGTAATACCCTTGCATTTATTGACACCTATTTTAGTTGTTTAACCTGTCAAAACTAGCATCATCATTTTAAGGCAAACAATTTATGGGTATAAACTGATATAAACTGATGGGACACCGATCCCAGCCTTTGTACTAAAATATACAGACGAAGATCTTTAGATCAATGATTCAGGTTCCCTGAGAAACCTTCTTAAAACATCGTTCAGCGATATTATGATTCATTAAATCATTGGCAAATTTCAGATACAGATATTTCTTTGTGGCAAATTACGTAAAAGAGGGAATACGAATTGAAAACCTGTGTCAAGCTATTTTTCAGCAACCCCGCATGTTTCACTTCATTGCTATGAACACTAATTTATCAATCTTCTATTTTAGGCTTTGATCTACACAACATTTGCAGCTTTAGGTGGAGGTGTTATTGCTGAAATGATGTTGGTAAGACTGCCTTCTTGTCCCCTTTTGTGTTTTGTGAGATATCTTGCAACGGCTTAAGATATCGCATTCAAAAGTAGATCCCTATTCACAAGTGATAATCTGATCCATGCGTTGTGTGCTTCTTACTATGCCCATTGAAAGTCTAACAAGCTAACTATGCTCAGACTAAGACTTTATGCAACCATTTTGTTGACTGGAACTAAGCTTTTTTTATTAAATGTAGGGCTACAGATACTGGGGTGGTATTGGCGTGGTTCAAAACTGTGAATCAGCATTAACTCACTATAAAAAGGTTTCGCAAAAAGGTAGGAAACTTATCATTTTCCTTATTTGTCTTACGTAATTTATTCTGAAGATCAACCTGGACTTTGTCTACGATTTTGTAAAAGCGCCAGCCACAGAACGTAGTTCAGACACCGGGAAATTTCTTGATGTTTCTGTGTAAATCGGTGCTTATCTGATATTTCATATCGTTGTGAATATTGTTCCTGAAATATTTTTGGCTCTGTCATGGGGTAGATCACACTAAAGATAAATGCAATTTATGTGCCCTTGCGACTTCTCTTCTTATTTTTAACCCTTGGAGCAATATGCCGAAAAGATTTATTTTCCTTGATGATGTTAGTTTTTCTTCTTTTGCTGAGCTTTTCTGTTTATGTCTATGCATTTGCTATGATAATACCAATAGAATGTCGTTCCTTGTATAGTTGCTCAAGATGTGCAACCGATGGGAAGCCCTGCAGTTCACCGAATTCGTTTGTATGATGAACTGGAACAGGTAGAAAATTTTGGTTATTCAAAATCTTGTCTGTAATAAGGGATCGGGGGGTAAGGGGGGAGTGGCTTAGTTGAAGCAAGAATCTACCGACCTTAACCACAATACTGATCGATTGTCCGAGTTGATTATATAACAGCTTCTGTACAATTATAACGAAAACCGACCAAAATTTCTTGCATTTTGCAGTTTTCTAATAAAACAACTCTTTGCTCGTATGATGATTTTGTCTTCATCATCATAAACTTGTTAGTTGTTCCTATTGTGGCCTTTTACATATTACAGAGTATAATCGTAGCATTTTGGAGTTAAAGGTAAACAAAAGATTAACCTGTTTCTCCTGAAAACGGGAAATATATTTACTCCTGCCTGAGAGTGTCAACTGAAAATGCTCATTGCAGAATGTAGATTATTAGGACTCACGCAAACCCACGCTAACTTTCTGTAACCCAAGTCATGTCAAGCTATATAAAGTACCTGGCGTTAATCTCATTATTTGTCCAAGAAATTTCGCTCATAAACACTCTCCAAAGAAAGCCTCCTTGCATTCAGTTACTCAATTTTGTATACTTTGATAGATTTTTTCCTATTTGGCTTTATTGCTTATAATAAAAATTGACGGTGTTTTTTTCGTTGATTGTTTATGGTACCATATGTAGTGAGTATATAGTGGACAGGTATTGCATCAAAAAGCCTGAAATCTTCATTTATCTGATTTCAAACGTTTGCTTTTTACAGGGAAGCGCTGGAGGAAATCTAGATGATGACCTTCTTCAATATTACCAATTTCTTGCTGATAAGGGGGACGTACAAGCACAGGTAAGAACATCTTTTGAAAAGAATCTGAATAAAAAGATTTTCTCATTGAATTCAGTTCGAAGAGGACTCCCACGACGGTGATTCCTTTCCTTAAGAATTAAGATTCGACCTCTGCACTGACCGATATAAGCAAGGACAAATTATTTGTTTCATTGTCAAAGTATTATCGTTCTGTCATTTACTAGAAAATATCAGTGTCTTTCTTTAGGACCAAACGCTTTTTCTTTTTCAAAAGTTTACAACAAAATCTATTTTGCAAAAGATCTTTTCTACATGAAGAGTCTAGTCCGTAATTTTTAGACTTTGTCGTGGTTAAGCCACTAACACGTAGTTAAGTTTGTAGTTATTTTTATTACTAGTTATGTTTCTTAATTTAAATCTGTTCCCATTGTTTTTAGGTTGGCCTAGGTCAGCTTTATTTCCAAGGTGCAAGAGGCGTAAATGTAGATCACCAGGTAAAAGAAGCTATTTCTTAAATATCTTTTTAAAAATCAGCGGCTGTTTTGTTCAAAAAGGCGAAACGATGTCTTTTGTAAGAATAGATAACGGTGAATAACGATGTCTGACAGAGCTTCTTTACATTGCAATAGCTTGCTTTATTTTTGCATAACAACAACAACAGTAACAGCAATACTTTGATTTAATCCAATAACAGGGCTATTAATGACATATCAAGACTTTTTGCTATAGTCAGTCCCTCACGGCACTTTCAGTTTTCTCCACGAATTTGATGACGAATCTGTTAAAGTTTTCTTCATCTTGTTTGCATTTAGAAAGCATTCCAGTACTTCAAGCAAGCTGCTGATGCAGGGAATGCCAATGCACAAGCATACCTGGGCAAGGTTTGGCTTTCTTTTTGCTTTTTTGATAGTTTTTTGCATTTGCAGTTTTTGTGTGAGAACATGTTTGATATAAAGATTGATTTATCATTGACAAGGCTTAACTCATAAATTTGTCTTAGTCTTTGATGATCTTTTTAGACCTGCCTAGCAAGTTGATTCATTTAAACGATCCCCCACTAGCGGTTTTAGAGTGGTCCGGGGACCATGGCCAAGGACCGTGGAACCGGGGGGCTACAGGGGCTTAAGCGCCCCACTAGTTTCCAAAATTTACTTCAAACCTTACAAAACCGCCCTGCTCTTGGTTTTTAGCATGTTTAGCGCCCCCAAAAAACCTTTTAGCCCCCTCAATCAGTAACATGCTCTGCGGTCCTTGGCCATGGCCGCAGGCCTCGCACTCATGGTAGCCCGTCACCTAAGAAAAATGATAGAAATTGTAAGGAAGAAGGGCCCCGCAGATGTTTTTGGCTCCAGGCCCGCAGTCCCTAAAAGCGCTGCTGCGATCCACAACTACTCGGAAACAAGAATGGATGAAATCTTCAAAGCTTACAAACTTGTCCTTTAATGTTTTGGAAGGTTTAAAAAATTCGTTTTCGAAATGAGCCCGTCGAATTTGAATTTATATTGACAAATTTCGTCGAATAAATCTGACCGGGCCAACTAAGTTGCGATATTTTAACGAATTTTATGTCCTGACCATGGCTGAAGAAGTCACGAGGAAGTCTTCTAATTTTAGGTTTCTTTTTCTTGCAGATGTTTTTGGAAGGTAACGATGTTGTCCCTCAAGATAACATGACCGCTTTCGAGTATTTCACAAAGGCCGTTGAACAGGTATGGACTCGGAATACTTTGTTTCAGAAAAGCTGTTACTGAATTTGATTTGTTTGTACAAGGAACAGCGTTTTAGGCCTGCATAAATACAGCTCTAGATGGCTGTCTGTTGTATCAGCAAGCCTGTCTTAAAAAAGGAATGTTTTTGTAACTTGCTTGATTATTTTTGTCTTCAAGGGAAATCCTATCGGCCATAGTGGACTCGGACTTATATACCTTCGCGGCAAGGGGGTCACCAAGGTAGGTACACAATATAGTTTATCTGCAAATTTTATATTAATCTTTCTGTTCGTAATGACAATGTTGATTGGTATTTGCTCATCCGATAGTTTAAGTTTCTTTTTCAAAGGAAGACTTTCACTTCATTATAGATAAAGCTACACAGTTAGAATGATTGTTCTGAAACATTCTGAAGGAACGAATTTTTTGTCTATGTCTTTTGGACATTTTTTTATCCATACATCGTCTCTAGATTGCTAATAAATCATCTTTAATTCGCCCATAAATATTGTTTTTACAATTATAAGCCAATTACCCTGAATTGTCCCGAATTGTTAACAAAATGACTTAGTCCCAACATTTTGTAGCTTACATATTTTCGCACTGCGAGTCATTCTCGCATTGTTCCTCAGCACTTTGCTTTGTTTTGCTTTCCGTTATTTTTATTTTCATAACCAGATTCAAAAAAATCTTTGGACAGCCTATTCAGCTTCCTTTCCGTCTGGAGCACTGTAACTTTAATGCTTCTAGAAGCGCTTTGAGGAGTTTTTATAATTTTTTTCAGGATTACGCTAAAGCGGTGGCACATTTCAATTTAGCAGCGGAACAAGGATGGCCAGAGGCACAACTGCAGCTTGGGAATATATATTATCGTACGTATATTGTCTACTGTTCGAATGACGTCATGTAGCCGGCCGATGACGTCATGAAATATATTTTTAAGATTTTTCATTTGGACCACTCAAACAATTTGTTCTGAATTTTATTTGTTAGTTAAAGATATTTCATGGTTTAGTTTCCGGTTGTTGGTCACAGTCCAGGAATACAACTACTGATGTTTTCACGTGTAGGACTAAATTGTAGTGTTACTATTGAAAACTTTAAAAATTGTATTTATGACGTCATCATTTACACTTTATTCAGAATCTTCATCGTTTTGTGAATCTGTTACACAAAGATGATCGAATCTCCCAAGTGATGTATCATTTTGATGACTTATGCATGTTTATCCTAAATGAGTTCAACAAAACAATTTATATTACCTCTACCATCAAGTCCAATCTCGAAAACATTTGATGCTATTAGTACAAGATTAAGCTCATTTTTCTTCCCTTTTCAACAGATGGTCACGGTGTTAACAGAGATTATCAAAAGGCTGTAAAGTATTTTACACTTGCTTCCCAATCTGGTATGTGACAAACCAATCCTGATTCTGTTTTCCCTTATATTTGCAACACTCTTGCTTCTGATCAAAATTCTTTCATCAATGTTTTGAAGTTTACTTCCGTAAAAAAATCCTGTGTGATATTGATTTGAATATAGAGAAAAATGCGAATGATGTCGATAGCGGACATGTATTTAAATCTTCAAACTTTTATCAAAAAACACCCAGAGCACAAAACTGAGTCAATGAATATGCTGCTCTTCTATTTTGACATAATAATAATTTTTCTGTTCAAATTGAAGTTAGTGAAAAATCTAATAATTACCATCAATCCTCATAAAAACTTGCTTCTTTATAAACGTATCATGTACCGATATTTACCGATAGATAACATGATCGATAAGGTGGAATAGTTATCAATTTTGTTAACAAAATAGTTAGAAAACGAATAAATGAATGAAAAAATAAATAAAAAAATAACTGAATAAATAAATAAAATGAATTGTCATTGTTTTCCCTCCCTTAGGTAATGTTTTGGCTGTTTACAACCTTGCTTCCATGCACGCAAGCGGTAATGGTGTTCTCCGCTCCTGTCACACAGCCACTGAGGTAAAATACATATATATATATAATTTAAACAATGTTTGTTGTGTTTTTGGTAGTCATCATCATGATAGGGCTTTTTATGTCCGTAAAAATAGCTTTTGCGTGAAATTTAAAACTGGAATTTTATTAAAAGAAGGTGTTGCTTACATTGCCAATTTGAAGCTTTCTTGTTGAATGATCAAATTTTTAGGACAAAGTGAGGTGCAATTTTTTTAACTTGATGTAGAATTTGGATAATGTCATACATATGATTGGAGAGCTTTGTGTTCCTAGAGATTAGAGAGCATTGTTCCTAGAAGAATTAAGCTTCATTTTTTCAAGGTGATATGCAGTCACAATGGAGTGATTTAGCATGCAAGATAAAGTGTTACTGTAAGGCATGTTGCATGAAAAGTTCTTGAATTTTATAATTTACATCTCAGCTATTCAAGAGCGTTGCTGAGAGAGGACGGTGGTCCGGCTGGTTTACAGAAGCATACGCTGCGTATAAAGCCGGGGATATCGACACTGCTTTGATCAAATATTATATGCTAGCCGAACTCGGCTATGAAGCAGCCCAGAGCAATGTTGCTTACATATTCGACAAAGGTGCGTAGAAAATGGTTGTCCCATTGCTTGCACTATTTGTCCAATAACGATATTGAATTGAATGATAATGTTACCTGGTTGAGTTGGATTGAGATAGTGTATGTATTAGCTGTTTGCCCTACGCATTTGAACCAAATTGTTTGGTTTTTACGCTTTCTCTTGTCCATAAAATTTTCGTCCTTTTTTAGCACAGACTTAAATTTCCCTTTACTGGCTTGATGAATTATTTTGACTGGTATCTGTGTATTGCTAAAAAGTTGACCTGGGTTGCCAGTATATTTCCTCAACGTTTTTCCCTGTATGTAGGTGAATCGACTTTGTATCCAAAAAATGAAACATATGCAAGGGCGCTGTTACAGTGGAACCGGGCAGCATCTCAAGGTATTTAGATCAGCTTGTAAATTTGCAAATTCTGTTTTCTTGGAATCTTTAGCAACTCGTCTCAAATTCATAATACCACTGGTATGTTTTTTTGGAAAACTGAATATGTTGTAAAATAACATTTCAGAAAAATAAAAAGATTTTGTGCCCCATCATATTTTCTTATTTGAAATGCACCATTGCTTCTTTGCGATGCTCAGTCAAATCTATTCATTTCGGTGTTTTACATTTGATGGAACGGTTGCAAACAATTCTCTATGACTATTCCAAAAACACGCTTCGAGCGGAATCACAGAACTCACGAACTAATTAACAATCCACAATCTTACAAAATATCTCTTAATCGATTTTAGGTTACACTGTTGCGCGAGTGAAGGTTGGAGACTATCACTTTTATGGTCTCGGGACGGAGATTGATTACGAGGTTGCTGCGCTGCACTATAGGCTTGCGTCCGAGCAGCAAAACAATGCACAAGCAATGTTCAATTTGGGCTACATGCATGAGCAGGGTCTTGGCCTCAAGAAGGTACCTGTCAAACAATGGTTGCTTTGTATTCAGGACCTAACTAATACTGAAAAAATGGCCACCAATTTGCACTCTTAAAAGTGAACGATAGCTGTGTATTTACGTAACTAGGGATCCAATATCAGTCGAAAGGGAAAAATGTGGCTGTAAGTTCATTTCCTAGGTGGAATGAAATCATATCCAGGTTCTTGTCCCTGGGAAAATTATTTGAAAATTGCCCTTTAATATGAAAGCTGCTCTTAGCAGGAATATTTCCACGCTCTTTATTTGGAATTTACTTAAATGTTCAATGTTATTTATTTCGAACTGCAGAGCAGATTTGTTCTTACTCGTCACAGTTTTCTCTGCTTTGGTCTTATTTCTTAGCTCAATTCAGTGTTATGAAAATTGTATACCTTCTTCCAACTAATGGGCCTAATTTTCAAGACCTTTTTTAAGATACCAATAAAACAGGGCGTGACATGGGTGTGGTATGGGCGTGACAATTGAAATGCTGTTGTTTTCAATCAACTTCAACCACCATCACTTTTGTAGCCATACAGCTGCAACTATTTCTAGCCTCTGGTACCTTTTACAAAAATACTCGAAAAGTTATGATAGCCTCCGATTTTTGATAAATTTTCATTTTCCAGGATATTCACCTGGCAAAACGATTCTACGACATGGCGGCTGAATCAAATCCTGATGCTCAAGTACCAGTTGCGTTAGCCATGGTAAAGCTTGGTGCCTATTTCACACTGGACTGGGCAAAACAGGTAATACTTATTTCTTTAGAGCTATTAACGTTTATCCAGAATGCACGTGCTTTATCGTTCTTCTGTGTGTGCTTTTCCCAATAAAAAAGGTTTTCAGCCATTTCATAAAATAGCACTTGAGCATTCATCGCTTCGACAGTCACATAGCTACGGGCCGTAACTAGCTATTGTGTTAAAAGGGGTGCGATTTTCCAATGGCGCATCCCTAGTTCTTGTTTTCGAAAAGGATTTTTTCCAAAAGTGGGTATCAGACCCCAAGGCCTCATAGCTCTGGTCCGAAATAACTGAACAACTATTAGTAAAGCCAATGGATTGATGTTTAGCCATGTGCATAGGATATATATTTTGAGACAAACTTTAAGTTACTTGTAAATAGAAACAGGGTTATTAAGTAATATCATGATCCCTGTGGTATTTCCTATGGTATTTAAAAAACTTTGCTTTCATCATCCTAATTTTTGCCTCATCTTTCTCAAGTCAGATTCTAAGTTTCTCAATGTGAAGCGTAAGACCAAACGATTGTTTTCTTTGCCTTCCTTTAGAATTACAAGTTTTGGGAAAGGTTCAACATAAAGGAACTTCTAGGAAAAGACTGGGATCTTTATATAATAACAGGACTTGCGATTGCTCTTGGACTTTTATTGCTCATCAGAAGAACCCAAGCTTGATTGTAAAAAATTGTTGTTTAATGTTTTGAATATGTTTAGATGGAAATCTTTTTGACACGTAAAATTTCTGGCAATTTGTCACAGTGTGTCTGGCAACGTATGTAGTTTATGAAAAATTATCAGACTCATCAAAATCTGTGTCTAAAAATGATTGTTCTGCCTATACACTCATTGCATACCTATAATGACATTCGAAAGACATCTCTCCTTGAAAACGAGAGAGGGAACTCTAAAACTGTATTTTAAAATTTCAATTTTCTGGGCTAACCTATGAATAAAATTGACCTGTTAAAGATAGCTTTATGAGTGTTTGGGGTTTCAGCATCCTCTGGATCTCCTTCCAAGATATGTCGTAAACAACAAAGCATTGATGCCCGTTCTAATTGCAATTTTCATAAATAGTTACTTGCCATTGCCCGGCTTCAAATGCTTAAGAGTCATCGCTACTTACCCTGATTGTTGTAAAGTGTTGTTGTTGCTTAAAACAAACCATTCCCCCTCCCCTCATATAGCCCCCGGTCATACCCAAAATGGAGGATATTCAGCAAAAGTGTTGATGCAAATGCCGGAAAATACGCGGAAAATAGTGTTTCTTTAACCCTTTCCGCCTGTGCGTAATATGCGGAAAATTATGTTTCTTTAAGCAACATCCTACTCAAGTCAATTAAAGCGATGATGATTTTCATATGAAAACATTTTCCAGTTCGTAATTTCTTATAAAGGTTAGTGAAAATATCAACTCCATATGATCAGATGGATCTGATGATTTTGTTCGAGAGATTTTTATGAATTATAATTCGGTGGGTCCATTCTGGATCAGCATTGGATTGTAACCAACTGCGTCTTTTTATCTAATAAAATATTCGTTTCTGCAGGTGTTTTTAGAGTTGTTTTTAAGAATGTTTATGTGAGTGCGAGTATTCTGGAGTTCCGAACTTGGAAGATGATCAGTGAGGTCTATAAGCAAAGTATTTGTTAACACGAGGTAGCAAAATGAAATGTAGAAAATCCTATTTGAAACTCTAAGGTTTAACATTTTGCATTATCGTAAGTACATGTCATTATAACTCGTACCAGGACTACTTTTTGCATTACCAAAGACTCTCTTTTTGGTATCTGTTGGAGATATCGACAGAAGTGATCAGATTGTGGTTTTCGATAAGATGCCGTCATAGTATCATCGACAGCGTCCGAGACATGGCATTGCGATGTTTTGTTTTAGTGCGGTGATAAAAAATAGTGATACAAGAAGGAGTGATATTTAATAGAATACTGCGCGAAGAATACTTTTCAACATTCAGCTGATCAATTTCAAATTGTCGATGACAGTTTTTGGAGGGCAATACCTGATATTCAAGCATTAACCATTGCTATTATTGCGTAAAAATAAATATTGAATATTGTGACATTGGAAAAATAATGTAGCTTGAGAAATAGTTTAGCTTTGGAGCAGAAAAGTTGGAAGAACATTTGCAAATTAAATCTGACTATTTCAATAAGAAACATACAAATGAAGAGCCATCGTATTATGTAAATATGTGGTCTGAAAAGATTGAACTCTACATTAAGTTTGTAAATTTGCACATTGAACAAAAGACTTAAAACAGTGACAATAGTGGCAACCACTCTCACGCATGTTTTCAAGGTCAGCCTGGTTTGATTAGAGCAACTCGCAATTTCTTCCTTGACCAAAAGCCATTCTCGACCAAGCTTGCAATTTCCGATTGATTCAAATATACCACCCAAATGAACAACATTTGCAACTTGAACAAACTAAAGGGCCTTCATCTTTCACATCATGCAGGAGAATTGATAGCAAAGAGGGTATTGTCGTGTCAAAGACCTTGATGAATCCTTGGTACCTGCGTCCTCTCACAAAGCAATCTGCTTTCCAACATATCCTCTTCGCAATACATAGGATACCAACATGATCTACTTCTACATTAAACGGTTATGCACCTTGTCTGGTGCTTGCTTTGAATTCTTCTGACCTACCTAGCAACTTCTCCGCTGTAACCCTGCCTAATTATTCTAAGAAAGTATTAGAAAATCATTCATTCTATCAGCATGAAGAGAAATCGAACATTTTACTTGCTCAAGAAACAGTCTAATCAGGTTTAAAGCATTTGATTAGAAAAAACAGTCGTTGATTGGGGGCAGGTAATATTGGTTCCTTGGCCTGTTTTAATTCTCAGTTACAGGTTCTCTCTTAAACATGCTGTGTGCAAACTAATATACATGGACAACACGAGTCTTTAACATCAAATCAGAAGTGATTCTCTAACGTTTTAAAACCGGTAAAGTAATTATCCACAACAAGAAACTTAAAAACTTACAGCCGTCTTTTTGATTGAACACTTTTGCCTGTCAAATCATAAGGTTTTGAATTGTATTGTCCCCTGCCCGCACTTTTGTCCTAAGACATCCCTATCGCTAGGCATAAACAACCAAATTCATTGCCAAAATACAACTTTTAAGTAGGAACCTAATGTAAGATCCATTGATCCTGTAACGCCTATTTGCACCTCTAAAAGGAGACCCAAGATAAATTCGAATCCGACTCTTGAAGTAATAGATTCTTGAGATACCTACAAAATAATGTTTATTCCTACGTCTTTTTTTTCTGAAAATTTGATATATTTTCTTATGTGTCTCATTTTGCCCCATATTACCCTAACCATCAAAAATTTAATATCTACATACAACCAAAATGAACACCTGATTACTGAAATTCTTCCAATCCAGATGATCGCTGTAAGCTAGAAAATTAGAGAAGCAGCTTCGAGCTGTCCTGTTCTATATACCAAATTATGTGCCACAGCTTTGTTGGTGGAGCATCGAGCATTTGCCACTGACCAACTAACTGTTATCTTCATGAATTCCGAATTCAGACCGTCTTTGATGTTGTATCCGCCAAGTATTTCGTTGCTTTGGTTTATAAACGAACGTTCTACCCTTCTAGCTGTCGACCGTCCCTACCACGTGTACTTCTATCATCGTAAAGTGCTAGAAGTAAACGGGGCAGCGACGGGTCGAAAGTGCAGGGCTGTCTCATCTTATAATGGAACACGACTTCGCGTCAGACGCCAAAACATCACATCTGATGACAACCATCAAGGCTTTGTAGAACTTCTGCAGTGTCTTTCTCCCGACAATACTTTGTTATCTACAAAGAATATTTTTGAGATAACAACGTTGCTATTCATTCTCTCACCTCTTGTGCCATGTGTCGAGACATTCTGCAAACGAATGTCAGAACAGGCCGCTCTTAGCACAAGTTTGGCTATGCAACCGACAACCAGTTGAACAAATATTTAAAGAGAAATAGTTGCATTTGAATGAAATCTTTTATTTGTTAAGAGAGGCGAGCAAAGAGAGAGGTGAGCAAAGATCACAGTTTCAGACGCACACGCCAGTGGCAAGCTTGTAGAAGATGAAGTCACGAAATATCTTGTGCTTGCGTGTCGTGACTTAATTTAACCCCGTGAAACACAATGTCATGGTTAACGAGAGATTTCAAAACAGGGCCTAGGTGCTAGCGTAGCTTTGACACTGGAACAAAGTTTTCGATGACGAAACCTGATGCATAAAATGAATATATGATAACGTTAGCAATAAAATTCAATATCACGCTTTTAATAAGAGGCTTTTGCTCTTGTGAACACTTTACACTCAGTTCTTCTGAACATTATGCTTGTTGCCTATTTATTTAAAAGCACAATGTAATTATTCATTTTTACTGCAGAACAGCTGCTCTCTTTTGTGTTTCTTCACATCAAACATGAAGCTTCTAACTTTCATTACATTTAATATTAAAGAGGGTTGCGGCAGATTGGTTCTCTTCTAAGTTGCTAACGATCAACTGGCCTCAAACCATATTCCAACCACACTGTATGAAAGATTCTTCTACCGGTAAATATTCTACTCTAGACAAGTTAAAATGTAAGAGATAGAATAATCTGAGATTAGCTTTTTCATTTATCTGAGATTAATCTTTATTGGCTTCTCTTCTTAGCAACTCACTCCTTATCAGAAAAGATGTATCGTTATAACAAAAGATCCAACAATAGGAGTTTGTGCTTTTAGATAAAAATTGCAGTATTAAAATAAGACGTAAAGAAAAAAGCGCTTTGTAAAAACTTTAAAATCTGGAGAAGATTCACTTGTCTGCCTACATAGCACCGCTACCCCACTCCCCAGCTTGCCCCGGCGACTGAGTATCTTTAGAAGAAAACATAAAATGGAGTGCTTGACATTTTTCAAATTTTATGTGTGCTTGACATTTTTCTATTCGTAACCACTTCTATTCGCCTTTATCCTTCGGTGGATATTGAATACCCATATCTTTGCTTTTTCGTGCTGTCTAGAACTTTGAAGAATACAGCAAAGGCAATACATAAATATAAAACTGAACACGCATGACTTAAAAATGCTTTCATCCAAAGTCGACGTGGACCTCGCTGTCGTGCGTTTTTCGCGTGAGGTCGCCTTCGCGTGAGTATGTTGCGCGGTGCTTTTCTCGTCGCATGTACGCCCTTCGCATGTTCGCTGATCTTCTGCAAGGCGATCAACCAACATGCTACATTTCGTTAACAAATAATTCGCATTGAAAATTCCGCCAAGGTTAGCGAGGGGTTAACCGGAGTTAAAGTTTGCGGAAGAACGTGATGCTATTAGCGTCTGTGTGAAGCGCTACCGCCGACCTTCGTCTTGCTTTGTTTCATTTCGATCTTTTCTTCATGCTCAATTAGAAACGGGGCTAAACTAGAAGATTTCACCCAAAGTAAACTATTTTTTCAGCATGCTACATCGTGATGTATTTATATAGTTAATTAAATTAAGACAGGTGAACTTCATCCAGTCTTTCTCCAGGGCCAGATTAAGAAAACTTTTTTCTAGCTTTTTACAGTTAGTTAAAAATGTAATTGATTGAATAAAGCTCAAATAAATACATTCTTGGCAAAACACAAAACATAATCTTACAATTGAAGCCCTTTAGCAGCCCAACTTGATTACCTGCTATTAACTTTTTAATGATCTTAATTCCATTATTTTTACTGTTATGAAGTTTGTTACCCATGAACATCACTAGAAATTTATCGCCTTGCCTTACTCCGGGATTTCGGTGATGCCAGCCACTCCCACTAGAAAAAATTAGAGTTTTCTAGCAAATCATGTGTTTCAACAAATGATACAGCTGCTATTTACTTAAAAAATGTTCAACTTAGGAAATAAAGATTTTTGTCATAATGTTTTCGTTAATCTTCACTTGAAACTCTTTTGAATTAGTGCTAAAAATATTTAAAAGTTCAGAGAAAGAGAGTAGCTTTAAAACTGCGCACAAGAGATTGTCCATGTCCAATCTGCAAAGGAAGTGGATGAGTCATTCTTTATTCGCGTAATCAAAGTTGGCCCACGAAACACCCTTTGGCTATGGAATATTTTGAAGAAGGTGTCACATGCATCCTACAGCCCCGATGAAAGGCTGAATTTGAAAATTTACCTAAAAATAACGAGTAAAGTATCATGATGGTTCGCTGAAGCAAAATATTATGCTTGCTCTTTCCATCTGACTGTCGAGAGGGCAGTCGAGCTTTCAAAAGCTTAGAAAATTTAGGACATGGTGCATTTTTTGCTCTCTAATTGGTCAGGGAACTTTGTGATTCGGCTTCAAGAGCCAGTCAAGTCTACTCAATGGCAGCCTGTCTCGCTGTTTTAGAATATTTAGCTGGAAGAAATGTGATACATGTAAGACTGCCAGTTAAAACCTACAAATCATAAATTAAACTACGTCTTGTTGTATTAAAATCGTTCTTCTTGTAGATGGCAAATTTGGTTTGTACTTGCGTCACCATGAAAAAGGCAGAATACAAACCATCTTTGAGAATGCGTTGGTATCAAACTTAGTACACCATAGAAATCTTGTAGTATATAAGGAATACCGCAACGCGACGAGAATAAACAACAATAGACACACAAATCAGTGATGGCTAATATTTCGCTCTGATGAAACCCTTTTTTTTGCTCTTATGAAGCCCCGTATGCCGGGGCGAAATATTAGCCAGCACTGATTTGTGTGTTTGTTGTTGTTTATTCTCGTCGCGTTGCGGTGTTCCTTTTATGCTATTATTTTATCGATTTTTCGCCGCAAGATTTCCTCTGGAGTCCGTCGAGCAGCCTGCTATCGTGGCCTCTCCTTTATTCGCACATAGAAATCTTGGCCTAAAACTTGTAATAAAGGTTTCCTTCCAGTGTGGTTTAATTTACATTGTTTGACCAGCATGGTATCACCCTTCTCAACTGTGGGTGTTTGACTTTTTTCACTTGTTTTTCTGTGCATTTAGCTTAAAATTTTATCAGATGTGACAGAAGGAAAAACAGATTAGGCGATTGTTCTCTTTGTTCCACGATACAAACGACAAAGTAAAAACAAACGGATACTCTTTTTAAAGTAGATATAAGAACAAGAAATGTTTGTAGGTAACAAACGATTGTGCACTTGAACTCATTGATATTGAAGATGGATGATTCTGAAAGTGAAGTTTTTAGTTGTATGGCACGAGCAATCGAAAGTCAAAAACCTTTCTAATTTAACAATTAGATATAACATCATATACGATCCTAAAAATTTTATTATCTTTCTTTAGTTTTGTGAACACTACTATAACCCTAAATAGCTTTTAGAGACACTATATTAGCAATGAGATTTCAAATCTCAAACATAGAGAAGCAAAATGCTGTATTTTTTGTTTGGTTTTAGTTTAGGATGGCATTGATGCAATATTTAGGCATTACTTTGCTGCTAATAGTTGATCTAAATTACCTGACTTACCTTTTCATTCACGAAATAGTTTTCCATGATTGAGAAGTGGACCGCCATGTGATGTACTGCCCTTCCATTATGAAAACTGCGATCCTGAAGCAGCTAGATGGCATTGCGTGATTTCGTGATACCCTCTCAGATGCCAGCGGCTGTTTCTTTGAATCAGTGTCAATTTTTTATCCCGCCTCTTGTCTTATATGACCTGTGTTCGTGTCACGCGAACTTTCCAGATGATAGACCGTGTATAAAAACGCAGATGTAGTAGTTTTTAAAATTGGATCTTAATATCAGGAAAAATTATTTATCAATTTGAATTTTCGGGTACTTCTAACTTTCCTGTAACATCAGTGAAGTTCTTGTCAAGGCGAAGATATTTTACGACGGCAGCTTAATATTGCGTGATAGAAGAAAAAGTGAGGTCAGACCACTGCATTTTGTTCGAGGATCACCAGTACAAATCTGGCATCTAAGATAACGAAGCACTCCGAGCCGAGCTGAAAACAAAATATTGTTCATACTTCCTTACACTACCGTATACGCTCTTTTTTATAAGAAACAGTAAATTTAAGTTCAGGCTGACTGTTCTTAATTTTTTCGAAAATCTGAGGCTGGATTGTTCTTAATTTGTTCTTAATCTAACCATCTAATAGGGTGTAAGCAGTGCGAATGCTTCTTTTATGTGTTTCTGTTTCAAATTTCATAGTTTAGTGCCACACTTTGAAAGTTCAACTACTACAGAAATGTTCATACGTTGCAATTGTTGCTAAAAGGTTACAGGAAGAGTACAAAAATTGCTTCTTTTGCCCGGCGAAAATCCTTAATGTGCCGACGCAAACCCTCCCTTTGGCGACGCCCTTGTCTCTGATAAATATGAACGTCTCTTCAAGACTACCAATTGGGAAAGAGAGATTGTCTCGATTAGTACGTCAAATCGTTCACCGCATTGTAATACATTGGTAATTGCTCTACAATTTGTTGATAATAATCAGCTTATTTTCAGCATCACAAGCACCGAAGGACATTTGCTAACAAATGTTGATTTAATAATACCCAAAGCTAATGAAAGCCTGAACTTAACTAGGGTAAACTTAGACGTAAATCTTTTCTAGAAATTAACAAGTAATTTTTTTAGAAACGACCTTTACCATCTCAAATACGAAAAAGATCTTGTTGAATTTTGAAGAAACATTTTTACCGTGCATGATATGATATTAATGAGAATCTAAAAGCAGACATCAGATGATTTACTATGCGAGAAAACTGAACATTTAAAAAAAACGAGTTTACTTCTCATTGTCCAACTGATAGGCTGATGAAAAACTTTCATGATGTATGCACAACCCGTATCTTGTCTTCTTTTGCTGCTTTAGGCTCATTAACAGTCTTGTCCTTTAAATTTAAAGTTTAAGTCAGCCCTCGGAGTAAGGGAATAATGGTCCCTGCTTTCCATTTTTCAAATAAGTCGGAAATTTTTCAGATAACAGTTTTTAAAACAACATACCTGAACTGACATTTCTTTGCTTCTAATACTTTTAATCAGGCATTGTTCGGAAAATAGGCCTCTTCCCCGCTGTTTGAATAAGGGTTACAGATTTGTTGAATAACTGCCTTTCGTGCAAAGCTTTTACAAAAGAACCATACGAACAGAAGAAAGCCTATTTTTAAAAACTTCTGTTTTTATTGTTGTGTAGCTTGTTCTTATAAGACAAAATCTACTGATTGAACAATTTAAGTCACAAATTTTAGGCTAGAGCCTTTTTAAAACTGAGGTTAAAACCCCTTGTAAAATATTACTTTTCTGTGTTGAAACGGTTATCTAAAACACTGTGTAATGATATTACTAATGAAGTTTACCATAAACCAGTCATCTGCAGAAAGCTCTGTGATATGTAGTAGCAAGAGCTGAACGTCCTTTAATTTGTAGAAAAAAATGACTTTAAGTTCGAACTATCATCCTAGGTAAGATTATATTTGCCTTCAACCCGACGACATTTATCTGTAATTCAAAAAATGCTTGCTAGATAATTATATCTCTATATCTGTGTTAAGTTACTTATTTTCTAAAACGTTTTGCAATGAAATTATTGAATCCATAACATTTTCTGAAGAATAAACGATACAGGTTGTGAAAATTTTACAATGACCCTAGCAAATTTTCAAAACTTGTTTTGCTTCCAATAACTGTTTATATGTAGGTAATTGAAAGATCGATATTTGCAAATTTTCCTAAAAATTCTGAATCCTAAATCTATCTTAATATCTCTTTAGATCTATTTCGACTGCTCATTTATGTGTGATATAAAAGGGATTGACTTACTGTGGTCAAAAAGTGGGGTTATGTTATAGTTAAAATCAACAGTGTTTGAATTTGTCACAAAAATCTTAAATTCTTGCTTTTTGTCTTTTCTCTGAATAAGGAAATCAAGATATTTTGCAGCAACTATTTGTAAGAGCACATTGCAGTCATAAGAGATATGCAAAATTGAGTGCTTCAGTCTACTTAGAAAAACATCTTGTACTTAAGAGAATCCGTGCACTTCTTAGAAGGGCTGGGCATTGTAAAGGCTCATGATAACATCATAGTAGGATTGACCAAATGGGCGTTAGAATAGAGAAAATCTAATCCAAAAAGTGCAGGATTTTAGACAAGAAATAAACAACAGACCCAAACAGAATCCAAAAGATAAGATTCTAATCGAACTGAACATCAAAAGCTCTAATTCTAATTCTAAATGCATTCACGAAATTTTAAGAGGATTGGGTGGAAAAATAAGCAAATTTCAGAAATGTATACCGACAATATTTATTGTTCGCTGTTTATTCCAAACCCTTAGAAAATAATTGTTACGTATTTATTATTACATACAATGCATTAAGAAGGCCAATAAAATATAATATTCAATTATATCAAGCTATAACCTCAAAAGCTTACATGATCTCATCAAAAACTAGGATTGGGCCAGTTTGTTCCTTTTTTTTGTCTATAGCCTTCAGCAGTGCTCTCTATACGCTGGGAAGCAGATAAGTCCAAACATCCACTTAGTGCTTAACAAAATTGACTCTTTTCAAAATCTTATGAATAAGATTAAGCAGTGTGGCTTCTTTAAAAGAACTTAAAGGTGCATAATCTGACGAAATTCGCAAACCAGATTATGGCAGGAGAATCCAGATTTCCAATCAAAGTGGAGAATCCAGTGTCGTGCCTAGATATCTCTTGGAACCTTCAATTTCTTTCTATTTAGATCTCACTACAAAAAATGTTCACAATTGTCAGATGACGTAGGATTAGCTGGTATCTCTACCTAAAAACAAAACTGGTGACAACACGCATGAGGTTGGGCAAGTCACTGTTTTTTCGATGATGAAAATGGAAATTTAAATCTTATCTTCAAAACTCTTCTCATACAAAATTTACAAAATATTAATACATTGAATCAAAGTAAAACGAGTTATTGCAAATTATCAAGACAAAGTGACAGGAATGAATGTTGGTTTTAAGCTGAGATCCTTTCTTGTCCACAGGCAAACGTTTCCCTGATTGTCACACGAGAATAAATGCTGTGTGTCCCATAAAGAGTAGGCCAGGCTAAAAATCAATGATGAATTATAACAAATATTCTGAAAAAAATTTGATATTTCCCAACCTCCCGGTGAAAGGAATTACGTCACGAAGATACTTAGCCAGCAAAGCATGATGGTAAATCGTCCAGCAGCATAATAGTCTTTTTATCAGACCCAATAGGCTTTGTATTGAATATCAAATCAGACAACGGTGGAAAATGAGTCGATCTTTAGCAGTGACACTTTCTAGCAAAAACCGTTGCAAGTTTTATTTGCGACTTCAATGAAACAGTAACCTAAACGATGTTAGAGATCGCCAATTCTTCCTCTAACACAAATGCCACCAACACATGGATATATTCCCATGATTTGCAAGAAAACGGGTGCCTTGCTTGCTTGCTTACTCGAAACATTAAACAAGAATCAGTCTTGCTTTCTACAAAATTATTCACAGGATTGTCTTAACTTCTAAATATTGAAACATTGCCTTTGACAACAGGAAATTAATTTCGTACCAGTTACACAGTAAAATTTTTGTTACTTCTGAAAAAATCAACACTATTAGCAAAATTACAAAAATAGCAAAGAGAACTCATGCAATTAGATCCGGTTGCCACTAGTGAAATTCTTAGTGGTGGAGTCCAACGAGCAAACAAAACATCGGAACCATAGAAAAACGTTTTGTCTGATCAGAATGTACGACAGAATCATTACACATTTCTCATTCCTTGAGTACTTTGAACCTGCTTTCTTTGTTTTAAATAAGCTTATGAATTGTCAGAAGCATGAGAGATATCCCCGATTGCGTGACGCAAAGATTCATGCGATATGCATGGAAAACTGAAAGCATATACATTCTTGAAGGTCACCTGATTATTAAAACTGTCGCGTGCAAGCCATCGTCACAAAGGCACGCTTGACCCAAAGAAATTAAAGCACATGACAAGGAAAACATCGCATTTAATTATGCTTCTTTTGCAATAAGCTGGTATTTATCTGCCCAACTCTGAAGGTCGTGAGAGAGTTTGATACAAGTACAGCAGTTTTTCAATCATTATGAGAAATATCATTGTTTCAAAATTTTTTTAATGTTACAGCAAGGAACAGCCATCGAGCCGATAAAGATTTGCCAATATTATTTCAATAATATGTTACGACCAAAATTGAAAGGAATTAGAGAAACTGGCTAGCAAATTTATCTAAAACGTCTTATTCCAACTGATATCCTCATCAACAAAAATGCGAAATTCTCAAGGGAACCTAAAAGAACCCATTGGACCACGCTGAGCTTTTTAACTTCGCATAAAATAAGATTTTTCAATAGGGAAGAGGGGAGGATGCTGATGTGTATTGCAGCAAGACATTTGGCAGACATTGTATTTAGGGCCAATTACCATTCAAAAAGTGGCCAATCAGAAACGCGAGCACATCACAGTAAATGATATCCAATCAGCGGCGTCTCCCGATAGAAAATATATTAACACTGAGGTCCAAGGATAACAAAAAAGGAATACCGTTAAGCAAAACATTCTTAGGCAATGCATTTATATGTGTGGGAATAAAGGAAAGGCCACGATAGCAGGCTTCTCGATGGACTCGATGGAATTTTTGCAGATTTGATGAAAAATGTAGTAAATAAGTGGCTCTTTTGCTCTGATGAAGCCCCGTATGTCAGGGTGAAATATTAGCCATAATTGATTTACGTGTGTTTGTTATTGTTCATTCTCGTCGCGTTGCGGTGTTACTTATTTACTACATATAATGCAATTATGATCAATGTGAAAAGCAAACAGTCAGCTTTTGTTACCTTACAACGGGACAAGATCCAGACGGCGGCTGTATGTCTCTTATGCACATCAAATTCCATGTGCTCCAAAGTCTATGAAAATAGAAATCCATTAATAATCTTTCTTAGTTAGGTCATGCATAAAACCAATCGTGTTTGTGCTTGTACAGGGCATTCATAACACATAAATGTTAGTGTGGTTTTGTTTTCATGGAAGAATTACGTAAATATTTTATTACAACGAGAGACGTTTCTAAATGTTTTTATTTGCAGTGCATTAGTGAGATTTAACGTCGTCAGCACGAAGTAATGTTTTTACAATCAACAGAATCATGCACGTGCATGCCATAAAATCTATGGCAATTGAAAGATACGAGGTGTATTAAAATATTACTGTTGTTCTGACTTGGTTCATAAATATAAAATCAAGAACTAATGACATCAATTGGATTGGGGAGGAGGCCATGCTTAAGTGACCATATTTAAGACAATATGTGGCAAATTTAACTGATTTGGCACATGTAAAAGTATTTTTTGCGTCAGTTTCGGGTAGAGTCAAAGAGTTTCCAGTTGATATTTCATGCTATAAAAATTGAAAAAATCTTATAAATTCATTTACTACGCAAATTTCAACGAGATTCTTTGGAATTACCTAATTACTCCGTTCTCAAGCCCAGCAGCAACAACATTTACTGATATTCCTTCGGGAGCACATGAGAAATCGAGGCATCTTACTTTAGCCTCGGTTGTAGTTTTCCATATCACCTTGGCATTGATGGTCCACAGGTGGACGAAACTGCCACCATCACCTAAATCGAACCCAAAAAGAATTTGAGGAAATAGACTTAAACTTCATCGAGGTCTCACAAAGTTCTACTTCTACAAGTTACAAACACACAAGTTGTCTGCTTCACAAGACATGACTGACAGTTAATGAAATGATTGGCATGCAAGAAAATTTTTGGTTTACCATGTCCGCAAGCGGTTGCAATGTTCCCTGATGTTCGACTGACAGACAGACAACTGATTTCAGATTCATGCTTAGGAAGATTTCGAACGTAAGAAAGCCTGGAACAGAAAAAGATAAGTATTATTAGGTACTTAATCAATTAGAAACATAACCACTTTTGTATTGCTTAATCGTGAAAACATTTGCGCGGTCTTACATCAAACTCGTATATTACATTTGTATATAATATTAAAAATACCCTAATCTATAAATTATAAATCTGTAAATATACCCTATTCTGACATCATAAAAAACTAGCTTTCTCAAAATCCCTGTTGCAAAAGAACAATTTACTTCCTAAATGGCACCCAATGGGACATAGAAATGTGGATCCTTCTCAAATTACTGCTAGTTTAGTTTGCATCTTGTCCTCCACAATAATGCAATACCATGCTCGCAGTTATTTTCACTGAAGTGACGTTGATCAGAATACCAATATTTGCTTTACCTGTTAAGATCCCAAATAATGGCAAGAGCATCTTTGGATCCCGTTACAACGATACTGTACGCCCTGCACACAAATATTGACGTCACAGCTGCAGAATGACCGAGTAGATTTTGCTTCGAGCCAATAATATTCAGTGATATCTGTTAGTAAAAACAGGAACAAATTATATTTGCTGTATCTTTAGCAGATTTGAAGAAAAAGCAGAGGGCAACCGAGCAACAACGATTTTTGACAAAGAAGACTTCAATTGATTTTGTACTGAATTTGTTTATATGACTTTAAATCAGTAGTAAGAGGGGAACGACAGCGATTCATACTCTTCTGTGGATAGTAATCAGAAGCATAGTAACCACGAACAGTTCCCCTTTGTAATAAGAACTTCAAGATGCATTTAAGCGGCGTTCCTTTTATCGATATAGCAAATTTTGTAGGTAAAATTATTGTTTTAAATTTCTCATACCGGATCAGGACAAAACTTCACCGGCCACACAGTGAGAATACCGGACGATCCACCTATGAATAACAAATCCGCACCCGGTGCGAAGGAACAGCATGTGATCTGGAAAAGAAAAATAACAAAGTTTGCATATAAATCAGAATGTCTTTTTTGGTCTAAAAGAAAGTGCGAAGTAGGCTGAACAATTACATTGCTAAAATAGCAAAGCTAAATGGATTATACTTTGTCAACAACAAATAGAAGTTGAGATGTTAACAATGCGTTCTGGTCTTAATAAAATCTAATAAACCCATGCTAAATGTTTTATTAGCGATAGTTCTCTGAAAAACAAAAAATTTGTGACTTAGAAGCACGTGTAGTACAAAAAATCCAGGTAAAAAGATGGCTTCCGATGGCTTACGAGGTGTTTCAAAGCTGATGCATAAGAAAATTGTGGTCTGATTTAATGGCTTTATAATTGTTGCAAAGGATCATGGTAAATTATTACGTAATAACGTAATCTTATTAACTCATCTCACCTTGTCGGGCCTAGCTGCATCGAAACGAGCCTTCCGATTGGACACTAAAGATTTCAGAACAATAAAGCTGTCATTATCTTTCCAGGAAACGCAGCCCATTTTCTTATCCTCTAAACAGTCCTCTTCTGGCACAATAAGACAGCAGTCTTTATCAACAACAAAAGCAGTCGATGATTTGACTGAAGGCTGAATACAACTGGGAGTGAATTCGAACGACTCTACCCACTGCATCACAGGGTCTGTTTGACTTGGGGAACCGCAGTATCTCCCCCAAGACAGTCCAAGAACGGTCGGAAGCGGTTGGACACAATCTATAAACGGGGAAAAAATTACAGAACATCTAAAACAATTAAATGCACGCCTAAATTTGAAAGTCGCTTTCTTTCAATAATACAGTGAGATACCTAATAATTCAATTAACAAAAAACATCAATAAACTACAGATTTTTGATACTGAATTCTAAATACCGCTTAAAGTTAATTTGCAAACAATCTATTTGTGGTACAAAAAGTAAAAATGGCTTTTAAAAAAGGAAACATTTGAGTATACTGAAGCTTTTCGTCTTTATCGGCTTGAAAGTAACTTATCACCTTTACTATTAGGATCAGCCTTGCCCATCAGTCGATCTTTGAAGCTGCCAGAGTTTATGAAATTCTCAACTGCTTGTGGTAGAGATGGTATTATTTCGTTCAGGGGAGAAATGGCACCCTTGCTAAAACGCTGAACATGTGGTCCGCTGAAAAGCTTGCGCGGTGTCTGTCCGTATGTCTCGATCATCGTCTGCAAAGCTCTTCTCTTCACTGCGTCCCGTGCAGCATTAACATCAACGCCAAAGTAAGTCTAAAGTTAAGAAAATTCAACCCTCATATTTTGCCTGCGTAACCAGAATCTCTTGACTACAAAATCAAGTTTAAGGTCAATTGTTTGGAAATTGACTTCCAAATAAGCTTTTTCAAACTTAAGCAATCACAGGAAAAACAAAGCTTTCAATTCTTCACTCTGACACAAATAATAATTTTCACGCCATTAACCGATAAACCATAAAAAGGAAATGCTAAATAGGTATTTAGATAGATAAATTGGAAAGTGGAACAGGTCAAGAAGCTACATATCAAGAACTACGAACCGCTGGGTGAAAGACGTTGACAGAATTTCTCGCTGCCACACCATCTTGCTTGTAACCAAATACTAAATCAATCCAGTTATGAAGGGACGAAGAAACGCAATGGGATTCTAAAGCCTGCAGTATAAAAGTTTGTGAAAATAACAAAAGCTTGCCACACTGCAGTAACTATGCCTCATTACATTTGCTTCAATGTAACTGAAAGAAAAGCTTTTGAAACAAAGGCTAATCATAGTTATTGACACGCACCCTCGTTTCTCAATAGGATCGATTTCGTATCGTGTAACTTCCATGACAAAATGAAAAAAAGGGGGGGGGGAGGGGTGATATTTTGGCAACAAATTATTTGTGATGTGTTTCTATCATTTTGAAATTGCCTTTTTATAAGCAAAAGCTAGTTACAAGCGTGGCCTATTAGCAAGATTGGCCTTCTTTGCTGGCGTGACTAAAAATGCTTGCTTTGTCCACCTGCATTACCTAATGGCTGTCATCGCTAGTGATCTAGTGATAGGCCCCTATCCCCCTTCTCCATGTTTGGCTCGAAAAACTGATGTAAGCAGCTAGGAAAATATCTTTTATGCAATACGTGTGAGATTAACCTAATTATCAACATTCCTATGAGCCAGAAAAGTGATCAGAAATTGGCCAAGATATGAATAACGTGAAATCAAAACTCAAGTTGCTGGGTTTTTAAACAAGTGTTATCAAGCAGTGTACCTGGCGATGGATGTTTACAAACAGCCGAGCGTCGTTGTTTGGGGTCCAGGGGGTCAATGTGACGTCATGAACGCGTTGTCCGTTCTGGCGACAACCAAAATTGTACCCTTAAAAAGAGATAAGTTATGTATAGGAACTTTTCGATTAAAATGACTTTAATAAAAGGACAAAAAACAATAAGGTTATTCCCTTGTTTGAAAAGGCTTTTCGAATATTAAAAGCAGTTTTGAAAATTAGCCTTTCAGATACTTGTTTCACTGCTTTATACTTCATTCACTCAAACTTAGATATTGTTATAAACTAGCAGTCTGATGTTCTTGATATGCATTTCTTGAAACAAAAAAATCTTTAAAGCAGACGTTATGATATAAATAGTTCGAAGAGAAACTTCAACAAAACGCTGCTGGCTGAGGGGTAGTTCACTCTTGCAAAAAGTGTACAAGATTTCCACAAAAACAAAAGGATTTCCAGGGATTTTCTCATAAAACAATAGGATTTCCACCAAAGGTGCACGATATTTTTATGAAGTGATTTGCCCCTCGCTACTGACCTTCCAAATTTTGTAGAAATTCCGGAAGAAAGAAGAATTCTGGAATCATTTCTTTGACGTCACTTGAGCTTGCGTATGAAGAGAGGTGCCAGGAAGTGAACAAAGAATGGAATGTTCGATCAGGAATGTCGAATTGATTGTCTGGAACCAGAAAATAATCAATGTTCAAAAGGATATTGTTTGGGAGATATCCAACATCGTGGCACAAGAAATGTAACACAAATCAAAACAAAAAGACACAATGAAATATAAACAGTTGCCGGATGATTGCATTAAGCACGAAACTGGAGTGAAACAATTTAGGATGGGAAATTGGTTCTACAATCTTTACAGCTATCCCATTTCAGTTTGCCGTTGGTACGTGGTTAAAAATGCATAACTTTGAAAATATTTTTGCATCAATAAGTTTTTCGGCAAGACCTTAAAGGCTCCTGCGCAACCGGCATGCTTAGCGGCAGTTGTCTTGAGAAATTTACTATATTTGTAGGCTCATACAGTACAATATTAGGCCTTTCGTATTATAGTCGCAAAGCATGCCGGTTGCACAACAGCCTTAAATTTTGTATACGCTTAAAAACAGCATTTATACGCTGCCTACCTCTTTTTAAAAGATTGCAAACCGTGCAAATGGTGTAAATTGCAGATTTTGTTTGGCGTCAAACTAACATATTAATTGAAAATTTAAGCTAGCTTGATAATCAGTGCTATTAAGAAAGGTAAGTTAAAACAATGAGGAAAAAATGCTAACCCATTTGATATAGCTTTCAGTCGAATTTTGAACTTTGATTTTACTGTAAAAAATCGAATCACAACAAGCAAAAACCGAATGAGGATGATTTGCCTTGATATTTCCATGACGGTTTTAAAGTATTAAAACATACCTTGGTACATAAGAAACATTTTTGTAAATGGAGGCAAGCGAACAAGAAAGTGCAAAACAGTTCCGCTGTTTGAGTAATGTGAGCCATAATGATAAGGTGGAGTTGCCTCCTCTGGGTCCTCTCGCCACCTTCGCTGGTATTCTTCCTCCAGCCACTACAAAATAAATCCAGAATGAAGCTTATAGAAAAATTATTCATATTTTAAAATTCTGTCACTGGTTTTAAAAACAAGCAAAGGAATTATTTATCACAAGTTTACATTTTAGGAAAAATAAACTGAGGATCAGCAACAATTTACAAGCAGTATCTTACAAACGCAGGGCAAAATAGGGAAATATTGTCCATGAAAATATGAAAACATCAATTCACAAGTTTAGAATCAATTTTGGAATATTCGAATCACTATTAAACAATAAAGAATTGCATATCTATAAATATCTAAATAACTGTTTCTGCGAAAATTACATGGTAACGGATTTATGCTAGACAAGATGAGAAGAAAAATTCACATCAAAAACATCAAAACAAGAAGATTATACAAATTCACAGAAAATCGCAATCTTTCTTTTCTTACAAAAGTTAGCGATTATAATCAACCTGATTGCCTTAACAATATTTAAAACACGCCTTATAATTCTGAAAATTAAATCTAAAGCCCTTCAACTACAAGGCATAAAGACAATAACTTTTGATTCAAATGGTATCAACATTTGGAAAATGACACGAAAGAGAGGAAATGAGACGCATACCTTTCGTCCGACAATTCACGATTGGAAAATAGTGTCGGATAATTATCAAACGAAAGGTGTTACGCTTTAGCTTTTTCGTGGCAATTCCAATATTTGAACTGTTAGAGGCTAATTTAGTAGCAACATGACCTAATATGACAGATCAAATTCAAAGAAGGAGGTCTCCTTACATGGTAAGTTTGTATGTACTTTTCCTTTTTTGAATCGTGTTGTACGGCTATGGGTTTTGAGAGGTCTCTGAAAAAGCAATAATTAATGACGTCATACCCATCCCCTTCAAAGAAAGATATTTTCTTTCAATCAAATTTCTATGAGAAGACGTTGGTAAGAATTTTCGACAAGATTGATTCAAATATTTCTATTAAGAACTCCCGTGTATGAGCAAAAATCATTTGCCTCTAATATCGTTAATAATATCGAGATCATTTTCTTGCTGTCGTTATGGAACTTTCGTATTTTTACAAAATGTAAAGATTACTTTACTGTTTGAATATTTTACATAGAGTACCTGAATGATGCCTGATCATTAAGATCAAGAATTTCACTCTCATAATCGGCAAGTATAAACGGAAAAACTGGATACTGCATAAGATCATTGAAGGAGCGTCCGGCCTTTTTGTTCAGCTCAGTGAGATATTCAAAGTTGGTGATCATTCCTTCTTTCCATCTAAAATTGAAATACATAATATCACCTTAAACATCACGATACCATATTGCCGTTTATATTCATCGTATATATTGGGATGATTTAAAAACATTGGCACAGATCAATTCAATGCGAATCCACACTCAAGCTTCTAACCACAAATGGTTGGAAAGTGTAGCAATTACACTTAAATGTAATGAATATTTTCAATTAAACCAAAAAGGTGTTTTCTATCAAAATATGACAAAAAATGACACATGGCGAGAGCGTGAACCCTTAACTTAGTCCAGAATGTGTTAATATGCTACTTTTTCCAGTTAATTTCAGTACTTTTGTCATATTCGAAAAACGATGACGCAAAACACTGACAAAAGCATGAGTGACAGTCCTAGTATTAGCTGCCCGTGGTCGAGTTGGGGAGGAGGGGCAGCAAGCCATGAGCTGAGTCTGACACAAGAAAAAACACATCGTGTAAACTGGCCTTTAAAAGAAAACCCAACATATAAGAGTCTAGAGACATCTGAGACGAATATTCAGGAAATCCAGATGTTAACATACTCTACGTTTGGTCTTATATGTTTTAGGCCACATTGTGGTTATTGTCAAAGGCACACTGTTAATGGCTACAATGACAAGAATGATGAAAAGAAATTTCCCATACCTGTATGTTAACGTATCAAGATCCATTGCATCAGACACAAGGTTCGGTAGTTCTCTCGAAATAAGTTGCTCAAACACCTCGTCTCGGCACTAAGAAGAGGCAGTAGAAGCAACTCATAAACAACATACATTCTCTGTGGAGGCGCATTAGAGATAAGGATAAACAACTTAATCCCACCTTATAGACAAAACGCCCAAACGGGACAAAATGAGAAAACAGATTAAGATTTTATACAGGGAAGAGGTACTAAGATTTTGAAGGTACGAAAATTGAGAATGGGTACTAATCGCCTATAGAAAATGTTGTCGTAAGGCTCTAACGAATGATTAGATCAGGAGATAACCAGTTATATCTTTACATGAAAAAACACACACAAAACTAGATTATGCGTAGAGTATATCATATACTCTTCATTGGCCAAGTAAAACTTTCAATTACCTTTGTATCTTCGAATGCCAACAGAAAAGTTCGCCCTGATGTAAGGAAGATTTCCAAGGCATTGTCCTAAAACAAAGTAGAATATCCATCAGAAACCTTATTCTGATTACAGTAGGAAGAGAATACATCTTGTGATAGGCCAATGTGTAGTGATTAGGTAGATACCTGTAAAGAGTATCGTCTTTTGAGAATTTCTTTGATTTCTTCATATCGCCATGAAATTGAAATCACATCTTTGTCACCAACGAACACCTTGAAAGAAAAATGTTCTACGTCAAAATTTCAACGGTGATCCAAACATGATTTGCGTGCTAGTAAAGAGATCACAAACTAAAGGCTAAAACGCAGAATAAAAAAGGTCTTTTCCCATTCTGTGCTGTGGCTAAAATAGATCAGGAAAACGATAATCTTTATATCCGCTTCTTGAAGATGGAATTTTTAAGGAAATAATTTGCTATTTTTGATAATGATTGCTTATTTACTTTTATCTGTGATTCCAAAAAAGGAAGTAAATATCGTGAAAAAACCAAATAAAAAAGATTAAATTTAAATACCTGAGAGAGGTTTGGATCTGCAAGAATTTCTTCGCCAACAAAATACATGTGAGTTTCCCCTAGAACAAAATTTAGAATTGTCTTCTACAGTTTTTTCACATTTTCTTCCAAACAGATGTGTGAGAGGAGCTTATGAGATTTGATAATAAGTTACAATCAATGAAATTGGTTTAACGGGAATGACGAAAATACAAATCGAACAGACCAAAATTTAAACGGGAAAAACAAACATTTGAAGAGGGAAGTTGAAAATCCAAACCGGAAAAAAAATCCAAACCAGAACGGCAAAAACTGCATTCTCCTTACATTATAAATGTACACGCCTGCACTGAATCTTACATGGCCCCGCATCGGTGTAGGGAAAAAGCATCCCTTTTCATAAGGTTCGAACAAAGATAAACGTCTGAAAAATCGTTGAAAGGTTTAAAAAACAGTTGCGAGCTACACAAAACTTAAAAAAAAGGTTCAACTAAGTATGTGTCATTCTGCAACTAACAAACATCTAGAAGTAGTATCTTTAGAGAATCATTTTGAAGAGACGTAGAAAAGATAAAGGTTGGCAAGACATTAGCAACAAGGAGTGGAAATTTTTTAGCATACCAATCAAAACATCTCCTTGAGTCTTTGCATCCGGAGTTACACGGTGACAATGGTAATAAAACCTAAATGAAGGGAAATATCATCAAATAAAACTGTTAATTAACTATCAATTAGTTCTTTACCTTTCATTTTTAATATTATATCATCAACTGGGTTCCTAAGAAATAGAGTTTACACAGAAAAGTCTAAAGATAATGCAACGTTAAAACAACACAACAGCTCTTATCTCTATATTTCATGACAAAAACCTGAGAAAGCTGTTATTTCCCTCCCTTCCAAAATTTCTCTTGACATAAGACTGATCCTTGTGCTGTTCCTTTAGACACCAATCTTCACCGAAGAAATTTTTATAACCTCCGCCAAAAGTACACTGTTGCACATAAAGAGCAAAACTGTCATCACGTGAACAAGGAAAACTGTCGTTTTCCACATCTATACAGAATGCTTATTGAATAATATACTACCCATGTATCAAAACTGTTCTTGCAATTATTGAGGTCATAGATTACTTTGAAAATGGAAAGAAAATCACCCCCAATAAATAGCATTTGAAAGAAATATGACTGGAAATGTTTCAATCGTGCCAAGAATATCTTACCTTATAGTGTCATTTGTTTTAAATGTATAATATGTTGGTTCATCTTCACTGCAACTCTCGATAAATAGGTAAGAAAGGGTTTGCTCTGCTTGATGATGTTCTGAAATTAAAGAAAGTATTTCTGCTTTATTCGCAAAACAAGAATGTCTGTACAAGATTCATTCAGCAATTTCAAGAGAAGCAAAATGCTCTGGAGACAAGACGCAAGAAAATCAATGGAGTATCATCTATTCTGGCTATGTTTATATAGGTAAGGTTTAAAAGCAATTTAAATTCAAACAAATGCAAACAGATAAATTTGTAGCAAATTGGCTCTGATAAAAATATTTTCATAGATAACTGATTTTGAACACTTATAGGTATTATGTTGCTCTTTCAGAATATGTCGTCAAAATTAAAAAAATTCTAAAAATACGCTTTTAGACGTTATCAGGTAGCCACTGTTTATCCAGATGGATGAGACCAAAAAATGAACCAATCCAAGTTCAGTTCAGTTCATTTCATTTTTAAATCCAAGAGAGATAAGAAAAATAATTTCTACTCACTTGACTTTTTACTTGATGACAAAAAGAATTTCTGAGGAACTTCTGTATGGCATCTCTGCAGCCTGATTCTGACCCTGCTAGGTCCTTCGGTCGGATCGAGCTGCCATGACGTGCAACAGCTCTCGGGATCGTCACACCACAATGCCCTGATAAAATATTCCATAAATCATTCTCCTTAATGAACGAGCTGAAATATTTTGGCATCAAAACACCCCCAGATAAAAACCTACATGACGTAACTAGCAAGGGAACATAGGGAGAGAGAAATTAAATCAATAGGCAAGTTTTTCATTCATTCGGGGTAAGTAATATACTGGCACATCTGGCAACAAAAAAACATCCTTGTCCAGAGAAATGATTAAACAGCGTGCTCTTTCGTAGGCTTGACAAGGCTACCATAATCCCCATAGGTATTTCAAGTGTCTAACAAGCAATAGCAATGTCTTACCTAAATACGATTTAAAAATAGCTTAGAAATATGGCAATAAATGATTTCAAAGTGAATTAAATTTTTTTATAAACGAGACAAGGATGTGTGAGAAAGTAAACGAATAGAATACATAGTTCCTATATTTACGGCTAAAATTCAGACTTCAGCTGAATCATATTTTACAGTAAGACAAAGAGTACCTTTCTTGGGTCAGACGATTGATAATTTTTCTCCAAAGCTTTTTCACTTCAACTTTTTTTGAGACAGTACCACGAACTAACTGCAGAAGTTTCTGTCGCTGACGATCTTGCTCCTCCACAACGTTCTTAGTAACTTCCATCCCTTGTGCAGCCACCTCCTTTGATAACTCATTATATTGGTCAGTTTTGCTATAGATAGAAGAATATAATCGACTTCTTAGGGTCGCAGATAAATGGCATGATAGGGGGAGGTAGATGAGGCCTAAGATGGGCATCATCGTCTGAAGCACTTCCCCTCGGATGGCAAGCCCAATTTCTACACATAAAAAGTCATAAAGTTCTTTAGTTTCCCACAAAATATGCTAGTAGTAAAGAAATCCATTAGAAAACTTGTGCAAAATCGAATTTTACTTCACCCCTGTTTAAAAAAGTCAAATGACTCTACACCAGCTTTTGCATAAAAGTGAGGTTTATCAAGTGAAAATATATTGAATCTAACAATTTAACATTGTGCTCAATTGATAATTTAGTGTTTTCCTCCCGATACATTTCCATGCATACCAAATGCAGGGCTTCAACAAAAACTTTACAGGATTTAGTTCTTACTAATAAGATGCTGTAAAAGGTCGCTCAAGAGTTTCAAATAGATGCTAATCTTTTTCGCTTTAAATATTTGATTATAAAAGGAAACACAAATTTCAGACATATTGTACAGTATCACCTAGTCTAGCTTATATGCTCAAAACAAGTGATCTATTCCCGCTCTGACACTTTTTTTTACGCCCTTCTTGTTTTTTCTCTCATCTGAACGAATTCGGCCTGCCAGGTTGGGAAAATAGTACGATTTAAGCGTAGCTGTGAGCAGTTTGAATTTTTGAGATGCGAGCTACAAGTTTGATGAGAAAAGCAAGTGACCATAAAATTTTTCGCTTTGTCTATAGGAAGTGAGACTTTTTGGGCCCCCACCTATAACAATACGGGGATGCAAATGAGAGGATTTAAGGCTGCATGTTTGGATCTTTTTACTCAAGTGTACTACGGGTGAATGCAAATTGTATTTACAATGATTGCTTGCGATGCCCCGAATCATCAACAGAGCAAGCTCCTCTCGAAGCAAAGTACTTGCATTCTCAATTTATTACAGCATCCAAAGTCAACTCACCGTTTGTAAGTTTCTTTCCGTTGAGTTAAGAGCTGTTTTTGTCTTCGTGTTTTAATCTAGAAAAATTTGGATGACGAAATAAAACATCAAAGAAGAGAAGGATCTGGTCGATGTATTTAAACTGTAAAGATACAACCTACTAAACTGACATAATTTCCACAAAATTCAGTGGTTAGTACGAAGATCAAGCCTGGAGTTCGATCAGTTTCAGACAACATTACCAAAACCAAGACAACCCAGAACTGTGTAAGTAACTATTACACCGTTGCGTTTCGAAAAGACAATTATGTAAATGTTAAACAAGAGACATTTTTTTGTAATTATTTGGAATGTTACATGTGGTTCTATTCAGACCAGTTACTTCCGTAAACAAGACATTACCTCGCGTAATTCCTGGAAAAGCTGTTGCTCTGGAAAATCGATGATATCAACTTTCAGTGTCTTGATAACAGCTTTCATTTCTTCTTTGATTCTCAGCTGCTTCTCTGATAATTGGGGCTGGGTATATTTAAGGCAGCTACCAATACAAGAAAGTAGCCTTTCTCGATTCTAGGGACAGACAGGCAAATGCTGATGAGTAAAGCGCTTTGTAAAATTTGCAAATTTAAAAATGGCTTTGAAAAAAAAGCAAACATTTCATAAAATGACTCAAGCTTTTCGTCAGACACTTTCCAGAGTATAAAACGTCAGACTAAAGGCCAAAAAGATTAAGAAAGAAAATATATATCCAATTGTGGATCAAAAAAGGACATTCAAAAAAATACGAACACATGAGCGGCAAAGTTACCCAATCAGTACCGCGTGTCTATAGAAAAATTAGCACTGGAGTCCAAGGGTAAAAATAAAGTCCTTCTGTTTATACAATAGCGGCTTTATCGTTCTAACGAAGATCGATTCCAAAATTGCTAGATGAAAAGATGATCAGGCACTGCCAATTATCTGAACCATGTCGTCATTTTAGCTTTTGGCACAATGTGGATTGTCTAAAAGATGTTGCCCAATGGCAGTATCACTTGTCTTGACTGTGTTATTGCAAACTTAAACCTTCTTAACACCCTTGGCTTGACCTTCTTAACACCCTTGGCTTGGCGGAAGCAAAGATACCTGAAAGCGCTTCTTAATCATTTAAGTAATCAATGAAAGAAATTTTCTTCAAAGTGTATAAATAATAAAAGAACATGAGCTGTTTCAAAGAAAACGTTTAACACTTGAGAACGAATAACTGAGATACTTTATCAATCTTTACCGGCTATCTTGATATCTCTTGCGAATTTTTATGTGTATTTCCCTGCAGTTTCACATCTAAAGACAATCACTGACAATAGGGGTTTTAAAACAAGTTTAATTCGTGTTTACAATACCTTTATTCCAGACAATCCATGCAGAAGGGTTTGCAAAATCTTTTTACTCTCTGCTATGTTGGTTATTTGCTGCAACGCATTAAACCGCATCTCAAGCCTTCTTATCGGTGATAGTAAATAAACAAGAAGTCTGCTCGTCTAAAATGGAGGAAAGTTGCAAAAATACATCAGAGGACAGAAGACATCAGAGGTCATAGGACATCAGAGGACAGATGGCATCAGAAGACAAAGGGCATCGGAGGACAGAGGGCATCAGAAGTCTAAGGAAACCAGAGGACAGAGGACATTAGAGGACAAAAGACAGTATAGGGCAAAAAAAATCAATATTTTTTGCTGTGTGAAGAACCCAGTCACATAATCTAATCAATAAAGAGGTTATCTGAGAACTAACTTGTGCTATCAAGTCTTCTTTTACGCCACGAAGCAGCATTGTCCAATTCATATCTTCTGTCTTTATGCCCTAAAAATATTTGAAAATTACAAAATGAGAATATGAAATTCAAGTAAAAAACTCAATACGTTTCCAACAAATATTTATTCGGATTATGCTACTTTGATTGTGTAGCAACATAAATGAAATAAACGCCTGAAGCTACGATTGCTGCTAGCTAAATCATAAAGAGCCTAAATGATATCTAAACTATACAATTTGACGTCACAAAATGTTTTTTCTAGATATTTCATGGATGAATAGTAAAATTTGAGTGAAGACACTCAATTGTCGATCGAAACTTTCTTGCTTTATGTTTTAGAATTGTCTCTACTTATTTCCACATCTCAGGTTAGGAACTAGATACGACTGCCAAAATCTGCAATAACCTCATTTAATTTCGCCTTCTATGCAAGTTATAAGAACTTTCCACACACAAATCTTTCAATACGTCTTGAAAACATCTACAGAAATGGAGCTTTTATAACTTTTGGCTCTTATAAATGTCGCCCTTTCTTTTCTAAAGTTTTCAAATTGGGCATGTTCTTGATTCTGATGGAACAAACCGTTATTTTCAAATGATTGGCAAAACTAGCAATCGTACGTTTAATCACATTAACATCACATCACCACCAAGGACATAACAACTAAATATCATAATAACCATGGAGAGAGTAGTTTCAACAGATGCCTAGTGATCACAATAAGGATAAAAATTGGAGTAGCAACTTAGAACCGTCCTGTTCTATAAACCAAATAGCGTAAGTATCACAACATACTATTCAGAGGGAATTTTTAGTAGCTTACCAGGCAGACAGAAACAGCTTCAAGTGAAAAGCACAATAAATCGCTGCAAAACAGGCAGTCGGCATCTTGGGAAAAATGATCTGGTTTACCAACGACATTCTTTTCATCATGATCAGTGTCAGAAAGTTTCTCGAGGACTTTTCCGAACAGTGTCTTCTCGCATATGATAGAAGGCTTACTAAACAATGTGGCGAGGACAACACTCTCATTGAGAACATACAAGAACCGCTCTTGAATTTCGTTAGGAGATGCTACAGTAGGAGTAGTGATCACGTGCATAGAAGAACGTAATCTGTTGATGAAAGCACGAGCTTTGGAAGGGCGTCTCGTTATCGTCGAGCCTCCTTCGCCTCTGATATCCGACAGTCTGAAAGTATAGAAGAAATAGCACCAGTTATATAAAAGTAAATCTATGAACTGTTTATAGTTTTTATCTATTAATCTAATGTTCATAAGAATAGAACCAAAGAGTAAAAAAATGAGGGAAATAGCAAACGAAGATACAGTCCCAGGCATTCAACAATGGACCTTGTGGTTTCTCAAAAATAGGTTCTTGACAATGTACATAGCCTGTTCTCATTCTACAATTAAAGCTCTGATGATCCAATCATTATATGATAAGCTTGCCTACGTAAATGCTTAAACACGTCATTACAGAGCAACTATGGTAATCCAATAGCCCAACAAGTGCAAGGGATAAGATCTTAATTTGATAAATACTTTAAGGAAATATGACAAAAAACCCAGGCAAGCATCTATTGCGACTTTTGTATCTTTGCATCCTTGTAGCAATCAACAAAAGGGGTAGCTTTAGAATGAACGAAAAACAACTAGAAAACACAATGGTTGTACTTACGTGTGTGCTGATGAAGAAGTACGCCTAGAGGTTGACAAGTGTAGGCCTATTGTCTTGAAAAGTTTCAGGACAGACGATACCATGTAGTATTGAACAAATCTGGCTGATTTTACAACAAGGGCACTGAGTGAGCCTATATGGAAAGGAATAGAGTCTGTAACAATAAAACTCAAACATTATTTACTGTCTACAGCATTGCTTGGGCCCCATGAGAGCCATAGGATGCATCTCTATCTAAATTCATATTTAGGACAAGCAAGACTAGAAAAAATGATTTAGAGTTAGATACATTATTTAAATTCAATTCAACCCAATCCAATTCAATTATAGAAAAATGAATGGTAGTACGAAGATCAAGCATGGTATATTAAATGAAAAAAATCGGCCACTTGTCCCCCACTTGATTACACGATAGGAACAACTAGAGTTTAACGTGAGCAGTTACAGAAAAATGCAAAATCTAATTGAACTGAAATAAATTTGATAAAAACAGTAGCACTAGAGTTCGTTAAAGCATAAGAACAAGTCGGCGTATCTAGGCAAAGCAAATTTCTGCCAATTATATAAAAGTTATCTGGAAAACCAAACAAGTGAAAATGTTGATCAATTAGCTATCTTTACCTTTCTCCTCTCGCTCCTTCGACTCCAGCATTTGAACTGCTAGCAAGAGATCTTTGAAACATTGAAAAAAATGTGGTTCCCAAGTTCTGTGGAAAAAATAAAAGATGGTGTTATAGATGAAGAGCCTTTAGGCATGACATTTGAAAAAATCACTCTCGCAAAAATATCCGCCAAAGTAATTGGAACACAGAGATGGGCTTGTGATAAGTACATATTTTCCCCTCTATTTTCCTACTTCAAGTAGACTAATTCCGCTTCCCCTTTCGAAATTATTTGGAAGCATGTCATGTTAAAGAAGCATGTCATTAAACAGTTCCCACCTTCATTTGCCGTGATTTTCTAGTGCAAATCCAACATTGTATAGGGGATATGGGATAAAAAACAACTTATAGTGTTCTTATGATTTAGTAGTCATTTTATTCAAAGTTTTTTGGAAATCTGTTCGCTCAAAAATTTTAGAACTTTAAGCAATTTGCAACGAAGCATTTAATTACCAGAGAAACTTACAGAAATGACGAAAAAGAGTTCTTGCATACACAGGTACATCAAAAAAAATTTTGAACAAAAAACAATGGTACTTTACAGTTGATATCTATAGGCAACAACAGCTTCACTAATTGATAAAATAAGTTTGAAGCAAATTACACGGCATACCTCACAGCTTTTTGAGCAATCCACGTAATGAGATCTAATAAATCTTTGAATGCACTTGTCTTCCACCTCGATCTACACATAAAAAATTACAGAAAGTGTATAAATGTTATAGATTTGGATTTCGCATTAATAAACTAGCATTATGATGATGGTATAAAATGACTCATTTGAAATAAACTTGCATCGCAAATCCTCGGAAACGTCCCCACTATCGAATAAGCCCCTCTGGAATAAGCTCCCACCCAAAGAAAATATTTTTCTCTGGAATAAGCCCTAACCATGGAATAAGCTCCCTAACAAAATATTTTCTGCGAAATAGGCCAACGGGGGCTTATTCGAGGACTTGCGATATTTGAGAACAGGGGATTTTGTGAGGAAACTTCTTTTCAAACTAGAATGATTGTCAACTAAAATGAATTTCCAAAGCAAAATCCTCTAAAAGATGAAGACAGGTCACCGGTGAAAAGATCTTCAACTAATTCAGCATGCAATGAAAAAGCTTCTCTGATGACGTATACCTTTTTATTTATCTTAAAAGATATAAAAAATATTTTTTCTATTGCAAATTTTACCAAGACTGACCAAAGCTCTCTGCATAGCTATAACAAATAGAAGGTTTGCTGACGTCACTTCCTAAATGAAATACGTAAATAAATGAGTACTTTCTGTTGGTTTAACAAAAAAATGTTTCATACGCGAGTGATCCATTATCACTAGTGGCCACCATACAGATCATGTTACAGATGACTTCGGGAATAAAGTGTTCAAAAGCTGCCAATAATAGCTTGTCAGAAGATTCCAGGACCTAAAAATGAACAACACCGTGTCCAATGGCGTGATGCTTCGCATAATCTGACAATACGTTTGTTTCCTTTAGGCTCTCGATGAGTAAACTTTCATAGGAATGCCACACGAAGGAGAGAAAATATAGGCCAGTAACATACTCAGAGGTCGGGAAGAAACAAGAGGGTGGATATTAAAGGAGGGGGGATACTAGCCAAGTCCAAATCTTGATGAATGAACAGAGGGTTTAAATAAACACGGGATTTCTCTATCTCAAGCTTATTTATTGTTAAAAGAGGCTACAACGATATTTTGAATTTCGAAATTCTATGCGAACACTTTCCTCAATGAAAAGGGGGTTGGAATAAAGTGCAGGGGGTCTTCAAAATCGAGAAAAAATCACGTTTATTTCCAAGTACAGAGTAGTTATGTCATAATAATACCTGTCTGAGAGTGGTAAGAATGATATGGCACGTCTTTGAGCGCTGCACAGCGTCTTCAAGTAGGGACAAATAAGCAACCATTGCAACAGGGGATTCAACAGCAAAGTCATTGAAACTAGAATGTAACAGAAATAAGGTCTCATGTAGTGATCAAACTTCTAATTGTAGATGTAAATGAAAAGGAACACTGATATTCGATTTTAGAAGCTGAGAAAGGAAAATGTGCACACTATATGGCAATAACGATAGATAGAGATTTCTCATTAAGCCTTTTTGTCATCTTCGTGATGGATTCAATATCCCTTTAACCAGATCTCTAGCATTCACCAGGCATTCAGCACTTTGAGTACCCTGAGCCCCTGCCCCCTCCCCTAACTCATCGATATTTGCTTCGAACAGGGGTCACTATATCTTCCCCCATAACCTAGTCCGAAAAATTGTTTACCCTAATACTCTCCAGTTCCAGCTATTTTGCTCCACAAGGTCCGATAGAAAGTGATTTACCAAGCTATCATACATTTAAAGCAAGTTGAGAAGACTAAGCAGACCTACGAATTAAATCTTCTGAATAAATGTAGAATCTTTCGCAAGTTTACAAATGCATGAAAAAATAGCAAATGCTGTACCTCAAACTTTGACCGGTTTTCAAGTATGTTAAATTTAAAACTCTAAAACCTCAAGTTACTATGCATTTTACACAATTTCACTTACTTTGGTGATCTTATGTCAAATGGACGATCAGACATCAATTCGATACAGCGATTGGCAAGGTCGAGGGTAACTGGGTACTGATGAAGCTGCCAGAAAAAATGATACCTCTGAATGCAATGGTCAATGTAAATATTAATGATTCTTAAAAAGGAGAATATCAAGTAAAAAGTTAAGAGAAGAAGGGCGGGTGCTTTTATTCAATTTCAAACGTTTTTCATTAAGGAATTACTTCCTGACAGTACACTGATTTTTGATAAGAGACTCACGATGTTCTACTTTAACAACAGTTAACAAACAGCTGAAACTGCTAAAATTAGCCATAAATGAATGACAGATAATAGAAAAATTTCAACAATTATCAGTGCAATTAAAATGACTTATAAGACGGCTATCCTAAAACAAAATGGTTACTACAAATTAAAAATGCATCACAATTACATAAACAGAATCGTTAATATACAACACAGTCTCAATTATCTGCATAATTAATTCATATGCAAATCATAACCAATACATCTTTCTGCTGTCAAACAAAGGCTGGCAGTTTAAAAATGATATTATCAATTACCTGATTGGCGAGCAAATGAAATCCTCTGAACCGTTTGAAATTGTTCACACAGTCTCTTCCTCCTCTTTGCAGGTATAAACTCAAATTCTGCAAACCAAGGAGATCCTTATTAACCTTAATATAATCTAAAATGAATTCTTATATTTGCATTTCTCAAGGCCTACCCTTTCAAGTTTTGTGACAATAAACAGCGGATAACGTCTGCAGGCGTATCAGCAAGCAAAGATTCTCCAACACATCAGAAACTTACGTCACTAGGACCAGGCCCCATAATAAACTTTTCAAACCTACAGTCATCAAAATATGGTATACTCTTCTCTAAGCACTTTGTATCAACTAATTAAGCTGGATCCTTTGAACTCACAAGTACACGAATCAATAGGGTGAAGGAATTTGCCTGAAGATAATTGAAAAACCAACCTTAACTGCAACTTCGCGTAATTTCACGTTTTCTTGATTCACTAAGACAAGCAGATGCTCCACTTTAAGTATAGTGCCAAATATTCTAGTAATAAGATTGTCGGGTAAAAGTGTCAATACTTCCTGCAGCGTCTCAAAAAGCCCTAGCCTCACATGAAAGAGTGGATCATCCAGACACAAATGTTCCTCAGGTGCGGTTGGGGTGAAGCTCCCAACAGTCGGTCCGATAAAGCCATCAACAACCAAGTATTCATCACTGCATTGATCTAATGACGAGGGTAGCTCAGAATCAGAAATGATATCGTATTCTTGGGAGTCAAGTTTTGTGGACAAGCCACTTGTGAGTTTCAAGTTAAAATCGAGAGATCGGTTTCGACGATGTGTTCTCAACATCGCGATGTTCGGAGACAATCTTAATTCTGAGTTGCTTTTGTTTGCGAATTCAGGCAAATTTACTCCAGAAAGTTTAAAACTTTGGTCGGATAAAGTATCAGTTTTGGCATGATCGGTCTTGCGGCTTGCATTAATCGCACGCCCTGATTTGGTGACAGAAACAGGTGTTGAGGAGGTAGGAGGCGGGCGGGTATCTGTTTCATCTATTGCAATACTCGATGTTGAAACTGTATAGCCGCGGCCAAGCTGCTGAGATGATGAGCTAGAGCTCAAGCTTGACTCTGCTCTACTGGTCGCTAACGAGCGATTCTCGTCGATCTTTTCAAATATTTTCCTTTTCATCTCTTTATGCTCTTTCCGAAACAACACCTCTGATTTAGGGAAACCATCATCAGATGGAAAAGCCGTATCAGGTGACGATGGTATGGGAGAAAATATACCAACAACCGTATCATTTTCTGCAAATAGTCCTTCCGTAAACGAGTAGCTCCTCTTTTGGCCTTCCAGGCTCCTTGTGCTTCGTGATCTGATCACTTTTCTTGTACCTTTAACTGGCTGTATCTGAATTGCTGAATGAAAAAACAAACCAATACACTTCACTCTCTATTTTCTACTGATTCTGTTTTAAAATAAGGCTTCAAAACACCAGCAGAAAATAAAAATCAACTTATTGAGCATGAAAATCAATTATCAAAACAAACATGTCTAATTCAGTATGGTAAAACAAGTGCCAATAAAATAAACGATGAAATATTTGCTCAACAGGCTGGTTTCTAAATGATGCAATTCGTCGGCGATTGTGGCTGATACACTCTCTGCGACCATCGCAGAAGGCAACAGATAACCAGTTTTCACATGGTGTAAAAAATCTGTTTTCTAGCAAATGTACTGGAAGTTCATAGCTGTATTAAAAACTATAAAAACATGACGATCCATCATATATGGATGAAACTCACTAAAAACTTACTTGGTGGTTTTGGTAGTAGATAAAAGTTAGTTTTTGAATGCAAAGTCAGTGTATTGACAGTTGGGTGAGTGGCAATAAGGTAAGAGCAAATGGCTTTGAGAACTGGCATGTCCGGAGGATGGCCGAGAACACTAGCGATGACGTCAATATAGAGCTGGCTAATGGTAGGTGGGATCATGTCGCCTCGTTTCTGCTCCCTCTCCTAAAAGAAAAAGGCATATTTATATATATTCTAATGTTCTGAATTGTATATATGTCTTTTATATATACAAGGTCTTAATTGAAGTGAAAATGTTTAAAGAGTTACGGATACACTCCACGAATAACGAAGAGAAAGAAGTTTGGTGCCTGAAGCATAAATAAAAAACGGTATGGGGATTTATATCAAACAATTGCAATTGGTCTAACTTCGACCAAATCAAAGGCTAGAAGTTAGGGCTTCGATCCCCAATACATAGGAATGAAAAATATGTCGATGAGGTTATAGAGTATTAAACTATAACATATTTATCTGACGCCACTGGGAAATCAAATAGCAATATACTTTTACCTGAAGACCAAAAAGCAACTGGTCAACAACTCTAGCACGTTTAAACTGCTGTATATTGAAAGACACTTTTGGGTGATCAGATCGCACCAGGCATTTCAAGGATGTCCACAATACTTCTTGAACCATAAGTGGTGCATCGACCCAGATATTCCAATCCAACAAAAGTTTTTGCAAAACCAAAACATTTTTTACGATGGCTGAAGTTGATGGAAGAACTTGTAGGAAACCACCTTGGCCGTCTTCTGGCTCACTTAAAACAATTCCGCAACACATTGATCGAACAAGCGCCTGAAATAAAATAGCATTACAGCGTTTTCTTTATAAAGTTATATGAGCTTCGGCTCTTCTCTAGAAGTCAAGTTCTAGAAAATGGTAACCTATATCTATAGCCAGTCGAATTACGAGTAAAGCCGCGGTCTTGCAGATCTAAAAGTACAACTAAAACCTGCGATTCTGCTATCGGGCAGCATTTACTGGAAAACCAAGATTGTGCAAAAAACTATAATGGCGACATGCTTCGGATTATTGGTAAAGCCCGATCGTCGTTCCATCTAGTAGTTTTGGAATCTATCTACATAAGCACGAAAAAACCGCTATTGTGTAGACAAAAGGAGTTCGTTGCCACCTTAGGACTTCATTGGTAACATTCTCAATAGGCAAGCGGCACTGATTGGTCAACCTTAACAGTCATGTGCTCGCGTTTCTGCTTGGCCTATTTTGATCCACAACTGGGTATATATATTTCCTAACGTAGAGTTTTCGGTCTATGTTCTGACGTTTTAAACTCTGAAGAGTGTCAGACGAAAAGCTTTAGTTTACTCAAATGTTTGCTTTTTTCAAAGCCATTTTCAAGTTTTGTACACCAAAAGATTGTTAGAATCACATTTAATATCACTATCAGTTTTCTGACAGACAGCTGGTACCTGAGACTGACTCTGATTGGCTAGCTCAAACACGTCAATCAACAGACAGGGCCAATCTAAAAAGGAGCTTGCCTTAGTGCAGTCGTGTTCGTTCAGCCACGCACAACGGTTTTGATGCCATTTATGTTCTAGACTAACACTTTGATATGAATATGATATAAAAAACGACATTGTCCATAGCTACATGCTAAATCACACAGATTTTGGAGGTTTACTTAAGCTTTAAGCCAAGGGCAAATTCACTAAGTTTAACAATCTTTGTGAAAAACAGAAGTTTTAAAATCGTCACACAAATTTGTAACATAGCTCACGGGGAATGGTTTTGCTTATATTCTTCAATATATGAAGACATGTATGCACTTACCTTAACGATGTGAAAGCCAAGCGGGCAAGGTGACGTTTCGAACACTCTGTGTATCAAAACATAGCCAGCCAGATCATTCATTTCACGAAGCAAGTATGTACTTTTCTCCATAATCAAGAATATTGCACACAAAATCATCGACTGGGCATACTCAGAATCTGCATCCTCACTGACCTACACAAAAAGCATAAAAAATGGTTCAGTTCCCTTTTATCACATGCACGAAGACAACTTGCACGAGGGCAAGATATTCATCCAACAGATTATGACGAGCCTAATCTGATACAGAACAAAGACGAAGGGAAAGAGAAAATAATTTACTAAATTTAAAGCCAAATTCTCTCAGAATACAAAGCAGAAATAGAAGAGAAAATTAATCTGCAAATTATCAGCAAATTCCTTTGTGACCTATACGTTTTCACTTTTTCGTGTAATTTTGGAAAGTTTAAGGCAAGATAATGGAGGCAAATTATGCAAACCTCACCTTTGCAAACAGGAAAAGCAAGTTAGCCATGCCTCCTGTATCATGTACTGCCTGCTGAAGGGTCGCGCGAGCTGATGGACGGATCTTGCCAGTGATCAAAGCTTGATTATTCGACAGTTCAATGCTGCCTCGTGTTGATGATTCATCCCTTGTGAGAACTGATGGCAACGAGGGCTTGCGAGAAATTTGGGAAATATACTGGCAAAATTCAAAAGGGCGACGTGTTGAGTACTTCAGTACCAGATTCTCCTGAAAAGAATATCGAGAAAGGCGTTACAAATACAAGATAATTTGATGCTGTTTCAGATTAACTTATGGCAATAGTAAAGGAAGCAAAATACAAGCTGAATTTTATTAGGGCTTTACAATAACTGGATTAAGATTTAGGAAACGGCTATGAGAAACGTAGAGTTTTGCAATGCAGGTATAGTTGATGCAGCAAGAATAAACGGTGATATAACAACACGTTTCTGGTTTTACATTGCAAGGAAATTGTAGGCAAATTCTTTTAATTCACTTTGGGCAACCACCAGCAACATTTGCATCCGAAAATTACCGATTAAATCGGCCTGACTTATAATGCCTGATGCTGTATACGCATTGGTGTATAGAACAGAATGGTTTTATGTTGCGGTTACATCTGCGTCAGAATACAAATAGCTTTTGCCAAAATTGTTATTGAAAATACCTGAAGCGATGCTTGGATTCCAGGAAGGAGTGACTTTACATCGAAAAAAAACGATGAAGGAAAATCTGCCGTCACTAGCTCTTCATTTAAGATGTTTACAGCAAATGACATTTCTGTGAAATGCAGGCTGTCCCAGCTCAATGAAGAATCCATGTGGCTGCGAAAATATGATAGTTACAGTTTAGGTAAGTGGTTGTACTTGAACATGACAAGAGAGCTAATTCCGTGAAAAGGTAGCTAGTTAACACACACAGACCACACCTAGACCAAACCTTGTTTCATTGAGACAAAGGTTTTGCTTGTTTAGCTAAAAGAAGAAAGAGCATTGTACTGGCCTCTGGCTCAATTTATCCAACTATCTGCTATGCAACCAAATACTCAGTAAAAATCGGAGAAAAGAGCTCCACTCTGTCTCAAACATATTGTACACTAAATTATAATATTGCTGTAATATTTTCAATGCCATCCACCTCTTTCCCTCCTAACAATATTGTTTTCCAATGGAATCCTGCCAGACAGCTATGATGATTTATATGACAAATTAGTTTGTTGAACTCTGCAACCAATATTTATTAAAGGGAGAGTATATGCGTCTTAGGTCTTTTCTACAGGAAACAGTTAACATCAAAGAGAACGCCTGAGCAGCAGGGCTTTTGGCAAGGATTGCAGTTGTTAATGTAGGACATGTTACCTGGCAATGTGAGTTGACAATCTGTCTCCACATTCATGGACCAAATGAAAGGCATCAGGACCAAGAGCATAAAGGTAACAAGCTTCTGCATTGCTAACGAGATTTTCACTCCGTCTCTGGATTCCATTTCCTGCAATGGTTGGTCGTCTTTGGACAATCGGTGAATCATTTCCTGTAGGATAAACAACAAATATATAAACGAAAAAAATTTGTCATAGGTAGAGCATTATCATTTTGCATCAGTGGTTATACTGCATGTACCTGTGATAGCATTTTCTTTAAATATAAATACTTTGGGCACACGCCAGGCTTGCAAGGCACAATTGAAAGTAACTTAAATTTAAAATGCGAAAATTATGCTCATTTAGAAAATGTTTATCGCCACCTTACTGACTGAGTCTATTATTCAAATCTTTCAAAGCATTCACATCATCTGAATGAAAATTAAGAAAATTAAACATAATAACATACCTTTAAACAGGAAAACATTTCCAATATTCATTGTGGGCTGCGAATCCACGGAGAAGGAACTTTTCTTTGTCTTGATGCTATGCCCTAGCATCATTGCCAGCTTGACATTCTTCTTGGTAACACGATTTGGAAACTTCATGCTCATTGGTATCTGCTCACAGCCATTTAGGTAGGTCGTCACCTATTCATCAAAAGTAGATATGATAAAATTCTAGAATCGTTGCATATAAAACATTACAAGGTATTCGTTGGCAGTCCAAGATATTTTTTACTTTGAGAGTGAAACACTTATACATCATAATCAAGAAAATTTTGCATTTATCGCAAAAGAAGATTCGATTTGGTCTTACATTTGTTCTGTGACAAAAATTAAAATTTCCCCTGACTGTAAGAGGACAGCGTTTCTTTTAATACTGGTTTCACAGTCCTAGTTCATGATCCGGGCAACTCCTGAGCCAATTTTGGAGTTCAAAGAAATGAAAAATGGCTTGTTTACGAAATAAATAATCTTTTGATTTCCTCATTCATGGCTTCACACAACCACAGCGATCAAGTTGGAAAAAATTTCGATTTACACAGTATTCTTTGTTGATCATTGCTTGCAGGGACTACGTTTTTATGTAAACAGAATATTTCACAATCGCAAAAACAGTTTTAATTTGGACAGTTCAGACTAAGCCTTTCCTAGGAAACTTTTTTTGCAAAGCTTTCTTTGTTTGCTAAAACTAATAAATCATAATGCACCGTATATTGAACCAAAGCACCAAAGAAAATTGCCAAGGCAAACAGGCTACTGCCAGCAAAGCGAAATGGGCAAAAAGGTGGTGCTAAAACGTAACATTGTAAATTTGAGTGAATGGTGGCGATTGCATACCGTAGCAGTGTGACACTGGGCAGAGTTTGGTGGCAACGCTAGCGTTATAATCAGGTGATTCCATCTGTTCAATGGCACATTCGTCGGCAGAATAACCTGGTCAAAATTGGACGGGCTTCCTGAATTTTCATCTGATTCTGAAATAAGCCATCTGGAATAAATGATAAAAATGAATAAACATGAAATGCTGGTGGACGTTTATGAGCGTGTGATTCTTAAAATAAAAAATTATAAATCCCTAAACAGCTTTCGACAAAAATGACCGACAGCCATAACCGGACAGCCTCCTTATCATGAGAAATTGCAATATCGAGCCAAAGCAAGCATGATGTAAAAGCAATATGTTCTATGTTTTTGAGAGTTATGATCAAATAGAAACGGGTAAAACGATACAACGTAAAAAGGAGTACTACCTGTACTCGATATTCCTTGGGTTGGCGCTAATCCAGACCTCGAACAGAGCATTGTGTGCACCAAACGAACAAATATGGAACACGACAGGGTCATCTGTAATCACTGGCTCACTCTTTGGAGATCGGTGGCTTTGTCTACCTCTTTTAATGTCTTTGAGAGAAGCACCAATATCAGTGATATCGTTAACAATATTCGCGGATCTATTATCGTTAATTTGAAACCAAACAGCAATACTGAATCCCATTTCAGGCCACGTAAATGTATCTTGCAATGGTAGCTGCACAGGAGCAATCTCAGTTGATGGTGTTTGGAATCGATATCCATAGGATTTAGGCCCGCTACCAGAAGTGACGTTGCCGCTAATAGCGCGTTGTCGCAAAATACTGCGGTTTTTACCAGTACTATCTCTTTTCGGGATGAGAAATAGATGCGATTGCTGAACTGAGGTTCCTTTGACATTCTGTATATTTTCAATCGGCTCTACGGGGAATTCAAGGCTGAACGTCGCTCCAGATGTATTATTCGCAACTTTGGCCATTTCATAAAGGATATTTGATAGTAGCTCCTACCGAAGCGAATAGAGTATATTAAAAATCTGGGTAGAAATGGCTACAGGGCTGGAAAATAGATTGGAAAATAGATCAAATAGTTTCAACAGAGATTGGTTGTATCTACATTAAAAGTTAGTTTGTCATACCGTTGGAGGTTGTGATCCCTTAAAGAGCTGCAAAAAGTCTTTAACATCATGCGCTGTTATCGAAAAAGCTGACAGCAGAACGGCAAGCTTCCCCAAAGCCTCCATAATACCTATCAATCAAAACATACAGACATTTCAGGCAAAACGGCAATGATTTAACAAAAATATTTTTACAAAGATCAATGACAGGTTAGCAAAAGAAATAGATTGATTGTTCATGAGAAGTATTCGGCGAATTTCCCTTTTGCTGAGCGATTCATGAAAAAATATGCGATAAAGAAAGGCAAAAAATCATACGTTAATGAAAGACAGTGGATTCTTAAAATGCTTTCCTGCATTAGTCAGCTTTACCATATGTTAAATTTTTAGACAAACAGAGAATTTGAAAATACAGTCTTTTTCAAAGAGGAAAATGATTCCCTGCACATAAATAATTTGCACAGTAAATTTTCCTTAGGGAATTTTCCTTAAACAAGAGGTACTTAAAACAGGCTAAACCATTCACATCAGTACAGCTTTCTCGTCTAAAGAGCCCAGAAAACGAGTGAAAAGAGATTAATGGTTTTGACGAAGATAACCAAAGACTACTTAAATAAAAGTAGAAACCTTTCGTGTCTTCCAGGTTTGCTGCAACAAAGATTCCCAGACACCTGATTACAAGTTTTAGCATCCCCTGGAAAAGAAGCGAAGCAAGAATGTTATGAAAAATCTATTCAACGCATAATTTTAGTTTAAGAATCGAAGCTCCATAGACCTAATTTATAAAAGACATCTCTTTCTGGCGTCTTGATACACGAAAGGTTTCATCCATGCAAAATATACTGTGGGTGTTTATTGAGAACAACAAAGAAAGTTGATGCTCCAAACGAATAAGATCGTATGTGGAATTCGGGTTTATAGCGTGAATTTTAAAAGTAGGTCCTAAACTGTAACTTTAAAACGTGCATAGGGTATGATTCCTAAAATTCATAAGGCTAGTTAATAAACACCATAAAAGAATCAATTTTAGGGATATTTGACAAACTTTGTCTTCAAATAAATGTGGATTTAAGATACCTCCTTTGCAAAAATGCTATAATCATGATAGGGGAGAACGTAATTCATTTGACAAACACACAAGAAAGTACAATTTATTATAAGGAACTGAAGGCCTGTAATGAATCAGTCTACATAAGATATTATGAAAAAGCGCTCTAATATTTGTAAAAATTTCCTGAAATGCAAAATGTGTTCGTAACCAAAATGAAAAACGAAATAATGAGCTAAATTACCTGTCTGGAGAGAATATCACAATTGTTCCAGGAGGCACTTGTAATGGTCAATACTTCAGCAAGAAAATATCTCAGCGCTTCTTTTAAACTTAAAAACAAGAAAAGTACGATTAAGAAAGAAGTTATACCAAAGCTGTTGTTGTATAACGTGAAAAGTCAGGTATATGTAGAAAATTTACAATGAGAGAACAACCCGTCTACTACAACACATAAACAGGAAGAAATTCAGCAAAGAAGATTAAGACATTTGACAGTTTTGGGTACAAGTCTAGTTTTTTAATTATCTGCATACAGAATTTTGATATACTCCACATCTGCCAGTTGACATATCAAGAAACATGTGGCTGCGTTACAGGAATTAGCTGACAGGAACTAGATGAGATTTGACAATGCAAGTAAAGAAACGAACCTTGATTGAGCTGGTGTCGAGAAAGAAGATGGCAAAATTTCATTGAAAGACTGCAAAAGATGTGTTGTTATTTCCGGAAAGAGTATCTCTATTCCCTCGAGCAGTTGGTGTTGAGATCCATCATGACTGTGTTTGGTAACACTGCTTGAAATTCTTAATAAACTTTCATGGGCATTTAAGTTTTCCGGTTTCACTGAATCGATTTCTGACTCTGTGTCTGCATCATAACCTTCTTCTTCCATATTTCCATCACTACCTTCATCTTCCTTGTCCTGCGAGGTATCTGCACGAACCTGTCAAAACAAAACAATATCCACATTAAAAATAAAAACGTCGACCAGCTAGTCAACCATCACCAAGTTATAAGTAGAACTCTAGCTTTGAGTGAAGCCGTAGCTTCGCTTGATGAAAAACACTATTCATTTCAAATGCTTAGCTAAACATTTCTAGCTCCTTTAAAAACTAGCAGGTTGAGCGATGATTTTTTTCTTTATCGTTATCAACAAGAAGCACGTTAAAAGTTCATTTATATACTTCTGAAGCAACAGATATGCCAGTTTTACTAAAAAAACAAAATATCTATCTAAATCATGAAGCTTAAATTGTTGAACAAAGAAAAACCACACTGGAACAGTAGCACTGATTATAATCACCTGCATTGAAACCAGCTGACAGAAGCATGATAAAACACTCTTAGCTGAACATTTTCATCGAAGTAATAATCTGGCAAATATTTCAGATAATGGAAAGGACGGCCTGATAAAATTAAGTTGTGAAAACTGAATATCCTTGGATTGAGACAAAGTGATACGTTAATTGACACTAAGTCTTACCCGCTTCAAAACATCCAATCCTCTGGATGATGTATACAATGGCTTCTTTCTAGGAGTGGTTGCACACTGAAAAATACACTGGCAGACATCTTTGCCCATAGAGCTTTCCAGAACCATCCTTTGCATAAAAGACTTCTCGAGCTTCAATAATATATCTTTTATAGCCGGGTACTTTTGTGGCTGAAAATGAAAAAAATACAATCAGACCAGACTATCATATATGCTTAAGGATAATTTAATAGCTTATTTTTAAAAAAGTCTTTAGTTCAACGCTCCATTCTCAAACGAATTTCCTGCTCTCGAACATTATCACCCAAAATTAACGAGAATTGAACAAAACAGAACCATGATTTATCTTAGTTTTTCTCCATAATAAGTGTTATATTTAACAGAGGCATCCAGCTGTTTTGATGGGGAAAATAGGCACGGCCAAGTCACAGAAATGTAACATGTCGCTATTTTTATCGAATAAAGAAGTCATTATCAGCATCTTATTCCTTCCATCCTCTTTCAGTCTCATTCAAAGGTTTTACCAATTTTGAATTTGACGATAAAAAATCTTTCATATTAAATGCAAATACGCTGGTTTTAAAATTGGTGTTGCTTTAAAATTTAAAAGGATATGAATTAAGCAAATGATATGACGAATTTGACACAAAAATTATTAGAAATTAGAACTAGAAAACTAGGCACTCGGTACGTGCAGCATGTTTCGCGGGATTGTAACTCCGTCTAAACCAATCAACGTTCATGTATCTTTGTCTAAACCAATCAAATCATAATACACCGGAAATCATGTCAGCATTTTATCAGCAATTCTCAAGATCGCACAGCTAGCTGCAATCGCCATGAATACACTGCCTTTAAACTGTTGAATTCGCTTGTAAGCCTAACAGACGACAAGATCTATTCAAAACAAACGTTTCTGATGGTAGTGCATTGTGATCTTTGCCAATACAAATATTTGAAACGGAAACAAATGAACATCAATAAATCTTATAAAAATCCTACCTCGACTTCTTGGTTGTCAAAAGAAAAGCTCAGGCACATTGGAAGAACTGCACGAAGAGTCGGCAGGCACTGCGCTATAAGGTGTCTAAGAGAATCTGTGTCTCCCCTCGTGGCATCAGGTTTATCGGTAATATAAAGCTGCACAATAGAAGTACATTTATCAAGCAGTTTGTAGCAAATGTTTGGCCAATTTGCCTTCAGGAGTTGGTCTTTGAATACAGTAGAGCTTAACAGTAGTTCATAGAACATCATTAGAAGTTTTACAAAGTTATCCCATGTTTTACTGCCCCATTCTATATTCTCGGGTAAACATTTCTCGCCTGAATCATCAGCCTCAAGGAACCACTTCCCACAAAAAAGCATTGATTCAACAGCAGCCATTGAAATTGTGTCAGGCGTCAGGTCTGGGCTGCCTTTGAATCCAGATTTTGTTTTTGGTGAAGGATCTTTTGAAATTCGCACACTTTTGCCGTCGCTGTTTGCAGCAATTCGCTTTGTGCAGCGACAGGAAATTTGGTACAAGCATTCGAAAGCTAATGGCGCAAGACTGTTATTCCTGCCAAGAGCCTGCAAGTACAAGATGCCATTCTTATGGGCAAAATACAATAACAGCTCGTCGTTGACGAGGAAACCTGGAAGAAACCTGAGACATCTTTCAAGAAGAGGGATGCTGCTGGGGTCAATTTCGGCGTCTTTATCTTCTTGGGGTACATGTATGGCAAAAACAGTGAACACAACCTTCTTAAACAATTCACCATGTAACAGCCCAGATGCTTTTGGTACAATTTTGGACAGATGATGCTCCATTAAGTCAAAATGCAGTGGATTTGAAGAGGCGTTCAGGCACCTGTACTTTTGCAAGAATTGGAAGACGTCCATTGAAGAATCAACGGCGTCCTCAGATCGTGAAACAGGTTCTTTTTCGTCTATTCTGCTACTGACTGTCTCCCTTTTCTTCAAGGAGCTTCGGCTTTTAAGAACTCCATACCGGGCTTTGCTGGCCTTTATGGTTAGCTCTGGAGACCAATGTTCCAAAACATTTGCAGCGACATCAAGAGCCTTACTGGCCACTTCAATAGGCTGAGCATCTAGCCTAGAGATCAAATAAACTTTATCACTTCCTTATCAATGCGTCGTTTAGTGTATCAATAATAGTAACACGACATAACAAACTCAGCAAATTTAAAATAAAATGTAATTCTGTACGTCAAAATACAGAAAGGTTTTCATTCATCTGGCTTTCTTAACTCGGTTTAGAAACAACATTACAAACAAATATGACAGGTGGCATATGAATAAGTAACATTTAATTAAAAGCAGCGAAATTAGGACATGAATGCGCAGCAAACTCATTTACCTTCGAAGAAGATCACCAAGCAGCTGATCATTTTCAACACAGGTGCAAGATCCAATATCATTAACGAGGCAAAGAAACAATTTTGTGATTTCCTTGTCATTACTTTCAAGGTATGCTGATACAAGTATATTTATCATCTGCCCGAAAAAGCAATGCTCCTCGGCTAGAAAAAAGAAAATATTTACATAAAATTTACGAGTTATAGATAAACTCACATTTTCTGCAGGATGAAAATTCCTTAAACAAAAAGTCTAAACTCATATGAAGTTACAAGCTGGCATAATTTTGCGTTGCCACTCTGACTAGAAACTGGTTAAAGGAAGCATCACGGTTATCCACATGGCTCATTTACGTCAAAACATCATCTTACAAAATAAGAAAAAAGGTAACGAAAAAGAAAATCTTGTTAAATACCTAATTTGTTAACTTAGTTATATAGAATTCCAATAGCTATTTGGTTCAAGTGGTCGGTATTGACTTTAGGAAGAATCCATATCACATAAAAATTGGGAACTGAAAGAACAAATACCTGCAAAATCAACCCCAAAGAACTTAACAATGCACACACCTTCTTTACTTCTAACTGATGCATTACTTAAATTCCGTTTGTGCTTCATCTTCATCGGCCTAATCTCGTCAGAGTCCCATTCCTTTAATTCATAATCTGACATATCTTCTGTGCTGCCTGAGTTATCTGAATCAATACACCTGTCACTCTTCTCCACTTCAGATTCCCTTTCACTGTCACTGCTACTCTTATGATCTCTTTTTGCTGAAACCCTTCTCGATGTTCCTGGCTGCTTCCTTTTTGCTATACTTGTGTGACCTGTGTCCGGTGTGAGAAAGCATGTGGGATTTCTCAAGGATTTTCGCAGCTTTTTGGCTAGCTTGAAAAGAATTATGTTCAAATCCGACATAAGTTTGTTTCTGAATCCAGCATCCTTGCTACCTACAACTGGCAAAAGCTTGAAAAAGCTCTCCGTCAACTTAAAAACTTCAGAGGCAGCAAATCTTCTATAAGATCCAACAATATCAGTAAGGGATGACATGGAAACTGACATTTGCCAATATAAGTAGGCATATAGTCCAACTAAGACATCACTGGTGCGAAGAAGTGCTGCTACAGTATGATCAACATTAACTTTTGAATTCACAATGGCAATTAATGCTGATCCAAAAGATACCATATCTTCAAATGTGTTGCTTCCAATTGGTGTTTCACTGATCCGATTAGAAAGCACCTCAACTGTCAGCACAAGTGAGAGGCTTAGCATCAGAGTAAACTGAAAAGGTGCAATGTCACACACTCCGATTTCTGAATTTGCAAGTAACTTTGTTGTTTTATAAGCAATATCAAGTTGTAAAGTATGATCATTCCTTGTGACATCACTTGATAAAATACCAAGAAGCGATGACAGCAAACAGATCAGGAGATCACTTTTCTGAAAGGTTTCTCTTTTTAGCATATCACAGACAATTTGCACATCTGACAAATCTACTGAGTCCACACGATCAATCTTTGGGCATTCAGAGGCAGCTTCAGAGGAAAATCCACCAGCCAAAAGTGATTTCAATGACTCGCGCAATGCTCTTATAGGTTTTTGACAGGTCATTATACCACAAAGTCTCACTTGGCTCATTTTTTCTAGATCATTCTTATCTGCAGCTGCTCCTAAAATTGTAATTTCTTTGTTTACTAAAACTACAGTATTTTTGAAAGATTCAGTATGTAATCACTAGGCAGAAAGTATTTTATTTAAAAAATGGAAAATTCATTGTTTCTGATTTAACACAATATGGTTTTCTACTAAGAGCAAAATCATACACAAATATCCATCAAGAGATGTAAGAACAAATGACCTATTATTCAACGTTTTGTTTTGCAAATTCTGCTACAAATTTCGGTTTTCAGGAAAATGGCATAATACAGTATAATAAATGACTAACACAATTGTATCTTTGCTTTGCTGATTACATCTAAACTGTAGGAACAATGTAAAATGAGGGAACTTACTTTCAAATGTAAGTGGTAACAATGAAAAGAGAAGATTGCACATTTCAGGGCAGCAATTTGTCACCTAGAAGGAACAAAACTCACTATTTATAGCTAATGGCTCAAGAAGCAACTAAAAAAGATTTCTACAAAAAAGATGGCAAAAATAATGACATTAACTTAAAAACATTAAATCAGGAGTGTTCAATGTGTTTTTTGGGTGGGCCATAGACAAAATCTTACTAAAAACATCATAATCATGGCATTTTGTATTGAACAGTGATAAATAATTATAATTACATGAAAAATTACATTTCTTGTTTGGAGAAAGCTTATTCACGTCATACATTAAACTTGTAGTTGACCTGCAAAGAAAGCCATATAAATTTCTTTGTATGCTTTGATCGTAGCTTTGACTTGTTCTGTTCATTTTCTTAATAGAAACCTCTGCTTATAATAAGGAGAAAATATGTCTAATAATGAGAACATATACCTAATGATGAGTCATATGACTTCAGTAGAGATTGCACTCCTTGGAAATAGCTCAAGGACCAAATTATTAAAATATTTATTGACTAAGCACGGGCCACAGAATATACCCTCCTGGACCACATCTGGCCTCATAAGCTTTTGAAAACAACACACCATAAATCTTAAGAGATGTCAATTGATGCTATAATTTTCAGGTTAATGATTCATAGTATGCTTATTGATAAAACTACATTGTTACCTGATCAGAGTAGAGTTCTAGTACAAGCAATAAGACCATTCCTGGGCCTTGGGTTAAAAACTGGTCAAACTTCTGATCATCATCTCCACAACTGGAACATTGTTTGTAGGTTGTTGATAAAAATTCTTGAGCAATTTTATTTGCTACCTCTTTGGGGTTTCTTTAAAAATGATTAAGAAAAAAATTTCTAAACTAGAAAAGACAAAGGAATTTTGACCTAAAATATAATACAAATTTGATTTCAATAAGAATCATGGTTTATATTATGATATCTATATGATTTGAAATGGCTTGTAGTTGTAGCAATCTTTGAACTTTTCTAGAATATAGATTCAAAAAATTATTAGAAAATTAAAAGAATACCTATTTTAGATTGGTCTGCTTGGTTAGCTGCCAGATAGCTGCTAAGCAACCAAAGAACAGCAGAGTTGAAGCAGTCATCTTTCTCCTGAAAATGAACTCTTTCCATTTAAACACTTTATCACTTTCTTAACAATATTTATCATCTTTATTCTGGGTTAGATACTTGTAGTTTACATGCAAATTTTTCAAATAATAGAGAAGCAAGTTTTCCATATAAATTTTCAAGCAATAATATATTTGTTCATTCCTAGTGCAAGCAAGACCTTTCCTGGGCCTTGGGTTAAAATCTTATCAAACTTCTGATCATCATCTCCACAACTGGAACACTGTTTGTAGGTTGTTGACAAACATTCTTGAGCAATCTTATTTGCTACCTCTTCGAGATTTCTTTGGAGTTAAGAGCATGCAAAAAGATACATTAAAGTGAGATTATCCTGCAGAAAAAATTAGTGTTAAAGTAACTGACTGCCCATCTGGCAAAGCTTTTAAAGAAATAACAAAAGCCCTTAAGGAATTTTTTTAGGTTTTCTTTTGTTTCAGTTTCAATTTCCTCAATTTTCATTGTGTTTCCTTTTCGTTCTCTCTAACAGTCTGAACTTCATTTCACAACAGAAAAATGTGAGCGCAAAGCAGAAAAAGCACATTGCAATGTGCTTTCACATGAAAGTAGATAACCATGTCAGGGGCATAAGTGGGTCTGAACATGATGTCTTCCCACTAAAAGGAATTCTTTATCAATGGTAATGGTCTTGAAACTTTGGACAGTGATGTTGGTGTTCACTTAGTAGTTTTGTGGAAGCCTCTTTTGACTGTTGTCTTGCTTTTTTCCTGGACTGTGCTGTGCTGTATAGTAGCAGGATGCTTCTGGACCTATGATCTTTCTCTGCTTTGTAATATATATATACCCTTCATTTAGTTTATACTGCGTGCATGATATAAATTTGTTTCTTGTAGCAGTAAAGCACAGATATTTTATTTGTTTATTTCTATTGTAGGTAAGTTTGTGTATTTATTTCCTTCAATTTATTTGGACATATTTGTTGAATTGTGAAACTGAAACTGTAAATGAGTACAAAACTTTCAACCTCTATTCACAATGGTAAGTTTTATATCTTCAGAAACAGCAGGTGATGTATAAAAGTGCATCTAAAGACTCTAAGGAGGACTTCTTTAGGTGTGTATTTTATAATTTTGTAAATTCCTTGGGCATGCACTATTTTAAATGTTTTAAAATGCATTTTCAATGACAATATTTTTATGCAGAACTTACTGGTTGACGATCTTTGGCATGTATACTACACAAATTTATTCAAACAGGGGCAAGTGGCTGGATATAGGCTCTAATGAGTTTTTCCATTGTCCTACACTGCAGCTTGCATTTTGTAATAGTTACTGTTATGAATTAATATGTAAGTATCTATTTCCTGTTCTTTGACCATGCAACGAATTGTTGTGAAATGAAATACTAATTTGAAGTGAATAAAAACATTGCATAAAAATTGCACTATTTCTTAGAGGTACTAAATAAAATGATGTCCTACCTTATCGTCATTTGCATTCCGGTACTCCTCCCACTTAATCGACAGGCTTTCAAGGCCGGTGACCAAAGTTCTTTCCATTTCCCGTAGTTATATGCAAAGAAGATTCATATTACCGGGTCAGAAAAGTTTTGCCTTCACTTCCAACAACCGGTCCCATTCTGGCCACATTCCAAGTTTGTTTCAACATATCATAGTATCATATACTGTATACATCACAATCAACACTTGCACTCATTCAATTTTTGAAGTACGGCTTTGATAATATGCTTATACTGGGGTTATTTGAAATCGCTACCAATCGCTTATTTAACAACATGAAACTTGTAATTCTGCGTGTGACCTTTTCCCTTCTCCCTTCTTCTCAAATTTATTGTTGTTGATGTTGTTGAAATGTCTCCTTCGCAGTCTTGGGCAAGCAGTGCTTCCATTTGAAAGGATTTTTCCTTTTTTCGGGGATTTTGTTCGATTGAAAGGATAAAAGAAGAACTCAGGGCCGTAAATCCCGGGGGGGGGGCGGGGGGGACTGGACCCCCCAAAAATCTGGAGCAAAACGATTTTTTTGGAGAAATTACCATCATTTTCCTTGAAAGAAAGAAATCGGGTTAGAACCAAACTACGTTTTCTGTGTTATTGCAACAAACCTCAGCCACTAAGGTTTATTTTTGTAAGCAGAGTGGTTTTTATAATTTTCAAAAGATAAAAACTTACCGTTTTCTACCGTTTTTTTACAGTTTTCTACCGTTTTATTTTTGAAAACAGAGTATAAAATAAAAAGAGAGCAATCTGTCATTTTATTTGACCTATTTACTAACTTATTTACGTACATTTCTATTATTTATCTATTATTTACTTTTATTTAGTAAATCACTTTTTGTATCATTAAAATGTATTCATTTTTGATGGCCTACTGAAATCAGTCAAAATAAGGAAGACGCACATTTCTGTTCAGAAAGTAAATTTCTACCAATCAATACAACAGCTTCCCATATTTTCCCAAAGTCTGTCACTAAGGTTTAAGCATGACTCTTCCCCTCCAAAATTTCACCCAATAAACAATAATCTGTGTATTTCTGAGAAACGCCGAACTTTCTATCCTGAGCGATTCTAGTATTCTATTAAATTTAGTCAGGGGGATGCTTTTTTAGCCTTTCTAGAAGGTAGAATTTCAAAAAAAAATTTCTGCGTCGGACCCAACCATGGTGGGTCCTCCTACGAAAGTAAACTTGATTCTTAGCTCCCTAGGTTCAATTTCTTGGGGCCGTCTCTGAAAAATGTTATCCATCCAATCATAGACACAAGTCAATGTACTAAGGAATATCTGTAAATACCTTCTATAGAGCAGAAAGTCTTGAGAAATCCAATTGACTTTTGTTTTTAAAGTAATTTGCCCCTCAACTGTTTCCAGAACACATACCATAAATCCCTTGTGGTGCCATGACCCACTACATACTTAATATTCATTCGCTCTGCTGACCCCCCCGATTCACATGACAGATTTACGGCCCTGGAAGAACTTATGGATTAGAAGGAATTTGGAACGGCTTTTAAACGTTGGTGGTTTAGAAAGTTCCAATAGCGACTTGTAGTTACAAATGAATTTTACAAAATCGCTTCGGTTCGTTTTGCTATTTCAATCAATGCTTTCATTTTACTACTTTCACTGCCACTACTTTCATTTTAAGTTGCTTCAGGAATTCTCAATCCTGTCGAACTTTCTAGCATTTTCTATTCTTTTCTCTTGGTATTTTTGTTTTTGGCATTTTCGGTTTTTGGCATTTTAAAACTCTGTTTATCTCAAAATAATTTGTCAAGTACGTCAGAGACTTGCTTGACGGTATCATTTCGTAGACTATGTATATATGCAATTAGTCTGCTCTAGTAAACATTAAATAAAGAATACAATTTTACAACTTTAAGTACTTATTCTGTAGTATTTCTTGTCAATTTTGTGCACTATTTTCACAGAGGATATGTATACATTCCCAATTTTATTCCAGTTGCTTTTGGGAGCAATTTCGATGATACAGTCCTATAGATAGTTTAGTATTGTTTAGTTTAGTATTATAGATTGTTAAGGCATTAGTGGAAATTAAATTTTTTAGTGATGTGGCAACCATAATAGACTTCTTCAGTTTTTTTGCGCAGCATCGTTTCCGCTGTTTTCTGTGTAAAAATATTCGGTGTTTTTATCTTGGTCTGCAACATTTTCTATTCTAACGCATAGTTTACGCTTTTTCAAAGAAACTGCTCATTACACCCCCCCCCTCCCCCAAACACTAGGTAACAGAAATAAACCAATATTTTCAAGCTAAATAACTTATGGCTATGAAACATTTACATTTCTAACACAATTAGGATTAATTTCATAAACTTAATTTTATAATACAGTAATACATTTCACTATCATAGTCATAAATAGTATCGTGCATCTCTTTCTAATTATGAACCACGAATACTGACATCATTCTCGATATCCACATAAAACTAATTGCCACGGTAAAAGAGTCTTACTAAAGTGAGTGTTGCTGCTTCTAAAACCCTAGCCCCTTTGGTAGGAAACTGGAGTCTCTAAGCAGCCTTCCATATCTGGTAACTGGAAAATCATTTCAAATATTCTGTTAGATTCTTGCTCTATTTTCTTGAGAAAAACGAAATCACAGAAAACAATATAGAATCAAACGATAACTGCCTGCCATACATGTTATATGGTTGTAGCAACAATTTCGCAAAGCAAAAAAAATTTCCATTCCACAATGGTTCGTGCAAGGCATATGGAAGTTAACCAAGTCTAGCGTATGAGAAAGGAGACTAGGGGTGCAGCCACTTTAAAGTTGTTTCATTAAAAAACGGGCAAAAATGTCGCCGCTTCTCGGGCAACAGTTCGGAAAACACAATACGACCAGTACATTCAACTTTCGGCATAGGTATAGGAGACATAGGGGCTAGGGAGGGGGGGGGGGCTGCAGCCTCTCTGATCAGACATAATTCACAGCATTCCAGGCTCCATTCGGGAATTTTTTCCTCAATGGAGCAAGAAAAATCAGGTAAAATCCATACAACCCCCCTTGAACGCTTAGCATCCACTACAGCCATGACCTTCGGTGGCTTGTATCTGTATGCCGTTACGGAAACCTGAATGCAAATGAATTTGCTACTGATTGCTGCATTACATCTATAATATCCATAAGAAATTTGCTACATTTCATCTATAACTACAATTTTTCTCTTTAACCTAAAATAATAACAATAACAAACAGGGACTGCGCAACAATCTGGGGAAGAAGATGATACAAACCACTTTATCAAAGTGGTTTCTGCTACATCCTTCGCTCGTTTTTTTCACCTCGTTTTAATGCTTAATAGGTAGCCTCATTTTGTCAGCAAGTGACTAATCAATCCCACAATACAATCCCATACAGTAGCAATGAAAATTCTAAGGGATCAGCTTATCTAACATTTCAATGATCAAGCTGATACGGCTGGTAGAAATCACTTGTATGCCTATTTCTGTAAGACTTAACTATAAGGAGTTTACCTTAAAAGTTTTTCACGATTCAATCTAGACATCGTCTTCCACTATAGCTTACGAGAAAAATGCTCAATAAATTAAAAATTAGTATAACTGAATTGCATATAAAAACCAAACCAACCAAACATAAAATTAGTCACTGTCAGAGTCTGTGAGCTTGAGATCGTCATCTGAAACGAAAAACATTGTGTGACTTTGTATTCGACTTTCTGCAAAACCTAGATATTCCAATTGATATTGCTTCTCTAATAGAGTACTTAAGCAGAATTTCTTTTTACGATTGTAGAAGTTAGGTAGCTACACTACAAAAAATTGTGAAGGGATAAATTGGGCTTTTATCTTTAAACAAGGAACTAAACAGCATATACTAGTTGCAGGAAGCTCTGTGTAGAATACATGATGATAGGTTTAGTATTTGCTTTATTATTCTTTTGGCCTTCACAAACATGGGGCGCATTAAGCAGCTACGATGGCCTAATTTCTACAATAATAAATGTATGAACCGTGAAATGGTGAATTACCTATCCAATTTCGATTCCCCGCTTCTTGAATGTTCTCTTGCATTAAAGCCTTCTACAAGGAAAGAAAAAATAGAAAAGTCATGATGAGATATGAGCCACATCGAAATGTCTGTTGTGCCTGCGTAGAGAGGATATGCAAAGATGACTTCGTTTCGAACTAAACACAACACCAAACTAAAATCCAACTACTACAAGCATGCATCAACTACTAAGAGTCTGGGCTCTAATATCTACAATGTCTTGCTCCCTTTTGACAGGATAAAAAGACGATGAGATGATTAGAGAATGACTTTAAAGTCGAAAGTTATGGAAGCATCACTATCAATCTTTATACGAAACTTTTAGCTTCATTCGCGTGTTAATACAACGTTTTCTTTAATCAATTTAAATTAACAAAATATTTCAAGATAAATAGTATCTGCAGAGTATGCAGTCAGACAGATTTTCAAATAGCTCAGTGGTGGGAGCCGACGATGTTAGTTTCTGTAGCAGAGTGGTTAACTTACCCAACCTTCAATGAAATTTAACCAATGAGTAAATGTTCCTTCTCAACAAGCAAAGCCCAAATTATCATTAATAAACACTGGGTTTCTAACAGGTCATACTTCAGCCAGTCTTTTATATCTATTCTCGATTTGCACATTAAGAGGTATACTAGGTATAGAGGTGTTCTTACAGATTATAAGGTCCACAATCAGGGTTACTAAAAACATATACTCATGACGTTCTAACTTTACCACAGTATTTCAGGTCTTTGAATCGTAGAAAGAAGGTACGAAGACAATTATAGAAGCTAAGATTTTCGCTTTTTTTCTTCTAAACCAATCTATTATTACTGACTTTATTGCTTGAGAATATACTTAAACTTCACTGCCCTACTAAAATGTTTTGAACACAATTATTTTACAGGCACAACAGTCATAAAAAAGAAAGCACATAGAAAAGAAAGCTTACGTCTAAAGCTTTGGCTTGTTCCCTTGTTTCTAGATCATCTTGGTCTGAATCCGAATCAGTCCCTGAAGACGACGAGTCTGAATCTGACCCAGCCGACGACGGGCTTCCAGATCCGTTGTTATGTGGTGGCTGCAAAGAAAACAACGAGCTGTCTTACCTACTAATAGAGATTCAAATAAAAGAAACAGGGTGTAGCTTGACCTTCCAGACTAGGGGGGGGGGAGACATCAATAGTAAAATCTACCCGCGAAGACAAACTGAGTCGCTTTTTCACCTACACCCCCCTCACGATAGTATCCGGACAGTTTCGAATTTGATTGCGCATCTGTTGTTAGAAAAATTTGTTTACAAATTTCAACGGCAGTTTTCATGAAAACGTTTTTATGAATTTCCTCAAATTTTTTCTTGAAGTCTTTTTGGCTGTTGATTTATTTATTCGTCGAAAAAAGTTCCTCCTACCGATCGATTTCATTCAGAAAAACTTGCAGCGTTAAAGAAATAGTGTGGCTCTATGGCCCTGCACTGAATGATATGTTTTATGCATGTTTTATCGGAGATTGGTGGCATCTTTATGCAAATATTCTTCTCAACTGGTAGTAAACACGTTGTATTTCTCTTTATTTGAAATTATTAGTGTCTCAAGAACCAGTTTGCAAAAATTACCATGTTTCATTGGCCCATTTCAACTGAGTCCAAGTCACCTGTGTTTGATGTTCTTCGCTTATTTGACATCAGTTGATTTGTGTAAGGCTTGTAGCGCAAAGGTTTCTCATTTTGACAAAATATGATAACAGATGAAAAGTGCAGAAGTTTTGCAACATTTTAATGTATTGGTTTATTGTGGAAAGGTTTCTCAAAAGATTATTATCAGAAAGTTAAAGAGTCGTTATCGCCAGCCTAAATTTTTTTGTACCTGAAAGGGAAATCGTTCTTCGAACAGTCCGGATACTTTCGTGAAGAGAGTGTACCTATAGGCAATTTTTCCGACCAACTAAGGATTTTGTGGGCCGTACTACTAAGGATTTGGGGGTGTCACACCCTTTACCCCCTACAACCCGTTGGCTACAACCCTTGAAGAAATTTTTCATTATGGTATTTCTGTGAAAAAATCTGAAAAATTATGCATTTCTATTTCTTTCAAAATTTTCATTCCTTCAAACATACTGCTATATCATAATATGTCAAACTGTAAAAAGATTTATACTCAAGCAAAAAAATTACCTTCAGATCATTACCAATGGCTTCCACATTCTTTATAGAAGTAGGAGGTGGCTTTTCTGCTATCCTTTCTTTTGGCTTATTCTCAACCTTGTTAGGTTCAGTTTCTGCTTTTCCTGGCACATTATCCCCTTTGCTAGCAACTCTTTGCTTGTGTACACTCGGTTTCGTTGAAACTTTTGCTACTGGCTGCCCAGGTTGGCTTATTGTTTTTGCTATCGAGTGATTGGCTGATCTACAAAAAGAATCAAAGTTTCAAAAACCCTGGCAGAAAAATTATTTACTGTAGACTGGTAATCTTATTAGATTCTGGTATCAGATATGCTGGGATTAATTCAAAGAAAACTTGGGTTCCTGTTTATTGTACAGGTTGATTTTAGGGATGTACCGGATATCCGGTAGGCCGGATAATCCGGCGCCGGATCGCTGATTTTTTGAAAATCCGGTTCCGGCCGGATTTGTTTCTGAAATCCGGCCAGCTGCCGGATTTTCCAGAAGTTTAATCATAACTAAGAAAATTTCTAGAGAAAACAAGTTATAAAAGTGTAAATACAAAGAACAACAAAAACTAAAAGCAATAGAACAAACTTGAACGTAGTTTTAAAAGTTAAAAAAAAGCGTCCCAATCGGCAGTCAAACATAAAAACAGTCAAACATCAAAAAGCTACAATCGTCCCAGGTTGTGATGCAAGAAAAGCAACTTCTCGCCATTCCTTGGAAGAAGTCTTGATCGCTTCTCTTCAAAAATGTTTCCAGCCTCCGAAAAAAGCCGCTCCGAATAAACACTAGATGCTGGCGTGGATAAAAATTGTTGGGCTAGCTTGGCAATATGGGGGAAGGTAGTTTTGTGCTGCTTCCACCAAAGGAAAGGACTTTCCGTGCGTGGTATGCATGGCATGTTGACATACCTCTCAAGTTCTGCAGCTAGAACAGAATGTGGGACGCTCAGCGTCTCTTTCCTTTTCCTAACAATGGCTTCCAGTGGAAAGTCATCGTCACCTAGATCATCATCAGACCCCAAAACATGGTCATTCTGTTCAGAAATTTCGTCATAGCATGCCGAAAAGTCGTAGTGAATCTCTTCCTGTAGTGTCTCCAATTTCTTTTTCTTATGCCCTGGTGCGCAGTTCTCTTCGTCTGTATTGTTTTTAATGTCACCCTTTTCTTCAGCCGACTTTTGCACTAAAGCTGCTTTTTTCATGTCTTCTAGTAGCATGCCCCGTCCATTGCTTAGGGATTTAACTGACACGAACTTCCCTTTAAATCTTGGGTCCAAAAGAGTACTGACTACGTATGGTTTGCTGTATGTAACGTCAAGTTCCTGCTCGTTAGGAGAGAAAAATCTCCGCTTGAGTTCTTGTCGTAACTCCTCTTTCAGGGTATGAACACCAGAATCTTTTGTGGTATACTTTGTAAGATACCTGTCTAAAGCAGCAACATCGGGAATAACAGCTGATAAAATTGACTGTTCACCGCTAACTTTCTTAGTAATTTCAAAGAATGGCTGTAACAGACGGAGTACTTTGTCCATAAGCTGCCACTCATTGGCAGTCAGTATAGGAATTTCATTGTCCCCCGCATATAGTTGTACTGTAGCTTTTAAAATACTCAGCCGCTGTAGCATAAGAAATGTACTGTTCCAGCGCATTTTTACATCCTGTACGAGAAGCAGTGGCTGCTTTGATCCATTTTCAATTTGTATGTTCTTAAATGTAGTGCATGCCTGGCTAGAATGATGGAAGTGCGTCACGATCTTTCTTGCTTTAGCACACATATCACTCACTGACCTTTGACTGAGAATTGAACTTTCTATGCATAATTGTAGTCGATTTATAAAACAGTGAATGCTGTCAAGCTCTGAGAGACGTGCACCAAGTGCTATATTTGAAGCACCATCACGAACCAACATCTGAATACGGCTATGATCAATTGACCACTCACCGAGCATGATATTGAAATTGGATTCAATTAATCCACCAGTATGCCGGCCTGGAAAATGTCTGGCATTAAGCATAGCACTCTTGTAGTTAAAATCTTCATCAAGCCAATGACTCATTGGACTTTGAGCAAGTCCACAGGTCTGAGGTAAAAGATATGAACTTAGCCTGGTCCAACTCGTCTGCAATCATGCCCCTTACCTCGGAGTACAATTTTGGAAGGGCATCTTGTGTAAAGTATTTCCTGCTAGGTATAAGGTAGTGTGGTTCAAGATGAGCAATTAATTCAATAAAACCTTGATCCACTACGATTGAAAATGGCTGATTATCAGATACCATCATTTTCATGATCTTTTTAGATATTGCTAAGGAGCGCTGATCAGTTATGTCCCAAATTCTCTTCGCAGCAAAGCTCCCCTGCAGTGTGCTTTGCACGCTTTGCATCTCCTTCAATTTTCGTTCCATCGGTGTAAGGCTGCTAGACAATCCTTTTGTCTCCTCCTTCCCTTTCTTGAAATCAGCATAAGCAGAATTGTATGCGGTTGTATGCCAACGCTTTAAATGATTATGAAGCGGCGCTGTGCTGTAGCTTTTTGGACCCTTGTCCTTCTGCCCTCTCTTGACTCTTCTCTTACAAATATTACACATAGCACTTTCATCTTCAGTTTTTTCAACAGAAAAGAATTGCCATACTAAAGATAGTGATTTGAACTCTGATTTAGCCGCCATTTCAAGATGCAAAATCAAAGAATCAAAGGAACGGCAAGGTTTCAATGCGAGAGAAAGCACATGTATTGCACACGTCAAGTGACATTCGATTATGCACAATAAAATTACGCAACACAATCTTTATATTCATTTGCTGCATGTATTGCATAGAAGGTACTTGAGTTATGTCTAAACATCGGAAAGGCTTAAAAAATTGTATTGAAATGTTTTTAAATAGCACAAGGGCAATAGTAGTGAACATTAAAATTGTTATGGAGCCTCTTAGAGTACTCAAAATCTGACCCAATTTTTTCTTTTCTTTTAAAAAAACAATTGTGCGTATTACCTCGAAAATGAGCCGGTTCCAAATACCAGAAATGTTTCCAGATATTTTAGTAGACACGAGAAAAAATAGACCAACGTCGAAAACAAGCCGAGACACATTGAAACCATTGCGTTGCACACCGTTTTAAACCAGTAGAACAATGTTCGAATCTTGTTCACGAATTTACATGATAATTAATTTTTTTGTAATAAAGCCTGGTTTTCATATAGCCGGAAAGTGACCGGCGGCAGTTTTCTGCCACTTTCTATCTGCCATGTCCCTGGTACCGCAGCCATCGATTCAAATGGCAACGTCTGAATCTTGTGCTGCAACAATCGTGCTTGAAGGATCGCAAGATAACGCTAACTGTGCCAGTAGTGTCGATACCGGGAGAGGTGTTTCGATTTAAGTTGAAATGGCCGTGGCTTAATATAAGTTGAAACAGAAGTTTTAAAAGAATATCGCAGAGAAAGGCTGTTTAGAAAGTGCAGCTGCAAAAAACTTTGGAAAACCAAGTCAGACTCTCTTCATACAGTGATTAAAAATGGATTTTCCAGAACTAAACAAGATCGACGATAAAACAAGCGCCTTGAAAACAGATTTTAAATGAAAGTGCTCGTCATCACGAAACAGGAAGACTGGATTATATAATTCACAAATTTGGTCCAGGGTTTCCAGATTGGCTTTTTAGGCCAAATTTTTCATTTTTGGTTTTTAGAATCAGATTGCCTGGAGAAATTGTTTTTTGCTTACTACTTAAATTTGACCTTGTTGGCCTTTTCAACAGAACGTCTAAAATTAATGAGTAATTATTACATTCATGGAATAATTAGTAGTTAACTGCAAAGTGTTAACCAAATTTCAAATTTTATCACCTAACCTAAATTTTGGAAAAAAGGGTTTTGGAAAAAAGTAAGATTCTTATCTAAGTTAAGAAATTATCTAACAAGCACAAGCGTAGAAATATAACCAGTGCTTGCTCGATGGGTTCTTGAGAGAGTTTTTGATTTGGCCTTTTTATGAGCATTTTGGCTTAAATTGCTCACCAGTCTAGCCTTCGTTTGTAAATTCAATCTGGCAACCCTGAATTGGTCTCTTTGATCTTCTCGCTATACATTTTTTCGCAAAGTGGCTCAAAACTTTTTATTACTGAAAAATCCATAAATGGCCAGATTATCCGGTAAAATCCGGCCGGATATTCCACGAAGAAATCCGCTCCTGCCATATCTGCTCCAGGATCACTGTGATTTAAAACTGATCTGAAGTTTTTTTTATTTCACCTACTTTTTCAATAGTTACTAATCTCTCATTTCAAGACATGGAAAAGTACTTCTCTTTGCAGTTATGAAATGTGTGAAAGGAAACATTTTCCTTTATTGACAGAAAGTGATACTAAACCAGGCAATGAATGAAGCAAACATGAACAACTCCAGAATAAGATTAATAGAAAACCTTATTTTCTTCAATTGGATGTTTGATGCAAGTTTCTCTAAAGTTACCTCCTACAAGAAAATTAGAAAACATCAATTTGCATGTTTGAGCTGAAATAGATATATGAACTTAAAACTGTGTACAGAACAGATTTGGGAATTCACAAATTTAATGTTTTGTGTACATTTAGTTTAACAATAAATGAAGCAAAGATTAATTTGAAATCAAGATGACAATCTTGGCCTTTTTTAGCAACAAACTTGACATCCCAACATGAAAACATGTACTGGGCAAATGCTTGATGTTACTGAATAACAAGAACATGAAACAGTTAATTTGGGTTTTTATATGCAAAATACAAGCAGCAGCTTGATATTCACTTTTTAAAATAATCTTACAATTTAGTTCAACAGTTTTTTAGTTCTAAATAATAATTCTTTAATTCAGAATCTGACACATACTTTTATTTATAATCATTTCAGGTATTGTAATATTTTGATGAATAACATTTTAGAAAATATAATAAAAAAGATTCAAATAAAGAGAGTTGCTTTTCCAAACTCATCAAAAGCCATGTGATAGAAACCCAACTAACATTCAATCCAAATATAGCAGAGTAGCAAAATTTTGGAAAGAAAAAATTTCCCAGCCTAAAACATTGAGTCACGTGAGTTAGGATTGGCAAAAGAAACTCAACATAGTGTTTTTAAGCAGTCTTCAAGGAATTTTTCTTTGCTATTTTATTCTATGAATCTGGGAAATGTATCTATTTAATACTAGAAACAATAATCAAATGCATATGGAAAAGCCAGTTAATATTATGAAAGAGAATATGACATTTCAAGTGCAAAGAAAAAAATTAGTGCTAAAGCACATACCCCAGTATCTTTATCAATAATCAATACGCAGTCTTTAGCACATGGTCTTTTTGATCCTTTGAATACAGTGCTCCCTGATTCCTGCAAATATTTTTCAATGATAGCATTTATATTGTCATAGGAGAGGGGAGTTACCGTCTAAAATAGAGCTCATATTTGCTAGCAATAAAATCAATTTGAGTAGAATAACCATTATGAACAATGATATCAAAGATATTCATCTACAAAATTGAAGAGTGGTAAGAAATCAAGGAATAATAGAAAGTGGTATACAAGTTTATATTTTTGAAACCCAAACAATAACAGAATAAAGGAAGAAGAATAAAAAGCTGAGAAGTAATATAACTACATACTAGACAAATATGAACATATTTGATAGCTACAAAGGTAAATTTGTGAATAACCGGTGGAACTTCACATTATAATACCTGTATATGAGGAACTTTGACAGTAACATCATTATTTGATCCAACAATTAATTCTGATGCTTTAGATGAGTCCACTGATGCTGGTTTAAAATCATCTTGAAAAAAACAATATCTTATAAAAAATTATTGCAAATTTTTGCATTTTATAAGTTTACAAAAACAACAAACCTAAACGTCTCAGAAAGATGTCTCTTGACACTAAATGAACTTTGTCTTTCTCTAACTCAATTTTTTTAAAGTTGGAAATAGTTTAAGTGCATCTATCTTGCAAAAAGTTCTTAGTAGACAAAAAACATCAACAGATAGTTTCTTTAAAGTCAAAGGTATATTTTTCTATGATCATAATCAGCCTCCTAAACAGTAATTTCTCAAAAAACTGACTGTAGAAAGCTCATCCAAATTAGTAAAAAATTTTGATTTCAAGGAAACTGATTGATCTGGACCAAGGCCTGAATACACTGCTGGTCTCATTCTCACTGACTTGGAAAAGGCACACATTTTTCAAGCAGTTGAATCTTTTTCCTTGTTTCTCCTTTTTTATGGTGAATCCTTTTCCTTGTTTTTCCTAATTAACTGATCTCCAATGTAAAGATTCTCTCCCAATTGCTTGATAAAAGCATCATTTTAAAAGTTGTTTCATATATCTAAGGTAAAATAATGGAATTTCTTGAAGTTTTAAAATTTCTTTTAAGTTTCCAGAAACTTTTTTTAATTTCATGAGTGTAGGAAAGTGAAATGTCAAGGAAAATTATTTTCATAGAAAAATTTCAAAGGAAGAAAAATTCACCAATGCATTACACAAGAGGTAAACATTGGAATAGTATAATTAAAAGCTTATTGGCAGAAAGATGAATATATTTGTTCAGCTCATTATATACCAAAGCTGATTTCAAGCAAACAGTCCTTTTATAATTCCCCTTGACAGATCCATGAAAAGTGATGATAAACATATAAATTTTCCTGTGAATGAAACATCACTTCTGCTAGGAGCACTGCTTGTTGATCATAACTACTTAGAAACAATATCTTTGTATTGACAATTTTCTTATTAATTTTTCTTTATATTTGCCATTCCACCATTCTTTTTTGTAACAATATTAATGGTTTAGGGAAGTTGAATTGTGTTCCTAATTTCTCCTTTTTTGTCTGCACACTGGATAGTTTAAGAATAAATATCATTAAAAGTATTTTGAGCAGTGTATAAAAATGAATATTACTCTGTGCATTGGTTTTTAAAACATGAAACTTTGCTTCGAGAAACGGAAACAATTTTTAAAAATATTACTTTAGTTAAACAAAAAATTGCACCACTTTTATAATTATCAGCAGACAAACAAAGAATCACCATTTACTAGTCTAATTGTTAATCAAATCGTGTGTAGAATTGATATATATGCTTCAAATTTAGAAGCAAAACGTTCTTTTAGAAGTAGATATGTAATAACTTACATCTTACTGCGTGGTAAATACCATCACTTTGTCTCTTTTTAAAACTGGAGCCGATATTCAATTTGTATTCTTTACCATCAACTAGGCCGTGAAAAGCTTCCGCCATATTCATTCATCAACAACTATTTGGAAGCGAGGCTGGTGTAGTTGCGTATTTTTTTATGAAGATAAATTTTATATGAACATTCGTGTCTCAATTTTTTTGCCCGAAAAATACTAATGTCCATATTTTTACGGAGTATACTCTTACACATAAAAGCTTCTAACATTATTCGAGCAATGATTGGTAACAATGATTGGATACACATCACAAAATAGCTTTCGAGTTTTCATTAAAAGAAATTCGAATCTCTCCGAAAACGGCGACCAAATACATCATTTATTTTATTGATGTATATTTTGCAAACATGATTTGAGCATTAACGTTCGATATTGAACATGATGCAACTGGAATATTGGCCAGGATTAGCATCCATTCAGCAAAATGTGGGACTAAGTCCGAAACATTGTAATCATGCATCATTTCAAGCAATCCACACACCTTTTAGCTTGATCTATTTGATTTGCTGAATCTATTTGATAGAAGAAGCAAGCCTTTCTGATAATTTTTGTTTTAAGGCTAGCATTGACGCTTGTATTCCCTAAGCCAGTGCAGTGGCGTAAGACAGTTTAGGACACCTTAGTTTGATACCTAAGGACCCCCGAACATAAAGGGCCCAGGATGCTTTTACGTGCATATTTCTAAAACTTTGTTCCAGCTCAAATAACTTTCCAAAACTTCTAAAGCTCTTCAACTGAAGCTCTATAACTCACGTCTCCCTAGCTAGCGAGAAGAAATTCTCATTTAATATTTTGCTATTGTGTTTGACGTGCTCTACACCTTTAAATTGGATATTTACAGAAAAGCAGTCTGTAGATAGAGGTACCGTAGAAGATTATTCATTGGGGCCCCAGATGCCTCCATTACGCCATTGCCAAAAGCGCACAAAATTTCTTGGCCATTGTCACTAAATTGTGCATAGATTCTCCCTAGACTTTATCCATTACATTTACTGCAAAACTGATAAACTGACACTTTTTCGTGCTGACTAAAATCAGATGTTTCATCAATCATGACAGCATAATAGCCATTTGCTTTTACTTGTTCGACAATCCTCTCAATCAAGCACTTTTTGCGCTATTACTGTTCTTGTAGCCTGTGCCCCACTCCACAAATGCTGCCACATTTATGAATTCTGAAGATTTCATAGATTTATAGACATGTTCAAAATGTAGTTTTCTGATACTTTCTGTCTTTGGAAAAGGCTCATGCCCGAATTTTGCCCGAAAAAACCAGCTGCCCGAATCTAGGGGGCCTCTGTTCCCATGCCCGCGAGCATATTACAGATTTAGGGAGCTAAATCGTTTTGGGGGGCTAAACATGCTAAAAATCAGCACATTTATTAACGAGCATATTGCTATATCTACAGTAGATGTTTCTGATTGAGAGGGGGACATTAAAGCGTGATGTAGAAAGATGGATGTGGCCACTTACAGCATACGTGAAGAACAATATCCCCTTCCCCGGAGACTGGACGCAACTTTACAAATCTCCTAAATTAGCCTTGGCAGATTTGAATCTTTAAAAGAGAAATTAGTTGAGCAACGTTTTCAGAGATTTCCTCACATTATGTACTTTGGATGCAGTTTCCATTTTCTATTTTGACTTAAATGCTGCAATACTCTTGACCTAGAAGTGGACTTTTAAGTGGAAGCATGCTTCATTTGCTGTCAAATAAACTGGTCTCAGCAATAATACAAAACCTAAACCTTTAAGATCGCAAATCTAATGTATAGATGCATGCTGTCGAATCTTTGTGTGTAAAAAGCTATTGCTCATCAAGCGGTTTCGAAGAGTGAAGATCAAAATCGAGTACGTTACTTTCTCAGGCCTAGTCTAAAGGACGCATTTCTCCTGCATCAATTTTAATAAAAGTGGATAAAAAATGCCAACCAAATGGTCGAACTTCAAATCAACTGTCGCATTTACTGACGTGCTCATAACGCAAAATAGTTTACGCGACAATGGCTTACCAATCCTGTCACATGAAACAGTAGAATTGCTATTGATTTTAAAGTTCATTTGTCTACCTCGTAGAAGGGAGTTTATCAAAATTGAGTTTGGTGTATTTGCAGCATCTTTTAGAAATGAAAACATTGGTGAAATAAATCACCAATTGAAGAGATAGGCACCAACACTGGAAACGTTTTAAATAGGCTTCAAGATTTTAAGAGGTTTTAAGATTTTCATTTAGTCAATAGATATCAGAACTGGCACAAGGTACTAGACAGTCCCTAACCAAGACAGAACTAGGCCAAAAACATGACCTTAAGACTTTTTTTGCAGAGCAGAGGAGAAATTGAAATAAGCATACATTACTGCAATTAAGGACTTCATATTCATAAAAATCTTATGATCATAGTGTCCTTTAGATTTCTAACAAAGTCGAAATAAATACAAACTGTATTACTCGATAAAGATTGCTCTTGATTAAAAATTGCTAAATACAATGCAGTTACTTTACCCACCAAGTTTAGATTTGCTTACATAAATAAGCAGCTGCTACGTTGAAGGATCTCTATCAACTTCGATGCGGAAATCATTATAATATTTTCAAAGTCTTTTTCGTTCTTGAATGATTGGTGAAATTCAGCCAATTCCCCCCCCCCCACCTACGAGTACTTTTGCCCTCAGTTTAGATAATTCATAAAAAAGGAAAAGAGCAAAGCTGCTCTTAAATAACAATGTTCCAGCATCGTTTTAACAAAGATCGAGAATTTCCACAGCCTTATTCTTTATAACTCATCCTATATTCATTTATAAAAATAGATTTTAACAAAATAGGATGCATCTTAAAACTTGAATCGTGTAATACCATTAGCTTGATTTTGCACGCTCAATTATCAGTTTCAGCAAATCTCTAAAATTTCCTTTCAGATTCTTATTAACAGCTTCTGTTAAGGAACCATTTGTCAATTTTTCATACTCATTGACAATATGAGATAGATCAACCTAAAATGAAGAAGAATGCATGTTAAACACAATTAAACGATAAAAATAGTTTTAGCCCATGGTAGGAGAATAAAGGTAGGGAATTCCAGACTTTACAAGCTTTTAACCTACCAAGACTATTCTCTTGGAATTTCATCCTTCCTTTGTAAATATAGATTTGAACTAAGCTGACGGAGGAAACCCTAAACTATTTATAAAAATTTCATTAAAATGTCATACATAGTGATTTGTCACACATTTACCAATACAATTTTCTAGAGCATAGCCCTGTGTTGGACGTTGCTAAATTGGCATCAATTATCATATAAACTTCAAAATCAAACGAACACCACCTTCAAACCAAATTCAGGCATACTTACTGGCTGGCGAGTCACTAGAATAAAAGCCATCCGATCTTTGTTAACTGATGACTTACAAAACATTTCATTCAGCTCTTGTGCGAAGTGTCCAGGTGTATCTTTAACGATATTGACTAAAAGGTAATGACAAATCTTATAAGGCAGGTTTTAAAACCTTAAATTGCGACTGATTTGGTTAAATACTCAAACTTATAGTATATTATGCAAGCTAACATCCCCTTTAGTTGTTGACATGTGGTTGGTTCATTCAGTCATCAGTAAAATAGTTTCCAGTCATATGCTTGTATTCGATTTTGCAGCCAAAATGTTTATAAAATTTTAGGAAACATCATTGCTTTTGTGTGAGAAGGAAGAACCGCAGGATGGGCTGTCCGCCGGATTCTGTGAATCTTGCAATTAGTATAATATAAATACGAGGATAAAATTCACAAACAAAGCAAAACGGCGACAAGAATCCAATGTTGTGAGATAAATTTTCCAAAATAATTTAAATTAAACGAATGCTAATATTTCGCCCCGGCATACAGGGCTTCGTCATTTTCACCGAAGTTGTCTCGATTTTTCAGAGGGTAGCAGGCTATATATAACACATTGCTCTCCAAAATTGCAATTCATACTTATGACAACTTTAAATGACAAGAATCAAAATATCAACTTTTTCAGTTGTTAGCAAGCATAAATTTATTCAAACCAAGCTTCTAAGAAAATTCTTTAGTTTTGGAATTGGATAAACAAACATAACATTATCCAGCAGAAAATGCCTTTGAACAGTTATTGCTGAACTAGATTATATCCTTTGAACAGATACCCGACCTTAGAATAAATTGCTGAAAATGATACCCGGAAAGACGTGCATATCCTGTCAGCAAAATATACTAAGTACACCCCCCCCCGGGTAAAATACGTACTTATCGTCTTCAGGATGATTTCTGTTTCATCTTGGAACTCAATTTCAATGCTCTCAGCAATCTCCAGGAAATATTTTGCTTGGAACTGATGGAAGATTGATGAAAGTTGTCCAAGATTGTGTTTTTTCGTAGTGACGACGTCAATTATTGCTTTCCCACTTTGAGACATTTCATCGCACTCTTCATTAGATATGCTTTCGTCTACAGGCTTGCTTTCATCGTCTCTTTCAAGCAAAGAAAGAGATAACAAGATGGTTCTTGATTCTTCTGACATCTTCTCGCTGAAAGTATTTGAGATATCCTCCTTAAGAGAAACGCGGCGGTCTGGGGAGATAAAATCTGGGAATTAAATATGTATAACGACAACGGATGCAAAGATGATAAGCCTACTCAAAAGAACAGTTGTTTGAAATAGCATGGAGGTAAAGCATGCGAAATAGTATAAGCTTTTATAGAATTTTCTTTTTAAAACATAGTATAACAATGTATGAAAATTAATGCCCGGAAAAAGATTCAAGAAATGTAAAAATTACATCTAGTTGCACCCCTGCATTAAACTCTGGTAACAGTAAGGACAAAGAGTAAGTACACGATCATATAACAGATGCCATTAGCTTTTGTCCATTCTTGCCTATCTAAAGCTATTACTGAGTAAAAGTTGCAAAACATGTACGATATTTGGACAACTCATAAAAGCAAGCATCTCTCTAAATAAACTGAAGACGAAATCTAAGTAGATCGAAACCTTTCTCGTAGATCTGCTTGGCTTGTGCAATAACTTCTGGTGACCATGCAGTGAGGATTTCTACAAGCGTCTTGATATTATTTGTTTTGACTGAGTGATGCAAATAATCAGCGAGACATTCACTTTTACTTCGGACGAGATTTCGTAAAGCAGTCTCAAGGGTTCGCTCTTCATTCACGACAATTTTTTCCACCAGATTCTGAGAATTGGAAAGATAATACTGCAGTTATAATTAATCGATAAATTATCAATGAATGAAAACATATATTACTTAGACTTTCATTTTAATCAAAAAGTGAGACCAAAGAATCTTTGTCGCTTTAATACTCTTGGAGGTTTATGAGTGTGTTTAATTGAAATTCATTCAAGATGATGAATAAATGTTCTAGGACAGTCACTTGCAAGCAAATACTAGCAGCAGGGAAATATCAAGCTTTGACAAGTCGAAGTATAATGATTGTGGGTGCGACAAGGACCAAAAATAAGACTAGAAATTAGAAATCGATAGAAGGGTTTGCAACAAAATTAGTCAACACACAGTGGAATCTGGCGAAAATCAGAAGGTGAGGAAGTATTTATTGGTCCTTCTTGCTACCTTAGTAGGACAAGGTAAGACATGGTCAGAAAAAAGGTCCGATTTTCTTCCCTTATTCAAAGAGGAGGCGACATTGACTTCATTGTCCAGATCCAATAAGGATTATTTCTGAAGATAGTCAAAAATATGCAGCTGTGATTCGAATGTATTGATCTCAATTTGCAATGAAGCACATTCATTTTTTCTGCAAATGACTACATTCAACAAACAGGTACTTAAATTAAAAACTGTCGGCCAACTGCTGACCATTTCTTTATCTTTGTGTGAAAGTTTGTTGTTCCGTCGACCCATGTTCTCTACAACGTTTGCTTGAATGAACTAGCCAAAGATTCATTATTTTCCAAAACAAAATTTTTCATTTAAATCTTGTTATCTATTTTCAATGCATGAATGGAGCGTACGCCTTGAATAAGACAACTTGGAATATTTAGTTATGTTGTCATGGCAAAGACGCAACAGCAAGACAAAAACTAAAGAACTACTTTGAATAATGTCATCATTAATAAAGACCAAGCTTTAGTCATAATATGTTTTAACTAAGCACATGATCCTCATTTCGTGCTAATAGTTTGCAAATTTGCAAATAATTCAAATCACTGTTTAGCTGTGCCTATACTTTCTCTGTGAACACCTGTTTATTCTGTGAAATTCATAAATTTTGTTTAGGTAAGGATGGTTTTAATTAGCTAAATGACGAAGTTGTTGTCAAGAGTAAATAAAACTTCTTCTCAAACTCAAGTTTTAGGGAATTTTCGATCACCTTTTCAATTTAATGCAAGCTCCATGGCAACTAGATAAAAACCAACATAAGATTTTGAACAAGCTTAAATGGTCTTTCAATTTTAAAGAATTTAAGGATCCTATTACACTAAAAATTAATTATTTCATAAATTTACTCTTGAATCCCTATTAATTATGTATTATGTTCCATAGGCAGGGAATATCTAATGATTCTTGGATAAAGGTATTTCTCAACCAAGCTAGTTTTGTGTTCGTAAAAATATTAGCAGAACAATATAAAGTTAAGTTAGTAGATGCCCATTACTCTAACAAATATCCAACCAAACCAAGTGCATGTTTTTTCTCATTAAAGACTTTCCATATGCACCTGGAGACAGATTTGCCACCTGTGATCATTATAGTTGGCTCCATATTTTAAAGAGCAAAAAGCAATAACTTCAAAATGCTCAATTTGTTTTCTTGTTCTTTTGAGACATTCAACATCAAAATGCTTACCTCATTGAATTTCTCTTCAAATTTAGTTCTGACAGACTGTCTATACTCATAGTCTACTGGTGCTAGAATTTTAATTGCTTCTGTAACTTTGAAACTGCCTGAGCTTTCTAAAGCTTCATGCAGGGAAGAAGCATCTCGTTCTGCAGCATCAGTGGTTTCCTCCCTCTTGGTAAATGAAACAGTTGATGAAGCTACAGAATTCCCTGTCCTTAAATCTGACTGAGCAACTTTATCAGATTCAATATTGGCAACATTTGAGCTACTCTCTTTTTCCTCTTTCTGTGTATCTTTGCTGCTTTCTTTTACTGGGGGATTTTGTGATTCATCTTTATTATCCACAACTTGAATTTTCTTCGCATTCACGGGTGTGTTGTTGTTTGAGCCCTTGAAGTTAAAGCAAGATCACACTATAGAAACTGATTCAAGCTGGGCAAATTGGCAAACACTGATGGCAAAATTAGGGTGGTCTTATGTTTTTTTATATATTACCTTGCATTCTGAAACTCGGTATGGTTTCTATAACCCCTTAGTTGGCAAGGGTTTCAACCACAAATCTTCCTAGCCTCAGAGCTAAATCATTATTTGCTTTCAAACAAAAATTTCATTTCTCACCAGATAAGGGTATATTAGTAAATAATAAATTGGAAGTAGCTGCTTCTAGACAGAAGCTTGGTTAGGCTAGGAGCTCAAGCAAAACATATGGCAAAATGGCAAAGATTGTGCTATATCATGCAAATAAATGTGATATTTAATAGAATTAACTTGTTTATTTCTACACTACTGAGTGGAAATTGGTATGATCATATGATGATTGGTGATTGGTAAGATCAGGAGGAAGATCATATGCTCATAAAATTCTCAAATTTGATCTTACATCAGCTCACTCTACGAAGAAACTTACATTGGTAGCTCTTTTGCTGGCCGAACAGCCCATGTTATTTTGGCTCCGGGTTCTTCATAACAAGTATCTTGGAACTAAATAAGAGCAGAGCATTAGAGAAGAAAGGGAGAGTAGTTATTTAGCACAATGCTGATAAGACAAAAAATATATTCTTATCAGTTTTTGGCAGTTATTAGGGGTAGCTGAAGTCACGAGTCATTGTTAACTCTGTAAATGTTTGTTTCAAGGGAAAATATGTCATAGAGAGATTGGCTCATAACATGCCATACTTGTAATGAATGAAGATTTTCTAAAGACTGCTCAAATCACATCTTTAAAAAAAGCAAAATTGGGCAATAATGTTTTATTAATTAGATTTTCATCAGTTGCAATTACAGAAAGTAAATAGATGTGACTCTATGAAGCCGTAACAGGTCAAAATTTACTTTAAAAATTCAAGTGATACATGCTGAGTAACCAGTAGCAACAAAAGCTGTTTAATTTCAAATAAATTGATATATAAACAGTTTCTAAACAAAGTCGCAATATCAAATGGAATTGTCTTGTGGTAAGAATTTTCATAGGGAGATCGAGTCTGAAGGGGGTTATTAGATCCTCAATCCTTGGAAACAAGCATGGAAATTTGTTGTAACTTTATCCAGATCAAAGTAAATTTATCGCACAAATCCTAATAACAGCAGGACAACTAGAGGTTGATTAATTCTAAAGTATAAAAAGTTTGAATCAGCTTAAGGTAACAAATATAAAAGAGGAGAGGAACGACATTACCGTTTAATATGTACCCTCTAGTCGACCCCATCCAAGAAGTAGATTTTTAATCACGCGTTAAGAAAAGATTAAAGCAAATAAAAATGAGGTAGAAAATGATAAATTTGAATCTCAATTTACGATTAGAAAGGAATCGACTGATAAGATATCCCACTTTATATCAAAAAGGGAAACTTTTCCTCTTATTTTCGCACATTTCTTATGACTTTCGAACAACCTAAAATGACGGCTGGACGAGATAGGAAAATTTTACTTTTAAAAATCAATACTACCATAAAATATATAGAACTCACTGTTTGTTACAGCTTAAAGTGGCGACTCGAAGACTCCAATTACTCAATTCCTCCCGTATTGTACTTTGATGTTGTGATATTCTTATTGAGTTCCATGGCACCTACAACAACAACCTTAAATCGTTACCATGGTATCGGCTATGTAATTGAATACTGTAGTGTAATCCCCATTGAGGAGAGACGCTCCAAACAAACCTCTTACGATCTAGAGATATCAATGGAGAATTAATTATGTGCAACCAGCATGATGCCAGCACGAATTACTTTTAACACCAAAATTCCCATTACCGGCATCAAAATGACTTGCACATCAGAATGAGACGAATGTGTTCAAAAAGTTACACTTGCCTGCATTGGTTAAAAGAGTTCAATTTTTGTTGTTGTTTTGATAAAACTTGGGCAAGGTTTTTCTTCATTCTTGAAATTTCTAATCGAGTAAATAACGCCAAAAGTTATTCAGTAGCACGGGGGGCACTGCCATACTTGACCTGACGGGATGTGACGAAGGACAGTGTATCCTTTTCTGAAAAAATATGGGACAGGGCACTATGAATTGCACCAAAATTCTGAGACAGGGTATCAAAAGTTAGAAAATCTATAAAGGAGAAATATGTGAGAACAGCTTACTCTGTTATTAGAGTTTTTTTAGAATGAGCAGGTTTATTGCATTGCATATTCTAGTGGTAAATATCATGAGATTTGGTATATTTTGGCATAACTGCATCGGATTTTGGCATACTTTTTATGAGACAGGCTATGCTTTTGGCTATTTTTTATGGGACAGGGTTATGGTGCATCAGAAACCCCTCACTTTCATATAGTCGAGTTAGTAACGGACGTCATTAATTTCAACGATTGTTATGGGTATAATTTTCTAAAAGATGTACAAAAAACTTGTCTAAATGGTAAATAGAAAATAATTACCCTTACCATACCTGTCTGGTCATGATGCAGACATTGTGTGTCATATGTTGGCAAAATATATTTTAATTTTTTGAATGTTAAGTTTAGGCAGTGGCGTAGGTATAACTCCCTGCAAAGCTAAACTGCCTTTTTCGGAAAACTTCCTATCTTGTCGGAATTATAACATGGTTGTGATGTCTATCTTTTATCTAAGTTTTTTTAGAGGAAAGTTAGATATCACGTTGCATATAACGATTTCTGCCGTTAATCTGAATCTGGTTGGCGATTTCTTTCAGTAAGGAGGAGGGAGGTACTTAAAATGCCTTTTTTTAGAGAAGAAGACCAGAACAATCTTCAATTCGTATGACTTACGACACTTTACTTTAAATAAATGATATTATTAAACAATTACTTTCTGTTTTATTTAAGTTATGTTGTTATTATGTTATAATTCAAATTAAGTAAAGAAATAATAACGCTTATTAGACTTTTCTGAGGAAATCTAAATTTATCGTCCCTGTTATGAATTTTTCTATCCACGCCATTGAGGTCAGGCCTATCTTCACCTAAACATGGCCGTGGTAACCTTGATGATTAAAGCCAGTGAATGGATTTTTTTTTACCATGACATTGTAGATACAAATTCGGCTGATCAACTTTCCCTAATTAAATGAAATTGAGACAACAGTATGGAAATCCAAAAGATTTTCTGACCGGGAGCTTCTGTAAGCTACACACAAGCACTGAGTGGCTATATGGGTACTTTTACCCTGGGTACCAGACTCACTATATAAAATAATAGAGTCTGGTACCCAGGGTACCCAGGTATATCTCTTTTTACTTTATACATAGTGAGTCTGGTACCCAGGGTAGGGTACTTTATGATTAGCTCTGTAAATTCAGTCTTGTTGCCTGATACCATGGAACAAACCGTTTTTAAAATGCAGGTTTTGGAAGTAATGCCAAGCCTTAACAGCAAAAAAAAAATATCACTGCTGTGACTTTCGTTAACCTGAGCAAAATTGAGATAGAAGGTGCTGTAACAATTATGAGAAAGTGGTAATTTGTATTATGTTACTAATTATGTTACTAATTAAGTGGCTTTCTTTACAGACAATACAGAAACATTGGTATTAGTTTTCCATAGCATTGCAGATGTCAATTTCAAACTCACTAATGCGTTTATCTTTGCTGCCGATTGTGATAGCTTGAAATTTAGAGTGATTTGCAATCATTTCATTTGATTTAAACTAATCAAGACATTTTTTAGTGTTAATTTTTACAAGTTGCAATAGTTCATCGGTATTTGTTGCAGTAACAGATGCCGTATTGTCATCAGCAAAATTACAAAAAGACCACCCGAGTGCACCGATTATCCAGTAATAATCAGTACACATCCTGCAGTGGTGCAAAAAGTTCATAGTACCCCCACATACAGACATAAAGGGTACACTCCGTGTAAACCCTACCCTGAAGGATCGCCAAGCCAGTCAAAAAGGACACCAAAACTTTATTTTGCTAAAGAATGCTGAAGAAGCAAGATTTTTGCCAATGCGCTGAAAATACATGGAAAAACTGCATGAAAATGCTTATTTGCCAAACATGCATGATGAGCCCTTCATTTGAATCAGGCCAAAAATAATGGGTTAAAAAATAGCTGCCTCTCGCTCGACATCCAAATTTCCTACGACAAGTTAAAATCCCTGTTTTTAAGGTATAATTGGGTATATTTTTTAAGGTTTATGACCCGGTTTAAAAAACAATCGCATATGTGCTGCCAAAGAATAAAGCTACAAGGTGGGTGGGGATGACATGGCAGAACGACTGTGTGGACTATGTTAGCCTCGTTTCCAACTCAGCTGTTGTTCTTTTGCACTTGCAAGGAAGCTGTCTTTCAAGTTGCAGGTTGGTCTCAGCAAAGCTTAAATGTAAACTTTGGCAAAGAAGGGTCTTGTTTGTTTGTCATTCATTCGCGAAAGCAGAAAGGATGGGTGAGGCACCTCAAACAGAATTTCAGAAGAGAAAGCAGATATCTGTCCGAAGAATCGCAGCTGTTGAAGATATAGCGACAATCAAAGAAAAGTTCAACAGGCATTTGCACTTCACAGTTGTCAAAGACCGAAATGTTGCCACCTCGCACGATTTCTATCTGTCACTTGTTCACAGTATCTGGGAATTCCTTGTCCACAAGTGGATCAGAACGCAGCAACTGTATTATCAGAAGGACGCAAAGGTGGGTCTCAGTAATTGGAAACACGCACGTACCATGCCATGCTTCCAGATGCATCTTTCTTTAGAATGACACGAAAAATTATCAAGTTCGATGAAATTCCACGAGAAGCTCTTTTTTATTGTTCGACAGTATCAACAGCTTAACAAAAGCAAGGAGAACTAAACCGTACAATCGTCGATTGATTTATCGTAGCAGAATAACAATGGTCCCTAAATCAATCGTTCTAATCATAATAACATTCAAATAAAATGAAAAAAAGCATTGTCAGTCTTGTGACAATTCCATGTTTGTTATTTTAGTCCAAATAGTAAAGGTGATTTTGTCAGAGCTAAAAATTTATTCAAAATGCTAATCATCTCTAGATACTTTGCCTTAGATAAAAAGCTAAGAAAAGTATTATAATGTTGTCCAGACCAGAGATTTCCATAGCGTGACTTGACGTTTTTCTGAAACATCCCCCTTCTCTTAATTTACATGATTCTCAGATTTTTATAATCATTTCTACTGTGTCCATTAGGTACTTAGCGTCCCCGAATAAATTATCAATTTTTATTTTAAATAAACACAAAGAATTTGCATTGTGCTGTTTGGTAATTTATTCCAAATGCCGGCAATCCTCAGACTGGAAAATCTTTTTCGAACATCCCTACGGCATCCCTGTTTTTTAATCTTTTAAGTCATTACCTCTTATTCTATCATCTTCTTGTATCTCAAATAAGCCCCTGGCATCATAGCAGTTGTGTTCAGACTTGTATACTTCAATAAGGTCTCCCCTTAGTCTTCTGTAAACAAAAGAAGGTAAACTTTAGTCCTTTAATGTGCTCCTCACATTAAAGTCTTCTCTGATCGGTGACAGATTTACAAGCTTTTTTTTTAACATTCTGATTCGTGAACATTTCTGAACATTAATGTCAGTAATTATTTACATATTGCTTTTATATTTTAGAGAGTCTACTATTTGTCCCTTGAGTATTACCTTGGAAGAAGCCTTTCAAATACATTGATGAACTTGGATATGAGTGAAATTTGTGATATGGCAATGGATACGGTACCATACTTTTCTCCATTAGACTATATTTTGCATGTCAATTATAAGAAATTTTGTTCACAGATTTTGTAAACCCTTCTGACACTGTATTGAAAAGTTTTTGCCAAAAACAAGGACATTAGTTGAGCAACTTATCCAATCCCACCTGCACCAATGATGTGATTGATTGGAATGACTTTTGAAATTTGATTTGTCTAAATAATTGATTTGGTTTATTCAGTATATTTAGTGTAACTATGCAAATTTAGCTGGCAAACATTGTTTTCTGTTAACTTTTATTCCATACAACATTTTTGGTAATCAAGATACCTTTTTAGGCCAGCATAAGTTTTTTGGGACAACTAGTACTTCCCCCAGCAAGTAGTTTGTTGAACAAGCTATCCAGTCTTGCTTCAAAATATTAATGCAGTGACCTGCATTCAAATAAGGTATGGTGTGTTTTGTAACCTAGTTGAGAAAAGGCATTTCTAAATGCAAGATATGACAATGGTAAAAGTATGTTTGTGGTTCTCAAATAATTTATTTTTGGGTTCAATAACACACAATGGAAAAACATCTGCAAAAGAAGACTTCTAAAACTGATGATATGACCTCAACCAGATAAGCCTGAAATGTTTTAGGTTTGTGTTTGATAAATAACTGTTTGAGCTCAGTTTATATCAGTATATTCGATGAGGTCCGGAGTTTTTTGTCATTCTGTTAAGCAAAGTTTCCTGCTTATAGCATCATTATAACCTGTCTTTACTTCACATATAATCTTAAAATCTTTCTTGAAGACAAAAAATGCTATTAAACTGACTTCTAATTGATAGTTTCTTTTGGAAATTTGTCTTAATATTAATTGCCTGCTTAAAAAGCTAATGCTTACAAAACTGTCAATTATATTTTTTTCAAATATTTGTCTAAGTTTTTGTCAGGTTTATGATGAATAAAAGTGTGTAGTTTGGGTTTGAACAAATAAGAAAACACTGTTAACGTCATTTTCCTATGCACATTGCTGACCAAACAGTTACATTTGGTCTATTTGAATAGTCCTGTTACTTGAATAAGCAAACTATTCAGTCAGAGGTGAATATTCATTTTGCACGAGTTCTAGTCATGTGCTATCTAGCTATAATAATACCACATATAAAACTGTTGAGAGACAACCTTTGTTAAATCCAAGACCAGATCTTAATATTAGCCATATTATCTAGAGGATTTTTAATGAGAATTAACTTAGTTAATTTGAGTTAACAACCACCATGAAGACGCGCATTACTCTCTCTCAAAGGGGTGATATCATGCTGTACATTACATTCTTATAAGGCTGTTTATCTCCATTTGGCACCTACTATTATGTATATTACATCCTGGTGCCTTTGCAAGGCAGTGCTCAAGCAAATCTCTAGTTATTATATTATATTATAGGCGATTGCACGCCTTTCCGACGAAAGCCTGTTATGAACCATTACACAGCACATGGCTCACACCATATTGTATGCATTTTGCCCCTCCTGGCCCTACCCCTATCTTAGTTTTCTTTTCTATCTGCCCCTATATCGCTTCCTTCTGCCTCTCTTTCAGCTAGTTTTCTCCCACAGTATTCATTGCATGACGGATTTATCAGTCCGGTTGGCAGGGTAAAAAACTGTTGACCATAAATTATGTTATTGCCCAGGCAATACAAGGTCTGTTGCACTGAAAGCCCAAAATGTTTTTCCCTGAGATGAGAACTCAGTTCTTATTAATAAGGGGTTCCATGAAGGAATTAAGTTGGTAATATTAGTAATGGTCCAGGAATCAATAGCAAGTCCCTAACAAGAGAAAAGAGGGAGGGGTCAGAAAAAGAGGGAAAAGTCAGGAAATGAGGGAGGGGTCAGGAAAAGAGGGAGGAAAGATCAAACTTGTTCATTTTGGCTTTGAAAGAAGACAGGCTATGAGAGTCTGGGAAGCAGAGAGAGGGTACTTAAAAATGACTTATTTTCATAGAAACAAGGACCTGTTTTGGTTTTGACTATTTGTGCCAAATCTGGAAAAGAACCTTTTTTTCTGCAAAAGGAGGGCTGCTTCTTGATGGAAAAATTGCTCTTAAGTGAAAACATTGCTTCTACTTATCATTTTGTAGATCTTTTCAAAAAAGTGATATATAACCCATGAAAAGGTTGAGTAGAAGTCACAGCTGCAAAGCAGAAAAAAATCAGTCTGTATCTGTTGTTCCCTTGATTTCTGAGTTGGTAGACAAATCCACTTGAATCACCAAATTATCAGCCATTATTATAAATGTTAAGTATATTAACAGCATGCTTGCCTTGTTCTGAAATATTTTTCCCATTTATAGCTTGGTCTTGATATTCAAGAAATGATAGAACAAGAAATGGATGCTGGCCTTGGTAATGGTGGTCTTGGAAGACTGGCTGCGTGTTTCATGGACTCCCTTGCAACACTTGGCATTGCATCTCATGGTTATGGATTGCGTTATGACTATGGGATATTTGAACAGAAAATACAAGATGGGGAACAAGTATTGCACTCTACTTTAAATCTAATTTCAAGGCTAAACAATTTATACTATTTGAATCCTTAGATATCTAGAATATGATCAACTCTCTGTCAATTGAGGCAATTTGCCAAAGTGTTATTTCCAGCTGGAGGTGAATATTTCAACACTCTTGCAAACTTAGTTTCTTATGATTGTTTTCCAGTTTGGTACATGATACTTGTACTAATACTCTGTCCACCTCTTTTGTCTACAATTTACATATTTGTTTCTAGGTGGAAATTCCGGATGACTGGTTAAAGTATGGCAATCCCTGGGAAAAGTCAAGACCAGAGTATACAGTGCCTGTTCATTTTTATGGCAAAGCTGTTTGTGACAAAGATGGATACAACTATACATGGGTTGACACAGAAGAGGTACATGCTATTGCACATGATATCCCTGTGCCAGGGTATGGGAACAAGGTAGTCAATACAATTAGACTGTGGTCTGCAAAGTCACCAAAGGATTTTGATTTGTCCTACTGTAAGTATTCAAGTAACGCAAAACTTAGAATATATATATGTTTTCTTTTCCCAGTAAGAGAGATATATATTTGGCAAGTTTATAGGTGGAGTTTCAGCATCATTCATTCAATTTGAAATGCTGCACATTGACATACCTGATTGTAGCTCAACATCAAGCTGCTCCTTTTTGCTAATAAATGCTCAGAGGGTGACTCGTGTGACTACATTTTCATGAAAATCGATCAAAATCTTAAGTACTGCTGACCTCTTACAATAATGATGAATGTGAGTTATTTGAGAATGTGAGAATGTTAGTTTTTTAGTAAATAGATTTTGTCATAAAAGTAAAACTTTTCTTCCATTCTGTTTATAAATGTTTTTAGCCAGCTAGTGTTTTCACACACATTAAATTATTTCTTTAGTTCTACTGCGTAAAATGGCTCTATGACCCACACTGCTTTTGTTGATGTGAAACAAACAATATAACATACTTAAATGAGTAGATTGGAAAGAATGGCAGTGAAAATATAGGAATGATCGAATGTAATATGCTACATTATTTGACAGTTAAATTTTGGAGCACCAGTTAGAAAGTTAGATAAAACTACAGACTTTAAAGTTTTCTGTGACCTGTTGGTGCAAGTTAGGCACTTTTGCAAAATGATGGTTTGCATAAGCTTGCATGTAATTGCTGGCAAGTAACGTAAGGATTTATTTCAAGTCTTTTAACCTGAATGCCAAAATTTCATAATCGATTAACTTGCTTTGTCCTTTTGGAGATATTTTGTTATTTAGTTGCACTTCATCAAACCCATCCGAAGAGAATTGTTGCAATGTTGCATAATAAGTTTGCTCAGTTACGAATAAGATGATATGGGTTGTCATGGCAATCAATATAAGGGCATTCATTGTTCAAGTCTGTGTTTTAAATGCTCAACTGTTTTACTCAGTCTAGGTCACTCAGTGCTTTTGATATTTTATTCCTCGTTGGATAGAGAGTATCATCATTTTAAGCCACACACCTAGCCAGTAGTAAAGCAAGTTATTTTTTACGGTATGTTAAGGACATCATGCTGCTTAGACAGAGCTGTAAGACCAACAATTGTATTTTATTCCAATACTGTATTTATCTCTATAGTTATGGGTGGTGACTACATAAAAGCAGTTTTGAAAAGGAACAAAGCCGAGAATATTACAAGAGTTCTTTATCCAAATGATAATGTGAGTATTTAATTAAAGGGTAAAGATTTCTTCTTTTAGATAATTTTGATCAATACTTTGTGTGTCCGAGAGTTGAATAGTATTGTTATTTGTGTATTAAAGATTTATATCTATGTTTATTGAACATACATGACTAAATTCATAATTGCTTTCCTGTGCAGAATTCTTTCGATTTCAAGGTCAAGTTTTGAGAAATTTTATCTCAAAGCTAGAGCAAATCCTGCTTTTTCTATTTGCCACAAGCGATAATGTGACTGTAACAAGCTATAATAAAGAATTTTGGATGTTACAGTCAGTCTCGATTTCATTCGCAACCTTTTGTGAAAAGCCTCGTATTATGCCCCATTGCAATGAATCCTCTCACAAGAATAAAACAAGGTTAATTTGGGGTTCTGATCATTTCAAAAGAGTTATTACAAAGTTTGTGCATGCCAGTAACGCTAGAGTTTTTTCGTAGTTCTTTGAAGGTAAAGAATTACGTCTCAAGCAAGAGTATCTGATGGTGGCTGCAACTCTGCATGACATTGTTCGAAGATATCAAGAAGCTGATTTTGGTTCCAAGAAGGACGTGAGATTGTCATTTGATTGCTTTCCTGACAAGGTATGCTATCGTTATATAAATATTTTTCTTAGATAATGCCCTGATTACAGAGGTGCATTTGCTGGCAACAGAGAGCTGTTAGTTATACCTTTAGTAGACAAGAGGAACCTTACCCTTTGTGCCACTGTTTAAAGGAATCTCATTGGTCAAAACACAAACAGTATTATGTATTTTTGTTCTGATTTGCTTATCGCTGTCGGGTATTAAGTAAGGGAGTAACACTCCTGTACAACAGGCCTGGTGAAAAGCTTATTCGGTGAGAGATATCCCCATAGGGGAGTCCCCTTTCAAAGAATGGAATGACCAAGGCATTTTTCCTTTTTCTTCCGCAAGCTGAGATTTTCCACAGTCAACCGTGATCTTGGATTCGACATGTTTGTAACATCTCCCCTGACAGTCCAAGACAACATTTGCTGCCCCTGCCATAGTTACCTGCTTTCTCATGTGAAGAAAAAAACTGGCGTGGCTTGATTGTTACATAAAGGTTTGGAGTGGGCTGGCATCATCCATAAACATTTACATCCTGAAGACAGTGGCGTAACGCAGTTTAGGCGACCTTAGTTCGAGAACTAAGGGCCCCCGACCAAAAAGGGCCCAAAAGGGGCCCCATCAAATTTTTCGTATTGTGTGCTTTTTTACCATGTTGACAAGGTTTCCTAAAGCCATCCCAAAAGTTCTTACTAAACAGTGTTGCTAACACAACACAACACTGGATTCATTCATTCTGTTTTGTTTTGTTTATTCGCTATAATTCTTCAATGGCTTATTTCAATTATACTGACAATGAAAACTTTGACCTTGGCATTCAGAGGGCACAGAGAGCAGGTTCATGATAATGTGTGTGAAGGTGGGAACTTCTTGGCATTGGCCTCTCTTATGGCTGAATATGATGAATTTCTAGCAGAAGTTATATCTCTTCCAGGTAGAGCAACAAAATGCCTTAGCGCTAAGATCCAAAATAAGCTGATTCACTTGCTTGCAAATACTGTATCCTCGACTTTGGTAGAAAATATTAATTCAGCACCATTCTGGAGTATAATCTTGGATTCCACCAGTGATATTACCAGAGTCGACCAATTAACCGTTGTTATTAGGTGGGCAATCACACGTTATGAGTGAAAACTTTTTTGCTACCCTTCGAGATATCTTCAGTTTTTTTGGCTCTTCCTTGAATAGATGGAGAGATCTTGGAATCGAAGCTGGGAAAGGATCACTGACACTAAAAAAGTTATATACGACACGTTGGAGCTCTCGCATTGATACAATGCGAGCCGTGCGTGACAAGTATCCCCAGATAATGAGGCTTCTGACGCGACTCATCTTAACATCAAACAAGAAGAATGAGCGTGACAACGCAAAGAGTCTAAAGAAAAAATTGACACACTAGAATTTATTATTTTCCTTGTATTCTGGGAGAGAATACCAAGATCAGTCAATGCAGTATCAAAGGAGCTTCAGTCCCCTAGGATTGACTTGTCAGTTGCCTCTAGACACCTTAATATTGCACTCTCGGAGCTCCAATATCTTCGAGAATCATGGCAGTCTATAATGCTTACTGCCTCAACACTTGCAAAATCTTGGGATGGATCGCTAGAGTTTCAACAAAAGAGGGGTCGGAAGGCAAGATATGAATCAGATGAATTTGTTGTAGATGGAGAACTGATGGATCCTGAGCAAAGTTTTAAGATAAACGTTTTCTACAAGACTGTTGATACAGCATTGATGCAACTGACAGAAAGATTCAAGGACAAGCAATGGTGACGTCATTATTCAGCTGTCTCTACCCCAACAACCTGGCAACACTGAGTCCTGACATGCTTGAAAATGCAGTACGAGTAATTCGTGAGAAATATCCAAATGACTTTACAGATGAATTAGATTCTGAGATGAGATAATTTGAAACCGAATTCAGAAAGGAGATTGCAGTCAAGAAAACTGTTCTAGAAGTTAATAACCTCATGCTCCAGAGCCGTATTAGTTCATCCTTTCCAGAAATGTACAATCTATTAACACTTTTTGTCACTTTGCCAGTAACTGTTGCATCGGCACAAAGACATATCTAAGATCTACAATGTCACAGGAGAGACTGGACGACCTAGCAACTTTGTCAATTGAGAACAAGGAAGCAAAGAAAATTGACAAAACAAAGCTTATAAAGGATTTTGCCAACGTTAATGCACGTAGAAAAGCTCACGTTGTGAGCAAGAACACCTAATTTACTGTTGGTTTTTTCATATGTAAACATTTTCTTTACCACATCACGTGCATTTCTCGAGGTTCTAAAGGGCACGATTTTAAACATTTTCCCATTACCCCGAACCCCTTTGCCCCGTAGAGCTCACTTCACTTCGCAGTCCCTAAATAAGCAATATCATTGATACTTTTAGCAATATCATTGTTATTATGATGTTTACTTGTTTTTAAATTCATTTTCAATTTTTTCCCAGGTTGCCATCCAACTTAACGATACACACCCGGCACTAGCTATTCCAGAATTGATGCGCATCTTTGTGGACGAGAAGAAATTAGAATGGGGCAAGGTATGTCGTTTTCTAAATAAGGTCGATGATAATTTTGCTTGCCATTTAGGTAGGTCACACATTAGTGTTGAAATTTCGTTAAAATTCAGCTTTCACTTTTTCGTTGTAAAAAGGTAGTTTTTGAGCGAAGAAAGGAGCATCTGAATGAAACAAGAGTGGCGCCAGTTTGTTCATTTTTTTTCTGTGGAAAGTTCATATTTTAAAGTTTTTATGTGGCTGTAGCTAAATACCTTTGAATTAAATTTAAATTTATTTTTCCTTAGCTATAATGGTCGATTTATAATTTGAAGCAGCCAAGATCCTTATCAAAATGTTACTTTCAATAGTTATTGTTAAAGTTATTTTCAAATCTAACCAGTTATTGTTAAAGTACTGTACACTTAAAAAGGAGAATGAAATTAATGCAACATCTGACTCTATCACGCAACGAAACCTACTGTCAAAAGCTCTGGGTTTGGAAAGAGGAACTGCACGAAATCTACCAATTCGAATCATATCTGGGTTTATTCATTTGTTCTTTATTGTTTGTTGTATACTTTATTCCGTGGACCGGGCTATGCAGGATTTAGGGAGACAACATCATACTATATCAACAAAAGCTTTAATATTTATTCACAACCAAAAATTACTTTTCCATCACCGCATGTTACAATCTCTCCATTATTCTTATCTTGTTGCGTTCTGCGCATGCTGCGTTCTAATTCGCTGCGCACGCCGCTGCACATTACCATTATGGCACAAACCTTACTTTAACAACATTGATGGTTCAAATTTTGGCGAGGCTAATCAGTGGCCTATTTCTTTAATCAATACAAAAGTTTTGACCTGTTTCTCAATCAATACAATTGTCCCAGTCCAAAGGTCCAACAGTTTTAGCCACAAATCAAAACAAGCGTTAGGCAATGCCACATAAAATCTATTCGAAATCTTGGAAGAAATAAGATTTTGTTGCTTCGCAAAGTGGTTGGACGCTGCACTAGACTGCCTTACTCAGTGTCAATGTTCGATTTCCTGCTGATTTACCCCTGGTGTCATTCTTTGAACAATAATGATTAACGATATAATGCATTCGTACTGGGTTACTTATCCTCAGTGCTCGAAAGCACATTATATAGTTGCAATATAAGATGCCAATTACAATTATATAGTTGCAATATAAGTTGCCAATACAAGATTATATGTAACACGTTACATAAGTTTTAAGCTCAAAATCGGTCAAATGTGCGCTATATCTATCTAAATTCCAAGTAGAGTCTAAACAAACAGTTTGCATTTAATAATGTCTTACGAACGTGTTTCCAGCCTTGTGTATGGGAATCTTTTCCACCGTTTAGGTAAGGCACGATCGCCTGCTGTGACAGGTGTTGTAAAGTGTTTTATATTTCTGTTTTATTTGACAGGCTTGGGATATTTGCAAGAGGACATTTGCTTACACGAATCACACTGTACTACCAGAAGCCCTTGAGAGATGGCCTACATCATTGTTACAAAAAGTATTACCAAGGCACCTGATCATCATTTTTGCCATCAACGGTATTCACTTAGAGGTGAAGAGAGATCTTTAAAACGTTTCGATTTTATATATAACCGTGGTGACAAGCTTACAAATTTTTATCAATTATTGTCAAATCACATACCTTAAAGCATTTGATCTTTTCCCTTTTTAAATACTTTCAACTTGTTTTCCTTTTCTGGGTACTTCCTCTCCATTTTCTTCCTTTCTAAGAACGAAAGAAATCAAATTCCTTTCTATGAAGTGCAGCAGAACTTATTTTGGGGACACTGATATTAGATTTTCATCGTGGAGCAGTGGTTTTGATATTATAGGTTTAAAATGGTTCAAGGACGAATAACCAACATAGTAACATTAAACTAGTATCATAGTTGTTTTATTTGTTATTATTTTGATAGCATGATTGCTGTGACTATGATATGTCCTTATCCTAAAAATCACAGTATAAAGACAAGATTGGATGTGAAAAATCCGATAGAATTTGTAAGATTTGATAGCCAGAGCTTGTTTAGAGGTGCTAATGGTACATAGGATGTTTTAGTTATTTAATTTGCAATGTATGTCGGTAAAATATACTAGAGTGCTTAGAAGTATACTAAAGTTCATCTAATATTTTCATTGTTGAGATCCTCTCGAGTTAAAATAAATCTAATTAATTTAGGAATTAAATATATTGAACCGACAGTTTTTTTCTAAAGGAAGTGGAAAAGAGATGGCCGGGAAATGTAGACAAGTTAAGAACATTGTCGATCGTTGAAGAGGAGCCAGAGCAAAGAATAAACATGGCGCATCTATGCATTGTTTCTTCCCACACTGTCAATGGTGTTGCGAAAATGCATTCCGAGCTGCTTAAAACATCTATGTGAGTATTTCCTTATAAATCTTGCCACAATGTGTTCCATCGTAAAACGCATATAAAATATATTTTTGGGTGCACGTGAAGCTTTTTGCCTTCAAAGGCTATGAACTATGAGGATCTCGGGTAAATTTAAACGTCAGCCATTTAAAGTTTGGAAGGCAGAGCAAACTATGTCTCATTCGAGATTTAGAGTTACTTGATCACTTGTTTTAATGATATTGGATTGATTTTTGGTATTGGATTCAAAATCTTTCCTGATCTACACGCATCCGTAATTATTTCAAAAGTTAATTAGAATTCCATTTGCAAAGGCCAAAACTCTCGTTATCTCTGAACATGAATAGAAGATTACGAAAAATTAAGAACATAAATCTTATCTTTCTACCTTTAATCTAGTCAATAGTTTGGTTTTCCCTTTAATTTAATTATGAATTAATAGCTCTGTTCCACGCTAATCTTTAAAGCCCATCTTCTCTAATGCTCATGAACTTAAAACTGTTACTGGATATTTGCAAAAGGCCAAATTTGTTGTATTGTAACCACAGCTAAGGTCACAGAGTCTATAACTGTGGTTGTAAAACAGCTGAAAATTTTAAACATTTAAATAGCACGCTTAAGTTGTACATTGTTTGACTGCATTCAACAAGATGTAAGAATGCTGGAGGCTTGTTAAGTGATCAGATAGAGAAGTACAGAGTTTTATGTATTTGAGAGTTTTTGGCCGTTTGCGAAAAGCTCGGTTCTGAGAACGCTTTCAAATCCGTGGCCTAATGTCAGCAGAAGAACGGAATTGTTGATCCCCTTGACAAAAATTCTTACATTCTAACATAATTTTATGAAAGATGCTGATTGAGACTGGACTATTTTTCTAATAAAATTGTTACTGTTGTACTGCAAAGAATCTGCTCCTTTAGTTTACACTTATCTGTTGAGTTCTGCCTGATAGTGTTAGATTTTTTCTTAAGTTAGCAAAGGAAAAGTTCTTCTGTAAAGGTCTTCGTGTATCAACAGTGAAATAGAAATTGGACATCTCCCCTTCCACTGTCGCTTGATTTTGTAGCACAACAGTTTCAGTTAAATTCAACAGTAAAAGCAATGAGGAACTTGTGTTGTCAAAACAAAAGCCAATTACAAAGTAATTTCGATTCTCAAATACAGATTGGCTTGCAGTTGCTTGGTATTTAGTCCATTCAACTGCTCCTTCTTTTTGCAGCTTCAAGCATTTCTATGAGATGGATCCTGAGAAATTTCAAAACAAAACAAATGGAATCACTCCTCGGCGCTGGTTGTTACTTTGCAACCCATCTCTTGCTGAAGTTGTTTGCGAGGTATACTTAATCTTCCACCACATTTAATCTTGCTGACAATTTTATTAAAATAATGCAAAACACATTTACATCTCTGTTTATATAGCAACCAGCAATATAAACTAGAACGTTAAGCCTGATCTCAAAATATCCATTTGTAATTTCTTGATAGAAGTTATTCAAATGTTATTTATTTTTCTAAGTTGTGCTTCATTCTTACAACAATCTAGAAAATTGGTGACAAATGGATAACAGAACTGAGTGATCTGAAGAAATTGAATGCTTTGACGACGAATGCTCGCTTTGTCAAAGAAATTGCGAGAGTCAAACAGGTAGATAAACTCAGTAACTTCCCTATATTTGATGGCAGGGTTTGTAGTTAGCTCTGTCGCTGGCTTTTTTTAATTATTTGTATTAGGATATTACTTTGCGATTATTATTCATATCTTCATTCTGATGTACTAAATATTACCTATCTGTAGGAATTAAGTACTTCAGCTGCATATTTAGATCTCATACATTCATAAGTCGCTCTGCCTTTGATAGGATGTAGCAAAATTCACTTCTATTATCGCCATAATCGGCCTTTGCATCACCTTTGCTGATACCGCTAGTTTGAATTGATATGTCTTGGTACTGCGCAGTTTCAGTATTTTTATATAAAACTGGATATCGACCGAAAGCTTTGAGATGACGTTAATTAGAAACAGGTACCGTTTGAAGCCATAATTTAGGGACAACACACTTGCCCGAGGCATTTTCCAATGATGAAGAAAGACACCCAACAAGAAACTGTGATAGATGCCAATTATAATTAACTGTAAATTTCATTTCAATAATAGAGATAAATCCGAAAAACGTCTTATGTAAAAGCGGGATGTTAATCCCAGTAAACGCGAAATTAAAGGTGCTTTCGTTGCTTTTTTATCATTCCCGCTGTTGCAGCTTTGTACATTGGACATGATTGGCCCTTTTCAAGGTTTAAGTTATACTTCTCATTTTCCAGTTCTTAAATTTTTTTAAATTATTTTGCCCAATTTTGCTTCTTGTACTTTTAATAAATTCTTTTGCGACACGTTGTCTAATCACTGCAATTATCGTAGAGCGCTAGCAATGATAATTCAAAGCGATTTAAAAGAGAGATTTTAAAGTTCCTGTTTGACGACTATAGTTTCATATATGATAAAATGTTGTTTTATCCACAGGAAAACAAGAATGTCTTCGCTGCATACATCCAGAAGCATTATAACATTAATATCAATGTGGATTCTATTTTTGATGTCCAGGTCAAACGTATCCATGAATACAAGAGGCAAATGATGAATGCTCTCCATATAATCACCATGTATAACCGTAAGTTCACCTCGGTCATGGCCTGAAGCATCTACTCAGATATTTGTTAGTCTTTTTCATCAGAGCTCCTGAAGTGACAAGGAAGCTGGATTCGGGGAAATAGAAAAATAACTCCTTAATTTTAACTATATTTCGTTTGTTTCTGGCCTGCTTGAGACTATGTCGAAATCTTTTGATATTATTATGCTTTAAAGCTGCGGGTCAAAGCCGTTGTTTGTTGGTCACGGGTCAAAGCCATTGAATACAATAGCACTCAGTAACGATGGTTAAATGATACTATAGAGATGGTCAAAGGGTTGATTGTATTAGCAAAAAAGGCTAGAGGCTTTCCTTTTCGCCTTATCCTTCTCTATATAGAATCCATATATGGGTCAATACTTATGGAACCTTTCTTATTTTTGCTAAGAAGGCCCTGAACAAAATTACATGTCAGATATTTGGAAATATATTGACTATACTATGTAATCTTGAAATAGAAAAAAGGGAACTGGTTTCATAAACTTTAATCAAATTATTTATATGTATCAAACAGAGCAGCGAGGGTTTATAATTCCTCACCTCTATTATACTCTTTCAATTATCAACCATTCCGCAGCACACACACAAATTCGATTAAGATTGGTAACTGTATTCAAAAATTGCTGATTGTTCTGGCAGGTCTTAAAGATGATCCAGAAATTGACTTTGTTCCAAGAACCGTCATGATTGGTGGCAAGGTTTGTATTACCATAGTCAGATATTCTTGAAGAATACTCGATCTGATTGTGCCATTTGCAGTAGAGTTTGTTAATCGCAATTTCCTAAAATCCATTAGATAATGCTATTAAAAATATTGTTCTTTTTGTTGTGTCTTTTGCCCTTACCACCAAACAATTATTTGAATGCTTCGAGGGAATTGATCTCATGGATTCTTTATAAGGCGATCTGATTAGTTCTTGATGCTGGAAGTTCACAAGTCAGCCAAAAATATTCATTGATTTTATCAAAATTAGTGTTAGGCGATTGAGTACCTACCCAATTTTAATTGGCTCATGAAGCCTCCCTATGGTGTACACCTGTGGGACCAGCTTTACTCCTCGTTTTGTGGGGATTTCTTTAACAAGGGAATGATTACTAGGAAAAGGCCTAACCAGCAATATGGAGATGTCCGTTCATAGATGTCTCTCTGTATTCGTTTTTGCAGGCAGCACCTGGGTATTACGCGGCAAAGCAAATCATCAAACTCATTGTTGGAATATCCGAAGGTCGGCTTTTTTTTAAATGTTCAGATTTTCCTTATCTATCATTGTATGTTCTTTTTCATTTTTCATTGAAAACAAACTTGGCCTTTTGCTGATCAAAATACTTGTCTTTTTCTGTACCCAAACATTTCTAGGATCAAGGTTTGGGTACAGCATGGGAAATATAGTGTAGCTACAGACTCGCAAATGTTATTGTCTTTGTAAGGCATTTAAGGACAATATGAATTTAAAGGTATTTTTCATAGATTCTTTGAAAACGCATTGAAATAAATAAAATAACAAGCGAGGCAACAAGACGCATTAAAATAACCATTATGTAAGAAAGATGCTGTTTCACAATGGTGGATTTTTTTCTGCTGTAGACGAAGAATGCTTTTATTTACCCTCTGATTTTAGCTAGTGTACTTCTTTTCTTTGTAGTTGTTAATAACGATCCCATAATCGGAGATCGGTTGAAAGTGGTGTTCTTAGAGAACTACAGAGTCTCATTGGCAGAGAAGAGTATCCTTTTTATATCAAAATAAATTGGTTTCAGTAACCTTGAATACAAAGTTGCTTTCAACGCAGGCACAGTATGTTAACCAGAAGTATCTAAAATACATTTTTCTGCTCAAATCATCATATTATCTTTTGCTCATTGTATTATTATCGATAGACCATTGTTGATTACTAGTTATGATAATTCAATTTTTGTGAAGCTGCATCTTCCTTGATGTTAAATAATAGTCATTCCTGCTGCAGACCTCTCAGAACAGGTAAGCAATTTAGTTATCTGCATATACTCTCAAATTGTATATCGATGACGTCATAAATTAAACTTTGAAGATTGCTGTCAAACTTGGATTCAAACCGCCCGCCAATGAAGATAATTTCTAGATGTAGCTAGACTTTGATGCTCTGGTTATCAGGCTAAAAATTCACCTCATTTGATGCCTGCTAGAATTGACGCTAAAATGATTTCTGATCTTTCAAACATGTCTATACGGGGGCTGCAGTGACTTCATAAATTCAGGATGAAATTTCTTATAGGTTTGATTGAAATTGAAAGAAATCCGCCGTTGAGGCTGATTGGTATATTCTGAGAAGCATTTAGGACGGGTGTTCTTCCTTAGAGTTTATCATTGGTGATACCGTAGGGTTTAGTTGAAGAAAGTCTAGTTCAGCTTAGTTTTCACCCCTGTATAGATTTCTTCAGATGGCGATTAAGATTTCCCGTAATTGAATGTTTAAAGGGATAAGTCATGAGGTATTAGCTTATTTTGATCACTTATTACCGGCATTTTCTAACATTCCAGTTTGCTTTCTAGATCTCATTAGCAGGTACAGAGGCTTCAGGAACTGGAAACATGAAATTCATGGTGAGTATCAGCAAGTCTTCTGCTCGCTTCAATGATTATAATTTGACTTTTTGCTATCTTGTGCAACTGCTTATGTGCCATAAAGGGCCTTTCCCTATTCTCAATTTGCAAGATTTAGTTTAGTGTCGATTCGTTTACTATGTTTTTGCAAGTAAAATTTCGTATATATTAAGATATTTTCTATGTTTGTTATGTTTAACAGTCATATCTGGACAAATCTCAACACAATCTTGTTACAAGCTCAAATCTTGCATCCTAAAATGGCAGTTACATTTGCACCTTTTGAAGTAGAATGATTTGGAAAACAATGTTTATTTTATAAAAGTTCTAGGGTAGCACCATGAAGTCTTGTGTGTAATTAGTTTTAATAAAAGAAAATCTTTCTTTCTATGTTCCCTGACGCTATTTTCATAATCACACCCGACTATCAAGAAGATAGGCCCATTTATGAAAACAGATAAGGTGTCTACAGTGTTTCTTTGAATTTTGCAGTTAAATGGAGCATTGACGATTGGTACACTCGATGGTGCTAATGTGGAAATGAGAGAAGAAATGGGTGCAGACAATATTTTCATTTTTGGCATGACTGTTGATGAGGTAGAAGAACTGAGAGCTAAAGGGTATTTATATTTTGTAATTTTTCTGTGATACTGTTTTATCGATTGAGATGACAGAGATGTTATAACCAACCTCTTATTGATCTCGTATTCCTCAGATAATATGAATGTATAAATGCTAAAGTTTTAAGTAAAAATTGATAACTTTAGTTATAAGCAAATAATAATGATAAAGTTATAAGACGCATCCAAACGGCCTAAGCGCTATAAAGCTCCATTTTTTTTCCAAAATCGTTTTATACTCTATCAATAAATTTGCAGATACACTCCTAAAGACTACTATGATAAGAATGCTGAATTGAAAAGAGCCATTGACCAAATCAAAGAAGGAGTGTTTTCACCCAAGAACCCGGAAGAGTTTAATCATCTTGTAAATGATCTTCTGTATCACGACAGGTATAACATGTTTTGTTTATGATGACTCTCATCATACCTACATGCTACTTCAATTGATCCAGCAATCCTCTTTCAACCCTTGGAATGTGAAGCAAAGTCACCCTGTTTTATTTTTATTTGTTACCACCAAAAAAGCATTTTTCTCTTAGTATCATTTTTTATCAGTCATGCATAACGTAATGAAAGTTTTTCGTGAAATTTATCATGTATTTAGCTGTAACAAGTTCGAGAATGTACATTTGAATATGCATTGATCTTCATTCAACGCCTTTGCTGACCAATCATCTGCTGATTTTAGTTCCTGACCATTTTGCAAAACAAGCTGCCGTTTTAATCTTATCCTGCCACCTTTATGCTTCCCAACTACGGTTGCTTTTCATTCCATTAAGTTCTTTAAGAGGCAACTACCCCCCTTTTATGCTTCCATCATTTTTGTTCCTATTTCTACAAGGTTTTTTCAAGTTCGATTCTTACGGAAGACAGCCAGAACTAAGAACCACGTTTACGTTCATTCCAAGCCATGTTCATTGTCTCAGATACCAAACTTGATAATGCAAGCTCTTAATGTTAGAGTTTCTTAGTAATCTAAAAGCAGTGTATCATGTGATTTGTTTCAGGTTCTTCGTACTTGCTGATTTCGAAGCATACCTTAAATGCCAAGAGCGTGTCAGTGAGCTGTACCAGGTTTGTACTTTATGATGTAGCTCACACGTGTAAAACACACTACGGATATATAAGTGGCCTCGGCCTTAGGTTAAAAGTCTCGTTGACAGCATCATGTGGGCAGTGATGCCTAGGCTGTGTCCGCAACATACAGAGTCAAAACGGCGAATGAACTAGAGCCTTTTTTCCTGCCACAACAAAGGTTATATTAAAACTTTGAAGTATTTTCTACATTTTAGTCAGGATTCCTGAATGATTATAGCCATTCCTTTCAATAGTGCTTCTCTGGGACAAAAGACTTTGCCTAGGCCTTCCCTATATACAGCTAACCTAGGAAGAAATATTCTGGCCCGTTAACCTTTCATTTACTCCACTAGAATAATGTAGATAGCTATTACGTTTTCTATAAACAAGAAGTTTATTGCTCATCTTCGGTGAATCAACTGTCGTCCATATCCTCAAGCCGATAAGGCGGTTATCGAGACAGTTTTTGTTTACATTCCGCAGCTTTGACTTTTGGAAACTGTTAGTTAGCAAACTGTTATTGGATTGAACTGACATTTTTTCTTATATAGGACTTTACTTTCCTTTGTCTTTATATTCGTCGTCTGTCTTTAAATTACTTTGTCACAGTTTCATTGTCCATATTCTTGTCGAACAGTTTCTAAAGAAAGTTCTGAAGATTCTATGAATGAAAAGTTTTCTTTTGAATGATGCATTCTTTGTCTGCTTCCGTTTTTCATCAAAATCGTGAACATGTTGGTTTTAAGCACTTGATTCACAAATACAAGTCAGTATACGGGATTGGTGAGATTAATCCAGGAAGAAATTAAAACTTGATTTTCTTTGCTAAATTAGTGTCCCTTTGCATCTATCGTAATTTTTGAGAGTCCTGAATAGAACAGACTCGTTTAATTTCCTTAATTACAACGTTGGCATGCATACCCTGTCCCCCCAAACCATTTTGCCCCTGTCAATGGTAAGTGGTCGTTGTACACATATACTTTGGAACTCCTCAGTGAAATGACCGTTTATTTTTACAGGATCAGCTAACATGGATCCAGAAATGTATACACAACATTGCCAACTCTGGTAAGTTCTCCAGTGACAGAACGATTTTGGAATATGCCAAGGATATTTGGAATGTGGAGCCAGCCCTGCCAAATGGCATTGAAGAAGAGGACGATTGAGGACGATGACGTTTGAATACGAGGACGTTTGAATGCGAGGACGTTTGAATGCGAGGACGATAGAAGACTTTAAACTAAATTTTTCAATTCTGCTTTATAATGAACGCTCGCTGATTCAACCAGTGATTTTTATCTAGCTGCCAGTGAATCCCATAGATATTTACTTCTTCGCATAGTTATATTCTCGGCATAGTTATATTTTTCGAGAAGGCCATTGCAGGTATGGATGATTAAGAAATTCAGGTGTTTGTACAATTACCAAAGTATCTATTTAAAATTGTTCACGGAGTTCAAATATCTTCGAAACCGCACTCGCAAAGTGAAATGTGTTGATTAAAATCTTCAGTAAAGGAATTTTCGGGAAAAGTTCACAAACTTGTCGAAGGACAAACGGGCAAGTGTTTAATGCCTGCGCAGTTCAACAGCTTTGTTTATTTCACCTGAATCTCGTACTTGCGATGATGATACTTCTTGAAATGGAGTGTTTAGCCAATTGGTTATTTAGACTATTAAACATTTTACCTAGTGCGTAATCATGTTGAAATTATTTGCTTTATCCTTTAATCATTTATCGTTATTCACCTTATACTAATATAGCCTGAAGTTGCTAGCTTTTGTTAGTCAACGTAAACCATAAACATACCCTCCTCCCACCAGAATCAACGATTCTCATAATTCTATTTTATTACGCACAAACACCCCGACTTTACATTGCACTGCTTATTCATTCAATTATTCATATGCTGTGAAGATGGTAGCTCCTCAGGTTTCAAAATAATTCTTTAACATATACTACACTTTTATAGAATATTTTGGATAGATAGCTTTCTCGGATTGACATGAAATTGCCGCAAAAAGGCTTTATAAGGCGAAGTGCCAAGGGTTTAGGCGAAATATAACTTTCACTTTCAATGTAATAATTTATATCCATATCGGGAAAGATGTATTGTTTCTTTTTTCGTTTATCCTAAAATTATCAAACTTATTTCTGTCAAAAAGGTATGATTCTGCAATTTCAAGCAACGATGCCATGTAACATTTCTACCAAGAAAACAACCCCCTTTACATGACTCCTAGAAAGTTTTGACATAGAATTCTTTCCTATTAATGCTTGCATAACTCATAAACATTCATTTGTTTCCATTTGTGTGCTGTAAAGATATTACTTGCTTAATAACTATTCTTTGCATAACACCTTTGAACCTGTACTTAGTAAGACTATCATTTTAAGATATGAAATGTTGTGTAAGAGGTTTTCATATTTGTGACCTTGGAAATATTGTCTGGAATTGGCTCTATAAAAAAAGATGAATTTTTTAAGTAAATTTTGGCTCTTGAATACCACAACGTTGAATAATTTCAATTTAACCGTAGCATTTCATATTATTCCAATGCAGTTGTATTTCGCTGTCCAACATTTGAAATCTTTCTCATAATAAACCCCACCCAAAATTATATTTCATCACAAAATTTTACCTTTAACCCGCTCCGTTTAGTTAGGAAAACTCATTTTAAGCTTGATCTATTATTCAGATCATGAACGATTATTGGCAACATCACTGATTATTTGCTTTAGAATGTTCACCGTGGAAGCGGGAGGCAACGGGGGCTTTAACTGCCCAAAAATTTCCAAAATATTTTAAAACCATACAAAATCGCCCTGCTCTTGGTTTTCAGCATGTTCAGCTCCCCCAAAACTTTTTAGCCTCTTCAATCTGTAATGTGCGTTTTGCCAATAAAAACTCCAATCTTTAGTCACAGATAAGGATGCAAGGAAGAGAAGAATGTAGCTTTTTGAGGAAAAAGAAATCACCCCAGTACCTTTTAAAGACGTTGGTTGTTTTGGTTGTTATTCAATCTTTTTCGTTCTGCTTCTACTTTCAATTGGCTTTATCCAGTCCGGATTGCCATAGAGCCAGCTGCTTTGATCAATTTTCTCCACCTTCGTATTACTTGCACCCTTTCCTCCTCATACCTGATACCAACAGTGTTCCGTTTCTCGCGCTTTGAAGATTATTATTAAGCCCTGGCTAAGCGACTAAACATTTTACTAAACATTTCACTCAACTTTTGTTTAGTGAAGTTGAGCGAAGTTTAGCGAGGGTGGCAAAACGTGACTAAACTTTTCACTAAACTTCACTCAACTTTTTTGAACTGCGAGCTGTCTATGACGCTGTTGGATCGCAGGGGATCTTGCATAGGAATTTGCTTTTGGTTTATATTGTTGCATGCACAAGCAGTGGATAAACATAAGAATTGGATGAAGCGACGGGGAAAGAAAAGACTTTTTATCACATTGACAACAAAGTTAACTGTTGAAGAAGACACAGTGGCGTACAACGAGATATGCAGACGTCTCATAAAGGCTTTTTGGGTCACGTAGAGACAGGAAAACCAATGAAAACCGACGAAAACCTTTTGATTTACACAGCTAGAGCGCCTGCGCGATCATAAAAAATGTTTTGCCAGGGCTTTAAACTTTGCAACTTCGTTCCCAACATCATCATGTTGAAAACAAGGAAAGTTTACAAATATTGCCTTTGCTTTTTCTTTGGTCAAAATCGATATTGTAAATATTTTAGATTCATTTTTCTGGCCATCTCGTAATGTCATATTCCCAAGTTTTTCCGCCATCCATGCTCGGGCCCTCACTGAATCCCTGAAAAACTAAGCCTATCCTTACTTCATGAACGTTTCCTTAGCCCTGCCCAAGCCCTCACCTTTGCTGCTCTCCAACCAATGATCGGGAAAACATCAACCCCAGTCATATTTTGATTGAAAAGTTAATTATCAAGATACTTCTTCAACAACTTAGATATTTTACGAGGTTCCTGACATGCTCTGTGAGAACATGCTATTTCATTTTAGATTTTTTCTGTGCAATAGCTTTTTTCATGTTAAGGGACGGAGCCACCCCTGAGCCCCCCCCCCAATCAATAGTGAAGTCCCTGATTATTGTTGTTATGCAGTTTAATGCTAGCGAAACTACAGCGAAATTTTAGTGCCTATTCAGCCAGATCTCACCACCAAAACTCGAACACAAAAATCAACGAAAAGTTTGATCCTTCCCCAACCCTCTTCTTAAAAGTCCTTTGGCTAGGAAAAAATTAATCGGGTTTCCCACAATGGCATCGTTTTCGCTTACCATTTATTCTGTTTTGGAATTTAATGTCGAATGTAGAACTGGGCTAGGAATCGTAGAGCCCCTTGTTAAACATTTACGACAACATCCGTAAAAACGTTACATTTTACCAATGAAGTACCTGCTTGTTTCAAAAGACACTTAAACATTTTCGGCTCAAACCTCACATTAAAATCCCATCAAATCCTCAATACTTCGATTTACTCTACAGACACTTCCCAAATCTTTGTTCTTTAAATATTCATTAACATGACCTTGAATCATCACTTTGAAACCATGGGAAAATTTTGTCCGAACGCAATTTATAGAGTACACGAAATGGGAGAGTTGATATTTGAGCGACACTGAATTGTCTATGAGAGACAACGCAAAGAGGAAAGACAAACGGTGTAGGATTTAATGTCGTGAGAATCTCTAATGTTTGCTGACATTCTATTAATGCCTGTAAATATAAAGCTATTTAGATTTGATTTTGTATCAATGTTTAAAAATGAATTTCGTCACGGTAAAATTCGCCATTAATCATGTCAGCTGTCATGTCATTTTTTGTCTGTGAACCACAGAGTCCCAGCATATTGACAGTTGTGAGACCCAGCTCTAGTTTGACTTTTCCTGTTTATTTTTCGTGAACGAAAATCTAATTTTGATTACAAAGCTTGACAAACTTCTTATCTCAAGGATTATCTTTATGTAGCAATCATGTAGCTTAAAAAGCGCACGAGCATATGGGACGTGGTGTCCCTGAAAATTTTTTGACCAAATCTATCACACATTTCTAAACTGACACATAAAATGGACTGACGTAAGCTCCCAGCCTCTCCTAGGCCAACTCAGCCCCACGTAGCCCCATCTCAGCCCCGTCTCAGCCTCGCCTCAGCCTCAGCCCCACCTCACCCTACCATAGTCATAGCTTGCCCCCTCTCTGCCCCCTCTGCCCCTTCTCGGCTCCCTCTCTGCCCCTTTTCTGCCTCCTCTCTGCCTCCTTTCAGCCTTCTAAATCACTGGTCATATGTTTATCAACAAGTAGAGTGATATCCAGCCGCGCGAGTACCTGATTTTTGCAAAAAAATAAACGCTTCATTTCCATCGCCATCTGCTGTTTTTCGTGTTCAAATATCTGCTCAGTTCGACATACGACAAAAAGCCAAAACTAATGAAGAAAGGTTTAAGGAAACAACATTACTTTTGATTTTATATGTAAAGTCACAAACATGTTGGAAATGTTAATGCTTTCACGGCTACACTTGGTACGCTTTCTAATAATCAACTCTCATACATACCCTTAGGCTAAACAGAAAAAACAAATTTCTTTCTTGGCTTCATTAGGTAATATGCGAATGCTGTTTACTGTCAAAAATCCCACAATACAATCACTTTAGTCGATCATTTTTATTGGTTTTCTTTAGATCTAGCTGCAAGTCATGAATGTAAAAGGAAGTTGGAAGTAAATTTGCCCCATGCTACATACCTTGCATCTGTACTTGATGGAGAAAGATCTAGCATCTTTTACTTTAATGCTCTTTTTCAATTCTTCATGAACTTGCTAACTATATTTCGGCTGTTTCGGACGCTACTATAGATGAATGCCATACTTCCAATCGCCCTGCAACAAAATGAAAATCAAGATCAATCAAATGCAGGAGGCGAAATTCACATTAAAAAGATTCATATTCTAAAACCATTGTTTAGAACATGCTTTGCTTGAATGTTATCTACTGAATTGTTTAGTTTTCTTACATTCCACGTGCAACTTTTGAGTAATGAAAGAGAAAATGTTCCAAGTTTTCTTTACTATATTATCTTTGATTAAGTATACAAAATATTTATTTAATGAAATCAATGAAAGAAACAAATCTCTGACACATAAAAGTTGCTTTTTCACCTCTTCATTCAGTTGATAAATAAGTAATTTTTTATGTTCGTAAAAGAAAGTATCCCATTGGTGACGCAGCTTTGACTTTGCACACGATGGGACCAAATTTGTCACTTCCCAAGGAAACGTACCCTTGGTATCAGACTCACTCTATATAAAATACATAGAGTGAGTCTGGTACACAGGGTAGAGGAAACTAAGATGAACAACTGGAAAGCAGTTGAGATAACGTTTTCATAGGGAAGCTACACTTGTGAAAGCCAAGGCCAAACTCCAAGAAAGAAGAACCACTCCAATAAAGTAAAATTGCAGGAACAAAAATTGAGTACTGTTTTACTGTTCATAGTTCACAGAGGTTTGTCAACTTCCTAACCTTTTGGGATCTTTATGACCAATTCATGAGAAATACTACGCTTTAAGGGGAATTGAAATAGACAACTTTCACTTTTATAAAGGATAAGGAAATTTTAAAATTTAAAGAAATTCCTTGTTTGCGCGTTGAATAATCAAAGAACATGTCACAATAACAGAGCCAAGTCATTTAAATTATGTGCTATGACAAAGATCAACCTCTTCCTAGCATAAAAAGTAAGCTTGAGTTAACTTGTAACCAGGAAAGCTTGTCCATTGCCTCTGCAATAAGATTCTATGTAAGCCCATCGAGTTACCGTTATTCAAACATTTGTCAATAAAGGTTGTTCTTTCTGTGCCAATGTTCGGCCCCGAACAAACTGCACTGCTTGCTCTCTATAAGCAACCCCTATTCAGTTATATCATAATTGAATCAAGCCGGATACGAATATAAATTAAATCTGAGACTGCTGAGATAAACGATCATCATATGGGCAGCCAATGTGTAACTCGCTTGCAGACAGCAAACATTTCGTCCGCTTCAACTCACCCGTGATTGTATTATAAGCAAATAATTCCCAACATTTTAATATGTGGGAGTGCGTATTTTGCTCACTCTAATCAAACTTCAAAAGGACATTGACTTAATACTTTAAAGCACCGAATCAAACGGTTGCACTAATCAATTAAGGTGGAATGGAAAAGGAAATGATTTGGGCAGCTCTGTAATGGACAAGACCAGCAGAGCTATTTAGATCTGCGTCCCCATGAAAGATCTAAGAAGTTCAAAAGAACCATCTACTGTATCATATAAGCCATCGTACCTCTTATACCTAAACGCCAGTGACTAATGGCATCCGTGAACTTTGCTTAGGACACCTGC